CTAGAAATTCTAACGTTCAGAGATGGAATCAAAATAGAAGTTACTTTCAAAGCTCAGGACCTAAGAATTTTAGTAGTCAGGAACTTCATAATTTACAAAGTACCTCAGAATACAACCCTGATAGTGATTTGCAATATTAGGAGCAACACGAAGAAAATTATGATGAGTAGCGATTTTTCATTCCATGAAATTCCTAATAATCAATATGATAATTTACAAAATAGTGATGCCTGCCAAGAAGAGCAGAATGACACTGAACAAAATTTTCATCAGGACCAGCCCCCGAAAAATCAAACATAATAGAACTAAACCTCTTACATAATAATTTACTATAGGTATATTTATATACCTGAACTAGATGCGAAATTCCTATTAGATACAGGAAGCACAAAAAGTTTAATTAGTCCAAATTTAGCTCATACATATTTTCCAAACTATATTCAGAACGAACATTGAAGTAGTAGTTATTCCAGTTTTTGACATTTTCGAAACTGATCAATGGCGTAAATTTTATATTTTTGATTTCAATTCGAATAGATATGGATTTATTGCAATAATTACATGCTATTGTAGACATACAGGATAAACTTTTAATTACACCAGACTGTCGAATACCTATTTTTATGAATGAGGAAAATAAATTACAGAAGAATGTTCAGCCTTGCAATTATACAGTTGTTGTGGAACCAGAATGTGAAAAAATTTTAAAGATTCCTGTTTGCTATGAAACTGGATTAGGGATTTTAAAAGAAATAGATTTTGGCAATAACTTGAATTCTCCTACAGTCCTAGTGAAGATAAAAAATTATTTTGCTATCACAACCATCCATAACCCAAATCCTAAGCCATTTGTGGTTACGATTACGCACCATTTGAATTAATTAACCCTATAGATACAAATTTCATGTCCCAAATTAACGAGAACATTGAATTCACAAAGAATATATAACGTTTTGAAACAAAATTTAAAAAATATCAATTTGGAGCATTGCAATGAAGAAGAGAGTAGAGCTATTAAAAAATTGATTTTTGAATATAGAGATATATTTTATTGCGAACAAATTCCTCTTAGTTTTACGAATGAAATCAAACATAAGATTAGGTTGACAGATGACACACCTATTTATACTAAATTGTACAGATTTCCAGAAATACATAAACCGGAAGTAAGCTAACAGATCAATAAGATGCTGAAACAAGGTATCATTAGACATTCAAATTCACCCTATAGCAGCCCCATCTGGGTAGTACCAAAAAAATTGATTTTTCTGGTAAACAGAAGTGGAGAATTGTAATAGATTATAGAAAATTAAATGAGCATACAATAGATGATAAATTTCCTATACCCAATATTACAGATATTTTCTTGGTAGATCAAATTATTTTACAACTCTTGATCTTGCATCTGGATATTATCAAATTCAAATGGACGAAAATGATATTCCTAAAACAGCTTTTTCTGCTATGAATGGTCACTTCGAATTCTTAAGAATGCCTCACGGTTTAAAAAATAGTACAAGCACCTTTATGCGTTGTGTAAATAATGTATTTAGAGGTTTAATAGGAGAATGTTGCTTCATTTATCTCGACGACATATTAATTTTTAGTTCATCACTCCAGGATCATGTCATAATATTAAAAAAAATATTTAATAGATTGACACAAGCTAACTTTAAAGACCAATTGGATAAATCCCATTTCTTACAAAAATCTATAGAATATCCAGGACATATTGTGACCCCAGAAGGCATTAAGCCAAATCCTTCTAAAGTAAATGCTGTTAGAAAATTTCCGATTGCGAGAACACAAAAAGAAATTAAGTCCTTTTTAGGACTAATTGGGTATTATCGGAGATTCATTCCAGACTTTGCGAAAATTACAGAACCTTTAACGTCGTGTTTGAAAAAAATGCTAAAGTCATACATACACCGAGTTTCGTTGAAAGTTTTAATACTTGTAAGGAAATATTATGTAACGATCCCATCCTAATTTATCCAGATTTCACAAAAGAATTCATACTAACTACCGATGCTAGCGAAGTATCAATTAGTGCAATTTTGAGTCAAGGACCAATTGGTCAGGATAAACCTATAGCTTACGCATCCCGTACTTTAAATGAAAGTGAACAAAGATATCACTCCGCAGAAAGGGAAATGCTTGCTATTTTGTTTAGATGTCAATACTCCCGCCATTTTTGGTCGTAAATTCACTATAGTCACTGACTGTCGCCCCCTCACGTGGCTTTTTCATGTCAAACAGCCAAATTCAAAATTGGTCAGGTGGAGACTTCGATTACAGGAGTATGATTATAAAATTTTATATAAGAAAGGTAAATTAAATTCTAATGCAGATGCGTTGTCCCGTGTTCAAATAAATATGCATGAAACAGAATCAACATTAGCTAATTCAGGCGATGTAGACACAGCTATTTTGAAATTTTTAGCAGATATTGCTAATAACACACAGAATTATGATCAAAATCAGGAACCTAATGAAGCAGGTCCATCTTCTAGAATAAATATACTTCAAGATGTTCGTATTCCACCCCCAAATTCATCAGATGACGAAACAGCGCATTCTCTACCTAAAGAAGTAGAAAATAATGGCATACCTATACAAGAAACTATAATCAATAATAAGTTCAATCAAATTTATATTTATAAAAGTAGGCAGGATAAGATTACTGTAAAGAAGGAAAGTTATGGTATTCATATAATTATTAAAGTTAACATACCTCCACAAAACAATAAGAACCTTATATTTGACTTTATGAGGGATTATTTAACTGACACGATATACTATATTTATTTTGAGCATGAAGAGTTAATTGCTGATTTTACGGACGTTTATTCTGAATATTTCAGTAGTAAATTACTGAAACTGATTAGGTGCACAAGCCCTGTCAATACCGTCCCTGACGTAGACGAACAGGTTATGTTAATAAAAAATTATCATGAAGGAAAAAAGAATCACCGTGGCATAGAAGAAACACTTCAATCATTAAAGAAAAATTATTATTGGCTTAATATGAAACAAAGTATTACAAATTATATCAATGCGTGTGATATTTGTCAAAGGGCTAAATATTCAAGACGAAATCCTTATGTCCCTCTAGTACTCTCTGAAACGCCTTCAAAACCATTTGAAATAATACATGTCGATACATTTTTCTATAATGGGAATAAATATACTACAGTGGTAGATGCTTTTTCTAAATTCGGGTAAGCATTCTTCATAATTGGTAAAACAGCCATTAGTGTTTGCAAAGCACTCACAAAGTATTTTAGTAGCTTTGGCACACCCGAAAAAATCGTAGTAGATTTAGGAAAGAAATTCAATAATGAAACTGTTAAAGAATTGTTGAAATTGCATAAAATTAAAGTACATTTCACTACACCACAGCATCATGAATCAAATGGTATAGTAGAAAGGTTTCATTCAACCCTTATTGAGCATTTGAGAATTTTGAAAGAAAAATACCCAAATGAAGATGATCTCATTGATTATGCCATTATAGGTTATAACAGTTCAATTCATAACGCCACAGGTTTTACCCTTTTTGAATTAATATTTGGTCATACTCAATCCAGACATGCAGATGAAATTTTAATGCCAAAGGAAATTTTCTCAGAATACGTTCTAAATCACAAACAAAAAATTAGTAAGGTATACGATACAGTTCAAGGTAAATTAATAAAAGATAAGCAAAATGTTTTGGTAAAGAGGAATGTTAAAGGTGATCAATGTGAAGAATTTATTGTTAATCAAATAGTATATAAAAAGAACCCTAAAATAAGAAATAAAAAACATAATAAATTTATAGGACCCTAAATCTATTAGAGCATAATAGAGTTGAAATCAAAAGTGACAAAGGCAAAATAGAAATAGTTCATATCAAACAATTAAGAAAACCTCACTTGTTACAGGAAGAACATGGATGCAACGAAAATCTTCCTGATCCTCCTAGTAGTCGCCAAGACGATAACTAGTGAAGTTAAGGTTACAGATTTATCCAACACACCTGGCATCCTTCCTTTTAAATTAGGCAAAGCTCATTTAGTGGATAGAAAACATATTTTCTTACATGATGTTCAATTTTTAGGATCTGAATGAACATATTTATAATTTGGTAAATTATATATATATATATATATATATATATATATATATATATATATATATAATATATACAAATCTAAATTCTTCTTTAGGGAGTAGCCCCCTCTATTATATGGTATTAAAGAATAAGTACGATCAGCTGTTTCATGTAATAACTGAAATGAAAAACAAATTCCAAAATATTTTTCTTAGAGAATTTAGACGGAGACGAGCATTAATTAATTTAGGCGGATCCATAAGTAAATGGTTATTCGGCACGTTAGATGAATCGGATGGTAAACGTCTCGACAATGTTATTACAATATTGAACTCAAATCAAAAGAAAATCATTAAGGAAATAAACAACAAATTTCCATGGCTAAAAATCTTGTTGAGAAATATTCAAGAGCCATTGGTACAATCAGTGAAAATCAAAGGAAAATTTTTGAATATATTGAGGATTATAAAGCGTACATTCAAAACATAGATGACCAAACGCATACATATACAATTTTAGTAAGTATGTTGGATCAGATTTTTATTGGTGCTAATGTTATTATTACCTTCCTAGACAATTTGGAAAATGCAGTCACATTTGCTCAATTAAACATAGTTCACCCAGATATTTTGACAAGTAAAGATCTATTACAAATTTTGGAAGAGATAAGAAATTATTATATGCCTAACGAAATTTTGAAAATCAATTTACAATCTTGGTATTCAATAATTGATGTTAAATGTTATTTTCATGACACTAAGATTATATTTGCCATTGAAATACCGATTATTTACCCATCAATCCTACAATATTTCCAGTTATTTCCAATTCCTACGAATGAGCATACCTTAATTATACCACAAAACCCTTATTTGGCTCTAGAAGACAGAAGCTGTCAATACATGGGACATCCCTGTGCCCAATTAGAAAATTTATATATATGTCAACAAGAAGAAATTAAGTATAATCCTGGTGAAGACTGTGTCTCAAGTCTGATCTTAGGAAAACAGGCACAATGCCAATTAGTACCAGTGGAACCCGCAGAAAGAGTATTTAACCGAGTCAATGACTTTGAAATCAAAATGTCCAGATGAAGAGTATTTTACTGTCCTAGGCAGCACTTTAGTAGAAGTTCCTGTAAACTGCAATATAGAATATCAAGACTACCGTTTTGGAAACAGACAGCAAAAGGCCATTGGAAAGCCCTTAGTATTACCTTCAATAGCTAAAAATTCATCAGTGGAATTAGCCAACCTGAAACTAAGACCACTGAAATCAGGAAAAATTCCATTGGAAGATATGCACGAAATCCCAAAACACATACAGACTACAAATCAATTGGTGATGGAAGACATGAAACCGATTGATCAATCCAATTGGTCGCTATGGCTAACGATCACAGTAATATTAGCCGTTGTCGCCGTCCTTACTTCAATCAAGTTTTTGAAGAAGAAATTGAAGAAACACAGGAAGCCTCAACAAGGTACCAAAATTCAAGATAACCCGCCTTCAGTGCTGTTCCAGCCCGAAGTCGTTGTTTAAGGAGGGGAGAGTTACGCCACTGTAAATGCATAGGTTCGAGGAAAGAAGAGGCTGCATCAGCTTTTTCCATTCTTATCTTACACACACACTTGCATTCTTATTCAGATTCACTTTGCTTTTACTACAATCAACTCTGTAATTCTTCTTAATAAAAATGTTGTTAGTTCGGTCTGAAAAAAAGTATTTTGAGTTTTTTTTTTAAAAACTCATCGACGCAAGCTCCCGTCTTAAGTAGTGTCATTTCTGATGGATTATCCGAGTTTGCCATTATTAAGTCAAGTGCATTCCATTTATTGATAAGAGATGTAGTACTGACGTAACACCAATTTAAAATATTTCCACTTTAAAGCATGTAGCCCTAGAAAAATACCTGCCGAGAATATCAGAATGTTATTGTTTTATTATTATTGGTTCCGAAAACACCTGAATTGCTTTGAAACTGCTCCGAAATGATATATCTGTCCATTAGCATTGGTTAAAATATCGACGGTCTGTAGGTCTGTCATGTCTGGTTCCCCAGATTCCAGACAAAATCAAGAATAACGAAGGGGATAAGAGAGAAAAAAAGGACGGTGGGAGAGCAGATAGGAGGCAGTATGGAATTGGTATTCGGCAACTTCAAAATAAACCTAAAATTAATTTTATTGGCCGTAATAGAAAAATTGTGGTTTTGGCTGGGTCTAAGGTCGCACGATATAATTTTGTTCATAGTCTTGTGAGCTTGCAAACTTGCTCAACTGTGTAATCTACTGACTCTCTCAACAAATTATTGCTATGCGATTCCGCTTGACTATAGTAGTTGTGCCCCTGTTGCTTAATGTATAGTAGTCCTTTAGGTAAGGAATATCAAAATCTCTATAAATGGTCTCATTGAAACATACCATGGGGCGTTAGCGATTTTGCGCAAGGTTATTTTTGCACAACCTGATCGCTTTTCTAATAACCATCTAGTATAGCCGAAATTGGTCGATCAAACTTAATATTGAGGTTCCATGTAGCACAAGGTAGAAATAGCGAAACGTAATTTGGAATTTGAATTTCACGTTTCAGTGCTTCTGCCAGGTCAAGAGTGACACCAAGATACCTGTCAAAAATTAGTTACGGACATGTAATAGAAAAATCAGTCAATCAAACAGGCCGATACAATTGGTCTATTAGACATTACTTCCCTGCCCTACCAGTACTTACCGTCCATCAAGCAACGTTGCCCCTTCCCAGACATCAAAATCGGTTAGAAATTTCAGGATTAGTCTTGACTAAAAACTGTTGTGTAATACGTGACTAATTATAATATTTGATCTCTTGTAGCCGCTCCGCCTGGTTTCGCCGAGGAAACAGCTGTTGCAAGCGCCAGAGTCTTCCAATCAGAAGTGACAGCCACCTCAATGATCAAAGAGGAAGTCGGAGGGTTCAAACCCCAAGGAGTGGTCGGATATGTCGGAATCACCAAGCCCAAAAATCCCATCAAACCCAATAATTTGAATAAGAAATAGCCAGGCACCAATCCTAGGTTCTAATCCAACCCGTATACATCCCTGCTATTTGTATTTCTCACCTTGATTTACCATTTAATAATGAATGTGTTTTTTATTAAATATGTGATTTTGAACCTTTTTTATTTTATTGGCAAGCTCAAATATACTATCAAACCTAACCAGAGGCTTTCTGCTACCGTGTTTGGCTAACTCGTGAGTCCCTACAATTTGTCTGGGGTAACAGGAGTACGTACGTGAGCTTTTGTAAATGTTGACTTAACTGCTTTTATATCTACACATATACTCGTATTTTATGATCCTTAGATGTATCACCTATTTCGCCTCACCCCTAATTTGTTCTACTCAGTGATGTTTCTCTGAATATTTCGTCAAGCAGATTGACTCAGTACTTATGACGCATTGATACTCGTATACAACAGACACGGATTGACAAACCGACATAAATGAGAATCACGGACTTTTGTGATGGAGATACCTTTTACCAACAGAAAACTTGTGAACCGAAGTTCGAATATAATTGCGACTAAAATTGATTCAGAGGCGACGCAAATAAAATCGCCGGAACATAAGGTTACAACGTTGCAGAGATTCCTGCTCATTCAAAATTCTAAGTTGGCAGCTGTATGTGGTGAATGGTTGTATGTTGTTGCATATTTCGTGTCATGAAATACCTATTAATAAGAAGCTGCTGGTCTCAGTAATACTATGCACCTGTTATACATGATAAGTAACACATATTTTCCCTACATCTGCCATGAGACAGAAATAAGATGGATTTGCGTTATATAGTTTGATATACAGATATCGAACATTCATAGTACCTATATGAACCTACCTAATTACGACTCGATTGTGCTTTTTGAAACGATTTGACTTTTTCTTTGAAGCCCTCAACGGAGGCTTAGGAAGTACAGAGTCATTAAAAACAATGGGCTCATGACATAAACATACTTTAAATCAATGTGGACACGGAATATGAACTCGGTCGCATAGACAGTTTTCGAGCAGGTACAGAAATGAGATTTAAAAAATTGGACTAAAAAAATTCGGGAATTCTTAAATAAGGTGTAAAAACCATAATATGTAATAGCGTCATTAAAGCATATACCACTACAGATCAACACAAAAAGCTCAACAAAGACCAAAGAAAAACAACATACAAAAACGTGACCAACTTCCTCATGTTTATCGACTATAACAAGCGCTAATTTATTACGATGAAGGCGCTATACATTTTTCAGATCAGCCGTAGATTGGTAGTATTTGAATGCAAGATGAGCGCAATGGCTTAGATACAGTAGATATACACACACACCTACGTATGTTTATTAGAATTGAAATTTTTTTACATATCGATAAGAGAAGTTTCTAGGAGGACCAACAGATCCTCACGCAATATACAACAGTGTGAACGAGCGCGGACTCAGGAAGGCCGAGGACAGCTAGCGAGGGGTTTTGGACGTCCCAGAGGGACCACAGAGCGACAAGACTGCTGGTTAAGATTGCTGGCTCTGAGAGACAGATTCATTAATACTCGATCCATCGCTAATCAGTGGTCTGAAGAAAATCGAAGGATGGTTGGTATGCGTACGATATATCGCCGAATACGACAGTTTGGCCTTTTTTCTTATCACCCACATTGCGTGCTACCTCTCACAAATGAACATGGGTGTAACCGTTTACCTTGGCCATCACTATCGCCTGACCTATCTCCAATATAACATGTCTGGGACATGATAGGTCGCAGGCTCTTGAAATGGCAGCACGTTGCACAAACTATAGCAGCTCTCACTCACGAAGTTGCAGTAGCCTGGAATGAGATACCCCGACAGGATATCGACCATCTTATCAGCACGATGTCCAGGCGTGTCAATGAGTGTATAAGAAATCGTGGATCCTCATCACATTATTGAACCAGTTACTGGTTGGCTTCATCAGGGCCGAAATGAATGCACATATGTAACTACAAAAGTAGATACACATGCCTACGGGTATCATTCGGATATGGTTGCAACCTGGGGAAACAAAGATGGAGAGGAAAAAAATCACACACGAAGTCCACAGCAACATCTAACCTACACATTGTAGTATAAAATGGCTAGAAGACCTCGAATTTTCAAGACGACATCTAACCACAACCACGCGGCCGGTTATAGCCACTTGCTGTGGTACTTCAAGCCCAAAGGATCTACAAAGAGAAAATGATCATGCGGAGAAAGGTATATAGTTTCCTCAGGTTACACCCGTATCCAGATGTATGGGCATGTGTATCTACTTTTGTAGTTACATATGTGCATTCATTTCGGACCTGATGAAGCCAACCAGCAGAAATACGTATCGCTCGGGTTACCTATCCTATTTTCTGCTCGAATCCACTTTTCTTCTTTTTGCGTATTTTGCCCATTATTTTCCTATTTTTTGTTATATATATACTCGTATATATATATATATACGAGCAGTAGTCATTGCCATTGCCAACGACCAGTTAGGCAAGAAATACAATTAATCATTAATTGGGAAATTGGTTTTAGTTTTTAGGCTTTAGTAAACTCTTTTAACGGTAATCTCGAGCATTCGCCACGCTATGGAGCCATCATCAGTAGTCGTCGCTGAGGTTGCAGCCAAATGGTGTTTCAAAACGAAAGCGTGGATGGAAGCACTTGTTGCAATTATAAAACCAAACGGACGGACACATTGGGTATTCTGGTAACGACGGAAACCATAGTTAAGTGTTAACACTACGAGTATATATTAATACACCCGAACACATTATCCGAATTGCAATTTTGGGGAAAATACCTTCTAACCTCCTACCTAGAGGAATATATATATATATATTCATAACAAAAGTAAGTTAAAAATAGACCATTGCTTTGAATGCTTCTGAATATATTCGTCACTTTATGTCAAGGCCGTTCGCAGTGCCCCTTTGACTGTATGAGTCTGTCGGTCACTATGTCGGTGTGGTGGGTCAGTAACAAGGCAACATCAAAAAGAGTACTCCTTTTTCACGAAGTATGTGTGATTGTATAAATAAACCCCAGATAAATAAACATAAATTACCTGTACTTTATTTTACAATAAACATAAATTCATAAGTTATAAAAATATTATATAAAAGTGATTTTATACATCAAAATAACATAAACCTAAATAAAATCAGTCTTCAAAGTGTTCTTGTTCCTGGAAATCGGTCTCGTACCTTCCATACAGCCTGTTATTCTTAGGATCAAAAGGACTGTTGAGATACAGCATTGCGGGGTACTTCTTATTCCGTACTTCTACTTGGTACGTACCGCTCTTTAGGAACTCGTTGTCTACTGTCTTTCCTTTCGGATGGCAAACATACCTAGAGTAAGACATGAAATCAGTATAAAGAAAAAAATAAATTAGAAGAAATGATGCTTTCGTGTATGTAAAAGGTTAATAAACATCCAAAAGGTGCCTAGGGTAATCAGGAAGTTCATGAAGAAGAACGAAACGCAGAATGTTTTAAAAATAAAACCGCATGAATTTTGATGATTTTCAACATCTGATTATTAAAAACAAATGCACCCCAAGGATACAAGAACTTGCACAAAATATGCAAGCACAAAAATCTCATTGATGCTAGCTGAATTAGCTACTAAAAGTTATATTTTGAACTATTAAAACTTACTTTTTTAAAAGTTTCTGATAAAAACTGTTTTGCGATTTAAACGGTTTATTTTTTAACTTTGTAGTCCCTGGTTGAAAACTAAGATTGGGAACCGCTGATCTGTCATAAGTCAAAGTACTATCAGGGGTCACATAAATTGAGTATAAATAAGTTGTGATCCCAGAAGGCTGCGAATGGTTAAAGTGCACGACCATTGGTAGAAGCGAAACTCTTCCGCTAGGTTTCTTTACACATAAGAATCAAATCGACGTGTGACGTTTGACATGTGTGCAAATGACAGATGTCGCCGTGTTTCTCTCATAGAATGTGCAACGCTTGCACCTACGACTGAAAAATCACCGTATGCCCAAGCAGTAAATAACCTAGTCAATTTTTTTTTCAGATGTTGAACTACTAAGCAATAACTTACCCAATTCCAATGCTACTGTCCAAACTGAAGCCATAGTCTCCTCTCCTGAGGTAGCCCACTACTTGATCGTCCCTCCAGATAGACTCAGAACCGTACACAGCCACTGGTTGATCGATAGTGAAGAACACCCTCCTTTTCTTAAGTCCCTCTTGCTTTAGCCTTTCTACGGCCAATTTGCCTTGGTACTGTCCATCTTTCCTGCACAGACGTTCCAAACCAGCTTCCACTGGGTTGTCGTCGATTCGCAGGTCGTAGTTGACTAAATGGTGTCCTAAAATGACAAAAATGCTTGAGATATATATGATATTCGAGAACAATAATTAACGTATTAGCAAAGAATAGACATATAAAGAAAAGGCAGTTAGACAAGCAGAATGAAATTAGAATGAGATAGGAGATGACTTCAAAAACTTGGCGACAAGAAAACAGCTGTCGGCGTCTAAACATCGTTGTTCTCATTTAGTCGGAAATAACTGCATTGTTACCAAATAGATAATTCATTGACCATCACTTGTAGTAGACGCATTTTTTATTCAAATTTACTTTTGTTTAGTCGTTTATTCATGATTGAATATTTATCATCCATTTGCCGCATACGAAATATATTTTTCATTCAATAAAGTTATAAATCACACTGTTCTTGAGAGAAGCTATTCTCAAAAGTTATAAGTGATCACATAGATATTTAACTTTCAGGGCCCTACTTGAAAAATACTTTACAGCTTACCTTAGTAACAAGAGAAGTAAGACGTTAGCTTGAAATTCAAAAGTTTTCTAAACCAAAATTAGCCCTTAAGACGATATGCTTAGTTATTTTTTATGTCTTTTAGACGTAACCACGAAAAACCGTAAAAACAGTTGAACTCCATTCTGCTTAGTACAAATGTAGCATTTCATGAATATTTTATTGCAGCTTGGCAACACCGCCTTAATAGCCAAGGACGATCCGCACCTAGGTTTATTTATATACTAGTAATAGTCCAAAAGCCGACCGAAAAGTTTTGGTTATATCGAGTACTAATGTGGAATGTTAAAAACTAGTCAAATCCTACTTCTTTTGATGCTTAACAGCAAATACGTGTCTTATTTTGATATAATATCTAATTAGTATTGTCCACAATGGAAATAGGTTAATCATGACCTTCCTCCTTATTTACTCTGTGTCCTAAACATGAGCCCACAGTAAATGCTGCCGAAAACTTCCAAATTTCATCAAAATCGGCGCAAGCGCTACCGAGGTAAGTGGTAACTAGCAACAATGAGGTTACAATGCAAATCGCCAAACTACCAGTAGAAAATACTATTAACAGAGATGTCAAACATACACACTTAGGTTTTTATAAGAAATGGTGTTAAGTAGATTAACTCTGTACTTCCGACGCAACGCGGTATCAGTTCATAACGCACAAGTTACCTACAAACATGTATAACAAATTAATTTAACGAATCAAGTCAATCGAACAGCCTATACAATTATTCCATTGCCCCCACATATTTGACAACGTTGCGATGTCGAAATTTCTACCTGCAATTGATACGTGGAAACCGTGTATTGAAAATATTACTCTATCATTCCAAGTTTTAAGGTCAAACGTACGGAGAAATCAGTGATGAAATATGTCTAATTAGAAGCGTAGAATTACTGAAGCGGAAAGTGTATAAATATACTAACGTCAAATAATTTAGATAAATCATCCTCGACCCCCTACAACCCCTTACCCCCTGTTTTTTACCCTACAAAAATTCTTTTAAAAATGTCCTAAAACGAAGTTTAATGATTATTATTTTTCTCGTTTTTTGCTACCAGCTCCGCAGTCACTGGACCGATTCTAAAAAAACTACAAAATATGCTTGTGTAAAAATTTTATCAAAATCTGATCGGTAATATCCGCGTCATAGATGAGCCAAGGATTAGAGGACCGACAGGCATATACAAAAAAAATGGCGTCAAGTGGGTTGACTTCTTACACAACACCGTGATCAGTTCAACAAAGATTAAGTTAAGCGCAATTTAAATCCTCTGAGAATATATTGAGTTACGGACCTGTAGAACAGAGAATTTAAACATATTAAGTCAGTCAAACAGTCCCATACAATTAGTCCTCACACATTATTTCCTTGCCCTACTGGTAGTTACCGAGCATGTGGCAACGTCGTCCCTTTCCACATCTGCGCAGCATCTCTGCAGCGAGTTATCTTCATATAAGTATAAGCCGGACTGGTTCGCCTGGCGGATCGGTTTGATAGGCACGACTACGCGGACCGAAAACATTTCTGTCGTGTTTTAAATACAAATGTACGGGTAAATCTATGTGTTAAATATGACTAATAAGTGCATACAATTACCGGTACTGGGAGCGTATACATATACTAAGATCAAAAATTCCATATACCCTCTCCAACACCCTACAACTACCAACTCCCAAGTTTCAACCCCTACAAAAATGATCAGGACCCTCTAAAACGTCAAAAAATGAAGTTTGAGCGACTTTATTTTCTTTCGTTTTAGGTCTTTTTTTCCACCACTTAACCAATTTTCAGAAACTACAAAGCTTTTCCATCTTTGGCATAGTAGATAGTAACTTTGTGTGAAAGTTTCATCAAATCCCAAAATTATAGGGGATTATAAAATTAGCGGACATACAGACCGACGGGAATGAGTGGTTTTTCGTTATGTATATGCCATGTAACATCCAAAAAACATAATATCTGAATTTAAAATTTTTCACGATTACAATACTTCTTCGCCAGTTTTGGCATAGGAAGTAACACGGTAGTATCAAAATTTTCGAAATCTTTTGCGGTCATATTACTACTTGTGGATGATATGGGAAATAAAGGACGTTACCTTTTTCACAGCTCAAAGCATTGAAGGCTCTGAATCCAGCGTGCTTCAAGTCAAATCCTCGTCCTGCTTCCAGGATTTTGTTGTACACCCTGATGCAGGAGTCTTGAGGTATGTGAATTTCGAAGCCCAGCTCGCCGATATAGCTAACTCTCATCACACGAACGGTCTGGTTTGCGATTTTCATCAATCGGGACATCTCGTACGGAAGTTTCTCGTCTGTTATTGGGTATTCTGTCACTGATTGCAACAGCTCACCACTGAAATGTAAAAGCAACTTCTTAATTTTTGATTTGTGAATCCAAAATGTATCGTGACTAAAGGTGAGTTTTTTCTTGATATATACGTTCCACAGTATACACACACTGATCAATATCTACCTTTTAGGACCCTGAAGCGATAAGATGCCTATTTTGGCTGTCATTTCAGTAACCAGTGATTTGAAGTTTTTCCTGTAAAGCTGCTTCCTGAAGTGAGCTTTTGTCTGGTAACCTGCTTTGGCTTCCCCCACTATGTAGTAACCTTTACCCTAAAATATAGAACCCCAATAAATTAAAAAATGGACGATGTTCGTACGATACCAGAAGTCAAAGTTTGGGCAAAACCATCAGTTCCAACAAATTTCTTGCAATTAATTGGTTTTGGAGTCCTAAGAAACACAGTTTCCTGTTTGTGTTTCCTGTTTCAGAGCTCTACAGAAATATTAAAACACTACCTTTACATACGCATTAATTAACAATTCAAACAATAAAATCGAGGTAAAAGAGGCTTATTTTGGTTAAGAACTTATATAAAATGGGGCTATTTAATCTAATCCCCGAACTTCACTAAAACGATCACAGTTCCCGACATACACTCACAAAAAATTAAAAATAAAACAGAGATAAAATGATTACATAGATAGATAAAAAACGAATAAAAAGTTATTACCGTGTTCTATTATTTTTTTTCTGATAATAATCGAAAGGGTTTTTATTCATTTACTAAATATCTATCTAATCATTTTAACTTTGTTTTATTTTTATTTTTTTCTGTGTATATGTTGGGAAATGCTTTCCTTTTAATGAAATTCTGGGAGTCGTTTAAATTTAAGGGTTGTAAAGTCAAATAAGTTATTGGGATATTGTATTAGAAATTGGTCAAGCTTTGCAGATATAAGAAGTCTCAAAACAGTTATAAGAACTAAACTAGAGTATGTCTCATTGATTTGGTCACCATTGTATCAAAATGCAACGTCAACGATAGAATCAATTCAACGCAAGAACTTAAAATATATGCACTTTAAAGTTTATGGATACTACCCTGAAAGGAAGTTTCCATACAACTCACTACTTGAATTATTCATTTATGACACTTTAGCGTACCGTCATCATATTAATAAGGTTACAGTCCTATACAATCTAATAAATAATAAGTTGGACTGTCCAGACTTACTGTTTAAAGTTAATTTTACAGTACCTGAAAGAGTTATGCTACACTGTAACTTTTTACGACTCAAATGGCACGACAAATATCTCAGATATGTCACCTATAAATAGAATGTGCACTTCTTTTAATAAATATTGCATGGACTGTGATATTAATTGTAAGGCTCTTGATGTAATTCTGGCCAATCTTAGACATAATTATGCTGTGATGGGACGTTGAGATGTGTAAGGCATTGTGATATTATATTTTGTCTCTATTTTTTCTTTTCTATTTTATACGAATTTTATATTTATACTTATTGACTTCTACTTTTATACCACATGTATGAAGAATGGAATAAAGATTATTATTATTATCATTATTATTATTATTATTAAATAGCTCATTTTATATAATGTCTCAACCAAAATAAGTATCTTCTACTGCGATTTTATTGTTTAAATTGTTAATTAATGTATAGGGGGTCTGTAAATTAAGTGATGAAACTGGCAACGTAGCGTTTGCTCTGGCAACACTGGGGCACCGAGCTTGAAGAGAAGACAGTACAAGTTTGATCTCGCTCGAGTCATTTGGTTGTCCGTAGCGATTTTTAACGGTCTGCTATCAGGTTTTGCTTCAGACTTGGGCACAGCACAACGAAAACTTCAGCAGGCCTAAACAGATAGTGTTTCGTCAAGAGTCCAGATTTTTTGATAGTTTAAGGCATTTTTAGATGGAAGAATAAGAAACAACAAGGCATTCATCTTCAAGAACCGATAAAAATAGTCAGTGGACAGTCAGAATGATCGGCGATGAGTTAAATTTGACTCACACGACCCCTCATCAGATCAACAACAACTGGGTGTTTCATCAACATCTTGGAACAGTCGAAAACATTCAAACGGCTGTAACTAGCCAACTTAAGGCTATTCCAGCATTGCTATGCGGTGTGGAAAAGCCTTCTCCAGCACTGTGTGGCTTCAGAAGGGAGTTATTTTGAGGGTGGCAGTACAAGATTGCAATTATATTTGAATAAAAAGGTTCTAAAAAATCAGTCTCATCACTTAATTTACAGACCTCGTATGTAAAGTTAGTGCTTTAAAAAACGTCGGTAAGTTTATAACCGGAAACTTATTTAGGGCCGTATCGTCAGTCGTCCCTACAATTGTAGGGCGCGTTTATGGCCTCCTTGATTGTCATACTCCTTTCTCTCCTTGAAAAATTTCTAGATTACACTTGTCCCGTGTGAGCGTCAGCGCTCTCCTATTGTGAAGATGCGTTTTCTTTTTAAATTGTAGGAAATTTCAGGCTGATAAAACATGATAAAACCCAAAAGCAAGCACAATTTGATGCAAATAGATATTTGTGACATAACCTCAAAATAGAGTTCTGACACGGAGAAGTAGAAAACCATGACAATCAAGGAGGCCATAAAGGCACCCTACAATTGTAGAGATGGCTGACGATACGGGCCTTAGACCTCAAATCCAATTAATTACAAGAAATTTATATAAAAAGGTTCATTAGAAGAAAAAAAGTTTATAAATATCAATATTACCTTCAGAATCGGTCCAACAAGGGTACCAACACCTTCTTCCAATGGCACAACCATGACATCAGCTTCGACTCCTCCTCTGGAATTAAGGGTACATGTGTAATGTACACTACCAGGCTCTTGGTCCACGTTAGCGGTGAACAGCCAGTCAGCTGCCTCTCTAGCATCTGGACCAGTAAGGTACATTTTAATAAAGCTACTCATGTTGAACAGGGCGACGTTCTCTCTTGCTGCTAGTGCCTCTTCCTTGATCTGTCATTGGAAAAAAGAGTTGTTTTAGACACCATCAAGAGTACCAAAGTTGACTTTATTTCTTTTTATATTACCAAAGTACCTACCTAGACTCGTCATTTGAGTGTTCGTAACTGACAAGTTTGAGTGCTACTCAGATAGCATGTTGGTTTATACTTTTTCCCAAATGAAAGTGCTAGGAAATTATATTTGCATCTTTTTCTACATCAAAGCGGCCGCGCAGGGAGACGCCTAAATGCCAGGGCACCGCGGCTGCTATGAGGAACTGAAAGAAGCTTAATCCGTCTTTTTTTTACTGGCCAAGATAAGTATAACCGGGAGTAGCCTCCTCATGTAGGTTGTTCCACAATCTCGAAACCCTAGGGACAAAGAAGCGGTCGAGATCTGGCTGTACGAAGTTCGACACGGTTTGGATAGGAGGCTGAAGTCGGGCGGGAGAGCTCCGAGGAGCAAAACCGTATGGATTCAGAAAAACGAGCCTTTTGGAGCAACCCACCGTTCTCAGCGAAAAACGAACTGCAGAATGATGGTCTATACACCAAGTCACTTAACAGGCCAGCTTTTTCCTAGTTGCAAATAGAAAACAATTTTTGGACATTTTCTATACAGTAGAAAACCTTCAATCTGTGAAGCTTCTCTACGTAAAATTTTTAATTTCGTTCCTCGTGCCTACAAATAAATGAAACTCGGTGCACAGGGGTAATTCGGTATACAAGAAATCAGAACAGAGAATGGGGATTTTTTGTACCTCCCATTAATCTGAGCGGAAAAATCAAATCATGATCTACGCATACAATTCATCCAGAAACAAACTTTAGCTTGCATGATAAAAACAACAAAGTGATAATATTTTTTTATACAGTATGTTATATTTCCAATCTTCTAACAGTATCTTCAGAAATGTAATAACGTGGCGAGAACAACAGATCGACGGTCAATATGACCCAATAGGTTTACGGAATATTGTATTAATTTGATAAATGGAATGAACAACCGTTCTGTAGATCAAATTACTTACAATATCGTGATGCCTCGAGAAATCAAACGTCATATCTCCCTCCAGCTCTCTTTCGTACCGTTTATCTTCATTATCGACATGTCCGTAGTATCCGTACCAATCGTACCCTCTCACAGGTACTGTTCTGTCTTTGACGAAGTACGCTGGTCTTTCCCAACCGGAAGCTTGTTCCATCACTGCACCACTGGCTACCAATGCCTAGAAAGTAAAATTGCACTAAAACTACATATGAACAAAATGAAATCGTCATCACTGGTTATTCAAATGGTGTCTTGGACCTTAGCCCGTAAGGCACAGGCACAGGTCGACCAAGTCGAGTGGAAACAACGAAATCAGAGAATGCCAAAGATTGAGAGAAGTAGAAAATTAGGCACGTTACATTTGGGTTTCAGTAACGGATCCAGGGTGGTCTCCTGTGGGTCCGGACCCCCGGAATATTTTAGTTTAAAAAAATTTCGAACGTGCTTTTCAGTTTGCAGACGACCTTCTCCAGGCTCTTTAATTTTCAATCGCCGATAAATCCCTGATCCTCAATGTTGAATCGTCGATCCCCGCCTCTTCAATTTTCACCACAAGGGCATTCGCTCCAAGAACTAAGATTCCATGATGCAGCAGATGGCCCTTCAAATTTCAATCTCCGACGGTTGCGTCTTTCTGAACATGAATTGTGACCCCCCCTCCCTAAACTTTTTTTGAGCGAGCAAATACATCATATGGAGCCCTTCCAAAAACATTTTCTAGATCCGTCCCTGTAGCATACCATCACTGTGAGTGTGACACATTGATGCAATAATTCTGAAATTGTCTTTGATGTCTTTTGGGGCTGTTTTTTCTTGAAGAATCATCAGAGGTAGGTTTATCACTAAATAAAAAATACTATTTAATGTATCATAAAATTAAGATTTTTCGGAAGCACAGCCATTGATTTCTTTGTTTGTGTCTTTTGGAAAAAATACCTGCAAGCGCCCATTATACGAGGGATGTCTTTTAAGTTTTGCATATAGAAACACGTGGATCGAACGTCAGTACTGAATCTTAACCTCACTCTTTAGTAAACTTAAATTCAAAGTTTCACAACAATACGTGCAGTGTTCTCACTACAGTAAATTTTTAAGTGTCACCAAGTCATTAGAAAAATGGAACTCAACCGAGAACATTTTCGCGCCATAATTTATTACAACTTTCAGAGACAATTATCGCAACAAGAATGCCTTGCTAAGTTATTGTCTGTTTTCGGCCACGAAGCGCCACATCAGTCGACAATTTCTCGTTGGTATGGAGAATTCAAACGTGGACGGGTGGGTCTTAGCGACGATCCCAGGGTGGGTGCACCAAAAACGGCAGTCACCCAGGAAAACGTCGATGCTCATCATTGAAGATAACATGTGACAATCGCGAGATTGGGGCATCCTTGAAGATCTAAAAACCTCAATTCAAAAAATTTTACATAAAGAATTGGGAGTAGGAAAATTAGTTTCTCGTTGGATACCCCACCTGGTGACTGAAGAGCAGAAAGCAGCCAGGGTCAATTGGTGTTTCAATTCCGGAAACTCAAAAAATGTGTACAGCATTGTTAGTGGTGATGAATCGTGGATTTACTGTTATAAACCAGAAAATAAACGACAGTCGGCTGTTTGGGTGTTCCAAGGTGAAAAAAACCCAACAAAAGTCATCCGTTCTCGAAGTGTTTCGAAAAAGATGGTCGTGGCATTTGTGTCAAAAGCGGGTCATATTGCAACAATTCCTCTTAATGAGCAAAGAACTGTTACTGCGCATTGGTATACCACCATTTGCTTGCCAAAAGTTATCACCGAGCTTCGAAAAATCAACCCCGAAAGAAGAATCGTTCTCCACCAAGACAATGCAGGCTCGCACACAACCCAAAAAACAAGGCAGTATTTAACGGAAGAAATCGTGGAATTATTGGACCATCCTCCATATAGTCCCGATCTAAGTTCTAAGGATTTCTTTACTTTCCCGAAATTTAAAAACAGACTGCGTGGTCAAAGGTTCCAGTCACCAGAAGAAGCAGTTGACGCATTCAAAAATGCCGTTTTGGATCTGTCAGCAAAGGAGTGGAATAAGTGCTTCGAAAATTGCTTCGAGCGCATGCAGATGTGTATACTAAGTGACATATAAATCCGAACACCCAGTTTAAATGGTTTTATTTTAATAAAGTTTTGTATAAGTACTTAATGAATCATAATAAGTAAATGATAAAAATTTCAAAATGATTGCACTGCTTTAAAGCCCTTTGACCTTTAATAATGTGTGGATGCACCCTGATGTGCTACGCATTCTCCAACGCGCCTAGGCATGCTTCTGATCAGGTGGTCAATGTCCTCATGTGGTATCTCATTCCAGGCAACCACCAACTCCTCTCGAAGTGCTTCTAGAGTCTGAGGAGGACGTTGCAAATTGAGCAATCTCCTACCCATCATATCCCACACATGCTCAATTGGGGATAAGTCGGGAGATCTTGGTGGCCATGGTAACAATGTGACATCATTATGTTGAAAAAAGTATATTGTGACTCTTGCAACATGTGGTCGGGCATTATCTTGTTGGAAAGTTGGATCTGCCAGGGTGTCAAGATAGGGTAAAAGATGGGGTTCTAGAACTTCGTGGATATAACGCTGCGCGTTCATGTTACCTCTGATGAAGATTAAAGGTGACCTGGAACCATAAGCTATAGCACCCCAAACCATAACTCCAACAGTGTGATGAACATGTCTTTCAACAAAAAACTGTGGATTCCTCCTCCTCCTCCTCCTCACCACGTCGCCTTCTAACCCTGGCACGACCATCGTGCATGCCTAAACAAAATCGAGACTCGTCACTAAAGACAATACTGTTCCATTCCTGATCCCAGAGTGACCGTTGTCTGCACCACTCAAGGCGATTACGTCGGTGTTCTCGAGTTAAAGGGAGGACCCAGTGTGGCCGGTATGAAAACAAGCCAAAACTTCTCATTCGTCGGTAAACACTTCGCATGCCAATAGGTCTTCCGTGTTCTGCAAACCATTCATTTGCAATGGACCTGGTAGTGGAGAAACGGTCCCTTAAGACCAATAATCTTAGGCGGCGATCTTCACGGTCTGTTGTTCTACGGCGGCGTCCAGTGCCCCTTGCTCTTTGCGTACGGCCTTCTCGAAGCCATGCCTGACAACACCTAACCACAGTGTCTACACTTCTTTGCACTCTAACTGCAATTGCTCGAAAAGAAAGTCCAGCTTCCCGAAGTCCCACTATACGGCCCCTATCAAACTCACTAAGTTGACGAAATCGTACAGGTCTCCGTACTCTAGGCATCGTGACCGATCGTAAAGGATGTCAAGAACCAAAATCCGCCAACGTTGATTCTTTACTGCGGCTGAAATATTCATTTTTAAAGCGTTAGTGAATTAAAAAAAAGCAGGATAAAAACCGGAATGTCCAACTGATAAGGCTGAAAATTTTTTCACTTGTTATTTACAGTAAGATAAATACATTCACCAACGTTTATTAAAATAAAACCATTTAAACTGGGTGTTTGGATTTATATGTCACTTAGTATATTAATCTTCGTGGAGGATACTTCGAAAAACAATAAAGTCATTTAAAACTACCTACCGTGTTGTTTTATTTCCATATGCAAAACTTATAAGACATCCCTCGTAGTTGTCAAATAGCTGATGTCACCAACATAAAAAAGACCGATAGTTACTTTCGAATCTGTATGCCTCATACGCGTGCTAAGGACACATATTACTACCAGAAGTGACATACTCTCATAAATCAGGTGTTGTGTTTGGCAGGTTTCTGTCACTGTCACTGTAACATACTTGAACAATATTTTTTTTTTAAATCTGACGCATTGGCTGTCAGTTCTCCAATAACTGAAATTAATCATGTTGGGATTTAGAATTATATCCCTCATACAGTGAAATTGTCTAAACCAGGGTCTAAGGCTAAGGGCTGGTTCAACATATCTATGACTCTGCGCGTTGGCAGAAGATCGAGGCACACATAACCTGCTTACAAAGATCTATTGTAGGTAACAGACATGCCGACGTCGTGTCCGAAAAGAAAGATAATGAACCCTCTCGCATTGACAAATGCTAGCACGATGCACAGGGTAATATCGCAGCGCAATGGCAGTCGGTCTTTCTGGGCGCTGGCCAAGCGGGTTGAATGGTACTTCTCAAGCACTAGCCCACTGCTTATGTGTTAGTATGGAACGACTGTAACAGAGCAAAGGCTAAGGCAAAATGCTTGCTAAGATTTTTTCTGCCAACTCTACCATGAACAACCTCCCACAACGCCAGAGTGCCGACGATTCAAAGGGTTCGCTATACTATGCGGGAGGTAACATTCAGACGTAAGTCCGTCAATCGGGTGATTTTGTCTCGCAGCATCACCAAAACTTCTTGTCCGGACTTGATTCCTGCTGTTGCACTCAAAAGATGTGCAGCGGAGCTTGTTCCATTTCTTTCGCGTCTCTTCCAGCTATCTTCGAAATTAGATACTTTCCCCGAAAAGTGGAACTTTGCTCAAGCCTAACCTGTCCTAAAAAGGGATCTAAAACCAACCCTTACAGTTACAGGTCTATAGCTCTACTTTGTGTTACAAGTAATGTGATGGGGAGGTGCATAAATCGGAAGCTTGAACATCAGGGCTTGATTAGCGACAGGCAATATGGTTTCCTGTACCAGCGATCAACAGGGGACCTCCTAGTTTACGTCACTCAACTGTACAGTAAACGCGTCCAGTCATATGGTAAGGCTCACGTCGTTACTCTTGAGATCACGGAAACCTTCGATCAGCTGTGGCGTGCTGTCCTTTTATACAAACTTCCATCATATGGTGTCCCAGAGAAGCTTTACGGATGGGGCTGACTTCCTCTCCATTTATTTCGGCTGATCGTAGTGCAGATCATCGAGTACTTGACCTGACATGAACACATCTCGTGAATTGCTGCAGCTGCTGAGAAGAAGATATGCTATTTGCTTAGGGCTAAGAATTACTTTTCTAGACATAACATCCTTACTCTGTACACTACTCAGTTAAGACATTAAAGTACTGTTCACATGTTTGATGTGCTGCCACCCATTTGAAAAACATGTCTGCATGCGCCTACGGTAATTGGTAGGATAGCTGTCAAAGAATGGGTGACTCCAAGATCAAAGCGACCGACAGTAGCTGTGGTATCTGTATGTAATCTGTGCCAAGGAAGTGACAGAGTGTCACAGAACCTTGACGCCGCTTCTCTATTTTCTAATAAGAATCTCACCTCGTGGAATGCGTCGATCTTATGATTCCTACCAGCCAAGGGCTGACTGTTCGGATAGTTGATATTGTAGGTGCTGGCGTAGCTCTCGTGACAAGTTTCGATGACCCAGGCACGGTCGTTCCTCTGGGGCATTGTGAACCTTCGAATATCGTATGCGAACAGAGGTAGCTCAGGTCTGTTCAACGTCACCCAAGCTGCAGTCTGTTCACCAACACCTCCACTCATCATCACACCAAGGGAATTGAAGCCGCTGCAGTGGAACAATCCTGAAGAATAAAAGTTTCAATTTTTAAATGTCAAGAGGGAAGCCACGAGTATCACATACGCAATAATAGTTGACGTTCGCTTTTTTGATATTTACACCCTATTTCACGAGTATCTATCACGGCAGAATGACAGCTGGTTAATGCCAGGTAGACAGAGCCATATTTTGTTTTGTGTTTTTGTAGGCTACAGATTCATTTTGTACTTGCTAAAAGCTCTTTTATTTAGAAAAGTTCATTGGCATACAAAAAACAAAACGCTACAAACAAATTTTTGCTAGATGTACACCCGATTCATTATAGCCAACGGTTGCAGACAAACACAAAAATGTCACTTGCTGATCAGCTGTTGACATCGGTAGACTTCAAAGCGTGATGGATACTCGTGAAATAGGGTATAAGTAGGTAATTTATGTTATATGAGGTTAAGATTAACGTTTACGTATGAGATATTTGTGACTACCAACACTCTCTAAAATGGTTGAGAAGCAAACACCAACAATAGTACAATGGTTTCGAGTTCAAGAAGACAGTTCCGTGGAAATCTTTGGGGGAGCTTTGAAAAATTCATATCCATAGATTCCTCTTATCTCTTAAGCTTAATCTTATCGTTTAATTATGAAAAAATCTTTGTGGTAAATTAGACTAGAAGAAATTTTGTTCAATTTACCTGAATAGGATTTTTGGGTTGACAAATATAATTTAACCCTGAACAATACCTTCGCGGGTCATATGGCAGTTATGAACTTTTGCACATTTGACTGATGATTTGTTCTATACTGGAAAGGATAACTATAGCTCCAAGAACTATTTTCGTTTTTTCTCTAGTTGCTTTAAATGAAACTTTATATAACTTACAGGGGTGAATTTTGTTGGGAAATCAATCAGAATAAACTCCATATTTTTTTAATCGTCCATCATAAGTTAAATCGAGCTACAATTGAATCGAAGGAAAGAAAGTCGTGCTATAGTTATGCTCTCTAATTTATTGAACAAATGAAGTTAATATGCTATTTGTGGTCTGTTCATTTTGAGTAATATGTAATACGTATACGTACCGTTATCTATCACATCCGGTCATTTGACCAGCTATGGATAAATAGGTATATACGTATTAAGTGTTGGTATGTTTAGTGCAAACGTAAGGGAATCCCAAATACTACTCTAAAACGAATGAATAAAAAGTTGTTCCAATGATTTAGCAGTTGGAGCGAATTATGAAAGTTAAAAAATCACCGGTTCCTTATATTCCACCGAGTTTCTTCAAAATTTTTGCTTTGTATTTTTATCGCTATCGCTGCCATATTGGAACATGTAGGAAAAATGGCGTATATATTTATGCTAGATAGCTAGATGCCCATTTGTCAACATTTTATAAGAAGGTATATTCGTCGTAAAAAACTGAAAATAACGCCATTGTAAGAAATCTAGTCGCTTTTATTATAATAAATACTTATAGGAATGTGGTAATTTTTGAGGGTTATCAAAACCTCGCCGCGCTAGTACACCGAAACTATTCATGCCCCCAAAAATGCTAAATACATAAACTGTATGTATTTCATTAGTTTAATTTGTCATTATTTGATGGTTACCGTAGAAAATATAAAAAATATCAAATTTTTAAAACCTCCTCAAAAGTTTTCAGGTAAAACTGGCAAGTAAATAAGTATTATGTGGTCTTATAGCAATCCTTCTCTTACCTACGCATTTTGGATCTTCACCCATTATAGGTTTGTGATCCGGTGTAAACAGTTCTGGTCCACAAGTACTCGATTTGATCCCCGCTTTCTCCAAAGATGGACACAATTTTAACGCATTCTTCCAATGTTCATCAACGGTACTTTTGTCCACATCGTACAAACTAAACTGGTGGTCCTTCCCAAGCTTAAATAAAATACACATTTCCTTCTTTTACACAAACATTGGATTACAAAAAATTAAAAATACGCTATTCCATTGCTTTTAAAAATATCAATTTAATGCAGAAGTAGCTTATGTTGAAATTGCAATTTCATAGTGATGCTTTAAATCCAACGCCATCTGGCGAAGAAGCATTGAAAGGGTGAAAAGTTTTGACAATGACATGTGCATGTTATATAGATATGACATATAGATCGCGAAAAACCATGTCACTCATTTCCTCTCTGTCTCTCCGATAATCCTTGATCCTATTGTAACCTTGAAAGTACAGGGATTTGTATGAAATTTTGATACAAGGTTACCAGTCAAAAAATCTTCATAGTTTTTGAAAATCGATCCGGTGGAGCTATGGGCGAAAAAATGAAAAAAGAAGAATCGCTCAAGCTTCGTTCTTTCACGTTTCAGGCACTCCTGCCCATTTTTGCAGTTGTTGAAAATTGAGGTTTGGGATTGTAGGGGATGCATCAGGAGTAACATTCACGATCAGTTGCTAACATGGGCGGATCTTGGGGAGTATCTTGAGAGTCCCGATCTTCCTTCACGGAACATCCAAGTTTAGAAAAACATCGCTGCCCTTCTCTTCAATTTTTAATCCCTAACACTCTTCCCCTCCTGAGACGACAGGGCTCTTCCTAAATATCAATCCTGAGAACCCCCAGCACTTTTTTAGCGGGTAATTTTAAATTCATCATATGGAACCCCAAAAACATTTTCTAGCCAAGAACTGCTGACAGACATTAACAAAAAAAAACATGAAATGCCGATTGCTGTAATAACTAAAGTAGTGGGTTAATGTTTGTTCCAAAATTCAAAATATGTACCAAGAGCATTACATGTAATTCTACTCAATCACTTCGATAATTCACCCATAGAGCTTTTTTGTCCACGTCCAACCTCGACAGAAAAACCTTGCCAAATTGTAACGTAGAACGAGCGTATGTCGCTTATTAAGGTCTGCTCAAGATCATTCGTAATTATACGATATTTCTGCATTGAAATTATCTGGTAGAACATGGACACATTCATCACTAATACAAAAACATCACCACCACAGCTGTCTGGACGACACTAATTCTTCGTAGATTGAGCGATATCGCAATCTACCGTCTGAGGTAAAAAAATGGTTTGAAGTCTCTGCACTTTCCACTCAACCCCGTCATCAGTTTGTAACAGTTTCACCGCCCGATTGTATTTATTAAATCACTTCTCGATTTTCATTTCAGAATCGCAACTCATTAATCCCATCTCTAGCTTATCCCATCTCTAGCTTTTTTACTTGGAAACATTAACGCTTGGAGCGCGCTTGATGCGGAGTTCCTGATCTGTGATCTTCCTCGCGCTTCCTTTTTCACCTCAGCTGCCGATCTAACAACAGCTGAGAATTTTGTTCTCTGTAGCATGAGATCATATAGCACCATGTGCTAGCATTTTGTAAAATGTGTGTCCAAATAGGATAAAATGATTGGGGCCACCCCCTTTCCCCTTTGTCTTTGACTTTGCCTTTCCCTTTGTCTTTGACTTTCCCTTTGTCATTGACTTTGCATTTGCCTTTGTCTTTGACTAGGCCTTCCTTTGTCTTTGACTAGGCCTTCCTTTGTCTTTGACTTTGCCTTCCTTTGTCTTTGACTTTGGCTTACCTATTGCTTGGCCTATCACTTTGCCATGCATGTGCCTTGGCAGCGCCATCACTTACAGCTTCATCCTTGATGAAGATCACGTTTAAGTTAAACTTCACTGCATCCTTCGCCTACATCTATTTTTGAAGCCACTAAATATGAGGTCACCCCTCATAACTGGGACCTCCACTTGAAGCACCTGGCCATCCTCGCTTCAGTCCAGTCAAAATGGACCAGCTTAGCGAAAGATAAGTGGATGATTTTGTAACAGCGCCAAAGATTTAAATCTTTCATTTTGTTCTTTAAAATTTCAATTACAAATGTAATGAAAATGCTTTTTTTCTAGTTAAATAAAATCTGTTAAATTTTTGTGTTCTGTTTGTTCTTCAATGCCATGCCATGCCATGGTCGACACACAGCTACACGCCTGTAGATGTCTTCATGCCACCGACTGAGCTACCGGAAGCTAATGGTAACCCCCTTTCTATGATTGTGCAGAAAAGTTGGAATCTTCATTGCATTCCATCTTTTCTGGACTTTTGCGGAAAGGAAGGTTTACAAGTTCATAAAGGATGATGTTCAGCACACGTTAGACCCTCTGAGAAAAAGGTAGTTACGAACATGTATAACAGAAGAATTAAATCAACAGGGCCACACATAATTGTGTGTCCATAGACATTCTTTTCCTGCCCTACCGATTGCCCATCTGGCAACATCGCCTTTCCCCGAAACACCCCCAATTTGTTTACCCCTAAAAAATTTTTCAAAAATGATCCTGTGCATCTAAACTTGAGCGATTTTTATTTTTTTGTTCTCTCCACCGCCACTAGACCGATTTTCAAAAACTTTACAGCTTTTTCGTTCTTGGAATATTAGTAACATTGTGTGGAAAATCCAACAAAAAATGATCGATGTTTTCCAAGTTCCAGATGTACCAAGGAATAACTGACTGACAGACAGACAGACCGTGAGTGTGCGAAGTGAAACGTTAAAATAATGAGCTCTGCAATAAAATGATGAAATACACTCAATCGATGTATTTGTATAAAGTCATTTTTCACGGTTAGCTCTTTCATGCTCACCTCTTTGACAATATCTGGGTTAGGTTCATAGCCACCCAAAACAACATGACCATTTTGGGGCCTGAAGTACAGTTTACCATCATGATCTCTGATACATGGCGTATCCTTCGCTTCTGGTACATTCCCCGTAGTGAGGAAAGTGTGCTTGATTGTGGTCATTGGGATATCCAAACCGATCCTTTGGACCAAAATCCTGGACCAAACGCCTGCAGCTAATACCAAGTTGCTGGTCTTGATGCTGCCTTTGTCAGTTTCGACTCCAATTATCTTTCTTTCGTTGTTAGGGGTTGGCTCTGTCAGGATCTTGACTATGGGCGTGTTCTCAAACAACTGAAAGTCACAAAGAAAATATATATTGTCAGAATAGAGAAGTATGGAAGTTATGTTTCAATCGCTCTCCTCAGCTATTTTTTCAAATAGACGTTCTTGATATAACTTCGACAACTTAATGCCCAATTGATTAAGTTTAAGGTAAGTCGCAATTGCCTACAGTATAAGAACACCCAGACTCATCTCACCTTACATGTTTACACACAATATAATTGCCTCTCCCCACTTACCCTTCCTTCTTTTCTTTCCTCCTCTTCCTTTTCCTTACACTTTATCTGGCTTCTGGACAATCAGATACAACAGGTACTGACTTTACAGTGACTGTGATAATTAATTAACGTCTGTTAATAAATGGGGCTTAAAATGATCATCACTAAGACAAAATTATGATATTCAGTGAGAGCTTCTCATTCTACATGTCTTGGATATATTTTGAAAACAACTTCAGGGATAGGAAAATGTATAAAATATTTGGGATGTTACATCAGAGACCAACTAGACCTAAATAAAGGAATTAAGTGTAGAATTGAATCAGCACGCTTATCCTCTCTGGAAATGAAATACTTCTACAACGACAACGTCAACTTGGAATTGCGTCAAAGAATCATTATATATCATGGTTTGTCGATGAGGTAATAATGGAGCTGGAACCTGCATACTCATTTCTGACACGATCAATCGTCTAGAGGAGTTCAAGATATGCTTGCATAGAAGAATTCTACGAATACCCTGAATAGACCAACAAAGCAATATCAAACAGAGAACATGTGGTTCATGAACTGCTTAAAGCTATTGAAGTACAGAAAATATCATACCTAGGGCTGTACTTAAAGCAAATCGTCCTTCAGCTCATAATAAAGGGCAAAATTGTTGTTGAATTGGAAGGAAGCAAATGTCTTGGCTGAGGAATATTCGAGACCGGACAAGGACTCGGAGTGCCAAACCTAATATGGCATCGAAAAAAGAAGATGGTCCAAAAGCTAAGGTGCTCCAGATTGCGTTGAGAAGAAACTACAAGTTGTAGAAGAATAGCGCTAAAAGACCAGGCATAAAACATATAGTCTAATCATATTAGCAAATTTCCCCGAAATAATTGTAAAGTCTGGTTATTCAAGGGGGTAGTCAAAACATGGCCGCATAAAATGGGTACGCCAATTTTTGTGAGAAAACTTTTTATTCGACAACAACGAATGAGAAAACGTGTTTTTGGGGATTCAATCGAAAGTGTTGACACGAACGAAAAAACTTTTCATATAAGATTTTTAGGTAATTATGCGACTTACAAAATAAGACTACACGTATAAGGATCCGACTAACAGAAAAAATGTTAAGGTCGAAAAACGAGGCAAAATGCCGGTTTTGGTAATTGTTGGTAACACGAAGATAATTTCACGAAACTACTTGAAATTTTTCAAATCCGTAGGATTCGGGCTTCTAATTGGATTACATTGGTCAAGTAGTTTTTTGAGAATCTCCAATTGTTTATCCCAAAACACTTGTTTTCCGGCCATAACTACTAGTTTATTGAGCTATATACAGGGTTCGTTCAAAAATCATTTAATGACAAAATACGTATACACGTATTTACCTTGCCGATATGTATCAGAAACTATTCCGAAATATAAATGTTATTTAATGCGAAAAACAAAGGTTACGTTTTTTTTCTTCTAAACAAACTCAACAAAGGCGCTACGATATTCGAAAAACATACATTACTGCACACATTTTAAAACAAAGCGGATGCGTCTATCATCATTTGCTGCGAATTACTCACAAATACATAGTGTTTGAATTTGTTTAGAAGAAAAAACGTAACCCATCATTTTGACATAAAAATAACATTTATCTTCCGAAATGGTTTAAGATTTATATCGGCAAAGTAAGCTAGAATATTTTGCTATAAAATGCCCTTTGAACTCACCCTTGCTCAATGAATTAAACTAGTAGTAATCGCCGGAAGACAGGTGTTTTGGGATAAGCAATTAGATATTCTGAAAAAGTACTTGAGCAATCTACTCCAATTTTGTTGTGGTTATTTAGAAGTACGAATCCTACGAATTTCAAATATCTGCGAGAAACCATCGTCGCATTACCAACAAGTGCCAAAACCTGCAGTTTGCCTCGGTTTTCGGCCATAACTTTTTTGCTATTAATCGGACCTTTTTACGAGTGGTCTCATTTTGTAGGTCTCATAAAAAATCTTATATGAAGAGTTGTGTCTTTCCTGCCAACACTTTCAATTGAATCGCAAAAAACACGTTTTCTCATTCTTTGTTGTCGAATAAAAAGTTTTTTCACAAAAATTGGTGTACAAATTTTATGCGTCCATGTTTCGAATACTCCCTTGAACAACTAGCAGCAATAAAACCGGACTTTAAAATTATTTCGCAAACCTGGGGTATTTCGTCTATCTAGTATGATTAGACTAATATTGGAAATGGATCCAGTCGATTCATCTAAAATATCAGTGTGATAAATTTCTTGCCTTCCCGAACAAAAGTTTCCATCGGACGCCAGCAATCCTGATCAGTTTCTGAAAAATGCGCGAACGTTTGCGTGATTTACAAAAATGGTGAATGTGTATTTTGTAATTCTCAGACCAAGAACTCGAAGAATCAGTATACTAAAATAAATATTTCGTTAAAATGCTTTGTAGGAAGGTGTTTAACGGTGTCATGATGATGATGATATTTCCAAGGTCAGCTTCAGGGCAAGTTAATTTTCATATGTTGGCACGAGTTGCTCAAGAGTTTAGGAAGCTCAATATGACAGGTAGCTTTTTATCGGTAAAGTTGATCCCCACCATTCAAGATGCTGGAAATAGACCTCCACAGAAACACCAACATAATAGTGTATACTAAATAATCTAATTTCTGAAACTCATCCTATGGTTGTTTCTCCGATCCATCTCCCTTACACTGGTTAATAATTGAAACCACAGATGTTGAATAAACTAGTTTAATGGCGTTTCGACTGCCTCAGCAGCCTTTTTCATTGTACAAATCAAATTCATGACATGAGTTTATAAAATTGATAAACAGTTTGTAAATGAAGTTTACTAATTTATGTCTTTTAGGTGACAGAGTCCCTTTGTTTTAACTGCCAACGTACAATACAATCAATTAATGCAAAAGGCTGTTTATAGTTCTTATATCAACAACATCGTGTCCTTGAAGTATCAAAGCACTATTAATTGCGTTTTGGATTCATGAATAAATATGCTGTCGTAGCTCAAACGTCAGTAATCAACTCTTGTCAGATCTATTTCAGCTTAAGCATATGGAAATCAACTTGCCCTGAAACTGACTTTATAAGGAACATGGCCATGACCCATATGTCACCTCCCAACACCTTCTTTCCCTGTTTTTATGAAATATTTCTTTTAGTATACTGATTCTACGAGTTTTTGGTGTAAGACTTACAATCCGGAGATTCACCATTTTTGCAAAGCAGGCCTATTTCTCAGAAAGAAATTATATGAATCCTTTGGTCCGATAGACAATCTTGTTCAGGAAGGCAAGAAATATCTCATACTGAACTTTTAGACAAACCAACTGGGACCCATTTTCCATACGTTTTGTGCTAACCTGAAGGATGATATGAATCAATCCTATGCACATTTCTAGTTACCTGTCCTCCCAGTTTAATAGCTCCCTTCGCAAGGGCGTTACAGTACATCGATGGATCAGCATGTCCATCTCCTGGGGACCACAAAGCTCCATGGAACGATTTTGGGTCAAGTGTGGGACACAGCTTTTGAGCCTCGCTGGGTGATATCAAATGGCTTTCAATGTTGAAATAGTGGCCTAGCGTGTGGCTCCTCTTGTAGTCTTCCAAACGTTCCTATAAAAAAATAAACCCTCAGTAATTGACAGTAATTGGGTTAGTTTACCTTTTTTGCCCTTTATCACATTACTTTCTACGCCTCTGGCGATGAAGTTTTGTCAACGCGACAAATTTCGAAAATGAAATATGCTTTTGCGATGTTGTATTGTCATACTACTTCACGAACAATCAAGCCACTCATATCGGTCGGCCTGTCTATCGGTCTCTCGATATGTCTGCTAACAGATTGTCCCGTCTATAGCTTGGACAGTACCGCTCGGAGTTTGATGAAATTTCCACACAAGGTTACTAAGTATTATGCCAAAAACGGAAAAGCTTTATATCAATCCACTCGCGGCGGAGCTAAAAGCAAAATCGCTCAAACTTCGCTTTTTGACATTTCAGAGACTACAAACTTCCAAAAAAATATTGAAGGGTGTAATAGTTTTGGGCTAGATAAGATAAGGATCCTATCCTATACATGGGGATCCCAATAAACTAGAAAAAAGTTGCATTCTTTGGGGCGTATTGACATGCCGTTGAGACACTTGTAAATATTTCATGGCTTACTGAGATATTTGGGAAAAACTAAAATTTGGCCAAATCTTTTTAATTTTTTTTTTTTGAGAAATCTAAAACCGATGAAACTTATCAATCGTCACTACATGACGGTGTTTTTAAATTGTGTACCCGACGGTTCGTTTTTGAGAAACCATCATCAACTTTACTTATAAACTTCGGGCAGTCAATTTTATAACAAATTTAGTGCCTAAAAAGTGCCAATGAAATAGTTCCATTAGTTTTTTGATGATATTTCTTAAAATTGAATCAGCAAAAAATATACAAATGATTTGGCCAAATTTTAGTTTTTCCCAAATACCTCAGTAAGCCATGCAATTTTTTCTCGAATGCATGTAAATAAGCCCCAAAGAACGTAGTTTTTTCACTACTTTAACCTAAGCTCGTATTGAGATCCCCATTAGGGGAAGGGGGGGCATAATGGTGACGCGGGGCACGACGGGGCCATCAACATATCTATATCTAGATAACTACGCACACGTGTGTTGTCACCGCCAACAACCGACCATGTTGCATCACTTTTCAGTCTGACAGTATCCGGTGGCTAGGCTGCGCGCGCTTTTGTTTTAGAACCTATAATTGAAGCGTGGTATTCCCAAAGGGTCTAAGTGCCAATATTTCTGAATTTCATATTTTTCCTCCAAAAGGATCTACATGCTTTAATGCATGCATTAGAAAAGAGTCCAAGTACATATCCGACGAAAATGTATTTAATCTCCCCATTTGATAGATGGCGTTCTCGTACTCGGTCGTGACTTGTTCATTGAGAAGGGTCTAAGCGCCGAATACAGGCGTAATATTATTACGTGCATTTAATAATAAACAATGAGTGAAAATCAAGTAAACAACCCAAAGCGACGTGCCACAGGGTCTGAAAATAAAAAGAATGAAATGAAACGACTGAAATATAGTGGCCTGGCATATCACAATCGAAGTAACAAGGATATTGCTGCTAAGAAGGCGCGTAATAATATTACGCCTGTACTCGGCGCTTAGACCCTTCTCAATGAACAAGTCACGACCGAGTACGAGAACGCCATCTATCAAATGGGGAGATTAAATACATTTTCGTCGGATATGTACTTGGACTCTTTTCTAATGCATGCATTAAAGCATGTAGATCCTTTTGGAGGAAAAATATGAAATTCAGAAATATTGGCACTTAGACCCTTTGGGAATACCACGCTTCAATTGTTTTCGGCGTAATTTAATCTAATTTTAAGTGGTTACAAAAACGCATATAAAAAGGTAAGTGTTCAGAGTAATACCATCGATTTTGTGTTGTGTTTTTAAGAGACATCAATTATTGATATGTTTTGGAAGACATCTCTGTAACTACCAATTTTTTTGTTTGTTCGAAATTAAAAAGAATGTTTCACATGGGGGCATAACGGGGCCGTGGTGATGAGGTACAATGGGGTACCTTATTGTGCCTCGTCACTGTTGTCCCCATTATGCCCCTGTTATGTAAGCTGTTTGAATAATCTGTTTATTTGTGAATAGGATTCATTTTGTTGCAGATAAAAAATGGTACGTACGTACAAAAAGAAAAGTTCCAGAGGCAGTTGGTCTAAAGAAAGCATGAAACAAGCAATTGATGCAGTTTTGAGCAAAACAATAGGCTACAGAAAAGCATCTCAACTCTACGGTGTTCCACAAACTACATTGGAGCGTTATGTCGTCAAAACACGAAAGGGCGAGGTGTCCCTCAACTCCACTCCAGGTATCTTTAAACCCGTATTTTCCAAAAAAAAGAAGAAGATGAGCTCGTGAGGTATATTAAAGAAATGGAGAAACGTCTGTTCGGATTAACCACTGTCGTCCTACGAAAGCTGGCTTATCAGTTGGCGGAGAAAAATTCTAAAGCTCATAATTTTAACCATGATAAAATGATGGCTGGCGTAGATTCGTTGAAAGGATTCATGAAATGTCATCCAGATTTATCCATCCGCAAACCAGAAGCCACATCAGCAGCTCGGGCAATGGGGTTCAACAAAGTGGCAGTGGATAAATTTTATTCTTTGCTCGGGGAAACATATGATAAATATAATCTAAGGCCAGATAGGATATATAATTGCGATGAGACTGGCATATCATGTGTCTCCAAAACAAAGAGCAAAATAATTGCAGAAAAGGGAAGGAAACAGGTAGGCTCACTTTCTTCAGCAGAACGAGCGCAGACGGTCACGGTTGAAGTACGTTTTAATGCAGCTGGAACTTACATGCCTCCCATGCTGATATTTCCTCGACAGAGAATGAAGCAGGAGTTATTGGATCACCCTCCTCCAGGAACGACGGCAGAATGCAATGCTCGAGGCTGGGTGACTACAGAGACATTTATGACATGGTTCCAACGGTTCATCAAGTTTTCTGGTGCGTCAATAACTAACCCGGTCTTGATGCTTCTAGATGGTCATGTAACGCACACACAAAACGTAGAGGTTATTGAAAGTGCACGTAAGAATGGAGTTGTAATGCTTTGCTTTCCCCCTCACTGCACCGACAGGCTCCAACCTTTGGATGTTGGCTTTATGAAACCTCTGAGTGTATATTATGTCCAAGCTTGTTCTAACTGGTTAAGGTCGCATCCGGGGCGAATAATAACAACTTTTCAAATAAGCGAAATCCTTGCACATGCATATATGCACAAAGTCGTATCTGAGCATGACCACTCAGCAGGCGCTCGCTTGTGAACTTGCTGACTGGTGTGGTTCAGTAACGTTGCTAAATGGTGGGAACTTTTTGTAGGACAGAGAAGAAATTATTTGCGTTATCAAATGGGTGGGGACTGTATGGCCCTGTTTGCCTGACTTGGTCCGTTCAATTTTTTTTTATACATATGATGATAGCTAACTTTTTCCTCAGAGGGACTAACTTGTGCCGAACATAATCATTTATAAACTGATGGTAGCGTTACGTGGGAAGTGCACAGCCAACCTAGTTGCTGTTATTTTTTAAAAAGCAAACTAGCATATCTCAAACTAGGATATCACAAACTAGGCCCTTGCTCATGCATAAAATTGTAGCACCAAAAATGATGACGTCAACAAAAAGGGGACCTTAAAAATTTTATTTGAAAAGCACAAAGGTACCTTTGCTGTCTGGGGTGGGGAAAACCGAATGTCTCTCAAATAAATCTATTAAATTGCAAATTGTGGACGGATCTATTTTTATGAGTTTTAAAGAAGAAACAGAATAGAAAATCATAATTTCTACGAAATCCATGTGTGTACACAGTAAAATATAAGATTGATCGTACTTCATAGTAGTTGTTGTATAGTTGCTGTTTTTGATTCCATTTTATCTTTATTTTAGTATAACAGCCAGTTCTATTAGATGCTTTAATCTTTAGATATGAACATACCATACTTATTATATCTAGGTGCATATTTCAAAGTATTATACAGGGTGATTCACAAGTCGTGACCAAAAATGATACATCTTACACAGGACCGCATTTGAAGGGGGGTCTTCTATGTAACATACGGGGGGGTGTTGAAGTTTAAAAATAAACAACACTTTTTTTAATATCTTCAAAAGCGTCAACTGGAACCAACCAAAATTTGGTATGTGGATTTACCTAAGTATTTACCATATTCAAAAGTCTTTACTCAGAAATAAAGTGCACCAGTGGCGGAGATACAGGGGATTAGTGACATTATTCTTCCAAATAAAAATAGCACACTACTGTATGTTTTTTCAAACGTGTTATTTTAAATTTTACCTTCAATTTGCTACAAATAATTACTCTTATGTTTTTTCCTAGAGTGCACTGTTTTCGTAAGAATAAAAATAAAAAAAATTAGATCATTCATGAAGAGCAGAGATACAATTAGGTTCAAAATAAAATAGGAGGCCTAATACTAACTTGACGTTTCTTGGGAGATTAAACGTATGTGTTATACGGTTGTTACTGTTACTACTACTATTTTTTTAAGTCAAGTCAAGAGTTTCTTTTTTCCATTTTTGACTGTTGTGAAATGGAATTTAGCAATGATAAGTACGCCGATATCATTTTTGTGTACAGGTTCTGTAATGGAAATACTTTAGCGGCTTCTCGAGAGTATCAACGTAGATTTCCTAACAGACACCAACCTACCCCAAAGGTTTTTACTAATTTGTTTTATTTTATTATATATATTATAAAAATCACAAGAGTAATTATTTGTAGCAAATTCGAAAAATTGCGCGTCTCGAAAGAAGCCAGTGGCGTACTATTTTTATTTGGAAAAATAATGCAACTAGTCCCCTGTAACTCCGCTAATGGCGCAAGTTAATCTTAAGTAAATACTTTTGAATGTGGACAATAGTTAGGTAAATTAACATACCAAATTTCAGTTCATTCCAGTTGACGGTTTTGAAGATATTAAAAATAATTGTTTTATATTTTTATACTTCAATACCCCGTATCTTTCTAATGAAGCCCTCGAGGAACGAATGTTACAAGAAGATCCCCCTTAAAATGCGGTTCTGTGTATTATGTTTCATTTTTGGTCACGATTCGTGAATCACCCTGTATCAGGGTGACTTTGAAGTTGAGTCATTAATTTTCAGATAATGATTGTAGAAGGAAGATAAACCAAAATATGTGTGTAAAAATAAAAAAAAAAATTAAAAAATGTTTACCTTATTTTATAAAGTATCCTCCCGACAAGTATTTCAGTGCGGACCTGTATTTGATCGTGAGGTCTTGGAGCACCGGCATGCCGTCCCCATGTGAGGTCTTAAGTCACCTGATTCACGAGCCCGTTGTACTACATTAACAAAGGCACGAGGGGTTGGTTGCACTCGAGTGGGACACCGATCCGCATAAACATGTGCCATTTTTTATTTCGTTTGAGCCACGCAACAGACACCACTATTCACTCACGCGTTACCGACTGACACTGACTGTATACAACTGAATGAAATAATTGTAAAAACATCGTTCCAAATTCTTTCGCTTTTTTGTTTCCGATGCGATGAACCGATAAGGCGGATTATATCCGTTGTCGCCAAACACGAGCACATAATATTATTATTGAGACAGGGCGGTACTCACACTTCCAAAGGGCTATAACTTTGTTACTTTAATTTTACCAGAAAAATGGTAAAGGAAAAAAACATTTCTTTTGATCAGATCTACTCACTGTTAAAATAAATGACTCAACTTCGAAGTCACCCTGTATATATATATATATATATATATAATGTTGTTATTTATATATTTTAAATTTAAATTTTGCTCGATATGACTGTGTATTTAGCACGAATAAATTACTATGATTACTGTACGAAGAACTCTGGGGCTATGTTGTGTTCTAGATACATATAGTACTTCATTATTTCATGTGGAACTGGAATCAATTGCACAAATATATCCAACCGATCAATACTCACTTTTGTCCTTGCAATAAAAAGACCTCCGGATTGTTTCCAACCAGGGTCAACTCCCGTCTCCTTCTCTAAATTGGCCAGAAGTTGTCTGGTTTTCTGCATCATCTCTATGTCCACATCGTTCGCCCTCAAACTCCATACTATTGATCCGCTGTGCCATGTTGTACTACTTGCGATCGTGTTCTTCTCTAAGAGTACCGCTCGTATTCCTTTCTTGCATAAGTGGTACCATGTACTGCATCCAGAGGCACCCCCACCTGAAATTTTATATTTTCTAGTAAAAGCTCTGTCTTGGACGCAACACCGTGCTGGCCAAAGTCATTTCCCCTTTTAAATCTCTATGCGTACGAGAGAGAGAGAGAGAGAGAGAAGCTTGCCGGAAAGAGTCATCACCACGTTGCCTTGCAGCAATAGGGATGGAGGCTGAGTTGCCAGGCAAAGTGGTGACGATGCTTATATGACGCATTCTTTCTAATACGCTTTTCTCGCCTCTCTCTCGTATACATGGAAATCTTAAAGGAAAAACGACTTTACCTGCATTGTATAAAAAGCCGTCTTATTGCTGTGCCACGTTAGGCCCCCTTAACGTGAGCAATTACCATGGCAAACTCGTCGCGATTGTCAGCTAATCTGAAAAGCTCTTCTGCTTTATGGATTCTTATTCAGAAGCCTGAGTTGCCATCAAACCTAAGACTTGTTATAATATCTGAATTTATGAATATTTTTCATTAAAGCATCCGTGTGCTTTTGTAATTCTCCAAGGCTTTTGACACCATCAATTATGAATTGTTGTGTTTAAACCTAAAGTACTATGGTTCCACTGACTCCTAACTGTTTTTTATACGGACCTACTTAGACGCTCTCAGAAAATCCATATTAGTGGTTCTTATTCAAAAAGCATAGATATTCTTTCAGGGGTGCCGCAAGGCTCTATACTTGGGCCCTTGTTATACATAATATTCACGGCAGATACGACATTCAAGTTTGTTTTAACATTTTTATAAAAGACAGAACTGTAGCAGAACGGACTCTCAATAACGAGCTTAAATGGATCTATAAATGGTATTTCCGAGCAACATAACTTACCGCTCAATTCTAAGGAGACAAATGTTATTTATTTTTGGCAGTTATTGGATCTATAAATGGTATTTCCGAGCAACATAACTTACCGCTCAATTCTAAGAAGACATATGTTATTTATTTTTGGCAGTAAAAATAACATCAATATTTTGAAATATGCTTTTTCATTGAAACTATTGAATGAAGCCTGATCCAAGCCTGCGGTTCTCTATCCATACTCAAACTCTAGTAAATGAAGCATTCAGTTCCCAACAAATCATTTATAGCGGTCGACGTTTTCTAAGTAGAAAACTAAGGAAAACATTAAATCCAAGCGAATAACCAAAATTTCTGTGTTATGTACCGCGGTTGTAATATGGTTTAAGATGACACATGGGATGATGATTACTCGCTTGAACGCGTTGGTTTTAACCGCGGTTTTGCGGCAAGTTGTTTATTTTAGAACAGCGCGTATATAATTTCTGATTATATATTATAATGATAGGAAAAAGTGATGAAAAAAGATATTAGCAAAACAGGATACATGTGGACATTATCCAGTGAGTTTATAAGAAAATATTTTAATATTCTTGTGGTATATGGCTACACAGGATACTTTGTTAATCATAGAAACTATATTTAAAGTATCCCAACAACAGTAATGAGTATAACTAATAAGGTGCTACAACTGAGGTCAGCCTGTATCAAGTTTCCCAAAAATGAAGCTGAAGTACAACAAAAATATCCAATACACGGCAAAATTCTAACTTGTCACATTTCAAATAATAACCAGAAATATAAAACTACTCCTGAGTTGGGTAAATACCACAATTTTGCGGTGATAACTATGACATATAACAGCTGATTCATGACGTCACGGATGTTATAACCAAACTGATAACCACACTCGCTTGAACAGATCGGTAAATACCAATCCAAACTGGTAAATACCATTTTCATTTGGTTATTTGCTTGAATTTGATTATTTTGTGAGACCTTGGTGTTTAACCATTTCAACTACTGAAACTTTATTTATGGGCCGTGTTTGACTAGTGCTGATTTAACAAAAATATCAATCATGTATAGTATAATGTTATATCTCACAAAATCAAAGGGTGGGAGTGGCTTAACGTGAATAATAGGAGACTCCTTCACATGTGTAACTTTACGCACAAATATGTTAAGAATTAAAATCCTACAGGGCTAACTAAACATTTCATTCCTCGCAGAGATGCTCATCATCTGAATGTTAGATCAAAATTGAACTACACAGCTCCTCAGCACAAGACCGCCATGTTCCAAAGATCGTTCATATGCAGGGTGATTCACAAGTCGTGACCAAAAATGGAACATCATACACAGGGCCGCATTTATATCTTATATGTAACATTTTTTTCCTTGACGGCTTCATTAAAAAGACACCGGCTGTTGAAATTTGAAAATATAAAACATTTTTTATATAATCTACAAAACCGTCAACTGGAATGAACTAAAATTTGGTATGAGGATTTACCTAAGTATTGTCCACATTCAAAGGTCTTTACTTCATATTAAAGTGCACCACTAGCTGAGATACAGGGGATTAGTAGCATTATTTTTCCAAATAAAAATAGTACGCCACTGTATTTTTTCGATTTTGTTGTTGTATTTGTTTGATATGCAGTAGGATCAATGAGAATACTTTTTAAATTCAATTCTTTGTTATTTCTTTATTATTTTTTATAGATAGCTATAGGTGGATATCAAAAGTCGTTAGGTCTCATTTTACCATGAAATTTACCGCTACATTCTGTAAGGTAGTAAATAGTTAAAAGCATAATTATTACATACATGTAGTACACACATGTTTCTTTGCGAATACCTGCATTGCTCAACACTTTTTAAAAAACTTTATTTACCATTCGTCTACTTTATCGATTCTTTAGTTTAGTTCTAGTTCAATTATGTGCTTATTTGTGCTCTGCCCTCCAGTGGTTTAGATGAATAGCTATTAGCGAGACTTCGCCACTGGTATTGTATTTTTATTATCATAATTTCTTTGTCTATAAAAATCAATAAAGGTAGTTTATTAATATTATTACAATTATTATTATAAATAAAGAATCAGGTTTTGCATAGATTCGCTAATATTTCAATGCGCCAATTAGCAGATAGGAAAAAGGGTCGTCAATTTTATCCTCACTAACGTTGTATTTTGCAAAAATTCTCAGTCATTTCGGAATGTATTTGCGTCAGATTTTAAAACGGTTTCGATATGACAATCAGTACCAAAAATGTTGTTGTTGTTTATCTGAGTATCAATTATTGCATGCGCTTGAAATAACATCATATTTACGGTCAACAATGTTTGTACACAAAAATGTCGAAATTACGGAGTCTGGTCATTTACATTTACCCATTAGCATGATGATAATTTAACCCAAAGAAATTCTGTCAACAAATAAATATACCGCTAATTAGGACTACTTGGAAATGTCCATTTGGTCAGGTATATATGTAGGGCATGAAGTAGGTCGAAAAATAAGACGAAAAGTTCGTATAAGGATCTCCTATCTATTTTGAAATCGAAAAAATATATATATTCAGATTGGATTTAGGTATTGACGCAAAATTTAGTACATGTACTACTGACATCATAGTTAATACAAAAAAGATGTTCGTGCTTGAGCATATACCAGTGGCGTGGAATTTAGGAATTTTTAACATCTACAGAAAAAAAGAAAATTATGTTCTACTCCACTGACTTTTTTGGACCATCTGTTGGATTTTTGAATAAAGTTTAATTTTGCGCAAACCGCCGCTATTGATAAATTTTCGATAGATCTTTTGAATATCTCAGATAATATCGATATGAAAGACTTAACCCGTTCACTGTGGAAATCGGCTGAAGTTAGTTAGAGTTTCCTATGTCACTATGTCACCATATTTGAAAAATGCTCATGTTTTGTTCATATTCGGTCTCATCAGTAACGTTAAAATTTATAACACATTGTATTGTGGAAATCGGATATCTTAGGACCAATGTTCATAAGAACGTTTTTTTTTTATTTCCAGATTGCTACCCAAGAAATATTACCACTTTTTTCTGAACCCTGATAACCTAGCTAGACTAGACTGTCTATTGAACAAAAGTCGCTCAATCTTCTGGTTTGGTGCCTCATAGTTCACAGCCCCTGACATCATAGGAATAGAAATAGATCCTGTATGATCCTAATGCTGGGAATAAGATGAAATATCAAACTTTCTAGGCAAGTGTGTCGCGTATCCAGGCGCTAGAGCTCAGATACTCAGCATAACACAGCTTGATATGATGCAAACTGATCGGATATTGTGATCTCCGTTAGAAGGTCTGGCAGATTTTTAATGTTAGCTTTAGGCTAGTATCCAGGGTCAGCGAAAAAGCAGAAAACAAATTCAAATTGTATAATGACCTAGGAGCTCACGCTGAATACTCAGCCTTGAGAAAACAATCTAAGCAGTTGGTAACCAAATAATACTTTCAAAGTTATGTAACAAATGTAGAAAATGAAATTCGAGTCGATTCAAATAAATGTTGGAAGTTTGTAGCTAATAGATAGCTAATTCAAATACAATCATCCCCGGAAAATAGCTACGCTACAATAACAAAAGTGCTAATGAGCCAAGCGAAATCTGTAATTTGTTTGCCGAGTACTTCAGTAGCATTTTTTCCACAAATAACGTTTCCGACAGTCCTCTGGACGAAAACATAGCCAAAGATTTAAAAACAATCCTTGCAAAACAAGTACTTAAAATTATTGGCACCTCATAATATATAAACAAATCTTATGGAGTTGACAATATACCATCATTATTCATCAAAGAATGTTAAATGAATGTATACAAACCTCTTACTTTAATTTCCAACGCCTCTATAACTTAATACATTCTCCGATGCTTGGAAGAAATCCTTCATTACATCTATTTTTAAAAATGGAGACGTACATGGCAAACAATTACAGGGCTATTAGCAAGCTATACATATTCTCGAAGATGATCGAAGGGCTATTTTATAACGAAATACTTTTTTATATAAAAAACGTAATCATTCAGCAAAAGCATGGATTTTTTCCGAAAAGGTGCCTTTTTTTTGTTTTTCTGACTTCAATTCCGAAGCTTTGGATAGAAATTTACAATTCGATGCCATTTATACCGACTTCAGCAATTCTTTTGATTGAGTTAATCATAATTTGCGCTTAGCGAACTTGCTGAGGTTGGTGTTCATAGCTTTCTTGTAAAGTGGGTTTCATCTTATTTGCGCGACAGAGAATTTTTCGTGTATATAAACGGGTATACATCCAGAGTCGTTACTCTATGATTAGGAGTTCCTCAATATAGACACCTAAGTCAAATGAGCGAAACAAATAATTGAAATTGACTATTATTGTAGAAAATAATGTTAGTATTAGTTATTACGGATCCCCTCTTCTCGCTATATTAGCAACAGGATATTACAAATATCAAGGATATCTAACATGTATTTATTGATATTTGTATACTCGTATTTCGATTGAGATAACCCCAGGTCATCACGTCTACAGTGTCAAGACAAGCAAAACTCAACTGTTGTTGTTTTTTAAGCTTTGTTACTGGGTCTAAAAATAAATTAGCTTACCAAAATTGAAGATAATAATGTGTCCATGAATGTACGAGCTATTTATTTTTTTCTTTTGATTTTATGTATTCATGTTTCAAATATCAGAAAATGATCATAGTAAGAGCATATTAACACTAATTCAATTCCTTTATAAGAAGAGATACATTCACCGTTTTTTTTTCCATTATTAAAAAGGATAGGAATGTAATAAATTCCCTTGGTCTTGTTCGATTAAAACTTCATTTAAACATAGGAGAAATGTTTGTCTACGTATCAAAGTCCCAAATTGTGGCTCGAATATTGACAGCAGGGATGGATCCAGGGGGTTGACCTGGGGAGGACGTACGTATTTCCACACACACTTTTTGAAATCTTCCCAGCAGTAGTGCTAACATCACATCACATTGTCGCTCTTCAATGATATGTTCAAAGATTTTTGAAATTGTTGATTATAATATAAATAAGTTGAAACAAAAGATTTCGCAAAACAATACGCTTTATGAGATTAAAGCATTCTAACTGAAGATAGCCAACGTAATGCTATATTCCCGTGTACAAAAAGTTATCCTTGATGAAACGAGACGAACGTGGAAATGCTAATGTCTCGTAGATGGCGCTGTCTATATGGGTATACACAATCATATAGGTGGCTACAACGCACTAACATTTTCAAAGTATATAGATATGGTAAATAGATAAATATCTGTAACAAATTCTCATAGATGAAGCTACGGTGTCACATTTTATCTAATAATTTTTGGAGGCCAGAATATAGGATTGGGTTGACTTTCTTCAGGTAGAATACATTAATCAAAGACCAGAAACTGGAATATGTCAACATGGAAGCGAGATATTTTGGAACTACGTTTCCGGTGATCAACATGAATTTGACTGTTCCAGTGTTCTCTTCGTTAGTATCACCTCATTTAGCCAAACTTTGCATTCAACACAGTGATTTCTATACAAAATTACTTGTCACTGTATTTATTACAAATATTTTCTAGATCCGTCCCTGATTGACAATAAAAATAACAATTTATCTTTCTTACGGTAGGCTTGTAAAAAACAAACTGTTAGTTTGCTATTTAGATAACCAAATTTTTCAAGGAGAATTTTGTGTATTGTTATGTATGATGAATTTGACCTTTTGCTTTCTATTCTATTTTTATGAAGTTTAATTTCTAACAAACTGGATAAACATGAAGATGCTAGGCTAATTTATATTTGAAAATATCGCAATAAATATTTGCGTACTTGTTAACTAAGACGATTAAACTTCAATCCCTATATTTCCATGAAAGTTTTTCGAATTATTTCAATGCGTTTCCCTATACAATTCATTACTGTAATTAATCCCTAACCCACAGAATGATGTATACTGGCTTCACGTACTTTATAAATGAAATCACATTTTCACATTTTTGTTATGAGTAATCTAGTATAGGTATACAAAAATACCTGTTCAAGCTCTCTTTCGTTTTGCCCAAAATCACTTACCCTCAGTCTCAAATGATTCATTGTAAGAAATAAGTAATTAGTTTTCGAAAGATATTTTTTCAGTTTGAAATGGATGGTATTCCGATTAGCCGACCATGTTTCAATACAACAAAGCAGCTTTCTACTAATTTGGATATATCGCAAATCCTTGTTGAGTAGGACACCCAAATCTTTTGCCATGTCCTCTTAAATTAAAAGAGTGTCATTAATGCATGCTGTCGTGTTTCCTTTGATATTGATTTGGTTTTTTGGTGAAGAGACCTTTACTGAGACTCAGAGACATGTGGTGTTCTAGGGTTGAGCTTGAAAAAACTGACACTGAAAAACATTACTTCAGAACAACGTATCATCGTTTTACAAATATCTGATAACAATTACGTCTCTAAAATAGAGCCCCGAGCGCCCTCTGATATCACATTCTAGAATGTTGAATCTGAGCTGTCTAAATTTAGGAACCCCTTGCATACGATTCAGAGATAACTCGCAATGAACTTGAGAAGATCCAATATATTTAAATGTTGAGATCGAAAGTGAATGATTCTTGGTGTCAACCATTGATGTCAACAGCCTTGAAGAATTCAAGGAGTACAAGTGCCGTTTCTTGACTTCAAAGCCACAACAATATCATTAGAAATAGTACTAGTTCCTTCTTAGAAGCCACACTGGTTTATGTTGTTCTTATACCAGTAGGGCAAACCAAGGCGAGATGGAGCAATGTGTGAATTGAATCAAAATAGCTGTGCAGATAAAAAAATATCCATTTGTTTGCGTTGTATTTTTTAAGCTAGAAGGTATGTGGTTGCAGAAGTGCTGTTATGTGTGTTCAAATTCCTCAGACCGTATATGAAGAAGACGAATCGTTAGTTTCTTGTAAATAATAATAATTTATTCACAACATTTTTACAATTTTAGTGAGTAAATTCGAAAAGAAAAAACCACAAAAGTATATATATATATATATAATATAAAAGTCATTAAAAACTAGGAGTACATATTTCAAATCCATTTAAAGGCAACGAGGTAAATGTAATCTCAAATTGTTTTTTATATACACATTTTTGTAGCTAAAAATTTTGATAAGCTTATGATTTCTGTATGAGTAGGAATCTTTTATAAGTAAACATGTTTTTCTGAAGCTGATTTGCTTGTACACCGAGATACAACATTCCGGGTGTTTCAAATTCGACTATCACCATTGGGATCTCGGAAACGGTAAGAGATACGAAGTCGCTGAACTGGGGGCAAAGTTACCTATTTAGGTAACTAACAATATGCCGCTTAGAAAGTTCCTAAATTCAAAGCACTCCCGGTAATAGTCGGAAAAACCAAGTTCTCCCAAATTTGTTTTAATCTTTTATTGACCTTGTTTGTAGTGGGATTCCAAAATAACTTGCACATTAACATTGCCACTTCTTCTCCTCTACAAGACGGTATAGTTAGAATTTCAATATGACGATGCGTCTCTTGCCCTCCAGTACGAACTTTATTTTTTCTTATGGACGTCATATTGGATTTTTACGCAGATGAATAGAGTTTTTCATTCTAATTTCAAAAATGCATAGTTTGTCATACATTGACAATATCAAACTTAGATATTCCAGAAAACAGAAGTTCCTGGGTAGGCATTGAAATTATCAGATTTCATTTGTTTCGTATACGAGACCAGACCTTAAATTGAACATAGCGACACAGATTGGAAGACTGAGAAGAATAGAAATGGATCGATCAGTGCACAGTTTACAGAGGCGAATCAGACTTTGCCTACAAAATCACAGACAACATTTTGAACGTATGCTATGATTTGCTTTATTTATGATTTTGTTACAACCATCAATAAGATTTTCATTTTATGTTCAGATTTTAAATACCTTTTTGTATCCTTATGATTTCCATCCGACAACAACCTCTTTGCCATCCAAGAAAATACTTCAATGAATTTAGGACAGAAAAGTCCACTTAAGTGTACAAAATTCCAATATATTGTCCATACCTATATGAAAAAACAAAGTTGGTGATGGAAGTCGAAAGTACAAATGTCGAATTCAAAATTTGACTATGTCATCTTGTGGAAAAGAATGAGTAACAATGACAGCAAATAAAATCAGGAAAAAATAAGAGTGATTTTGGGATAAATTTGGTATGCAAGACAACTGGCTATCTGATAACTTCAAGGTCTACCTAGGAAATTCTGCTTTTTTAAATAACTGAGGTTTGGTCAATGTATGACATGTTTTGCATATTTGGAATCAGAATTAAAAACTGTCTTCATCTGTGCGAAAATCTAATATGGCGTCCATAAGAAAAAAAATGAGGTTGATGCCATTTTGTTAGCAACCTAAATACGCAACTTTGCCCCCATTTAAGTGACTTCATATCTCTTACTGTGTTCGAGATCCCACTGTCCTTATTGTCGGTCCAATCCAAATAGAAGAATGTATCGTCCTCCACCATAGTAAATGTTTTGGAATCCTTACTTTTTATTGACTTTAGTATATTATGAATTGAGAGTAAGCTCGCTTCATCATATAGTACGAGAATTAAAACAAAGTCACACTTTGACCTCTATCTAACTACTTCGGACTTCAAAAGTACTTACCAACAATCACTACATCCGCTTGCTTGGGAACATTGCTATCAGAGCTCTGGCACCTACTCAGAATCTGCTTGGCCCTTGTGATCTTCCTTGCAACATGGCATTTGTTAAATCTAAACATGGCTAACTGGGATCTGCTGCTAATAAGTACTTAACGTTCGTTCTAAACGGGGATCAACGCGAACTAGTGCATTCAAATTGTGCTTAATGAACAAATGAACTTGTTATTCTAGCTAACTTTGACCTCTGCCTATCAGCTTGTGCTTCTGTATTCTCGCTCTCTGCATACATCTGATAATGCGGGTATACAGAGTAAATTCGACTTGATAGATACACGCTTGGAGATGCTTTATTTATATCGGAAATTTGTTGTTTATTCACTGATTGTTATACCGGCGTCATAATCTGGTGACAAATTTGTTTATTTGTTTTTTTTTTCTTGTGAATTATCGTGTAATGCGTAGGTAAAATGACGAAAGTGTATTAGATTTTTCTGCAATTGAGCGTCATTGATCAATCTCCAAAAATCTTTGAAATCGCAAAAAACTCACTTCCGCTTAGGTCAAAACCTTTGAAATATCTTAGAAGCGTAACATCTAAGCGTAAGTGGTGGAAGTCTCACAAATTATATCTACTTAACTATGCTTGTTTTTCTTTCTATTTGCATTTCATTGTTTTATCCATATACAGAATGATTCCCAAGTCGTGATCAAAAATCAAGCATCATACACAGCTGCGGTCCTGTGAGGGGGCCTTCTATGTAACATTTTTTTCTCGAGGCTTCATTAAAAAGATACGGGGTGTTGAGGTTTAAAAATAAAAAACATAATTTTTAATATCTTTAGAACCGTCAACTGGAATGAACTAAAATTTGGTATGTAGATCTATGGTGCACCAGTAGCAGGGATACAGGGGATAAGTGGCATTATTTTTTCAGATAAAAATAGTACGCCACTGTTTTTTCTTTCGAAACGGGCAATTTTTCGAATTTTAAAAATAAAACAAATTAGATCAGGCATGAAGAGCCGAGATACAATTAGTTTCGAAATAAAATATTGTGGCATTGAAACCAACTTGACGTTTCTTGGGAGATAGTTTGGCAAAGTTATGTGTGATACGGTTGTTATCGTTACCACTACCGTTTCTTTTTTTTTGTAAAAGTGAAGCCAAAAGTTTCTTTTTTCCATTTTTGAGTGTTGTGAAATGGAATTTAGCAATGATGAGTACGCCGATATTATTTTTGTGTACGGATTCTGTAATGGAAATGCTTTAGTAGCCTCTCGGGAGTATCAACGTGGCTTTCCTAACAGACGCCAACCTACCCCAAAGGTTTTTACGCGTTCATTTCTAAGACTTCGGCAATATGGAATTGCCACACTTCCCAGAGTTAGAGGCCATGGTGTCCGGCATACTGTTCAAGAGGACCTGGAAGTGATTAATTTGGCGTTGGATGATCCTACTACAAGTACTTGGCGGATTGCAGCCCAGTTACCATGTTCCCAAAGTCTTGCTTGTAGAATTTTGAATCGGGAAGTTTTACTTGTACATCCTTACCATCGGCAAAATGTGCAATGTCTACAGCCCGGCGGCGAAGTGCAACGCCGAAATTTTTGTGAGTGGTAACAAAAATCCATAATCAAAATGCAGATTTTATTGATTTGGTTTTGTGGTCAGATGAATCGCTTTTTAAAAGGAGTGGGGCCTTTAATTCTCATAATGAACATATTTGGTCGTTAGAAAATCCCCGTTCTGTAAGAATCGACTCGTTTCTAGAAATGCCCGGTGCGGCATGTTTATGCACATATTGCCACAGTGTTTAACTGCAAATGCACACTTAGCTTTTCTAGAGAATTACATAGAAAATGTGTTAGATGATGTTCCGTTAGCAACGAGAGTACGAATGTTTTATCAGCACGACGGTGCCCCACAGCATGTTCGTCTTGACATAACCGCATGATTAAATAAATAATCATTTTCGACAAAGATGGATTGGCAAAAATGGACCTGTACATTGGCCTGCGAGGTCTCCTGATTAGAACCCCCTGGATTTCTTTTTGTGGGGGTCTTTAAACAACTAGTGTATGCTGAACAAATTAATACTGTTTATCAATTACAAGAAGGAATAAAAAGATTCCGCACTTGTATCCGTCAGAATGGTCTTTTTGAACATTTATTGAAATAAAGCTTTGATCATCTAATTTGTTTTTTTTAATTATACGAAAACAATGCAATCTAGTAAAAAAACACAAGAGATATTATTTGTAGCAAATTGAAGGTAAAATTCTCTGCGTTAAATAATCGGGAAACTGCTATTGCTAGAAACGTCACAAAACTTATTGGACCACGCTAACTAGCCAAATGTGAACCCTATTGTAAAAGAATTTGTACAGAAGGATTTATATATATACAGGGTGACTTTGAAGTTGAGTCATTAATTTTCAGATAATGATTGTAGAAGGAAGATAAACCAAAATATGTGTGTAAAAATAAAAAAAAAATAAAAAAAAAATTTTTAATAAAGTATCCTCCCGACAAGTATTTCAGTGCGGACCTGTATTTGATCGTGCGGTCTTGGAGCAGCATGCCCTCACCTGGGAGGTCTTAAGTCACCTGATTCACGAGCCCTTTGCACTACATTAACAAAGGCACGAGGGGTTGGTTGCACTAGATTGGGAAACCGATTCGCATAAATCCGTGATGCATCCGGGAGCATTTTGTAAAGACTGCCCCCCCGTAAATAAGAATCATGTCCACAAGTTCAGCATTTTCGTAAACATGTGCCATTTTTTATTTCGTTTGAGCCACGCAAAACACTACTATTCACTTACGCGTTATCGACTGACGAAAAACATCGTGATAAACGTTTCAAATTCTTTCGCTTTTTTGTTTCCGATGCGATGAACCGGTCAAGCGGATTATATCCGTTGTCGCCAAACACGAGCATATAATAGGCAGGGCGGTACTCAAACTTCCAAAGGGCTATAACTTTGTTACTTTAATTTTACCAGAAAAATGGTAAAGGAAAAAACATTTCTTTTGATCAGATCTACTCACTGTTAAAATAAATGACTCAACTTCGAAGTCACCCTGTATATATATATATATATATATATATATATATATATATTTAAAGGGAATGTAAAGGCCCCTCACCTCCAAATAAAAAATTCTGGGTAACTTTTTCTATCAAACTTCAAAGTTATAAGTCTATAGAACAACTGGGAACGGGATGGAAATACGTTGAAAATGAGAACTAATGGATTTGTCCAGTTCGTTCGCGAAGTATTTGAAACACGCGTAACATAAATATTGCTTTTAGCAAAATTAGATTTATATCAAATACAGGTTTTATCCAGTCCTAGAAATTTCTCATCTAATAGATATTGATTTAGCTTGTGGAGAACCCTGTGCATGAATAATTTAATTTTTGAAAAATTTTCTGCCGAGCGAGGAAAAGGGGGCAGCTGCTCCCCCTTGCCCTCCCTCCCCCCTGATGGGTACGCCCTTGAACCACATCTAAGATACTTCTTTATACAACTGATACTTGACAAAAAAGTGCAAGTAAATCTGATACGTAGGTCAAACATTCGATATCAATTCGGTCCGGGACCCTCGGAGGGGTTCCAGAGAAGACTTATTTCCTACAGTAAATTCTGTCCTACAACATGTATGTTTCAATGGTCATATTCGAACTCATATTTCCAAGTCGCCCAACTATGCCATTCTTCGTTTGCTTGATGCGACAAAAAACGAAAATGAAAATTATGCGCGACAAATCCGGCACAAAACTAAGCAGACATGATGCTTTCGTCTATCCGACCAAAAAGACAGCTAACCATGGACAACTGTTTTGTGCTTCCTGGCTACACATCAGCATCGTAATTATCCTCATTGTAGGACGCCTTTATGGCCTCCTTGATAGAAAACATAACCACACAATAGAAGAGCGCTGTCACTAACACGGAACAGTAGAACTCTAGAAATATTCCAGCCTTTCTGAAGGATATAAAAGACTACGAAAATCAAGTAGGTTATAAAGGCGTCCTACAATTATTGTACGAGAGATGTCTTTTGGGTTTTGCATATGAAAATAAAACAACACGGTAGGTAGTTTTAAATGACTTTATTGTTTTTCAAAGTATTCTCCATGAAGATTAATACACATCTGCATGCGCTCGAATCAATTTTCGAAGTACTTATTCCACTCGTTTGCTGGCAGATCTAAGACGGCATTTTTGATTGCGTCAACTGCTTCTTCTGGTGACTGGAACCTTTGACCACGCAGTCTGTTTTCTGTTTTTAATTTTCGGGAAATTAAAGAAATCGTTAGGACTTAGATCGGGACTATATGGAGGATGGTCCAATAATTCCACGTTTTCTTTTGTTAAATACTGCCTTGTTTTTTGGGCTGTGTGCGAGCCTGCATTGTCTTGGTTGAGGTTGATTCTTCTTTCGGGATTGATTTTTCGAAGCTCGGTGATGACTTTTGGCAAACAAGTGGTGGTATAACAATCCGCAGTAACAGTTCTTTGCTCATTAAGAGGAATTGTTGCAATATGACCCGCTTTTGACACAAATGTCGCGACCATCTTTTTCGAAACACTTCGAGAACGAATGACTTTTGTTGGATTTCCTTCACCTTGGAACACCCAAACAGCCGACTGTCGTTTATTTTCTGGATCATAACAGAAAATCCACGATTCATCACCACTAACAATGCTGAACATATTTTTTGAGTTTCCGGAATTGAAACGGTCAAGCGTTTTTTGACATCAATTAACCCTGGCTGCTTTCTGGTCTTCAGTCAACAGGTAACTAATTTTCTTACTCCTAATACTTCATGTAAATTTTTTTGAATTGAGGTCTTTGAGATCTTTATGACGCCTCAATCTCGCGATATGTCACATGTCTATCTTCAATGATGAGTTTGCGCACAGCATCGACGTTTTCCTGGGTGACTGCCGTTTTTGGTTCACCCAACCTGGGATCGTCGCTAAGACTCACCCGTCCACGTTTGAATTCTCCATACCAACGGGAAATTGTCGACTGATGTAGTGCTTCGTTGCCGAAAACAGACAGTAACTCAGCAAGGCATTCTTGTTGCGACAATTGTCTCTGAAAGTTGTAATAAATTATGGGGCGAAATTGTTCTCGGTTGAGGTCCATTTTTCTAATGATTTGGTGACACTTGAAAATTCACTGTAGTGAGAACACTGCACGTATTGTTGTGAAACTTTGAATTTAAGTTTACTAAAGAGTGAGGTTAAGATTCAGTACTGACGTTCGATCCGCACGGCCTAATATGTTTCTATATTCAAAACTTAAAGGACATCCCTCGTAGGAACCACTGACGATACGGTCCTAAGATAGCGCAAAGTGCCATCTCTAACACCAGAATCGACCACTGCGGAAAGCGCATAACTGCTATTAGCTGTCTTATTTCGATAGACCGTACCTCCGTTATAAAGGATAGTTGCAATGCTTTCATTCGGTCGTCTAGAGTACAAAGACCAAGCCTAGACTATGCTGATGAGTAGCCAAGAAGCACGAAACTGCTGTCCATGGTTGGCTGTCTTTTTGGTCGGACGGACGAAAGCATCATGTTCAGTTTTATTCAACGGCAAGTACTAGACCACATCTACTATGCATCCAGAATCGTCAGCGATCTAGCGGCCACGTGGTGACTGGGCTATCAAACGTGACCTGAGATCCTTAACAGTTCCAACTAGTAGCAGCGTGATAGATGGCGCTTTCCGCTGTCTTAAATGCAGTATAGTTTAGCCGTATTTTGAGGGCATTTTCAAAAATCTGTAAACTAAGATGGAAGACTCGTTCCTAGGTAAGTTCCTAAGTAGTGCGTAGGTTTCCAATCCGATGTCATTTTGGTTCGGGATTCACGAGGGTGGGGTTCTAGGAAACTTATTTGCTACCACAAATTCGACCCTATGATACTTCCGAGTTTTTCTGATAGTTAGATTCGAATTCAGAGCCCCAAATTACCCTAGTATGCCAAGTTTCGAAAAAAAAATTTTAAATACCTACAGTGATTAGAATCAATATTTCAAAATTTCTTGCGTTTTTTATTATCTGTACTAAATATTCTTTTTGCTGGAAACGACAAGACATATCAGGCGGTACATTTTCTACAACTTCGTTCCGGCTGTCTGTCTGTCCGCTAATTCTATAACCGCGTATAACTTGAGAAGTATCGCTCGAATATTGAGGAAATGTTTACACAATCTTACTACTATGCCAAAGACGAAATTTTTGAAAATCTGCCTAGTGGCAACGGAGAAAAGGCCGAAAACCAAAAAATAAAAATAAAACACCTCAACCTTATTTTTTTAAATTTTAGAGGATTCTGATCATTTTTTTTTATTTAGAGGAAAAAAATTTGAGGTGGGAGAGGTAGGTGGGTGGATATGTCTTAATTTTTTTCATGCTAATATATTTATACGCTCTCAACCTTGGTAATTCTACGCACCTATTAGACATATTTCACACATCATAGATTCTAGCCCAGACGGATCGCATGCCTAACGCTTTTGCTCCCGGCAGTATGCAGATCCTGGTTTCCTATGCTATGACCGCGTTGCCACGTCTGACCGGGTTAGGTATCGTAGAGACGCAACGCTGCCACGTAGACTACCGGTAGGGCAGGGAAAGAATGTTGATGGACTAATTCTATGGCCCTGTTTGACTGACTTTTTTATCAGAGGATAAAGTTTTTGATGAACCGATGAACTTATGAACCGATAGCGGCGTTGCGTCTCATATCAATCTCCCTACAGCCTATAATTTAAAGAAGATATCTAGAGTGCATTTTTCTTCACAACAAAAATCACGTAAAGACCAGATGCCTCAGTGTTGACTACGTCTTTGATGTTTTTTTTATTGTTTGCTGTTGAATTTTGGTAACAGATTTAGGTCAAATTAAACAAACAACATTTTGTAAAAATATATATTCATCAAACAATAGATAATATAGTACAACAAATTCTAAATATATATATAAATTTCACAATATATAATTTCAACACTTGTGTACCAATAAAAATAAACAAGACATTACGTGTAAACTATAAAAAATTTCCATAAAAATGTATAACGTAAAATAGATCATTCTCATATATAATTTGCTTCGTTATCTTCTTAAAGCGTCTCCACTTTGGCCATTGCAACTGCAGTTCTGCTAGGGATATATACCTGGAATATAATGAACATGAAAAACATCAGTCCGAAAAATCTCAGAATATTTCGAAATACAGATATGACGATACCTACAATGTTGCACGCGTTTCATCTTATCATTGATTAGCGCATTCTATCTGGAGACCACATACTGTGTTTCTTTGTTTTTGTTTACCTTTGTTAAAATCTCTTAGTTTTTGTGAAGAAAGCAGTTTTTGAGGGCTGAGTAGTACAGATATTTTTAGTTATTGCCCTTTCATTTATTAGTCTTAAGCATAACAAAATGCCTGAAGTTCGAAGACGTCCAAATTACCACCATGTTAGCGACTTTGACAGGGGTAGATTTAATGTCTATCGAGATGTTGGTTTGTCCTTTCGCGATATTGGCCGCCGTGGTAATTGTACTGCAATGACGGTAATGCGTGTGTGTCGTGTGTAGATAGAAGAAGGTAGAGAAACAAGAGGAATGCCGACTGGTCCACCGAGCCGTACCACAGAGCGTCAAGATAGGCGCTTCAGACAACTAGCCCTACGAGACTGTTTTGCTACTACGCGTCAGATCGCTAACCAATGGTTTTAAGAAGGTAGACCTGTTACTATGCATACACTCTATCGCCGCATTCGAACCTTTGGACTTTTTCATACCGTCCACGGTTAGTGCTTCCTCTGACTGAGGATCACGGTTGAACTAGAGCAGAGAACGGCAACACTGGGAGACAGAATGGCATAATGTCATCTTCAGTCACAAATCGCGATTCTGTCTAGGTACGCACGATGGTCGTAGAAGGGTAAGACGCCGCCGTGGACACTGGCGTGATATTGGATTTGCTGTTGACAGAAATGTACACATGACTGTTGGAGTAATGGTTTGGGGGAGGGGCTATTGCCTATGGTAGCCGATCACCAATTCTCTTTGTTCAAGGCAATGTGACTGCTGCGCGTTATGTTGATGACGTTCTACAAAGCACTCCACTCCCGCATCTATAGGGCCATCCACACGTCCTTTTTCAGCAAGACAACGCACGTCCCCCTATTACTCGTCGTACTACGGACTTTCTTCAAGAAGCAGGTGTTAATGTTTTGCTGTGGCCACTCCGTTCACCGGATTTAAATCCCTTCGAACATGTGTGGGATATGATGGGGAGGAGACTACCCACTTTGCCCCACCCGCCGCAGACTCTGCCACAACTAATCCACGAAGATCGAGCTGCTTGCAATGAGGTGCCACAAGGCATTTTGACGTATACAAGAGTGTATTCAGCTGCGGGATCACCCAACACAATATTAATTTTTTTCTTAATAGATGTTAATAAAAGTTTTTAAGAGTGTTATTGTTTAATTTTTGATGTAAGACTACCTCATTGCCAAAAAACAAGTTGAAAAAATTATTTTTTTGTTTGTAACATTTCTAATGTCACCGAATATATATATATATATATATATATATATATATATATATTTATAGCATTGCTATATATAATATTACAGTGTTAGTGCAAAATGAATAAAAAATGACAAAATGAAACATATAGATAGAACATACAAAACAAACATTTTAGCTATTCAATGTTTTATGTATTATTGAAAATGTAATCTTTCAACGCTGTATCGAGTGACAATTGACAATTAAGGACAAGCGCATTTCTGAACGGTGCCCGCGTCTCGTTGCTCCAACTTCCACGTACTGAGTATTCCAAAAGCTATAGAAAAGTACGCCATTTTGAAAACAGTTTCAGGCTAACGTGACTTTAATTCTCTAGCTATTGTGTATAGTACTTGCCAGTAGTATATATTACACAACTCATAGGATGTAAAAATGTCATGTAAACTAGGGATAAAAGGTCCAATAATAGATCGTCTGTCGCCGCTTCACGAGCACCACCGAGACAGTAATACAATACGAGCCCCTTCCCACTTCAGTTGGTCCAACTATTGAAATCTTAGTTTTTTTTCTTATCAAACACAAATAATAAAAATGTAGCAGGGTGTTATAGGTTTAGAATATTAACAATGAATATTTGGATAATATATATAGTAGAAAACATCAACTTTATCACACACCCTAATCAAATTTGCCGCATAAAAATAACACATGTTGCAATTACAGCATATCAGCCTATTTTCATTTCAATGCAAAATAAGTCTATAACGCATAGGTGGCTGTGAAAAATAAAAGCCATGACAATTGTTTTTATTAATCACAGCGTCAGAATACGTTTAAAATAGTTTTGGGTAGTTAAGGTTTTCAAAATGGGTAGAGGAAAGGTTATTAGTGAGAAAATTCGGTTACTGATAATTAAACTTTTTAATTCTGGGAAATCAAACTCAGAAATTGCAACTTTGTTAGAGTTATCGCGGTACAGTGCGAGAAATATTGTTAGAAGATATAACGTAACTGGTTCAGTTAATATTAAGCCACGATATGTGAAAAAAAGTAATATCACAAATGCCGACCGAAGAGCATTAAGAAGAATAATCGTGAAAAGCAGGCGTGCCAATAATTTACAATTAAGTGCTCTGTGGAGTGACGCTGTTGGAAGGAGAATTTCCAGGTCCACAACTCATAGAGAGGCCCACAAACTGGGATTTAGCACTTGCAAGGTAAGTTTTCTTATAAAAAAAAGTGAAGTAAAAACCCTAAAGTTGCACAACTTGTTTATAGGCCAAAGAAAAGCGACTATTAACTCGACTGCAAAAGAAAAATCGGCTTAGATGGGCTAAAGAACATAGACAATGGACACCTCAACAATGGTGTGCAATACAATGGAGTGATGAGGCCCGATTCGAAGTTTGTGTGGGTGACAGTCGCAGTAGAGTTATTTGCAAAAAAAAAGAACCATTCCATGTTGACTGACTGAAGGGAAAAGTGAAATTTTCAGCATCCATTATGGTCTGGAGCAGTATGTCATCAAAAGGAGTAGGAAAACTTCATTTTATTGATGGAAATGTACAAACAAATATTTGGCAATTTTAGAAGAATCGATTTTACCAGTGATGGAAGAATGTTTGACATCCGGCCAAGATTTTGTGTTTCAGCAAGATGATGCAACGTGCCATACCTCAAAAATTGAAACTTTGTGGCACGAGATGAAAAAGGTTCTACATCCTGCTCGTACAATCACCGAACTGAGACAAAAGCTTCAAGAAATATGGGATTGTTTTACACCAAATTTTTGCCAAAACATGATTAACACTATGCCTCAAAGAATTTCAGCCGTAATAAAAAATAAACGTGATGTTACCCAATGGTAATCTTTCAATTGTTACTTTGTTAACTTCGCGCATTTATTCGCACATTGTTTATTTGTTCAGATGTTCTATTAGTTATAGGTCTAAGTGATTTCAAATATGTATTTTTTACGACTAGAGTGTATCTAAAATGTTTTGGAGAAAACAAATTGTTTTAGAAGTAAATAGTTTCGTCATGTTTAGTTTATAAAGGCATATTTTGGTACAAATCTTGAAGTGAGCCAACTGAAGTGGGAAGGGGCTCGTACGTTATAGCTCACTGAGCTCCGTCTGTGCAATACTACTGATAACGCAGCATATCGTTTTTTGAAGAAGCTCAAACTGGTTATTCAGTATAAATAGTGGACGTCATTTTCACGTCCAGTAAGTGACGATTATTCCCGTCTGCCATATGACGTTGCCGATTTACTACATTTTGTGCTATCTGGAAGGTTAATCAATGCCTGGAGATACCCAATTAAAATACACATTAGAATAACGCCAAAAACGTATTGGCGATTCTAAGAGAGTAGAGTAACTTTTTTATCTGCCTTTCTGCCTACTAGATGGCGCTAGTATCTTTCAGCTCTTGTGTTATGCCAAAATACATTATTTTCAGGTATAATACAAAATTTAAGTATAAGCATATATTATAAGAAACGATCTTTAAGAAATGATTTTCGAACTTAATAGCATAACAAATCACACTTTTACAATATTGAGTTTGTAAAACTTCAAAACTGTAGTAACTAATATTTACCTGTACATAATTTCTGCGTCCACAATACCCCTCAGGTGTTGTGATGTAACTCAATGAAGTATCTATTCTGTTATATCCTCCAAACTGTTGATCATCAGAACTTAATACAATTCTATAATCTCCCGCATCCTCAATTCCGATTCTGTAATCTGTGAAGCTTTTGGTAGGATGGAAATTGAAGACAAATAGTACTCCTGCCCTTTCAAATGCTACGACCTTGTCCCCTTCATGTTTCATACTGACATAACCTAAAAACCATGTGCATCAAATCAGGAAGACATCCAAAACAGTAAGAAAAGAAGCGTACATATAAGGAACGTAAAAGTTAGGTTATGGGCCCAAGACATCGGCGAAGTTGGCCGTTCTCAAGGAGGTGGGGTTGTGATGCTATTTTTATATCGACAAGAATGGTTTATTAAATGAATATTTACACTAATAGAGGAGAAATATTTCAAAATATTATTGCTAACCTGGATTGGCAGCTAGCCATCCGTATTTTGCTTCAGTCTTGTTCATGGCAGCATCCCAGTTGTTCAAGAACTTGTATTTTAGCAGATCGTCATCTACTAAGTTCCACTGTCTACGCGCATAGTGATAAGAGCTGTTATTACCAGCACGCGGGAAATCTAACCATTCGGGGTGACCAAATTCGTTACCCATGAAGTTTAGGTATGCCTCCCCTACGAAAAATATCAAGATTTATCCACAGGTTTCTAAAATTATGTCAGAATATAGCTGCAATATAGCTTACCGCCTAAGGTATGAGTGATAAATCGAATAAGTTTGTGCAGTGCAATTCCTCTATCGATAATTGGCGAGGGGTCAGACAGAGTGCTCATATGAGTATACATTTCTTTATCCATCAACCTGAAACAAAAACAATTCGTAAAAAAATAAGCTAGTTTTCCTCTCTTTTATTTTGTCACAAATTCCATTAAACCATGAAAGTCCTCAATTCTATGGTAAGTCCCCAACTTAGCAGCACTGGGATCAAAAAAGAGTAATGATAATGACAGCTCTTCGCGATTTACGCTACAGTGTTGCCTCATCGATAGTATTGTCATAGATACATTAGTGCATTTACTTTATGTAAGTTATTATTACCAGAAAGCTACAGTTTTATCTCCAACTAAAGCTTGATCGTGAGATTCTGCATATGCTACATTTTTCTCCATCCATCTTCTGTTTGTCAAAGTATGAACAATATTTCCCATTTCCCAGTTATCGTCAGGTACATGTTTCAGCAATTCAATCCATTTGTCTGGAATAGCCATAGCTAACCTAAAAGGCATAAAAATGACAAGGTCCTGCTAAAGCGAATCTTCGGATTTTCCTTTTTCTGGCGTTTATTTGCTACTCTAAGATTGATAAAATGGATACATACCTATAATCAAATCCTAAACAACCTTCAGTGACAGGTCTACAACTGCCAGGCATGCCAGAAACATCCTCAGCAATTGTTATTGCATCTTTGTAAAGAGAATGAATCATGTGATTGGCTAACATCAAATAAACCACACCTTCTGTGTCTACTCCTAGTCCAAAATAATCATCATAATGTCCACTAAAACCTACAGTAAAAAGCTTGAGTTAACTAAAGTCACCAAAGCTCCTGAAAACAATTACCCTGTCCAATTCCTCTAGAGTGATACAGCATGGACGTAACACCATCAAATCTAAAACCATCAAACTGATACTCTTCTAAATACCACCGACAATTCGAGAGCAAAAATCGAAGAACCTCAAATTCTGAGTAGTTGAAAAGTCTCGAGTCCCACAAGGCATGTTCTCCTCTAGGCCCAGAATGAAAGAAACCTTGAAAGGATACAATATTGAGCATCATATCTCCAAAAGCTTTTTGTAAAATCACATACATGCGTCAGTTCCATCAAAACGGTTCAGACCATCCATAACGTTTTTACTAGCATGAGAATGCACCATATCTAATAATACTACCAAACCAAGCTCGTGAGCTTTGTCTATCAGCCTTTTCAACTGTTCTGGGGTACCATATCTACTAGAAGCTGCATAAAAGCTAGTCACCTAAAAACAAAAAATCAAAGCCTCTTAATGCTAATATAGAGTTTTTGGCATCTAGCCTAAGGTTTGATCACCTTCCGACTACTGCATCCTATACGTTTTTACCTGGTATCCAAAGCTAGCATAGTATGCATGTTCCATGATAGCCATGAGTTGTATGCAATTATAACCCTGTTTCACGATTCGGGGCAATATTTTTTCAGTGAATTCATCATATGTGCCGACTCTGTATTCTGAGGTGGCGATACCAACATGACACTCGTAGATTCGAAGACTTTCCGGCCGACGAGGCTTGGGGTTTCTAAATATGTGACGCTGCAAAAAATATCCCGTCAATCTACGGTATCGGATTTTAAGAGAAGAACATACCTCAGTTTGTGGAGGATTCCATAGTTTTTGTTTATAGATGGTCCCTTCTTCTTTGGGTGGCTCTACCACATATGTAGCATATGGTGACAACCTATCTTCTTTAGATCCTTCATAGGTTTCTACCACTACCTAAAACATTTGAATGGTTAATATACTCAGTGACATTAAGTTACACCCAAAATAATTTCTTCAACTTGCTTTTTGGCAATATAATGACTATATTTAAAGCATGCTGTGGCAACAATGTCAACGTTTTATCTTGTTTTTTGTTTACCTTTATTAAAATGTTATCTCTTAGTTTTTGTGAAGGCAGCAGTTTCTGAGAGCTGAGTAGTACAGATATTTTTAGTTATTGCCCTTTCATTTACTAGTGTTAAGCATAAGACATTGACTTGAGTCGGAAGACGTCCAAATAATTACCGTGGTAGCGACTTTGACAGGGGTAGAATTATTGCCTATCGAGATGTTGGTTTGTCCTATTGCGAAATTGGCCGCCGTGTTAATTGTACTGCAATGACGGTAATGCGTGTGTGTCGTGTGTGGATAGAAGAACGTAGAGTCACACGAAGAAGGCCCGACTGGTCCACCGATGCGTATCACGGTTAGTGTTTCCTCTGACTGCGGGCCACTGTCGTCAACGTTTGAACTGGAGCAGAGAACGGCAACATTGGGAGGCAGAATGGCATAATGTCATCTTCAGCGACGAACCGCGATTGTGTTTAGGTACGCTCGATGGTCGTAGAAGGGTAAGATGCCGCCATGGAGAAGGAAACAACGGATTTGCTGTTGAGAGGCATGTACACAGGACTGTTGGAGTAATGGTTTGGGGGGCTATTATTGTCTATGGTAGCCGACCAGCCCTTCTCTTTGTTCAAGGCAATATGATGGTTGCGCGTTATGTTGATGATGTCCTACAAACCACTTCACCGCCGTATCTAGAGGGCCGTCCACACGTCCTTTTTTATCAAGACAACGCACGTCCCCATATTGCCCGACGTACTAGGGAGTTTCTTCAAGAAGCAGAAGTGTTAATGTTTTGCCGTGGCCGTGCCGTCATCGGATTTAAATCCCATCGAACATGTCTGGGATATGATGAGGAGACTATCCACTTTGCACCATCCGCTACAGACATTGATTAGCTCATTTTGTCGATGCCTAGACGTATAGAGGAGTGTATTCAGCTGCGGGGCCGCCCAACACATTATTTTTTTCCTTATTACTTGTCAATAAAATTTCGTGAGAATGTTATCGTTTCATTCTTGATGTGAAACTATCTCATTGCCAAAAAACTAAGTTGAACAAAATTATTTTTTTTGGGAGTAACACTTATAAAAAGGTATAGATTCTGTACAAAACAGATGATTCAAAGGTTAAATGCAGAAATGCGGTATACCTTAATTTCTGATAGGTGGTTTATAGCAGGTGTCCCATCCCCTTTAGGTGGGAGGATGAGTTCCCATTTGCCATATTCCAACTTTTTATAAGGATGACTATCACGATTCCAACCATCTAAAAACATTATTGTTATATTTAGAATAAAATTAATTGCTTTATGACTAATAACATGTACAGCAATGCGAGCCATCATATTCTATTGGTTTGTTCATACAGTGGTTAGTGGCTTGTTGGTGCCTGTGTATGGGGCTCAGCCATGTGAATTCTATTTACATAGCATAAAAGAACAGAATTTGTTTGGATGGATCTTGGACTCAGCCACCAACAGGTTACCAACTGCTGTATGATCAAACAATGGATCTAAAAAATTATCTGATCTTACTGAATTCTCCAGTCAGATACAACTGTTTAGCCCCAGGAGCCCATTCGCGACAAATGATAGTATTATCTGGCTGAACATTTATCCCAAAATATTTGTATCCTAGTGTGAATTTATCCAGACCACCACCATTCTCATCAATATTCTCAAGGAAGTCCTTAAAGACTGCATACCTTAAACATTTACAAGATATATATTACTAGCTTTGGGATATGGTGTACCTTATAAACAGATCATGTAGGAGTTCTGTTTAATGATTTTGCTGCATAAAAATATATGTATAGTGTATTTACACCCAAGATAGAATGGATGCGTGATTGCCAAAAGCAAGGACGGCGTACAGCGCCGCATTCATTCCGAAATGATGGACTACCACCAACGTGTTGTAAAACAAAGATGACAGTATTTAACAGAAACAGAAACTTGACAAATCACTCAAATACACTTAACAACAACAGCAGCAACAACCAAGCAAGGTGAATACGAAAACACGAGCACGCAGTGATACACGCGACGGACGGTGGCCTGAGTGCAACTCTGCCTGCCCTGCCCCTGCCCCGCGCATTATTCCGCCACGCAGCCCCTTGAAATTTAATGGCGAATTGACCAATAAGAGGCGTTGTCCCCACCTGTTACCGAGAGATCACGCGCTAACTGTTATTATTTACATCTCATCTTGAATTTGGATTCAGTTTAGTACCAGTATTAAAGTGTTTTTTTGGAATCAGTTCGTTCTATCTTCAAATTTTATCAATCTTCTAAAATCAACTAGTATCTACTTGTATAAATAAATATATTATCATAGTGTGTGATTTGCTTTAGAGCGATTAAGCAACTTGCTAGAAGCATTTTAGTAGTTTTATGTAATGTAGCAAACCAATTTGAGTTAGAAACAGGAAAATCTTTCATCTCTCAAAAAATATAATCACAAAAATATACCTCAAAAAAAGCACAAAAGCAGAATAAATGCATACACAAAAAATTAAAGTGTACCATACACTTCAAATAGATTAGACCACAAAGTACAAAAACAGTTAAAGGTGTTTTTTTAAGCTGCACATTAGTAGCTTTCTAGCCTCATATATAAATTATGATGAGAGATATTATATAGAATCTATACACATGATTAAGAGGATAAGCATATCTCAATCAATTTGTAACACCATAACCTTCAAACTGTTGCAATTAGAATTTATATTTTTTCTTGGTGCTGGTAGAAATATTCTGTGTATTAAATCTATTTTTGGAATAAGAGATGAAGTGAGATAAAATAGCAGTTTTTTAAGCATAAAATATTTAACATCAAATATTTGTGAATCCCTAGATAGGTATTGAATACAATTTTGTCAGTTTGTATTGTAATTTGGGTGAACATTATTTCCTTTCATTGGAAAAGGAAGAGGAAAACGTCAGAGGATCCAAGATTCAGTCTAAATTATATTAAAAAATGTTATCAGGATCAATGTTATACATGTTGACCTTCTCAAAGTCAAACAAGTGCAGTACTTACCGCCTTCTTATTTCTTTTTCGTATGGTTTTAAATAGTGATCTCGATCAAGCAACGCATGAATTTCTGGAACCTCCACATCCATTGGATCCATTTTACTATATTTGCCACCCATAACTGTTAAATTCTAAAATTTATGGCACTTTTCTGTACAATTGCTGGCGGGATACTAAACTGAAACAAAATTTATGCATTTATGTGATAAGAAGTGTCAAGAAGTCAGTAATCTATAAAGAGTCATTTTTTACTCACCAAAATTACATTAGAAGTCTACAAAATGATAAGAAGTTAGGAGTTAACCTAAACATAAACTAAAAACAACCGGCATTTTTCTTGGTGGTTTTCTGACAGATTTTCATTAAATAAAAAACAAAAATATACCTACTTTCCTTGTTTGTTGTACACGGATTTTAATTCTATCTTCTTCTAAATTCACAAATTCAAACTTTACTCATAGGCAACTAGTTATACGACGTATAGTACACTGAGTTACATAAGCACTGGAGTTGTACGATGTTGTCAGATTTATTATTTATACTTTCACCTCCAACATCACAAGCGTTGAACCATTTGAAAATCACTTGTTTTAGCTCTACAGACAGCGGATTGCTAAGAACCACAGAGGTCTTCAGTTTCTTTTTCTGATCACCATCTTCACAACACCATTTTCTACATATACAGGTGAGTAAATTAACACATTCCATTCATAAAAGAGCCTGTTTGAAACAAAATTTATGTGGAGGGTTATCCGTAAGATGTTAGTTAAGTAATGAACATATACAGAGAAGTTATAGTACATCCTGTACCACAAGTGCTAAGCTAGTTATTGCTTAATTAATTCCAACAAAGGTCAAGGACATTATTATAGTTTTCAAAGATTATTCGTACACATTCAAGACAAATAAAAATATTACTGAATTCTTTTGAGCAAAATTGTTATGAGATCTACTTTGCAAGATGATGGTCATAATTTGGGTGCTAAATATGAAAATTCTTCTTATTCCTTCTTTTACATCGAATCCATAGCAATAAAGAAAATGCTTCAATATTAATCAATATAAAATATGCCATATCTATAGATTTATGTATTCTTGCCAGCATTTCTATGAAACATTATAATTAAACAAGTAAACGAATGGCCGTGTAAAGAAGTGCGCCGTCGCCATACGAAACTCGTTCTTGATCATTCGTTATCTTCCTCATGACGTCATCTTTCTGTTATATAGAATTGATAAGCGCTATACCATCTAAACTGACTACTACATTTTAATGAATTTCGTGATTATAAAGAAGTTTTTGATGACATCATTACATACACAGCTATTATAAAGCCAACTAATACTGAGAAAAAGTCACCATCAGTGATACAAATTGGAATTTCATACCACTCTAGGCTGTTATAAAGGTAAAGTCTGAAACATAACGTTTCATTGGAGGAGTAAATATGGCAACGATGGATGAGTCATGACCTGCTAAGGCCAAGCTTCTGGTGTACAGGCATCGGCTTCTCGGCCAGTTTCAAACATCTTTTCGGATCTTACTGGCGCTGTTGCCAAATATCTTTATTGCTTCATTAGGACCCGCTGTAGGCTAGTGAACGATTAAAGTTTATTCCTTAGCCCAACTAAGACCTTCTATATTTTTTTTATTTTTCAGTATATGTTTGTAATTAATACATGTTTTTTCAAAGTATCGTCTGCGGCTTCACTCGACAGCTTGGCACTACCTCAAATTTAGTCCCACCACTCTTCATGACTGTTTAATGGCTATATTTGAATTTTTAGTACTTCAAAAATTACCTAAATGTTTCATTTACATGAATTAATGAATATGGAAACGTTACCTTAAAAAATGTATGTTTGAGGTTCCGTATGAGAGTAATATCAAAAATCCTTGAAGTATTTAATCTAATCTAATGTTGATAGTAAATCGGGTGAGCAGATTCTAAATCCAAACTCAATTTGATGCTGGCCCTCAAGACAAAAGACACACTTCCTACGAAAAATTTGTACACGTGGATCCGCCTGCCAAAGATCACTCGAAATTCTGCAAATTATTAACGTCAATTATACTCTGATACCGAAAAGGCAGAGAGCAGCAAAACACGACCTCCGTCAGTCTCTAACCGCTCATTTTCACGTACGTCCTTGAGAGCGGTGAGATACCGTAGTGTCATCTATGAGAATTACCACAGCTGTTTCTCTATTTACTATATACACCTAAGTACTTTGCCAAGGTTAGTGTCTCATAGCATCTGTGTTACACTAAGATTTTCAAGAGTACATACTGGGTGTCATCAAAGTTGGGACTTTCCTTTAGAGAGCATATACGTCAGGCAATAATAAGCATATTTTCTTAGTAAAATATATACCAAAGCTTTAATACAACCCAGATATTAGGTTCCCAAAAGCAATTATTGAGGACCCTGACACCCTGCCCTATATGATTGTTGTACTAAGACTATGTGTCAGTATCCAAGTTAGACATCGCGTGGTGTCTAGGTTTACATAGTTTATAGACAACCCGCGTTTGAAAAACCGAAATTAGGATATTCCTGGAGTTATAACGTAGTTATCGATTTGATATGAGCATCTTCAAGATCCTATGTGTATATTGATACTCCGCGAGTGTACTTAGACCGTCGCCGCCATGCTAGATGTTTCTTTCCATCATAGCTTCATATGTTTGTTTATATCGTGCAAACGCCGTCTGGCTGAACACAGAGTTGAAGACCTTGCTAGATAGCCCCTAATGTTGTAAATTTAGGAAGAAGTAAACAAGCTTGTGTTTTTGAATCAAACAGTGACGACTTCAAGCAGTGTTCACAAAGAAAACATAAGGCAGCCAGTACTTGAAATTTATTACCAAATCAAACGTATTTCTTTTCAATTCTATTTTACGTTTTCGGTGTTGTTTTAGCTATCTTATTGCAAAAGGAAGGTCCAAACTTCCAGGACACCCGTGTAAAGTAAATAGGTCAAAGTGATGACGCTACACGGTATATCGTTATATTTCGGATAATTTTTTGGATGCGGGAACATAGCATTAGGTTGGCTATCCTAAAATATACGTTGATCAATGTTATCATCAAATACCTACACACATCCAAATAGAGACATTTAATAGCGTTGCTTTATAACCGACGATCTATTTTGTCCATATCTTTTCAATGAAATTAATACAGTGCGTTCAAAAGATAATTGTTCAGGGTTTTATCAAGGCACATTTCAATTTTTTTGCCCTAGTATCAATGGTGGGTTGAAATATTTAATATTTTTGTTCAACTACTCGATTGAAAAAACCTAGTGGAAAAAATCAAAAAGTGACTTTACAGCACCCAATGAAGCTCTATTTCTAGCACACTGTGAAAATTTCATACTTAAACATTTAAAAATGAAGCGGTAATTATGAAGTGCGGAAACACATGCAAATCGGCTTTTACACTAATTTTGTCTACTGTTTCGTGCTGCCAGTCCAAAATACGCGGCGATGCATATTTCGTATAATATCGTGTATTTGTTTTCCGGGAATAGGCGTTCAAATCATAGTGTTGGTTGATGGGAAATGAATTTTCGTAGTTAATTGCGTGAAAGTAACTTCTGAAACTTATCATGTGGTTATATCTCTGATCTATCTCATTTATATGTAGTATAATGCTTCAGAATAGGGTTGGCTTTACTTCAAGGGCGGATTCAGGATTTCGTGTAGGGGGGTGGCGCAAACGATATTTGGGGCTGGTAATTTTTCTACCTCAGTGGAATTTCTAGAATTTATCCTATTATTGCTCCTTAAATCCATTGTGTTCTATCTGTTCAATGCCAACGTGAAAAAAAAATACGGAAGGTGCTCAGAAATCGTGGCATTTATAATTAACTAGTTTAATAATGTTAAAGATTAAAACATAAAAAACCCCGAGGCATATCAGTGTCTTTGATGGCGAAAACAAACATGAGACCGAAAAATTCACATTATTATTTGGACGCTAGACGAGACCGTCTCCATTTTGCCTATAGACAAATTGCGCAACTAGTGTGTACTAAGCTTAAGGATTAATACTCTGAACTGATCGTTAAACAAATCAAGTAATTGGTGTAAGTAGCGACACAATCAAGCACTTCTATTATATCAGCAGGTGATAAAAATATCAATAGGTATAGTCAATTATTTTTTGAAATTCAATATAGATGTTATTCTTCAGACTTGTCGAAGGTTTACGGCATTGTTGTGTTTTCTCAGTTTTCAAATCGGTGTTGATCGCATGTAAAAATGTTGAAAATCTTTGGAAAAAACTATATATGTACGAAACAAGAACAGGAATACAGGGCTGTACATATTCACATGTAGTGCAGAAGCTCTGTGACTTAAACGAATTTCAATATAGCAATATAAATAGAAACATACGCGGGAAGAAATGCGGGACGTGTATTATTGACTTTGAGCATCGATCGACGAATTTTCTAGACAGGCTACAGGCTAAGCAAATCTAATAAATGTATATTTCCAATGTAGGCGTTCATCTAACATATGTATAGTCTAATCATATTAGCAAATTTCCCCGAAATAATTGCAAAGTCCGGTTTTATTGGTGCAAGTTGTTCAAGGGCGCATTTTAAACATGGACGAATAAGATAGTTACACCAATTTTTGTGGGGAAACTTTTTATTTGACAACAAAGAATGAGAAATCGTGTTTTTTGGGATTCAATCGAAAGTGTTGACAGGAAGGAAAAAACTTTTCCGGCAAGATTTTTAGATATTTATGAGACCTACAGAATGAGGCCACACGTGAAAAGATCCGACTAATAGCAAAAAAGTTATGAACGAAAAACCAGGCAGAATGCAGGTTTTGGCACTTGTTGGTAAGGCGACGATAATTTTACGCAACTACTTGAAGTTCTTCAAATCCGCAGGATTCATACTTCTGAATAATCACAGCAAAATTGGAGTATTATGGACAAGTAGTTTTTTGAGAATTTCTAATTGCTTATCCCAAAACACCTGTCTTCCGGACATCACTACTAGTTTATTGAGCTATATACAGGATTAGTTCGAAGAGCATTTTACAGCAAAACAGACTAATTTACCTTGCCGATATGAATTACAAACCATTCCGAAAGATAAATGTTATTTTTATGCGAAAAACGAAAGTTAGGTTTTTTTCTTCAAAGCAAATTCAAACATTTCGTATTTGTGTGTAATTGAACAAATGCGCTTCGATATTCGAAATACATACGTTACTATACACATTTTAAAACAAAGCGGATGTGTCTATCATCTTTTGTTGCGAGTTACACACAAATACGACATGTTTTAATTTGTTTAGAAGAAAAACGTAACCCATCGTTTTTTGCATAAAAATAACATCTATCTTCCGGAATAGTTTTCATATCGACAAGGTAAACTAGTGTATTTTGCCATAAAATGCCCTTTGAGCTAACCCATATATATTGCTCAAAAAAACTAGTAGTGATGACCGGAAAACAGATGTCATAAACAATTAGAAATTCTCACAAACTACCTACTTGGCCAATCTACTCCAATTTTGTTGTGGTTATTTAGAAGTAACAATCCTACGAATTTAAAGAATTTCAAATATCTGCGACAAACCATCGTCGTATTACCAACACGTTCCAAGACCTGCAGTTTGCCTCGGTTTTCGGCGATAACTTTTTTGCTATTAGTCGCATCTGCTTACGTGTGGTCTCATTTTGTAGGTCTCATAAGTACTTAAAAATCATATAAGGAGAGTTTGATCGTCTCTGCCAATTATTTAGATTGATTCCCAAAAAACACGTTTTCTCATTCTTTGTTGTCGAATAAAAAGTTTTCCGACAAAAATTGGTGTATCCATTTTATGCGACCATGTTGAGCAACTTGCAGCAATAAAACCAGACTTTAGAATTATTTCGCAAACCAGGGGTATTTTCGTCTAATACGATTAGACTAATAGTGCTTCGCTGCAACACCAATCCCGATCAAAATCAATCAAGCTTTACACACTTTTCAAATTACTATTGAGCAACAAACAGAACATAAATCACTTTTTAAGTGCAATCTGTATAGCTAATATATTGCTTAGACTTAGATTTGTCACAAGTCACAATACTCGTATATACGTATAAATCGTAAGAATTGTACTGTAAACGTAAGTGATGTCGAAGAGCTACAGCGTTTGGATTACCAAAGGATACCAAAAATCTCAATGCTCAGTTCCTATAGATATAACTTATAGTTAGTATGCCTCTGTCGCCATGATCTGCCAGAAAACAACACAATGGTGTTAGATTACAAAAGCAAGTGTCAGACGTCTAGGGGCGGGCGCGCGCTCCCCTCTAAATCCGCCACTGCTTAGTTAATGTAAATCATGACATCGGAAGAAGTGTCGGAAAGATTTTCTGAATGGGCAAACATCGAATTAATGTGAATGTCTAGAATTGCTGTTTATATTTATATTTTCAATAAAATTATTTCTCATCAGCACATAATTGCAAATCCAAGTGTTTCGCTTTTCTTGCACCCCCCACAATTTGGGGTTTGAGGATTCTTATGAAAATATTTTCAAAATCGCCAGCGTATCTGGTGTTCTCAAGAGAGACTTACATACCTTCAAAACAGGTGCGGGGATTTTTAACTTGACGTCAATTTTGTGCTAGGCTTACGGAGGGTTCCAAAATTGCAATCTCGTTGAGGCTAAGAGGGCCGGAGACTGGAGGTAGAGGCCATCATGAACTCATAAGCAGAAAAACTCTACAAATGGTAATGGGTTTGTTACAGATATCAATCGTCTAATGATAGACAAGCCCCAATAAACATTTACTACTCCCTAGCCTAAAATCGCATATGGCATTAGATTTGGCAACGTCGAATCTGTACCTCATTTCAAGGACGCGGTCCGCGGTACCATTTGTTTTGTTGTTCGGCGCTTCACGAGAAGAAAAAACGAACAAAAGACAAGATAAACCGACTTGGATGGCTTGACGTTTCCAGCATCTAGGTAATTTTATTATTGAAATTTTAGATTAAAAAATAGTAGAAACGATCCTATGTCTTCTTTTTTCTTTTGCTTATCAGCAGGGGGTCGAGTGTAGCTGAGAGGGTTGTCGGGGGCACTACCGGGGTACTTAAAATACAAGAAAACATCTACGGTTCGAGGGCCAACAGGTGGTGATACAGTTTCAAAAAGGCATTTGGAAGTGTTCAGAAAGACGGGTGAGTGTAGTAGGTGTAATTTTCATTGATGTTTTCGTCATTTATCAGATGAAGAATATGCAAGTCTTTAATCTTCATGAAATGATTTTTTATTTTCTGCAAATAATGCATGGTTGGGCATAACCTCACCTTCTGTCTTTTCTGTTGCTTTTCTTGAAAAGTTCTCGGCTATCAACACTGCAATAAATATATTTTTACTGTATATTTCTATATGTATTTGACTTAATTTAACAAAATATCCAAATTCTTGATACTTCATTATCTCTATGCGCATAAAGAAACAAAAACAACTGAAATGAAATAAAATGCAATGCAGTTATGCTATATCAGAATATAGATAGGATATTTGAAAGCTTCTAATTTCTTGTGGTGGTGACCTATTCTCAAATTATGGAAATAAAAAACAGTTTATTTACATCTTTCAGGGAATGCATTCATTACAATTTCCTCACTCTTGTATAGAAGAAGTAGGTTTTGAGAAGTGCCTATATAAGATGTATGATTTTGTTTTTATGCTTATGTGTTAATTTTCATCACAAAAATCTATCAATAAACACAAGTATAATATAATAATGTTGCTTAACTTCTATACAAAATAATTGGAATAAAATAAAACATATAATGCAGTTTTAGTATAAGTCACATCTCCAGTTTTTGCTATTTTTTGTATGTTTCAGCATTAGATAAGCCTGAATCAAAATGTCTGACATTTTGTCTCCAGAAGACCAACATTATCTCCTCAACAATCTTGGGCCAATAAATGTGTAAGTTTAGTATTAGAAATTGGAAGACTATCTTAATTAATCTTAATGAATATTGATTCTCCACAAATAAAAACTTACTTGAATTTATTTTTTTGAAAGAATCTATTATACTCTGGATCTAGTAACATGGTTAAAATATTGTCAAAAATATGGGTGACTGAAAGAATACTATAAGGGCTGTATCATCAGTTGTTAACAATTGTAGGACACCTTTATGGCCTCCTTGATTTTCATAGTTTTCTACTCTGTTCCATGTCAGTGCTCTCTTTGGAGGTTATGTCACAAATATAAATTTCCATCAAATTGTTCATGCATTTGATTTATATCATCTGTTTTATCAGCCTGAAATTTCATACAATTCAAAAAGAAAACAAATTTACAGTAGGAGAGCACTGACATGAAACAGTAGAAATCTCGAAATACCCTAGTGATTCTGAAGGAGAGAAAAGAATGAAAATCAAGGAGGCCATAAAGGCATCCTACAAATTGTAGAAACGATTGATGATACAGGCCTTAGTAAATTCATACAATGTTGCCAAGGGGCCAAGGTGCATTGGATGTAGGAACATAAGGAATAAGAACCAATAGGGAGTGATTTGTCTTATGTCTCACACATACCCTATTACTAAGTTCTTATGATCTATAGTAGGGGAGGCCAATAATGGATTTTGGGATTCACATGAGGGTAGCAGATTAAGATGACCTTGCATCCTGTTAAGTACCTCCACCATACATAAACCCTTTTTAGATGGGGATATGTCTAAGGCAACCAATCTGAATAGTAAAAAAAAATGGATGGTTAGAAATACTTGTGTGCATCAGATTAAGGTTTAAGGTGGGTAAATTACATACTGAATAATCTGATGATTTGAATGTGACATAATAGTCTAATCATATTAGCAAGTTTTCCCGAAATAATTGTAAAGTCTAGTTTTATTGGTGCAGTTGTCCAAGGGGGTATTTAAAACATGGATGCATAAAATGGGTACACCAATTTTTGTGGGAAAACTTTTTATTTGACATCAAATAATGAGAGAACGTATTTTCTGGGATCCAATCGAAAGTGTTGACAGGATCGAAAAAACTGAGATTTTTAGGTATTATTATGAGACCTACAAAATGAAACCACACGTAAAAACTAATAGCAAAAATGTTATGGCCGAAAAACGAGACCAAATGCAGGTTTTGTTGGTAATGCGACGATAATTTTACGCAAATACTTGAAATTCTTCAAAACCGTAGGATTCATACTTGTAAATAACAACAAATTGGATTATATTGGTCAAGTAGTTTTTTGAGAATGTGGTTTATCCCATTGTTTTCCGGCCATCATTACCTACTATTTTATTGAGCTATATACAGGGTTCATTCAAAGAGTATTAGCAAAATACACGTGTTTACTTTGTCGATATGAATCACAAACTATTCCGAAAGATAAATGTTATATTTATGTGAAAAACAAAGGTTACGCTATTTTATTCTGAACAAATTCAAACATTTCGTATTAATTTGTAAGTAATTGAACAAATGCGCTACGATATTCGAAAAACATACGTTACCTTACACATTTTTAAACAAAGAGTGTCTATAATCTTTTGTTGCAAACTACTCACAAATGCGAAATGTTTGAATTTGTTTAGAAGAAAAAATGTGACCCATCCTTTTTTACATAAAATAACATTTATCTTCCGGAATGGTTTGCGATTCATATCGGCAAGGTAAACTAATGTATTTTGCTATAAAATGTCCTTTGAACTAACCCTGTATATTGCTCAATAAACTACAATAGTAGTGATGGCCGGAAAACAGGTGTTTTGGGATAAACAATTAGAGATTCTCAAAAACTACTTGACTAATCTACTCCAATTTTGTTGTGGTTATTTAGAAGTACGAATTTGAAGAATTCCAAATATCTGCGAGAAACCATTGTCTCATTACCAAGTGCCAAAACCTGCAGTTTGCCTCGGTTTCGGCCATAACTTTTTTGCTGTTAGTCGGATCTTTTTACGTGTGGTCTCTTTATAGGTATCATAAATACCTAAAAATCTTATATGAAGAGTTTTTTCGTTCCTGCCAACACTTTCAGTTGAATCCCAAAAAAAAAAACACGTTTTCTCATTCTTTGTTATCGAATAAAAAGTTTTCCCACAAAAATTGGTGTACCCATTTTATGCATCCATGTTTTGAATTCCCCCATGAACAACTTGCTGCAATAAAACCAGACTTTTCAATTATTTTGCAAACCAGGGGAATTATCGACTAATATGATTAGACTATAAAGGAGTGGAAGGATCACAATCTTGCAAAACAAACTATACAATGAATGTAGAATTTTTCATGCACTATCTAAATAATGAAAAATAATACTATTGCAGCCACTTATGGAAGCTGAAAGCAAATTTCTCTTGGCCACTTTTGTGATGAATTTTTTTAACCAATAGCTCTAGGTTAACTGGTTGCCAGGATACAGCTGGCATTCTTTATCAATGGCCCACCAAGTACAAACCAGTATCTTATCATACCTCCAATAACAGCAACACGTGGGGCATATACAATATCAATGTCTGATGTGCTTGAGTATCTTTATGTAGCTACTTTTTTTACATTTTTGACAACCTGCAGATGCTTCTCCCACCATTAAAATGGTTTACAACATAGATCCTTTTTTTCTTTCTGTGACCTAATCTTTAAAACCCAATAAACAGGTCCTCGCAACACTCAAATCACAAATTACAGCATACTTTTGTACTTTTTTAATTTGTGCAAATAACTAACCATTTAGTCTCTTAGGTTCCCCTACTACAAGCCATGTCGAAAATTTCAGTGAACTATATGAGATATATAGGGTGGCCAATATGTAACTGACTGGCTTGTATCTTGAATATTTGTGATATGAAATAAAATACGTCCATTTTTTTATCTTAATCTTTTATTGAAACTTAGAAATTATTTATGAAAAATAATATCAGACAAATGTCCGCCTCTAGAAGTCGCGCAAATCTGAGCCCTCTTGATTGTATTATCCATCATTTTTTGGTAGGTTTCGGGAGCAATATGTTCAATCGCTTCCGTAATATTGTTCTTCAGCCGCTCTACAGTATTTGGTTTGTTGGCATAAACCCTATTTTTCAAAAAAACCCAAAAAAAAAGTCGGGAGCCGTTAAATCCGGTGACCTTGGTCACCAAATCGAGAAATTAGACATCTCGAAAATATTGTTTGCAAAAGATTCATTGTTTAACTAGCTGTGTAATAAGTTGCTCCATCCTGCTGGGACCACATGTTTTGCAGGTTAAATTGTTGGATTTGAGAAGCCAGAAAGTTTTACACCATATCACGGTAGCGCTCGCCAGTGACAGTAAGAGAGTTACCTGCAGCGTCTTCAAAGAAGTAAGGTCCAATGACACCTAATACTAAACACCATACAAAACTGTGACTCCACGAGGATGTAGTGGTCGTCGATGGATGACACGAGGGTTCTCTAATGCCCACATGCGACAATTCTGCTTATTAACAAATCCGTTCATATCGAAATGGGCTTCATCGGTCATTATCAGTTGTCGGTAAAAATCGTTGGTTTTGAGTATTAAGCTGCAATATTGCATGCGACTGTATGTCAGCGACTTTCATGGCCACTAGGCTGTAGTACTTGGGTTAACTGAATTTTGTATAGCCGAAAATGCAAGTCTTTTTAAAGTAGTGCATAATGACGTGCGACAAATACCCAGTTCTTGAGAACGTGGTAGACGTCTCAGGGCGCTTCACTACACTTTCACGAACTCTTTCGATTTTTTCCGGAATACGAACAATTCGAACACGAGCCCGACCTTGGCAAGTCTTCAAATGACTGACGGATGGTGTTGACACTGGGCACATTATTTCGACCGAAATGTTGTATTTTCCGAATCGTTGCAACAATCGATTCATTATTTAAGTAAAACGTTTTAACAATACGGACGCGTTGTTGAATTATGTAGACCTCCATGATAAATGGGACACATATATGCTTCAAACTACTACTACGGCGCCACCTACTGTAATGCGTGTATTAAAAATGGCGCTCAATTTAAATCAGTCAGTTATATATTGGCCACCCCATATTTAAACACTTTAAGCCTTCTATATAACTTAAGTTAAATCCCAAATGATTTATCTTTTAATCTTCATAATATAATTTATAATTCTAGAGATGAAGTTGCTGGCAACTTCAACTACAACTTATTTCCCGAAGAAGTGGAACAGGAAAATGTAAGGAACGTTTCAAGTGTATATGCTTCTTTTTTATTTGATTGTATTTTTGTAGGACTTCCTTATTATTGAAGACTATAAATGTGAGATAGATAAAACTATAACTCCAGCCCCAGTGACAGAAAATGTGTTAACTAATGAAGAATACACTGGTCCTTATAATTTTGAGGTCTTGATTGATCCATATGGATCAAAAAATGCTTGGGTGGTATGTTGTAATTATGACTATATTCCTATGTTTTTGTGTTCTTGTCCGTGGAGCTCTAATTTCTGCAATGTTTGCTTTTAGTATTCTGTTCCTCTAAACAAAGTTTACATGAATATGAAGATACCGTTTCCTGTGGACTTCAGAGTTCATGATCGGCCAGACTTTCCACTGTATATCAGGACAACCCCGGTATATAGTGCCCCTCAGTTTGCCCATGAGAATGTATACAGATGCATCAACCATGAATTTGCCCCAGAAGGTAATTCATCAATTCAGAACATTTTTTCTCTATAATCATGGGATCCCAAGCAACCCTTTTTCTATTCCAAGTTTGGGCCTACATCATATAAAGTGGGAAACTTTGCCCTATAATACACGGTGCGGCACCATAACTCCCTTTCTTAAAATGTACGTTATTCAGCGGTTGATTTAACTAAAGTTAAATGGAAACATTTTTCATGTTTTTTTTTATGTGGTTAATATTACCACTGAAGTTAGCTTACAGCGGCGTTACCAGATCTCAGAATTCTAGTAACAGGTTCATTCATACATAATTGGTAGAATGGTCTTTCATCAACATTAGGATATATTTGTGCAAGCACGTCGGGCAATCTATGACACCTTTAACTATTTAAAACAGAAAACAAATTAAGAATGTACCTGCGGTGTTTCAAGGAGTCTACAGTCGATGTACGCATTAGTTCTGAAACATTCTGGCTCCGACCCTTTAATAGCTACCTGTTTTAAAAATTTACATTATACTGCTTCAATTAAATTTGGCGATCATATCACATCACATATCTCCAAAACACCAAAGAGTAGTATTAGATTAGACAAATTTCTACAGGCTATCCCAATATTTTATATGATTTAGAAGTAATTTCTCTAATGTATGTTTTAAAAGTTAGTTTTGTATCGAAAGTTATACCTAAATCCCTAACTCATGAGGTCACGGTTTCCAATTTTATATTCATATATATAAGAGAATTTGAACAACCTCTGAAGCTTATCTGGTAGCATTTATCGAAATTGATGTTGATCTTAATAGTGCTACTATACCGAGTAGAATTTATGATTTAGATCTCTTTGCAAAGGTACATTTAGATCTGAACATGCACGCACTGCTGAAAGGAATTAATGGGTTCGCGAATGCTCAGTGTGGACGGAAACGACAACGCGGCGCACAGGATTGAAGAGTTGATTGTATTTAGTCCTGTAAATTATGGAATGGAATAATACTAAAGTTTTAAAACTTGCAAGAGTTTGAGATTTATCGGTACTGTGGGACGTTAGGCACGAAGAGTATTATTCAAAATCGAAAAAAATGGCCCATGGTAACAACTAGTAACCAATTGTAGCATTGAAAGTTTAGACTGTTTCGAAGCACAGAAAAAAAATTAAAAGTCTGATGGGATCATTTCGTCTCGAAAAAAAAGCAAAATGAAGATTTTGACACATTGAAAAGATACTGCAAGCTGCTGTAGGAGTCTCCAGTTGCCAAAAAAACGCAAGGTTATGGCTAAACATTTTCGTGGTGATGTAGATTTTCGAAACTGTGTATCAATTTTTATCATCGTTGGTGCTACCAACGTAAGCAGGTATTCAAAGTCGGCCTTGGTCATTCTTGTAAAATTTCTGAATTGATCATTGAGACTGTTTAATACTAATTCCTTTCGTTTCCGATTTTATTTTAGTTAAATTATACAGTATAATAAATGTTGCCGCGACTATATGTCTATTCTCCATGTTAACCTCGTACGCGAACGACTGGATCAGCCCATCCGTTGAAAAATAAATTTCAGTTTAAACACTCTCCATGCACACGAACGTATGCGTGCACGTATGCTCAGTGCGTGCGTGCTCATATGTAAACGCACCTTAAGATTTCCGATTGATGCTGCGAAATTTTCTAATTTAGCCAAAAGTAGATCGCGATTTACTCTGACGAAAGGTTTCGTGTAATCCGTGTAGAAGGGGGCTACTTGAAGCTTATTTTCAAAAGCAGTCATTACGACGTATAGTAACAAATATATGACTAATTATTATTTCGTAGATGTTCAAAATCATGTCCGCCATCACATTATCCGCTGCAACAACCGTCTGGCCGAATACGAAGGGGAAAAAAGCAGGAATGAACGCTTAAGTGTTGTCATCCCGTTTGCCATGCCGCAAACGGGTACTGAGAACGTTAGAGAGATGTTTGAGTTCGTTTGCAAGAACTCATGCCCTGTACCGGGTATGAATCGCAGATCGATAGAAGTTATATTCACTCTGGAAGATATGTCGTAAGTAGCATTTATCGCAAAAGCATGGGCGCCCGCAGGGTTTTCTTGAAGGCGGCCGATCATCGGCAAGAGATAAGTTTTGTGTGCCTGTCCCCAAAACTTTTCGTACAGCGGGAGGTAGCAAGTTTTCAGGAAGGCGGTAGGCAGATCCTAAAAATTCGCAAATTATACATGAAGTCATGCAAATTTTAAGGTCCTACCGGATCCTCAGGGGGGCGCGGCCCTCTGACTCCCGTTGCTGGTGCCCATGCCCATGAGTAACTTTCAGCAGATAATGGCTGCTTGGAGCGCTGGTATCTCACAAATACGGAGAAAAATAGATCTGCCAACGTGCAGTTTTGTATTCCTGACCTTTGGTCATCAATTCAAATTATACATTCTTGGGATTCGGTCACTGAAAACATTATTAAAAATAGGACGTTTCGGCGACTTTAAACGCCATGTTCTGGTACATGGGTTTAGTTAGAAATAAACATGTGTCAAAAATTACAACACAAAACATGTCAAGATAGAATAAGATTCAAAAATGTAGTATTAATATACAGAAAGACCTACTAGTAGGTAAAAATAATTATATTTCTGCCAGGTAGCCTTGGCAGTTTGTATACATATATCTTTTACAAGATGTATATATTTTTTACCTTTTTTTGTTTTCATTTTTAGTAGCAAATATTTATAGCCAGTCGTTGACCTACACTCAAACTGATAACATCGATCTGTAATTATTTTTACCTAGTAGTAAGTCTTTCTTTATATTAATAATACAATTTTTCTTTTTTAACATATTTTGTATTGTAATGCTTTGCATCTGGAGTTAATCACTTTGACCTTTTTGTAAATTAAGAGACTTACATATGATTTTTTCCTACATTGTTGTTAATCCTGTAGCGCCGAGATGAAACGGTTTTTCAAAAATCGCCAAAGAAAAAAATATTCTAAAAATAAATCAATATCACGTTGTACGCCAATTTGACGAGCGTCACCTATAAATGGTTCGTTAAAGCTGATTCTCAGCCCTTATACTGAAACTGACAGAAAGGCTCCTGCGCCTTTTGGTTTAAAAGACTTCTGTACATAGTTCAGTCAGATTTGGTCTCCTAAAATCTGTTTCGCGAGTATCCATTACGTCAAACTTGACAGCAAATAACAGCTCTTTATCCAGTAAAATTTGAAAATACCCCATATATCGACAAGTAACAATTCTGACGGATATGTCAACGTTAGATCTGTAGACGTGGTCGTATTTTGTTGCGGTCTTTATTACGCTATGGATTCATACTTCCTACCAAAGCTACGGATTCACACTTCCCAAAAGCTCCTTCTCAGACAAGAAAAAGGAAGCGAAATGGCTGCTAATGATCATGACTATATTCCAGGTCAGGTAGGAATAAATCAAGATAAACAGTTTTTCACTATGTTGGGTATAAATTCTGAATGCAGTCCTTAGTTTTACCCGATTTTCAAATGATTGTTACTTGTTGATCAGCTGTTTATCTCGGACGTCAAAGCGTAATGGATATTCGTGAAAATGACTCATATTTGTATTCAACATACCGAGTTTTTTTAAAGACTGCACCCACTCGATTGGCTTCCATTTGTCTGTCTCCAAGACTAGATCGATATCGTACTGATAAGTGCTGAAAGGCACGAAACAGCTCAGTTTGTGGTTGGTCATGGTTACTGAGATGGAAAGCAGACATGTTCAGTTCAGTCTGTTTCATCCAATATCACTCCTCAAGTTTTTGCTCTATGTTTTGGAACACCGTGTATATGCGCATTTGAAAGGTAACCTGTCTCAACCTGCATAGTAACTGCTTTACATAAATACTGTTGAGGATATTTATTTTCCAGTTTAAATTTTTTATTATAGGAGGAAGATATATGGTCGTAAAGTATTAAACGTACGGGTTTGTTCCTGTCCAAAACGAGACAAGGAAAAGGACGAGAAAGAGTGTTTTTCTGGCAACCTAAATCCTCCCCAAGGTAAAAAGAGGAAAATGGAAAAACAAGATAAAAAGGTTCTCATGTCTAGTGATCACCACGAGTTGAAAGAGTATTCAGTTACAGTAAGTCTTCATTCAAACCAATAAGTTAACGTTATTCCAACATGAGCAACTGTGTTCCCATACATTTGTGGTCCGCTGTCTGATAGTAACTCGAACATTTAATCAAGTTCACATATATTCTACCTCACAGTAGTCAAGAATTAAAGCTGACATTTAAAACACTTATGCAGGGTGAATTTTTGGTGTAGGCTTGGTCAGTAACTGTGTTATTGTGCATAGCATTTGAAAAATGTAAATACAAAATGCAGTGTGCTCCTTAGGTGGAAAATATTTTTGTCTCTAGGTGGTGATTGACAACTATGACATGACTCAAACGTGCATTTCTTTAAATTGAACGATCACATTTTATTGCAGATTTGGATACCCCCTTCCAAACAAAGCAGTTTTTGATAACATACTATAGGGTTCTATTTCCATTTTATGAGATATCTGACAGTACATATACATATAGAATAAAGCTGAACTTTGAAAACTCGCACCTCCACAACTGTTATAGCCAAAGTACCTAATTTTTCGTAAGAAAATGTATGCCATATATTATTTCTATCTACTTAGGTTTTCAGTTTTTTCAACAGCTTATACAGGCTGATCAAGAACGCAAAATGAACGATTTCTGAGGAAAATTAAATGGAGCACTCTATGTATTTTCACATTCCTTGATTCCCCTTTCCACAAGCTTTTTTTGATATAAGGCTTCTATGATCCCATATTTTGTTCCCATCCACTGACTTTCTTGGAGAGTTTATACAGGGTATAGTCAAGAAGTAAAAAATTGACTATTTCTCAAAATTTTCATTTTTTAATTCCCTTTTCACAAGGTTTTTTCTGATATGACACAATGAGCATCTTTACATTCCTTGATTCATCTTTCCACAACTTTTGTTGATATAAGGCTTTTATGATCCCCTATTTTGTTCCCTTTTTATGTTTCTTGGAATGTTTATACAGTTTAAGAAGCCAAAATTGACTATTTCTCTAAATGTTCATGTTTGAACTAAGTAAAACAATGCTTACGCGTCGTGCACGATAGCGCGTACAAGTTGTAACATGTTCAAATCTGCGTGATCTACATTAGCGAAGATTGTCAAATACGTATGTATGTAATACATATTCAAAGACATGTCGGATTACAGGGGGCGCCGGATTAGACAGGGGCCGGATTATCGGGGGTCCACTGTATTGTTCATTCACCTTGATATCTGATTTGCAGTATAGGTGTAACCCAAAAACCTGTAGTACAAAACCCCAGAGATCTTTTATCAAAAAAGCTTGTGGAAAGGGGATTCAATAAATGTGAAAATGCACAGGGTGTGGCATTCAAAATGTTTGAGAAATCGTCCGTTTTTCGTTCTTGACCACCTCTGAAAAAGTAAGTGGATAGGAACAAAATTTCAGTGTTTTATTGCACTGATTGTCAAATACCTCAACAATTTGGAAATAGAACCCTATAGTATGGTATATCAAATTGCTTTTAATGAAATAATATATCCAATTCTGCAATAAATTTTAATTCTTTAAAGATTCATGTTTGAGTCACCGCATGGTTATGAATCACCCTGCAGAGATGAAAATATTTTACAAATAAGAAGCATAATGTTGGATACAATTTTTGTAATTAATTTCTTTAGATACTAAGCGCAATAAAAGAGTTGTCGACCGAGCCCATACTATAACTCACCCTGTATGTATATCTTGCAACTAACTTATACTCGTAATTTTATTTTCAGATTCCAGTAGTAGGCAAGCAGAATGCACAGCAGTTAGTGAAGTATGCTCACGATCTAATGGCTGGCGAAGTTGTGAAAAGATTGAACACTGGAAATGTTGTGCCATTCAGGAAGTGTTTGTCTAAAATAAACACTGTCAACATAAGTCAGTATCATCACATATGTGGTATTTCACAATCTCTTTTAAATCTATCATATTATTATTAGGTTGCTACCGGCGGGGAAGTATTGTAATCGCGAAAATTTTCGAGTAAGAGATATTAAGTTTTTGTTTTTTGTCTGTCTGTCCGCTTATCCTATAACCGCCTATAACTTGAGAACTACCGCTCGGATTTTGATGAAATTTTTACAAAATGTTACTATTAAAGTGAAGTAAAGAACTAGAAAGCTTTTAGTTTTTGAAAATTGGTCCAGTGGGGGCGGAGAAAAATGCCATAAACGAAAGAGAAATCGCTCAAACTTCGTTCTTCGGCATTTCAGAGGATCCTGACCATTTTTGAGAAAAATTTGACGTAGTGATTGTAGGGGGTAGGGAGGGTATTCCCCAATTTTTTGATTTTAGTGTATACGCTCCCAACCTTGATAACTCTACGCAGTTAAATATGCTCAGCAGACTAATACTAATAACTAACTAAGGATGGCGTTGCGTAGGAAGTGCACAGTCCACCTACTCGACGCCATTTTTTATACATAATCTCACCAGTTTACTCTAACTCGATTAATTTTTCAGGAGAATCGCAGAACTAAGCTCTGAGAAGTCGCTCAAGTTCTCAGTGATACAATTCGAGGTCAGTGAAGATATCTACTTAATTTTTATGTTTGAAACTGAATTTGTGTTAATGCAATAAATTACTGATTTTGTATTTTCAAGATTGACCAAGTATGTTTATAATTCATACTGAATATTCTATTTTTGATGTATATTTTAAATGAATTCTGAACTTCTCATGAAATTAAAATAACTCGAAGCTGCAAGCAATTTCTAAAAAGTATTTATATGTTTGATTTTCAAGTTACAGCTCACCAAAATTATACAATGCATCGACCTTGCAAGTGCCAAAAGATAATATGTTGAAGACTGATTCATTATTTTTCAGTGCCTTTGGAATGTCCACAACAATTTTGAATGAAATTTTAGTATTCATCACCTGGAGTTATTTTTTGAATGCTAAAATTCTCCCGTTGGTGCTGTACATCATCAGTTGAACGTATTTTTAGGGTGCTGTTTTTTCCAGTAGGAATGACATTTTTTATCAGACTTATATTTTTTGCAATTCCATATACTATTCCATTTTTTATATTTACCTCTATTTTGTGTTAGGTTTACGATCTTTATGGAAACATACAAAAGCTCAATAATTGTCCTTGTGCAATTTCAATAAGTGTTCCATAAAGTGTTTAGATTTAAGTATTTTTATACCTTATTTTTGTATTTTGCAGTCTTTTTGGCGTTTATAATCATATTGTTCAATATACGTTTTTCATAAATGATTTTTTCAACCAGAACCGAACACCCTATCAAACAGCGTACATTTGAAAAATAATATCTAGGCATGGCGTTCGCAGGAATTTTCTCACGTGGGGCCGATCATCGGCAGTGGATAACTTTTTGTGTGTCAGTGACGGATTAATAAAAGTAGCAAATAATGCTATCAACGTTTTATGAAAGTCTCTTCTGGGGGAGAGCACTGATGCTGCCCCCCCTCCTGTTCTTCAATTTTGAATCATCCACACTCCCGCTCTCAGAAGCATTGAGGCAGCATATGACCGCCCCCCCCCCCCTATAATTAAAATGAAAAACTCTTGGTTGAGAATTTGGAAATGTAAGACACGAAGTCAGTCAGTGGAGCTACTTTTGACATTAACGTATATGAGTAGGTATATCAGAAAGTGACACGTAGACAATTTTAGAATCCGAGGTATTTTTGGAAATGGTCGGGAAAATCCTGAAATCGTCATTCTGACGCACAATACAATAATTAAGAGCTTTGCTAAAAAAGCTATTATAGGGTGGGGTAGAAAGACTTCCCGGATTTGGAGAGCCGATAAAAACTGAACTAATCAACATATAGAAAAAAAATTTTTTTAAAGCATATATAATGCCATTTTAAGTCAATGCATTTTGCAAATACATCACTGAAGTGTGCGTCTCCATTGTTGATACACTGACTGAGCCTCTCCCGATAATTTTCCATAACTCTGCTGATCATGTCAGGCGGAATGTCAGCAATTTGCTGGATTATCGTCTCCTTGAGAGGGTCCAGAATTTGGGGGCGATGTTGGTACACCTTTTCCTTCAGGAATAGACACTTCGAATGATATATCCCCCATTGGCGTAGCTAGACGGTCTCAAAATCGGGGAGGTCTATCTGTCCCACCCTGTGGAATAAAAAACAACATTTGGAAACTAAATTCATAATCAGCTACACATTTCAAACATTTTCAATATTGAAGTTGATCATTTGAATTATTTTATTTCTTGATAATAGGATAATTGAATAGATAAAAACGATTTCACCCGAAATGAAGTGAATTTTTGATGAAAATATAATAAACTAGCTTTTTTATCCCCGTATGTTTTCCTGTAGTATTGAACTTTGGACAAAACACGTACACTGACACTAAATGATACCTAAATTATACCTCAAAGTACCTAATTAGTTTTAACAATGAATGAATTAAGAGCCTCTATAGTCGTTACATGTTGTTTGTTGACATCTTTTTTAATTAATGTTAACTTGTTTCTGATTCCGGAGACCGAGAATAATCTTTCACATAAATTCATTTTCACTCCCAGAGTAGACGATATTTTTGAAAAACTTCCCGTAACAACAAATTTTTCGTAAGTCTCCCGCCTTTTTACTTCCGACGTCTACTGACGAGGAAGTATTATAATTGTGCAAAATTTCGAAAGTGCGATATGTTTTTTTGGATGTTATGTTACGTTATGTACGTCACGAAAAACCATGTCACTCATTTCCGTTTGGATGGAATTTTTACACAATGTTACTGCTATGCAAAGAGCGCAAAAGCTTTGTAGTTTTTGAAAATCGGCCCAGTGGCGGCAGAGAAAAAGGCCTAAAACCGAATAACGTAAAAATCGCTCAAACTTCGTTTTTTGACGTTTCAGAGGATCCTGTCATTTTAAAAAAAATTTTAGAGGTAAAAAAACTTAGTTGTGGGGTTGTAAAGGAGCCAGAATGGTTGATATAAAATTTTTTATGCTGGTACATTTATACCCTCTAAACATTGATAATTTTACGCATCTATTAGACATATTTCACACATCATAGATTAGTCCTGAAAACTAGAACAAAAAGAAAAGTATCCTTGGGAAACGGATGGGTACCTATCGGTCGCGGCTGCACCCGACTATGATGTCTGTTCTGATATGGAATCGCACGTATTTCTGCCGCACGACAGCATAGTGTTTTCTATGCTATGACCGCACTGGCACGGTACCACTTCTGCCCGAGTTAGGTATGAGAGAGAGGACGTTTCCAGATGCAATACTGGTAGGGCTGGGAAAGAATGTCTATAGTATGGACTCGTTTGATTGACTTTTCTCAGAAGGGACTAGTTTGTGCTGCACATATTTCTACGAGTATATGTACCCATAACAACTTTACGTGGGATGTGGGACCATGGAAGGCTCTTAGGGTACTTACTATATGCTAATTATGTTGAGAGGAAATGTGCTGGAACCACGAGACATAAAAGGGCCCGCTGAGTGGCCTATGCATCAGTGAATGAACACTCTATGACATCGGGTTAGAAGGTTGGCTCTTCCTTTTTCGATCATTCACTCTGGGAACATAAAAAAATGAATCTCGTCTTGGACTTTTCACGACCTACATTTTGCTGCCCTATTGAATTGGGATGTGAAAAATGATGACTTGATATCTATTCCCTTATTAAGAAACACACAAATTGTAGTTGATACCTCCTAGAACATAAAATCAATTACATCATAATTGCTGAGTAGAGGAGGAAACTAGTTATAATTAAAATAATAAGTGTGTTTATATTAATCGGACGACTCGTAATGTTCTGAGTATCAAGTGTGTGCATGTTGCAGCATATAAATTTACAAGTTCGAAGTACTCAAAACAGGTAAGTTCAAATTAATTTGTTGCTTAATGTAAACCAAGATTGACGTGTTCGCATAAAGAATTTTTTATTTACGTATGGCACTCTAGAATTCTTCAGAATACCGTGAGTCTATGACAAATACTGAAACTCTGAATTTCGGGAATACTTTGAGAGCAGCTCAGTCATTTGTTCAATTCTGTTCATTTTGAATTGTCATTGTAACAAAACGCCTTTTTTGTCAATGTGGATGGTAGAGTACCGAGAGACGTAAAAGGTGTAATAACGTTTTTTTTTTCTATTATTTTCCAAACCCATGGCCATCTTTGGAGAGTATATAAAATAAACAAAGTGATGATTAATTAAATCGATGAAATACCAAAAATCGATCTATTTGAATCCATTTCTGATACAATGAGAACCAAATTTGTCTGATGGCTTGAGTATGAGAGAGAAGTATAGATAGACACAACGCTGACACGGCAATCTGTCGCGATGCCAATATGAAAATGCATGTTGAAAATATGAGTTAGTTTATTATATACGCTCGAATAATGGTTTTTGGAATGTGGATTGTGTCGAATCTGTTTAGGATCGGACCTAACGGCGCTTCATTTTAGTTCGAAATGGAAGGTCAGAAAATTCTGCAAAATTGCATTATTGGTTCGCTTGGCAACATCGCATCTCGGACATTCCAAGGCAAGGTTTCCACCTCCATGCTCATAAATGAGCGATTTTGGTCAGTACCCTTCTAGCGCTCATTAGGGAGTGTAATCCTGCTTCGAACTGGTTTTCACTTGAGTACACGCCGGCCAGTGATTTTTTATTGCGTAATGGGATTTGTTACATTAATTACTAAGGATGTATTTGTGTTGATTTTATCATTATAAAATAGTCAGCTATACCAGGAAAATTAATGTTTGCGAATATCCGTACTCTATTGATGGGTCTGTGCTAGAAAGATGCTCTGATGTACGTGATTTAGGTATAATCTATGATCAAAAGTTAACTTTTAGTCAGCATATAAATAAAAAAGCATCAGAAGCATTGGCGGCTTATGGTTTCATAGTAAGGAATTGCAGGAATTTTCATAACATAAAGTATATTAAGCTATTATGCTTATGTTAGATCCAAAGTCGAAAATCGTAGTATTATTTGGAGCCCTTACTATGAATGCTATAGCACAGCTATTGAAAGAGTACAACGGAAGTTTATGAAGATTGTTCTGTTTAGGATTGATGGGACATATCCAGAGAGAGGTACAAGTAATGAGGAACTATGTAGGCGCTTAGACATGTTGACTTTGAAAAAACGTAGGTACTGTGCCTCAATAATATTTGGTTACAAAATGATCAACAATTTAATTGATTGCCCCATGATCCTGGAACAGATCAAGTTTCGTACTCCAACGTTTGCATCTCGCAATCATAAAATATTCGGGCTTCCTAGAGCTAGGACAAACATTCTTCTCAAGTCACCGTTATATGTGATGTGCTCTAACTTAAACAGAATTGGATGTTACTGTGATATATTTACGACAAATGTTAATTACCTCTTAAAGGCAGCTAAAACTTATTCGGACCAATAGCTCATGTTACTATACAAACTTATACCTGTGTTGCATTTGTTGTTTTCTTTTTGCTTTTTTTTTTGCTTTTGTATTATGTTTATGAATTGTCCTATAAATGGGAAACTGTTGGACAATAAAGCTATTATTATTATTATTATCACCATCGGTAGCAATCCCCATCATCATTAAAATAAATAATTCTAATCAAAATGAAAACAAAATATTAAATTAAATATTCGAACAGACCTACTTTGCAGGTTTGACAGTAATCTAATCTATTGTAGAAGGCTGTGGGAACATTTTCTGGTGTAACATATTGGCAACACGATATATTACACGATCTTCTGCGTCACCGTCGTTAGGCAATGTGGTGATGGCCTTCGCTCTTCAGTCTGCTTCTATCTCTTTCTAACATGTGTTGATACACACTTCCCGCGTTTCTCTCTCATACACATTGAACTCAAGCCTTCAGACAAATTTGGGTTTCCCTGTATACCTTCTCCTTCCCAAAAAGAGTACTTCTTTCCTCCTCTTGGATTATTTTGCGCTAAAATTTTGTTTTGGGATATCTGATATAATATCTAGCTCGGATTATATCTAATAACTACAAAGAATAAAAGTAAACGAAAATTTGTTAGACTCATCGTCGTTATTACAGAGTGTACTTATTTATCAATGAAAAATCATAACAGACCGAATCGCGAGATTCTAAATACATATTGTTTTGTGCATGGCATCAAGGTTTTCAGTAGAAAAATAAAAGCGTGTTGATATGCACTGTCACGATGATAGTCTTACACTATGATTTTATTGCTATTTTATCGTAAACAATGTTATCGTCTACTATAAACCTCGCGTAATTATAATATACAGGGTGTTCTTTAATGATATGCGAATATTTAAGGGTGTGAATCTACATGAAAAATTAATGTTAGTTTGCTTTTTAACTATGGTCTAAAAATGTTTCCTTACAAAAAATCGGGGTGTTCAAGTTTTAGGAAAATGGAAATTAATTAATATTTTCAGATCCGTTTCAGATATTTCACTGATATTTAGTACGTAGTGAAAGTTAATAAGGTTTCATATTTTTTAATGTAAAAATAATTTTTAGCTTTAACAGTAGCGTGCGTACGGGGATTAACTTCGATATTTTTTAAGAAAAAAATGGTACGCCAACGGTTTTTTGCCAAATAAAAACTATTTTTGAATTCCCTGTTCAATTTAAAACAAATGATCTCTCTTGAATTGTTTTCTTTGGATACGCAATTTTTGAGTAAATTAATAAAAACCGTTCTATTGTCTAACTTGCAAAATTATTATTTTTTTAATTGGAAAAGTTAAACACATTACGGGTAATGATCAACAACAACTGACAACATAAACAGAACACAAAAACCAACGAAATGATTACAAAAATTGTTGAAAATGGCCCCCTTCACTTAGTATGCAGTGTTAATGGGACTTGTGTACACAAGTGACTTAAGATAGCCCCACAAAAATAAATCTAAACTGATGAGATCTGAGGACCTTAGTGGCCATTCTGGTGCACCATCATGCATGTACCAAATATTGTTTCTTATTACTAACGGAACATCTAGCGGCAAAGGCAACTGTTGAAGAAAATTGAGGTAAGGCTGTCTGTCAAGTCGTCCCGGCAAGAAGAATGGTCCAATGAAGTGGTTGCCAATAATTCCTGCCCATACGTTAACCGAAAATTGGTGTTGCAAATGGGTTTCGGTTATGGCATAAGGATTTTCTTCTGCCCACAAATGATTATTGAGGAAATTCTTAATGGCATTTCGAGAAAAATTAGCTTCGTCCGTGAACAGAATCATTGATTCAATTTGCGGATTTTGTGTAATTTTTTGAAGATACCACTGACAAAACGTCACACGCCTTGGAAAATCACTGGGAAGTAATGCCTGTACTCTTAAAATATGGTAAATATACGAGGGATGTCTTAAGTTTTGCATATAGAAACATAGTAGGCCGCGCGGACAGAACGTCAGTACTGAATCTTAAACTCACTCACAACAATACGTGCAGTGTTCTCACTACAGTGAATTTTTAAGTGGCGCCACGTCATTAGAAAAATGGAACTCAACCGAGAACATTTCCGCGCCATAGTTTATCACAACTTTCAGAGACAATTATCGCAACAAGAATGCCTTGCTGAGTTACTGTTTGTTTTCGGCAACGAAGAGCCACATCAGTCGACAATTTCCCGTTGGTATGGAGAATTCAAACGTGGACGGGTGAGTCTTAGCGACGATCCCAGGGTGGGTGCACCAAAAATGGCAGTCACCCAGGAAAACGTCGATGCTGTGCGCAAACTCATCATTGAAGATAGACATGTGACATATCGCGAGATTGAGGCGTCCTTGAAGATCTCAAAGACCTCGGTTCAAAAAATTTTACATGAAAAATTAGGAGTAAGAAAATTAGTTTCTCGTTGGATACCCCACCTGTTGACTGAAGAGCAGAAAGCAGTCAGGGTTAATTGGTGTCAAAAAACGCTTGACCGTTTCAATTCCGGAAACTCAAAAAATGTGTACAGCATTGTTAGTAGTGATGAATCGTGGATTTACTGTTATGAACCAGAAAATAAACGACAGTCGGCTGTTGGGGTGTTCCAACGTAAAGAAGAGCCAACAAAAGTCATCCGTTCTCGAAGCGTTTCGCAAAACATGGTCGCGACATTTGTGTCAAAAGCGGGTCATATTGCAACAATTCCTCTTAATGAGCAAAGAACTGTTACTGCGGATTGGCATACCACCATGTGTTTGCCAAAAGTCATCACCGAGCTTCGAAAAATCAGCCCCGAAAGAAGAATCATCTTCCACCAAGACAATGCAAGCTCGTACACAGCCCAAAAAACAAGGCAGTATTTAACGGAAGAAAACGTGGTATTATTGGACCATCCTCCATATAGTCTCGATCTAAGTCTTAACGATTTCTTTACTTTGCCGAAAATTAAAAACAGACTGCTTGGTCAAAGGTTCCAGTCACCAGAAAAAGCAGTTGACGCATTCAAAAATGCCGTTTTGGATCTGCCAGCAAACGAGTGGAATAAGTGCTTCGAAAATTGGTTCGAGCGCATGTATTAATCTTCGTGGAGAAAACTTCGAAAAACAATAAAGTCATTTAAAACTATCTACCGTGTTGTTTTATTCCCATATGCAAAACTCTCCAAACAATTTGATGGCAAATGTGTCTAGCGATCTTTCTCGTACTCGTTTCAGGATGTTCTTCGACTTCGTGCAGCACTGCTACCTCAATTTCAGGTGTTCTCCCACTTAAGGTCTAACTTCAGATGACCCTTTTCGGACAGAACCAGTTTCAACAAGACGACGATGAATATTAGAAAAGGTTCGACTATCTGGCAAAGCACGATCGGAATATCTCTGGTGATAAATCCGTCTGGCTTGCTCACCATTGCCGTCGGCAAGGCCATATACGTAATGCATTTCCGCCATTTCTGCATTTGAATAATTTACCATTATTAACAAGATTGTAAAACCTAAATAATGAAAAAGATGTCACAGCGAACAGATTTGAATAACAGAGACTTGTCAGATTTCAAAAGCCAGTAACATATTCCAGAGCAACTAGATATGTATTGCTAAATTGCATTCTTCAATTATTACATTAATTTTCTCGGACAATACAACGGTTTTTATTTTTTTACTCTAAAATGGCGGATCGAAGGAAAACAATTCAAGAGAGATCATTTGTTTTAAATTGAACGGTTAATTCAAAAATAATATTTATTTGGCAAAATCCATTGGCGTACCATTTTTTTCTTAAAAAATATCGAAGTCAATACCCGTACGCACGCCACTGTTAAAGCCAAAAATTATTTTATATTATAATTACGCGAGGTTTATAGTAGACGATAACATTATTTACGATGAAATAGCAATAAATCATAATGTAAGCCTATCATCATGACAGTGCATATTAACACGCATTTATTTTTCTACCGAAAATCTTGATGCCATGCACAAAACAATATGTATTTAGAATCTCGCGGTCGGTCTGTTACGATTTTTCATTGATAAATAAGTACACACTGTGATAACGACGATGAAACTAACAAATTTTTCGTTTACTTTTATTGTTTGTAATTATTAGATATAATCCGAGGTAGATATTATATCAGGTTTCCCAAAACAAAATGAGGAAAGAAGCACTCCTTTTGAGAAGCTATACAGGGAAAACCAAATTTGTCTGATGGATTGAGTTCAATGTGTATGAGAGAGAAGTATGTATCAACACAAGTTAGAAAGATATAGAAGCCGCCTGAAGAGCGGAGGTCTTGATCCTAGCGACGGTGACGCAGATCGTGCAATCTGCCGCGTTGCCAATATGTTACACCAGAAAGTGTTCCCACAGCCTTCTACAATAGGTTAAGTTACTACCAAACCTAAGCAGGAGGTCTGTTCGAATATTTAGTTTAATATTTTGTTTTCATTTTGATTAGATTTATTTATTTTAATTTTGATGCGACTTAGTGATTTAATTTATTATAAAATCATCTTTGATTGCAGTGTTTTAATTTATTTTAGTATCATCTTTGATTGCCACCGATGATGATAAAATATAAATAATATTACTCTTAGTAGTATTTAAATGTACAAAATTCCAATATAGTGTCCATATGAAAAAACGAAGTTGACGATGGAAGTCGAAATAAGAAACCTCAAATTGAAAAATTGGAAAATTTGAAGACGCCATCTTCAAGAGTGGAAAAAGTGGCAATGGCAATACGCAATTTATTTCGAAATTGCATCTCAAGTCATAACGTCTCTGCTGTTAATTTTATGCTTTACCTTTTGTGTTTAAATGATAAAATAACCTTATAACCGCCGTGAATATTTATAAACATGTTTACATATCCTATATAACGTTATGGTAGTCATTATTGAAATGGGTAATAGAGGGGGTCAAAACAAGGCAAAAAGTTCATATGACCCATGGTCCAAAAGTCAATAGATTTTTGGTCTAAATGGCTTTATAGTTTCCAACTTTAAGTGCTTAATATCGACCACAATCACGACAATCTTACTAATTTTTATAATCTAATCTAAAACGCTTTTAAATTGGATAATTAACAAATAAATGGCCAAAATTTGTAGTCGGAAGTAAGTAAGTTTCATTAAATTAGATATTTAAAACACACATGACAACAGCGCGTCGGTCTTTCATCACTCTTATCGAACCGGCAATCGATCGCAAACGGTAAGTGTTTTGGACGTATTGTTTTGTTTTTGTTCGCGTACGACCTCGTGATTACTTCCAATGTTCTCGAATCAAGAGTTCGCCGACATGTTGTTAGTTTACGGTGAAGCTCGTCAGAATTCAAATCTTGCAGCTCAAATTTATCGCGACAGATTTCGCTAACTGGTACACCCAGACAGAAGGACATTTGTGCAAGTGTACCAAAGACTTCGAGATACAGGAAGTGTTCAGCCCACTTATATTCGCACTCGTGAAAGACAGGTTACTGTAGAGCAGGAGGAACAAATTTTAAATATCGTGGAAATCAATGCATATATCAGCATTCGGGAATTATGCCGCCGCGTAGGACTATGGCATACCATAGTCTATAGAATCCTACGGGAAAATTTGCTTTATCCCTACCATGCACAACGAGTGCAGGCCTTGTTACCAGAAGACTATCCTCGCAGACTATCATTATGTCAGTGGTTTTTGCACAATAACATTAAAAATCCGGATTTTTTTTAAAAACATTCTAGCGACGGACGAATGTACTTTTACGCGGGACGAGATATTAAATTTCCATAATACTCACACGTGGGCTCAAGAAAATCCTCATACCATTCGTGAAGGTCATTTCAAACAACGTTTTAAAATAAATATTTGGGCGGGTGTTCTTGACGATCAGGTAATAGGCCCTTTGGAGTTACCCCCAAAGTTGTCAGGAGAAGGACACCTTAGCTTTCTAGAAAATAACCTACCAGAACTTTTGGAACAGACCTTAGATAACTTGCCATTACAACGGAGACAGAGTTTGTGGTTTCTTTACGACGGGGCACCACCACACATTTTTAGAGGCGACATTCAGTATTTGAATGAACATTATCCAAATTGCTGGATCGGTCGAAATGCTCCTGATCCTCGAAAATGGCCAGCAAGATCTCCTGACCTCAATCCGATGGATTTCTGGTATTGGGGAGAACTTAAAGGGATGGTTTATGGGGCTGGTCCAATAACAACTGAAGCATAACTTCGCGAAAAAAATGTTAATGCGTTTGAAATAATAAATGGACAACTTCGAGAACCTAGAGTAAGAAGAAACTGGGTTCATCGTAATGAAGCTTGTGTGGAAAGTGGAGGACGACATTTTGAACACCTTTTTTATATACAAAAAAGTACAGTGTGGGTTTTAAAAAGAAAACAATGTATGTATCAAAATTGTGTTCCCTATTTATAAGTGGATTTTTTTAATAGGTTCAATAAACTTTTACACACTAGGTGAAGCGTTGAGACAGTTAGTGGCAAGTCCGTTTTTTTTAATTGTTTGCATTTTACAAGTACATTATCAAATAATGAAATAATACATAACAGCCAAAAATAACAAACTCCATCTTTATTTACACTGCGTTCCGTCGTAATTTTCGTCTGGCATTGCATCGTTTTCAGATTTTATTTTACTTTGAAGTCGCTTTTTTCTAAAAAAATGCTGTTTTGACCCCCATGTTATATGAAACTTTCTGCTTCCTTTACCCCCCTCTGTCACCCATTTAAATAATGACTATCATAACGTATACCCTCTGTATAATATCCTACTTCATGTCAGCAACTTTTCCTACATGTCTAGAACGTAAGATAACGTCTTTTAATCTGATAACATAATAGACCCTCGCATGTTATTACAGATAATTGTGAATATGAATTATAATGCTATATATGCACTTGCAGTGAAGTCAGTGAATTGTTGCTCCTAATGACAGAAAGTAAGTGATTTTTTCTCTGTTTTGAACAAAATATTGAAAAACTTTTTTTACGGTTGCTGGCGTTACATTATACGAAATAAGTAAGCAGATTGACTTGTACCATTAGCAGAGCCTAACTTCTACAAGCAGATAATTAACCAAGCTGCTACTTGCTCTTGCACACACATAATGAATTGGGTGATAGATGACCTCATGGTTTCTATTCGCTTCTCAAAATACTCCATTAAATTGAATAGTCTGTCGACATTGTGTGCTATGTTACTGGGGTCAGAAGCAGAACCTCTTGGACTGATACTAAAGACACAACTTTTACAGCCACCAATTTTCAACCCTTACCAAAAAATTTCGAAAATGATCAGGAGCCTCCGAAACTTCAAAAATCGAGGGTCGATTCTCATTTTTTCGCTTTTGGCCTTTTTCTCTGTCGCCAAGCTTTTGCGTCCTTGCCATAGTAGTAACATTGTTTTAACATTTCACCAAAATCCGAGTGGTGCTTCTCAACTTACAGACAGTTATAAGATTAGCAGACAGGCAGACAGGCCAGCGGAGATGAGTGAGATAGCCTTTCGTGATGTACATGTCATATGTATAACATCCAAAAACATAATATCTCATTTTCGAAATTTTTCGCGATTACAATATTCTCCTCGGCTAGTGGCGCAGGCAGTAAAAGTATTAGACATTATTGGCTTTTACTGATTGGTATACGGTTTACCCAACTGTACGCTTCTGAAATTAACTGCTAGCCGGAAATTTCTTTTCTTGCCTATTGTTTGCTGGACTTGCAAGCATTTTTACGAGGTGACCCAAAAATATCTACGTGTTACACCTTTAGGAATAATGGTGGAAACAATGCCTTTATCGTGCTCACCCCAGTGGGGATTTGCATGAAAAATAAGCATAGATTTCTTTCTCTCATTAGGATGTAGACTCATATTTATAACATTTGCGGAGGTGCGAGTTGTCAAAAGTTCAGTGTTTTATTGGATAGATTCTCAAATATCTCAAGAATTTGGAAATACAGCCCTATAGTACGTCATATCGGACTGCTTCGTTTGAAAGGGAGTATAATATATGGTATAATAAATTGTAATGAATTTTATTTAAAAAATGCATGTCATGAATATTTTCTAAGTAATTTTTGAAATTAACTTACAGCTTGTTGACATTAGTACTCCAAAAGCGTTCACCTGGCTACATGGGTGATTTGAACATAAAAAATTGGGCTGTATTGCCGATGAATTTTTCTCCTATATTGTGATATTCGGAGAATAACTAATAATTGTGTTACCCACTTATAAGCCCAATGGAATCCTTTGAAAAAAAGCAGGGGAGGCAGGTACCTGACATAAGAGTTTAGGGATGAATAGCAATTAGCCATAATCCGGAATTTTGATGAAATGTTCATCACCAACCCATAGGTATTCCCATAACGAAATAGGGCATTGTAGGTAAAAATTGTTTGAGATCAGTAGTTCGTGTCTCGCTGTGCATCTCGGCTCGTTGGAATTGTGTGTGGTATTTCTGGTTGTAGTGTGGATAGAGCTTTGAATCTTCCGGGGAAACCAATTGTGGTAATTTGTTAGAACATGTTAAACACATTCGTATAGAAAAATAATTCTTCAAACTGGATTTTGCACTATTATAACTTTTTCGCCTAAAAAATTAGTTTATACAGTTTTTTCGCATATATAGCATGAAACTGCCCTAAGGGATAGTTTTGTTTTGGAGCCTTCTAGTGACAGTGGCTGTGAACGTGTAAGCTACTCTGGCGCTACTACATCACATACTATGCCTCAAGGGCTAACAAAAACATGTTCCGCGGCCGACTCGCTAAGCTAGAGTACAATAACTCTATGAAATATATGCAAAAAAATCCTTATCCTAACTAGAAACTTTAAGAAAACACAGCTTTGTGATTAAATTTTGATCGAAGTGCGGATGGGGGTCTTCCAAACTTCATTGGGGAAACCTCTTAGTGGGTCGTTAGAATGTGATAAATAATCACGATTCTATGGAAGAAAATCATGGCCCTAACTCTATTTTGAAAAATTATAATTTTTGCTAAGGAATGACAACAGCAACATTAAAGCGCTATAAAACAGAATGGAGAACACGTTGTAATGCTCAAGTCCAAAGTGGTGGTATTATTAAATAATATCTCGTTCTTGTCTCTAGGTCAATCGTCAGCACAACGTCAGATCCAGTACACGGGTATTTATTTAAAGCGTTACTTGCATAATTTTACACAACATTCAGATAAACTGTGTTGTTTCTTGATGATCAGATGATTGGCAATGTGTGCATAAAATTATTTCAGTTTAGAGGTGAGATTATTATTTTTCTACAAAGTTTGCGGTTGAGTTCTTCATTGTTCTTGGTGCATTAAAAATAATGGGTACATATATCTTTATTATATTGATATAGATAGGAGCATATCCAGAGTAGGCCATTGTTTTTTATATCAACAGACAATAAAGCGGGAATTTTTAAGATGTCATTTATTACGAATTAATTCAATTTTAACATCTTTAAATATAGAAAGCGTTATATCTATCCATCTCTCGCGAATATTGTTTGTTAATTTATTCGCTATTTTTAGCATGTTTTGGATGGTCAAAACTTCTAGTCGCTGTAATCTTTCTTTTTATGCATATTCAAAATCTGATTATAAACTTGTTTGGAGTTTGTCAATTTCGTAATCTTGGATATTTAGCATAAAAATTTAAAATTCCAGGTTTTAAATGGATCTTATCGACATAATAAGCCTGATAGTAGCCTTCGGAGCGATCGTATTCGTCTACTTCTGGTGGTCATACAAATATTGGGAAAGAAGAAATGTTCCATACATTCCACCACGGTATTTGAGAGGCAATTTCGAGTCGCCTCTTGGAAGAACCACTTCTCAATTTGACGAAGTTATCAAGTTGTACAACTATGCGAAATCACAGGGTACGTAGCAGAATGATGAGAAAGTTACGTCGTGTATTTCCTCTTTAAAACCCAACACGCTGAACATATTGGCATATTGACTAAGTCTTTTTCAATTTATGCATCCTTCCCTAATTGTTTCGAGCTATTTCGTACTTCTCACATAGTGAGTTAAGCAAAAAATTGAAATCAATCTGTCGTTCTGATAAAAGTGGTACAGTGATTTCCATTTTCCAGTTTCACCAAGACTTCGAAATATTTACATATTTACATAAAATTTTGAAATAAAGACATGTTATATTTTTTAGGTTGGAAATACTGCGGTATCTATAACATAACAACACCATTGTTGATGGTTTTGGATTTAGATTTGTTAAAATCCATTCTTACCAAAGACTTCAGCCATTTCGTAGACAGAGGGCAATACGTGAATGAAAAAGATGATCCACTCAGTAAGTATTCCGAAACGTTATTCTAGAAACCATTGCGTTCTAGAGTTCAGTTCATTCTTAATGTCTACTAATTTGGTCATATTTTAGGTGCTCATTTGTTCTCAATTGGTGGTGAAAAATGGAGAAACCTACGCGTGAAGTTCACACCCACATTTACTTCTGGAAAAATGAGATCAATGTTTCAAACTATATCCGACTGTGGTTTGGCACTTGAGAAATATTTGGAAGAAGAAGTTCTTGATAAGAAGCCAATTGATATCAAGACGATAGCTGGTACGTGAAGTCATATTTCGCATACCATTAAATTATTTTAATAATACATAATAATACTAATAATAATAATATATAACTCTTATTGCAAGTATCCGGATGTATGGCCGTGTGTGTATATACTTTTTTAGTTGCATATGTACATCCATTTCAGGCCTGATGAAGCCAACAAGCAGAAATACGTATCGCTCGGGTTACCTATCCTATTTTCTGCTTGAATCCACTTTCCTTCTTTTTGCGGATCTTGCCCATTATTTTTCTATTTGTTATATACATTCCTCCGCATGACCCTTTCCCTTTGTAAATCCTTGGGGCTTGAAGTACCATATAGCAAGTGGCTATAACCGACAGCGTAGTCGTGGTTAGATGTCGCCTTGAAAATTTGAGGTCTTCTAGCCATTTTATACTACAATGTTTAGGTTGAATATGTGAATTTATTTCGGGTCTGATGAAGCCAACAAGAAGAAATACGTATCGGCCGGGTTACCTATCATATTTTCTGCACGAAGCCACATTCTTTCTTTTTGTGGATATTGCACATTATTTTTCTATTTGTTATATACCTTTCTCTGCATGATCATTTTCTCTTCAGATATATAGATATACAGCGTGAGCGGATTTCAAAAAATAATAGAAAAAAGCTACAAAACGTAGGGAAGATAATTTATATTTTTAATAAAGTAGACACATGGGATTTTTTTTTAAATAACATCATTGAGATGTGAGCCATCGAGACGTACGGACTCCTCGAATCTCGACTTCAAATTCGTGAAAACTCGCTAGCACATCGTTCGTGGGATAGCGGACATCTCCGGGGAGGCCACGGAATGTCCCCTCGTCGCGATATCAGTTTTCCACTAAACATTTCGTTTACAAACGCTAAAGACTCGTTGGCGGTATGGGATGTCGCGCCGTCTTCTTGAAACCAGGTCCTGCTATGGTAGGCTTCAAAATTATGCAGTTGTGGAAAGGAACGGTTACGTAACATTGCTGGGTAGCGATTTGAATTAACTGTTACAGTCTGGCTTGCTCCTTTCTGAATAATTTTGCTTGTTAAAAATCCAGTCAAATGAAAATGAGCTTCATTAGAAAACAGAATGTTGTTCAAACTTGGAACATTGTTTCGGCAAACGCACGGCGTAGATGGTGGTCCTGCGGTTTCAATTCCTGCAATAGTTGAAGTTTCCTCTGTTCGTATCGACCTTGGTTACCCGGCAGGCTTCTGATAGTTTGTCGAACCGGTAGACTCGAACTTTCTGACCCACGACCTGATCACACTTTCACTTGGACATAGATTTAAATCATGTAGACTAAACTCAGAGCGAAACAGACGCCCCGCAACAATGCACGAAGCTCCACTTTTGTAATAATCCTTAACACAGATATACTTGAACAGGTTTTTAATTTTGAGTCATCCTAAATCTTTGACTGGGCCGGTTACATGATCGGATACGTTATGATTCCATATGAAAGTTTGGAAATAATTACTGATTGACATAGTCGCTTTTTGGTTTTAAGGATAAGGAAAAGCCTGTTGGTTGATAACAGTATCAGCGTAAAATAGCATGTTTTGATGCCGCTGTAATCATGCATGCGAAAACGTAGGTCTTCGTCTATAAGTAAACCCAAATTTTTGCATAGATTATTTAATTTTAAATATGGTATGTGCTGCCTACTTTCAGGTTCAAGTTCGCTTTTAGAAGTATCCGCTTTTCTTTCCTTCACAAAGTACAATAGTTAATTTTTGTTCATGTAGCAGAATAGTTATTAATATTTCGAGATCAATATTAATTTTAGGCTCAGCCATTTTAAAATCATGAGAGGGAAAGCCTAACAATGATATTTTAAAACGTATCTTTTCTAAAGAAACACATATTAACATCGCATGAGTCTTTACAATAATGTTTTCGAAAGCATAAATCAGTTTCTTCTATCACCTTTAAGTAACTACTTGCACAACATTTTTGCAACGGTTTCTTTTTAAATTTGGCCTCCTCTGCTACTAATTTGTATTATTCATTTTCACTAGTAAAGGATATAAAACAATTTCAAAGGTATTTGTGCGTTCTGTGATCTAGATGAAAATATGCTTCTTCATTTACAACGGATACGAGTCCGAATCATTTCGGTACTATATATTTTTTCAGCAAAAATTCAGCTCTATGAAATTTAAAATTTGTTTCAGGATAATTTCCGAATATTCAGCATCCTAAAACTGTTTTTGTTTTTGTTTCAGCTTGCTACACAACGGACATCATAGGATCTGCCGCATTTGGCATTGACTGTAATAGTTTCAAAGAACCGGATTCGCCATTCAGAACCTTTGGAAAGAAAATATTTGAAAGTGATGGACTGCGAAGGTTGAAAATCGTGATCGCCGTAGCTTTTCCAAAGTTGGGACAGTTTCTCCGTCTCAATGTAACTCCAGATGACGTCTCCAAATTTTTCATTAAAATGGTCAATGATACCGTCGAATACAGGATAATGAATAACGTCGTTCGAAAAGACTTTCTGCAATGTCTCATCGATTTGAAATCTCAGGAGGAGCAAACTCATAAAAGTAAACACTTTTCCGCTCAAACAAAAAAATCAAAAGTGCCGGGTTTAAGGTCATTTAGAAGACAACTGAAAATTTCAAATGGAAATGTATTTTTTTACTGCACCGACAGAAATAGCGGGAAATTTTAAGTTCAAAATTGACTTTGTTCATGGCCTTAATGTGACTTAGAGGTCAACTAATTTCAAGGTCACATCCAAACAAAATTTTTCATTGTGTGAGCCATAAATTACGCTTCCATTGTACAATTCCAAGTTGTCATCTAAACGACCTTGAAGGTTACGACCAAAGTCATCTCCGAACGTAAACATTCGTCCTTTCCAGCGGTGGGGTCCAAAAACGTGACACCGACCATCAGATTGTTCTATCAACATCCTACAACCATTTTTAGTTTGATCAGCGGAAACTTTTTGAATATTCTGCATGTACTGCGTGCCGGAAGATCAGAAAATAAGATTTCATTTCTATCCGGCGTAGATAGAGCGTGACGTTATCATTACATTTACATTTGAGGGAAGCATTGACCTAAACGTTTACTTTTGAGCTTTGGAGAGGATTCGTTATACTTATTATCGATCATACAAAAAGTGGAAACACACACTCAAAATATACCTTTAGAGGTAACATACATATGTGTTTATATTCCGTGAAAACAAAAATTAAAAAAACAGCCGAATATGAGACTTCCTCTCCATGTCAGCTATATACAGGATATGCTTGTCTCGGCAATATTATTTACCAACGCACTGCGTAGTTTTGTCAGCCGGGGCGGGGACTTAGGGTAGTCTATTTTGCATGTATATACGAGGTCTGCAAATATAATTACAATTTTCCATTCCCCATAACAGCTCTTTTCCACTTTTAGAACACAATAGAAGAAACTATTTCACAAAAAAAAATCGCTATGGACAACAAAATGACTTGAGCGAGTTCAGACTTGTACTGAAGGCGGATCACATGTATCCCTGTCCCCCCTCCAAGCCCGGAGCTTTCAGTCTTGTCAGATCGAACGCTACGTTGCCAGTCTCATCACTTAATTTACAGACCTCGTACTGCAGTGGATCTCGCTTGATTTAGTTCATCCGAAGCTAGCATTGCGCTAACGAGTTTCTAACGTCTTAAATAAGGCTCGGACATATTAGACTAAAAAATTGTAATCCCCAGTATACAAGCAGCATTTTTTATTTTCTAGAGGATGGCAAATCTTTAACAATGGAAGAAATCGCAGCGCAAAGTTTTATCTTTTTCATAGCCGGTTTCGAAACTAGCTCTACAACTATGACATTTGCTCTTTATGAATTGGCGCTACATCCAGAGATCCAAGATAAAGCTAGAGAAGAGATAGTTCAAGTCTTAAAAAGACACGCTGGCGAGTTTTCTTATGATGCGGTGAATGAATTGGTGTACCTGAAACAAATCATTGACGGTAGGTATATGGTATATGTAAATGCCATATATTTCACTTCCCAACTCAATTGGCGCGAAAAATATGGTTTTTAAAAAAGGATTGACGTTTCAATTTGGGGGAACACCAGAATACTACCTGGTCAAGGACGGAAAGGTTTTATAGGTTTGGAAAGCGACCAGCGCAAAATTTCAAAACGTTCCAAAACTTAATTTTTCAAAATTTTTGATCTTCTGGCCACTCTGGACTGGAATTTTATTTGAAGATCCAACATTTAAAAAAAATCGAAACATCGTTTTTACTTCTCACGCCTACTTTTACGAACTGATGACAGCGCAGCTTGGAAAGTAGAGAGTCAACAACTACGCATTTCTTGGCCTTATGGTCTTCTGGTCACTTTTACGAGTAGTCAAAAGAATCGTATACGTCCAAAAGTTGTGGAAGGTACTGAAGGTATTGAGTGAATCTACTTGGCTCCATTGTTTCTAGAGACTTTAAGAAAGTATCCAGCACTACCTTTAGTCACTCGCGTATGTGTAAAGGACTACAAACTACCGGGGACCGATGTGATGATTGAAAAAGGCACGAAAGTTATAATTCCCATTTCTGGTATACATCATGATGATAGACATTACGAGGACCCAGAAAAATTTGATCCAGAACGGTTCTCGGAAGCTAACAAAGAAAAAATAAATCCTTATGCACACCTTGCTTTTGGCGAAGGACCACGGATTTGTATAGGTAAGGTTTGCTTGCTGAAAAATGCACCTATATTTGATAACCTCGGCCACTGCCGATTTAATACTACACAGCAGTTACTGACTGCCATTCAGAAATGAGTATGTGGACAATACGAGGATGATGCGGTGAAAACTTCTCGGTCTGTTTCAACTTGTTCTCTCAAGTTTCTTATACGATTCTTTGAAGTAAACGTCTTGCATGGTTTTCATGACACTTGAATATTTTGCTGTCATAAAATTCTAGATTCGGTATATATAATATATAGATTGATTATATCAGTACATATCAAGAGACATTTTAATCAGTTATCAAACATTGTCGATAAACAGTTTTACGTCAAAGCTCCAAAGAAATGAGGCTACCGTGTACGGACAAGCACATTATTGCTGCAATCTGAGGTAACTTTTTTTCATGAAAAGTCCAAATAGCGCACTAATGTTTTTGATGCCCTGCACCACATGGGAAATTGTACTAGAAGATGTTTCGAAGTCATGGAAAGTATAGCGTCAATCTACTTAACGCCATGTTTAAACTGTAAATTGCAGTCTTTCATTGCCAGACCGAGAACTGTTCATTTTACGCTAACTAGAAGTGGCAGCTTCTTACAGTGCGTGCCGAGCTCTCAAGCTCATATAAAGTCGCCAAAAAAATCACCGCAATTTATAGGAACTGTTACTGTTCAAGTATTAAATATGCCGTTGCATATAGTTTACCGGTAATAGAGGTGCTGCTACCCCAAGGATATTCACGGTGGGACAAAAATTCACTCACCCTGCATAAGACTGATACTTTTCAACAATGAATATATTTTTCAGGTATGAGATTTGGAATAATGCAAACTAAGGTAGGACTAGCATCAATCTTGAAGAATTATAAAGTGAGACTCAACGAAAAAACCAAGACGCCCTTGAAGATTTCCATAAGGTCGTTCATACCTACTACAGATGGCGGTATGTGGCTTACCATGGAAAAGATAAATGAGTGATATTTATAATTTTATAAAATATTTTATAGTATTAAATAAACGTGGAGTAAATATGAAAACAATAACTGGATTTTGAATGAATGAATGAAACATTCCCACGTCTTTGGAAAGCTCATCAGATGGATACCTGGTTTGCCAAGCATTATTTTAAGTATCCACTTCTGCATTACTTCCAATTTATTGAGGTTTATACTTGCTAGGATACCATAAGTATTACATCTTGCCGTACATTAAATGCATATCAGAATATTCACCACACGTATACTCCGTGATGTTTAACAACTTATAGCCAACTTAAAATTATTCATGAATTTTAAAGCAATATTATGATAAATCTTAGAAACCATAGATATTATCCAAAGCAACGTGATTTTTATGTTATAAAAATGTTTTATCATCTTGGTACAAATAATGCATTGGAACTTTTAAAAACAAATAACGCGAAAACTATTAGCTTTAGCATTTTTTAACAAGTATACCTTTTTTATTTTGGGAATACGAAATAATAAGATTTTCCGGTCAGTTATTATATACAGGGTAGCACAAAAGAGTTACGATAAGTCATTTACCGAAATATTTTATTAAAGTTATTTTCAATATCCTAGTGCTAGGTATTTTCAAGGCTTAAGTGGTAGAATATCTTGTAGCTAAACTTCGCTTCAATAAAAGTCGTTTATTATTATTAAATTTGATGATTTGAATTACATATTTTATTTCTTGATACTAGGATAAGTTGAATAGATAAAAACGATTTCACACGAAATGAAGGGAATTTTTGATGAAAATATTAATCTAACTTTTGTATCCCCGTATTTTTTCCTGTAGGATTGAACCCCGGACAAATCACTAAGTCACTACGTGACAGCTAAATTCTACCTCAAAATACCTAATTAGTTTTAACGAATAATGAATTAAGAACCTCTATAGTCGTTACATGTTGTTTGTTAACATCTTTTTTTGTTAATCTTAACTTGTTCCTGATTCCGGAGACCGAGATCGATCTTTCACATAAATGCATTTTCACTCCCTGAGTAGACGATATTGTTGCAATACTTCCCGTAAGTACAAATTTTTCGAAGTATCCCGCCGTTTTACTTCTCGCGCCTACTGACTGACACTGAAAGTGCGATATGTTTTTTGGATGTTACGTTACATCACGAAAAACCACGGCACTCAAAAAGGCCTAAAACGGAATAACGTAAAAATGGCGCAAACTTCGTTTTTTGACGTTTCGGAGGAAAATTTGTGAAAAAAATTTTAAACGTAAAAAGCTGGTATGGGGGTCAAAAAATTTCAACTTTATTTATTCCGAAAATTGCCATTAAATATTTTGTTGGCTTGAGAAAATAAAAAAACAGTCATAGCACGTTTAATACACTTTATTGGTATTTTTCAGTAGCTAAAATCAACAAAAAACCATTTTATTACATAAACTTAAGAGATAATAACAATGGGCCTTATTAACCCCCGGGGGGTAATAAGGCCACTTTTTAAGTTATTACAAGATTTCTTATGTTAAGGCTTGAATGATATATCCTAAATCAGACTTTGTAATGGGAACTTTGGAAGTAGATTCGCTTAGAAATATTGTACTTGAACGACTAAGAGGTTCGATTGAATACAAATAACCAGTCCATCAATATAGATCCTAGTTAAACTAATGATAACGATACTTATTCATCAGAGTTTTGACAATAAATCAATTCCTTATCGTTTTTGGTCAACACTACGTATTCTTCGTGGTACCATATGTGACATTTAACACACTGTCTCATATCCGACACACGATTTTCCTTGCAAGCACAGCAAAACCAAGATTCTTCTAACTTAACTTTGCTTCTTTTTCTTTCATCACTATGAGATCGTTTTTGGTTTCCATCTTTAGTTTTCTTTTCTGTTTCTTTGATTTTTCTTTTGTAATTATTCAGTGTTGCTTTCTTTGTCATCTCGTTTTCATTCAATGCTTCTCGTTCTTTGGTAATTCCTATAATTAATAGCTTTTCTCCTCGGCTTATTTTTTGTAACAGCATAGTTCGGAGTTGGGAATAGCTCTTGAAAAGGAGACCTAAATTTCTTATCTTTGAAGTTAGCTAAAGGTATGTTGTCATCAGAACTGAAACTATCGCTGTCTTCGATTTTTCCTTTAGAACAATATATATTATCCATGGGCAGTGATGATTTGTTTGATGCCAGTTTTGTTCCCTGCTGTACAATAGTCGTTTCAGTATCTGTCTCGAATTCTCAACTATAAATCACATGACGACGATATATAGGAGACCTGTGATGTCTTGAAGTGGAAGGTTGTGGTAACCGCATCATAGTGACAACGGCTCTACCAATGATCTGTATCTTCTTAGGTGTTGTTTCTACATTACTCAAGATCTTTTCAGATGACTGGATGATGTCTTTATGTTGTTGATTAGCATTAACCGTCAAGGCATGCGGATGTGTGGCGCTTTGGGCAGAACTTTCTTCAGGGGAATGTGGAGGTTGCTCTAAAAGAAATGGAGAATCGCTATTGTTCTGAGGCTGTTCTTCTGGCTGATTGACACAATCTATATCGGAGCCGACTGCAGCACTGGGTTCTGTTGATGGCGGTAGCTCAGTTAAGATAGATGGAATATATGCCTCGTCAGGTATGTAATATGTCCGGATTGAAAGGGTATAGGCCTGTAGCCCGAAAACCGTTTACTATATTTTCATGGGTCAAACATTGTGACCAGACCCTTGTGAAAATTGCATTAAAACTGGTTTTCGTTATGCGTCTTTCCGGATTTTGGTACATGTAATTCAGAACCTCCTGATCCCAATAATGATCAAAGGATTTATTAACGGATTTACCGAGGGGCTGTAGCTCATGAGTTGTGTAACTTGGGAGGCAATATAGGACTATGTCATGACGGTCTGATTCCTCAGCAATCGAATAATCTAAATGGGATGTCGCTCCATCGAAGATTAATAAAATTTTCCCTTAAACCTTATATTTTGCCAAATGTTTGATGACCTCAATAAATAATTCGGTTGTCATACTTACTTTCGGTAACATTTTTACTAAACTGCCGGCTGGTAAATTGTCACTAAATTCAGGTTTCTGCCTCTGCCCTTTAAATATTATCATTGGCGGAATAGCGGTCCCGACAGTTACCTTTTGAGCTTCTTTTTGTGCTAAAACAGTCTGTTGATTATGAACAGTCAACTGGCATCCATTTTCATCTATATTGTAACGTTTTTCTGGATGCGTTGCTATATCAAGTTCATCATATAATTTCTTAACTTCTTCAAAGTGGTGACTTACGATTGGTCTGTTCACCTTTTGCGCCCTGGCTCGATTCATGAACTGTACCTTTCGTTTTGAAATTTCTGGATGTCGCTTCAAAAACATATTTAGCCAGTCTCTGCCAGCAAGGCCAACGTTTTTGTTAAAATTATGTTTAAGTTCATATTTTTCGCAAAAGATGAATGTTTGTCTACGAATAATCCTAGGAGTAAGTGGCATCCCAATATTCGCGAATCTTATGATTCTGTTGACAAGATCGCGTTCTTGAGCTTCATTCATAATAGACCTGCATCCTAGACGTCTTATTATACTTCCACTTTTTAAGTGGTTCCTCAGCGTACGTCTAGGGGTCTAGGTATGTTATATAGGTCTGCTGCACCACGCTGCGTCAACTGTCCTCGTTCTACAGATTCCATAGAGCAGAACGTGAGTTTTCTTGCGTCCTCTGAGCTCGTCGTAGAGGCATATCTGTCCAGTCTGTAAATAGAAAAAATATGTTGAGTTATATAAGAAAGTAGGGTAATAAGGCCCATGACCTATTTCAGGGGGCCTTATTAGCCGCTTAGCATTATTTTTATAAAACCATCAATTCACAACAAAAAGAGATCTTATTTTCTATTAAAACCATAGAAATTATATACTATTGCATCTGATGTTTAATAAAATTATTATGCTACGCTATCGCTTAATAAAAAATGAAAAAGAATACTCGCATTTCTTCATCACTAATAATTATAAATCGGAGTGGTGTAGCACACTCTTGTTACAAATCGTTGGCTACTGGCAAAAATTGGCGGTGCGTGTCGGCCGCATGCTAACGTCGCGGTGTACCTATCGGTCTTACGCATGTGCGAGTCCAGTTTGAACCGGGATAGAAGTATTTTAGCGCGAGTTTTTGAATGTGGGCCTTATTACCCCCCGGGCCTTATTTGCCGCAGGCACCTTATAAAAAAACTACCCAAAAGAGGAAAACATATTTACTACAGTAATATGGTCAAACAATTTTAAAAGATAAGTTTTCGAGTTCAAAAATATAAAATAAATAGACCAAATTCACAACTATGAACTTTTTTTGTCTTTTAACATGCCTTTTATAGCAGACTTTAGGTGCTTCCCTTATAATGTTTCAACAGTAGTCCGCAAGCATATTTGTCGTCCATTTTCCCTGATAACGTTTCTCCATAGATGTTCTTGGTGGAACCTCTCACCGTGCTCATCACTCACATCTCCGCATCTTTCTGGAAAGAAATCTCGATGGGAGTAAAAAAAAATGCATCTTCAGAGGCATCTTACACCCTAACTTTTGCTAGCATGTTCTATGCAGCTAATTCATCTTCTTCCAAAACTTAATCTAAATGTGGGTCCTTAAAGAGCTTTATGTTTTGAAGACCAATGAAAATGCCTTCCTTTATTTTTGTATTACTTAATCTGGGAACTGTTTATGTTAAATATGTGAAAGCATTCCCATTTTTATTCAAGGCTTTAACAAAATTCTTCATAAGGCCAATTTTTATGTGGAGAGGTGGTAGTAATATTTGCTTAGGGTCTACAAGAGGTTCGCTTAATACATTTTTGTCTCCTGGTACTAATGCGATTCTTGTTATATTGTTCGGTTCGAGCTCTACTGTTCCACTCGCAAAGAAAACAACAATATTTTGTACGTTATAACCTTGCTGCCAACCAAGCAAGATCGAAATTACCTTTAAATCTCCACAGATTTTCCATTGGTGATTTTTGTGCTCTATAGATTCAAGCAGTAGCTTCATATTTTCGTAAGTTTCCTTCATATGAACGACATGTCCAATTTGTAGGGATGGTAACTTGTTCCCGGTATGTAATAAAACAGCATTGAGACTTAGTTTCGAAGATTCTCTGAAAAGCCTCCATTCTTCTTGGTTATAGTCTATATTTAACGCGCTACTTAGACCCAGAGTGTTACTGCATATCGCCATATTGTTTCTATCTTGAAAAAAGTTGTGAAATTGTCCTGCCCACTGCGTTAAACTGAGACCGCGCCTGGTTGCAATGAATTCCATTGTTGTAAGCGAGAGGCTAGTGTTTCTGCCTTTGCCTTTGATAGATCCAAATCCCTTATGAGATCACTTAGTTCACGCTGGATAAATAAATTTGGTGCTCCACTGGCTTCTTGACAAGAATAATAGTCTGGATCTCCGGCTGCTGATGTAGATGGCTGGTCTAAATTTTCATCCGAATTACCTTCGAACTCTTCTTCAGATACGGTGTACTCATGTAGTTGATCAGGAACAAATAACTCATCGTTATGAAGAATTGAACGAATCGCCGATTCCAAATTGGGATACTGTATCAACGCCTTCTTCTTTTGTTTGGTGATACCTTGCTTAATCGGAGGTATTTGGCAGAAACAACAATCCGCGATATGGTCTTTGGGTTCACGCCAAACCATAGGTACAAAAAAGGGCGTCGCTCGTTTTCTACCATTAATCCAATTACGAAGATTGTTGGCACAATTACTACAACATGTATGGGGAGCCCAACTCTTATCTTGGTCTCCGATATTGCAACCAAAATATAACTGGTATGCCTTTTTAATTAAGCGAGTCATTTGGCGTTTTTGGGCCTGGAGGGTCACTTCGCCACAAACGTAACAAAAGTTGTCCAATTTATTTACACAAGTGCGCAGCATATTCACTTTTCAAGAAAATACAGCTTGTCATTAATAAACGGTTGAACGAACTTGTTCAAGGTAAATGATATTATATACTAAGTGACATATAAATCCGAACACCCAGTTTAAATGGTTTTATTTTAATAAAATTTTGTATAAGTACTTAATGAAGTAGTGTAAGGGTTAGAAGGCGACGTGGTGAAAGGAGGAATCCACATGTTCATCACACTGTTAGAGTTATGGTTTGGGGTGCTATAGCTTATGGTTCCAGGTCACCTTTAATCTTCATCAGAGATAACATGAACGCGCAGCGTTATATCCACGAAGTTCTAGAACCCCATCTTTTACCCTATCTTGACACCCTGGCAGATCCAACTTTCCAACAAGATAATGCCCGACCACATGTTGCAAGAGTCACAATAGACTTCTTTCAACATAATGATGTCACATTGTTACCATGGCCACCAAGATCTCCCGACTTATCCCCAATTGAGCACGTGTGGGATATGATGGGTAGGAGATTGCTCAATTTGCAACGTCCTCCTCAGACTCTAGAAGCACTTCGAGAGGAGTTGGTGGTTGCCTGGAATGAGATACCACAGGAGGACATTGACCACCTGATCAGAAGCATGCCTAGGCGCGTTGGAGAATGCGTCACTTAGTATACATATATAAATAAATAAACACATTTAAAAAGCAATTAGGCGCGAATATTATTCTTAGAGGAGGGTGATTGCCGCCTTCAGTACGGCTATTCAGGTATTTCCAATAAATTACAGGTACCCGAAAAAACAAAGCCAAAAAGCCTTTTTACCTGGCATATTCTTGTTTAACACAACAAGATTAACTAAAATTGGCTAATTTTATTCCAGATACATTTTGGCTGTTGACCAGTGAAGAAAGCGGGAATGGTTTACCTATATCAATTTTTTGATGCTGGTACATTTATACCCTCTTAACATTGATAATTTTACGCATCTATTAGACATAACTCACACATCATAGATTTCTCTGCAGATTAGCCCTGAAAACTAGAAGAAAAAAAACGAAAAATATCCTTAGGTGACGGATGAGTAAAGCTCGAATAAGAATATAGGAAATTATTGTGACAGTCTCCGCGGAGATTTAGGGAAATCTGTTAACGCCCTCTTAACGTGGTCCAGTTCTAAGTGTGGTGTATATTTATAACGTAGAAGGCTTAAAAGTTATGTGGTCTTCAATGTCCAGAAATTCTATTCTTTTGTCGCTGATAAGGGACTTCTCACTCCCTCTAAACCATAGGCGGAGTTTGTCGATACTTGGTGGAGATCGGTTATTCAAAGTTGAACAATAGTAAAAATTTCCACTACATTATAATCTACATGACAAGGGCGCCTCTTACAAACTGAACTTATGACTAAGGGAAAGGTTTATATATCTATTACAGATAAAACGTATGTGATTAAGCAATACTTATAATCTTCATGCTACTTACGAACGGAGAGATTTAGCAACGGGGATTATTCAGATCTATTTGATCGATTAGCAGATGTCTGGTATTTTTGAGTCTATTAATTTCTGAGGATTCCAGATAGTTCAGCTTTACCCTTTTAATTTGTGTATGTAGGTTTTCAAATTTGTCGTTTCTTCATTGAGATGTATTAGTTTGTTTCACAGGTACAGATAAACAACCTTGCAATTTCTTAAACCAAATTAAATAATTAATGTTCAACTTTAAATTATTAATAATTTTAATCGAGTGGCCTAAACAATGTCCGCGAATGAGGTTTTCGTGAAAGGAAAGGCAATTGAAAAATTATTAAACATTTCACTAACTTCATGATACAGGAAAGTGTAGAGGGATTAAAGTTTCCACTTCAACAATAGTCGTATGTATAAATGTCAAAGATTTTTATAATTATTGTCAATTAAAACTGGTTTGCTCATTTAGAAAACGCGTGTTAGCTGCTACGGGTATAAGTGAATGCATTTATCTAAACAGAATAGGTTATATTCAAGTAGCTTTTCATTTTCATCTCCATCTAAAAGGCGGAAAAGAAAATCACCTGTTCTGGATAAAATGACTGCAGGACAAATTGAAGAAATTAAAGCAATCATACATGATTTTTATATTTTGGAAAAAAGAAAACCTACGCTGAAAAGTAAGTTTTTAAATTGTAACCGTAGCATCTAGTCGTATTTCATTTTAAGCAGTTTTCAAGGTATTGACCAAAAAATGCGAGATCGCCAACTCAATTTTGATAGTAAAATATCGACTTTGAACCATATTTTGAATTAAATGGGCTTTAGGTCAGTATTCATACACACTATAAGGATTTAGACTTACAACGTTATACATACAATTTATATTTACAGATGAAAAAAAAACACTGACAATAAAAAAGCTCTCATGGAAAAATATAAGATTCGCTTGAATCGAATATATTTAAAGCAAATTATGAACTCTTGAGCTGAGAACAGGAACATAGTATATACGGATGAGACATACCTATACAGGGTGTTTCAGTTTATTGTTGCATATCTTTAAGAGTCGATAGAACTTTTAAAATTAATGCATAAAGTCTATATAAACATGGGTCGAAAAATGCGTGGCTTCCGAAATACAGGGTGTTTAAATTTACTTTCTAAAATAGTGTTTTTTAAATATTTCGAACAATATTTGATGTATAAAAATTGGTATACAAGGGTTTTTTGGTACGACAAAACGAACCATGGGCATAGTTTTACAGTAGCCGCTAGAGGGTGCTCTCTACTGTGCCTGTAGTGTATTAAAATGACCGAAAAAATTTTCTTAGTCCAATTTTTGCTTTTTGAATAAAAAAACTGATTCTTCGCACTTTTCAATATAAAAAGCTCTTTTGTGAATTTTCGTTATAGTTAGCCGTTTTTGAGATATTTCGATTTTTAAGGTTCGATGCATTTTTAATTATTTATGGGAAAATAATATTTTTTTTTACATTTTCGATTTCGGCATTACAAGTAATTAAGATGATCGTTTAGATTGTGTTTTTAAACACAGCAATAATTCCTAACTCCAAATAAACACAAAAAACAGAATATTAATTTGTTTAATTTTTCAATATTATTTTTAACAAATTAAATTAATTATTTACAACTAAAATGCTATTGGATAGTTAGGACAAACATACAAAATCTAAAATAGTTGCTCGAAATGTAAACCCAATTGTTCAATACACAATTCACATCTACGAATGATCGAACGTGGTATAGCATTATTCAAATAAGGTCTTATTTCATCACATGCATTCCTGATTCTGTCTATTAGCATATCTCTTGTGGTTACGGGAGTCTGGTACACTTTTTCTTTCAGAAATCCCCACACAAAGAAATCTAATGGATTTAGGTCAGGGGATCGTGGAGGCCAGGCGACTGGTCCTACACGGCCCCTCCGTCTTTCAGGATAATTTTAGTCCAGCCAGTTTCTAACTATTCTCGAATAATGAGCTGGACAACCATCAAGCTGGAACCAGGCCAATCTTCTTAAATCTAACATAACATCATCCCACATATTTGCATGTTCAGCCTTTAAAAATTCCAAGAAGGTCGCAGCATTTAACCTTGCAGGCAAAAGGTAGGGTCCAAATAGTCGATTTCGGTAGATACCAATCCACACGTTCACACTAAATTCATGCTGAAAATTTCTTTCCCGAACTGCATGCGGATTTTCATGCGACCAAATATGTTGATTATGAAAATTTACCACTCCACGTCTAGTGAAGCATGACTCATCGGTCCATAAAACGTTACTTAAAAACTCCCTTTTATTATCAGTTCTATCAAGAATCCACTGACAAAATGTGATTCTTCGTTCTCCGTCCCCTGGCTGTAGTCCTTGCACAGGTTGCAAATGGTAAGGACGTCTATGGTCGTTTCTAAGAACACGGTGAACATGGCTTGATGAAATTCTCAAGGCACCAGAAACTCTCCTAACGCTTGTGGTCGGATCTCTATCAAACTCACGCAGAATCATACTGGTAAATCTGCGCTGACGAACATTTGTTTTGATCCCTTTGGAGATTTCCAAAACCATTTTCAATTATTTGGCGATGCACTCTTACAAATACTGAGCGAGTTGGATGTCGTCTGTTTGGAAATCTTCGTGCTTATTCTCTGGCTGCTTCTGCTGCGTTTCCATTTACAAAGCCATACACAAAATGAATATCCGCTAACTCTTGATTGGAGAATAAAAATGGCATTTTTATAAAACTTACAAAAAAAAGACAGGTAAAAGAGACTAAATTTCGTGCATTCACAATTGCAAAAAAACGTTTCAGGTTTCAACAGACAACAAAACTGTCAACTAATTGACGTTTAACCTTATTCTGCTTTCAATTTCAAAAATATTTGCAGGCACAGCACTTTTTAACGTTATTTTATCATAAATAATTGAAAATGCATCGAACCTTAAAAATCGAAATATCTCAAAAACGGCTAACTATAACGAAAATTCACAAAAGAGCTTTTTTATATTGAAAAGTGCGAAGAATCAGTTTTTCTATTCAAAACACTAAGAAAAAATTTCATTTCATTTCATTTTAATACACTACAGGTACAGTAGAGAGCACCCTCTAGCGGCTGCAGTAAAACTATGCCCATGGTTCGTTTTGTCGTACCAAAAAAGCCGAATCTTAAAGTTATGCAACAATAAACTGAAACACCCTGTATACAAGTTATATCCACCATTATATAATATTATAATTATTACCTTGTATTTCTTGCTAGCATTGTCGCTACGCTATGGAATCTTATCTCGCGCCTTGAAGTTCACATGTTAACATCCTCTGTATCAGCATATTATATTTCTACTGCATTGTACTAAATCAATGTGTAAGGAAATCTTGTCACTTCTTGTCTAACCGTCCTGTTTTACGCATCGTCGTGACAAGGTTTCACAAAAGTCCTTTTGTACCGTTATTCGAAATAAAGTTTTTTTTTAAAAACAAGTACTTCGGTAGCAGTAATTTAACTGGGGGCTCAACCGGGATCCCTCAGCGTGTCGCGAAACGTGAAACGTGCACCTTCGGCGTCCGAATTCGACGCAATCGAGCAGAGTATCGGCCAGCCGAAATCACCAGTCATAGACACGCGAACTTTCAATTTCTTAGAGGGATCCACAGCCAGCAACAACAGAGTGAAGGTACAGCAGCATTGGGCGTCGGCCCTAAGTTCCAGAACTCCCGAAAACTTTGACAATAGAAGCGGTTCAGCTAGGAGGGTGTGCTGCATCTTTAGCGACACAACCAGTCTAGCGTAGAAACTAGTGAAGCCGAAGAAAGAAGAAAAGGTAGAAGACGAACGTTTTTTCCACGTTTCCCATGAATCTTTGGTGTGTGGTCGTGTTACTGGCAACCTACATTTTTTATGAGCTTTTTTGGTATGAGATTTGATTCAGATAAAATCACTAGATTTTGAGTTATTAAGCTTTTAATAGAACAAGACACCAGAATTAAGGAAACAAATCATATCATCCATGAAAACAAAAGACGAACAGTGGGCTAGTCCCATATTGCCTCTTAAGAGTACAGATTTGTCGTAAAAATTAATAACAATCAGAAAAGTATAAATCAGCTTCAAGCGTAATAGAGAAAAACAACTATATAGTCAAAATCACGAAAGATGACTATTACGTCATACCATAAATTGTACTGATGTCATCAATGGACGTACGTCGATGATAAAATCACGATGTCGGAAACATAATGACAACAAATTTATATTATGATTTTGCGAAGTTAGGTTATTTCACTGATTATTTTCATTTTCATTTTATTTCATGGTTTTCAGTGATACCTTAATAACAATTTTGGTGGGGAGTTTTTGTTTTGAAAAAAAACAGTTATGAGTAGAATACCTTGAGACAGGAACACCAAAGACCAAAGTATTATTCGAAAAGACCTAACCTGGTTTAACATAACCTAACTATTCATCTTTCAAATATGATGGATCATGCAACATGAAAACATCATCTATCTTTGTCGGATAAATGCAAATTAGCAATACAGTTTGTGTAGACAATAAAACTCTGTTTGTCTCTGTCTAACATATCAGAAACTTCATTAAAAATATTCACAAATCGCTATCGTTTGTCTTTACTTCAGACTAAAATGATAACGTAATCGTCATCTTTCGTGATTTCGACTATAACAACAACATGAACAAACAACTATCATTACTCAAGACCTAATCTACAAAAACTGCTCGAAAATATCTCCACCATGTTGAATACACAGCCGTAGTGGGATAAATGACCGTTGCACATCCTTTAGCATGTGTTCCCTTATGTTCAGAAAAGCACCCTTAAACCCTTCCTTCATATTTTCTGCTTAACATAGCCCTATAGAAAGGAGTCCATCGGTGTCATATCTGGTGATCTGGGAGGCCAAGATATAGACCCATCACGACCGATCCAACGATTGTTACTCCAGGTGTCCAAATAGTTACGCACACGATTATGATAATGCGCAGGTGCGCCGTCATGTTGGAAGTGTTTGCATCATGACATCCTCCAAAAGCAAAGGCAAATTGCTCGATAAAAAAATTCAAGTATTCTGTACCTGTTAATCTGCTGTCGAAAAAGAAAGGCCAGGTAACTTGTCTGCCAATAACTCCTCCCCAAACATTCAAGCTCCACTTATTTTGGAAATCTATTTGCCTAACCCAGTAAGGATTTTCCGTCGCATAATAGGGCATGTTATGCCTGTTGACAACAACTATGCTGTTAAAAGTTGCCTCATCGCTAAAAAGAGCCTTATCCAGGAAAGTAGTGTCTTCACTCACTTTATTTAGCATTAGTTTACTAAACTCCATTCGAGCTGCGAAATCCTGAGGACGAAGGCCTTGATGCAGGCATAGGTGATATGGATGGTGCCTGTGCTTGTGAATAATCCTTGGGACAGAAGTTCTGCATATATCAGTTTCTGCTCCAATTTGCCGTCCACTTAAAAAGGGATTTTCCTGAATCTTTAATAGAACCTCCAACTGATTCGCCTCATTGGTGACACTTGGATTATTTATACATTTTTTACTGTATTTCACTGCTCCACTTGATTCAAAACGTTCTCGTGGCGTGGAAAATGTTTCCGGCCTTGAATGTCGCATATTAGAGTACCGTTACTTATAAATGCGAGATGCTAGGAAACTATTTCTTTGGGCTTCGCCCAAAACGAACACCATATTCATCATTTCTTCTTTAGAAACATTCATTTTCAAACACGTTTTTATTGTAATGCTCACAAAGCTAATTTTGACAGATGGTAACTAATCAACAATTTATTTGTTTCCAAGGATGATGCGATATTTTAGGGAATTAAACTGTTCCATAAAAAACGAGCTAATAACCGAAAAAATAGCTGTAAAAGCCCTTATGGGTCCAGTATCAAAAAATGCTTATGTATATAAAATTGAATCCAAACTTGCACAAATATACAAGTGACGCATTTGAAATTTTTGAGAAATACTACAATTTGCGTTTTTGACCACCCTGTTTGAGCAAAAATTAAAATACGAAAAAGTAACAAATAAGATAAAAGCCGAGGTGTATAAGTTTTTTTTTGATACAAAACTCAGCACACCAAATTTCAAAATGGCGGACTGAGGGGTTGCCGAAGTGGGGGGTTTTTCTAGACAGAGCACTTTATATCTCAGTAGCTAATTACCAAAACCCCATAGTATGTTATATCAATTTTCTTCTTTTGACTTGGATTATACAAATAGGTATGCAATAAAATTTGAGGCATTCCATTTGAAAAATCATAACCTTGATATGTAGGTCGAAATACGGACATCCTGTATAATGGTCAATACTTTATAAATGTGCCCTCAAATGTCATGTATAACAACCCATAAATAGATTTTCTTGAAATGTATTTGTTTATGAGTAATATTCCGTCCACACATGGATGGGCCACTCTGTATATGTATATACGGGGTGGGCTATTAAGTTGAGAGGATTCTAAAAAATCATAGAAAAAACTACAAAGCGTAGAGAAGATAATTTATATTTTTAATAAAGTAGACAGGAATTTTATTTTTTTACAATAACGTCATTAAGATGTGAGCCATCGAGACGTACGGACTCATCGAATCTCTACTTCAAATTCAGGAAAACTCGGCACGTCGCTCGTGGGATAGTGGACATCTCCGGGGAGGCCACGGAATGTACTCTCGTCGCGATATCAGTTTTCCACTAAACATTTCGTTTACAACCGCTAAAGACTCGTTGGCGGTATGGGATGTCGTGCCATCTTGTGGAAACCAGGTCCTGCTAGGTAGGTAGGCTTAAAAATTATGCAGTTGTGGGAAGAAAAGTTTGAGTAAAATTGCTGTGAAGCGATTAGAATTTACTGTTACAGTCTGGCTTGCTCGTTTCCGGAGCAATAAGGTCCTTCGGCTGACATGGACGCCTAAACTGTAACATAACTCGAGTGCAAAGGTCGTTGGTGAGCCTCATTAGAAAAGAGAATATTGTTCAAGCCTGGAAAGCGTTCTAACATTGTATCGGCAAACGCACACGGCGTAGATGGTGGTCCTGCGGTTTCAAATCAAATAGTTGAAGTTTATATGGTTGCAATTTAAAGTCTTTACCAAAATACGCCTTGCTGATCTGTTTCGGGATGATAACTGTGGATCGCGCCGTACGGACGTCGAAACTTCGCTTACAGTTTCCTCTGTTCGTATTGACCTTGGATACCCGGCAGGCTTCTGATACAGTTTTTCTAACCGGTAGACTCGAACTTTCTGACCCACCCAATCATGTAGACTAAACTCAGATCGAAACAGACACCCAACAACAGTGTACGAATCTCCACTTTTGTAATAAGTCTTGACAGAGATACTAATATTTGAACAGGTTTTTAATTTTAAGTCATCCTAAATCGTTGATTGGGCCGGTTACACGATCAGATTTCCTAAGATTATTTGTTAACCGGCAACAAGAATTCTGAATTTCTTGTAGTCTGTAGCCAACATTTCATCTAAGCAAGGATATACATTATGATTCCATATGAAATTTTGGAAATAATTAATGATTCACGCTAGTCACTTTTTTGTTTTAAAGCTAAGGAAAAGCCTGTTGGTTTATATCAGTTTCAGTCTAAAATAGTATGTAAACATGCGTGCGAAAACGTAGGTCTTCGCCACATTTCTGCATAGATCATTGAATTTTAAATATGTGCTGCCTATTTTCAAGTTCACGTTTGCTTTTAGATGTATCCGCCCTTCTTTCTTGCGAAAAATACAACATTTAATTTTTGAGAATCGAGTTTTATGTTATTAATAGCAGAATAGTTAATACTCTCGAGATCAATGTTAATTTTAGCCTCAGCCATTTTAAAATCATCAGGAGAAAAGCCTAACATTAATATTTTAAAGTGCATCTTTTCTAACCGGTGTGAAGTTGGCAGACAAAATTTAGGGGACAATTTGCAGCAGATACCCGAATGACCAGTGGCGTCAACATCCTCGACCAGACTGTGATTGTGAAGGATACAGCTAACAGATCGCAACAATAAATATATATGCACGAGAATAAGCACCCCTATAGGAAGAATCATTTTCCACCCTAATTAAATAATTCGCAGGAAACATCTTAATATCGCATGAGTCTTTACAATAATATTTTCAAAAGCATGAATCTATTTCTTCTTTCACCTTTAAGTAACTACTTGAAACAAAATTTTTGCAACCGTTTCTTCTAAAATTTCTCCTCCTCTGCTACGATTTTTTTTTATTCATTTTCACTAGTAAAAGGTATAACACATTTTCAAAAGTGTTTGTGCGTTCTGTGATCTAGATGAAAATCTGTTTCTTCATTTACATCGGATGCGAAACATTTTTGTACTGAATATTTTTTTAACAAAAATTCAGCGCTATGAAATTAAAGTTTGTTCCACGATAATTTTCGAATATTCAGCATCCTGAAACTGTTTTTTTTTTGCTTCAGCTTGCTACACTACGGACATCATAGGATCTGCCGCATTTGGCATTGACTGCAATAGTTTCAAAGAACCGGAATCGCCATTCAGAACCTTTGGAAAGAAAATATTTGAAAGAGATGGACTGCGAAGGTTGAAATTCATGATCGCCATAGCTTTTCCAAAGTTGGGACAGTTTCTCCGTTTCAATATAACTCCAGATGACGTCTCCAAATTTTTCATGAAAATGGTCAATGATACCGTCGAATACAGGATAAAGAATAACGTCGTTCGAAAAGATTTTCTGCAATGTCTCATCGATTTGAAATCTCAGGAGGAGCAAACTCATAAAAGTAAACACTTTTCCGCTCAAACAAAAAAATCAAAAGTGCCGGGTTTAAGGTTACTTAGAAGACAACTGAAAATTTCAAATGCAACCATATTTTTTTACTAAACCGACGGAAATAGCGAGAAATTTTAAGTTCGAAAATGACCTTGATCATGGTCTTAATGTGACTTAGAGGTCAACTAATTTCAAGGTCACATCCAAACGAAATTTTTCATTGTGTGAGCCATAAATTACGCTTCCATTGTAGCATTCTAAGTTGACATCTAAACGACCTTGAAGGTTACGATCAAGGTCATCTCCGAACGTAAACATTCGCCCTTTCCAGCGGTGGGGTCAAAAAACGTGATATCGAAATTCATTTTGAAGGTCATGATCAAGATCACTATCAGACTGTTCTATCAACATCCTACAACGTTTGCTTTACCATTTTTAGTTTGATCAGCGGAAACTTGAATATACTGCATGTACTACTTGCCGAATGATCAGAAAATAAGATTTAATTTTTATCCGCTGTAGATAGAGCGTGATTACATTTACATTTGAGGGAAGCATTGACGTAAACGTTTACGTTTGAGCTTTGGAGATGATTCGTTACACTTATTATCGATCATACAAAAAGTGGAAACACACACTCAAAATATATCTTAAGAGGTAACATACATTATGTGTTTATATTCCGTGGAAACAAAAATTTAAAAAACAGCCGATTATGAGACTTTCTCTCCATGTCAGCGATATACAGGGCATGCTTGTCTCGGCAATATCATTTACCAACGCACTGCGTAGTTTTAACAGCTGGGGGCTGCGACTTGGGGTAACCTATTTTGCATGTATACAAGGTATGCAAATATAATTATAATGTTATATTGTCACCCTTAAAATAACCACACAACGCTGGAGACGGCTTTTCCATTCCTCATAGCAGTGCTTTTTCACTTTTAGAACACAACAGAAGAAACTGTTTCACAAAAAATCGCTACGGACGACAAAATGACTCGAGCGAGTTCAAACTTGTACTGAAGGAGGATCACATGAACTCCTGTCCCCCCTATAAACACAGCGCTTTTAGTGCTGTCAGATCGAACGCTACGTTGCCAGTCTCATCACGTAATTTGCAGACCTCGTACTGCAGTGAATCTGCTTGATTTAGTTCATCCGAAGTTAGCATTAAATTAGCGTTAAATAAGGCTCAGACGTACTAGTGTAAAAATCTATAAGCCCCAGTATTCAAGCAGCATTTTTTATTTTGCAGAGGATGGCAAATCTTTAACAATGGATGAAATCGCAGCGCAAAGTTTTATCTTTTTCATAGCCGGTTTCGAAACTAGCTCTACAACTATGACATTTGCTCTTTATGAACTGGCGCTACATCCAGAGATCCAGGATAAAGCTAGAGAAGAGATAGTTCAAGTCTTAAAAAGGCACGCTGGCGAGTTTTCTTATGATGCGGTGAATGAATTGGTGTACCTGAAACAAATCATTGACGGTAGGTGTACGGTATATGTAAATGCCACTTCCCACCTCAATTGGCGCGAAGATATGATTTTACATGACAGACATATCCTGAAAAAGGATTGACGATTCAATTTGGGGAAACACCAGAATATTGACTGATCAAGGACGGAAAGGTTTTATAGGTTTGGATAGTGACCAGCGGAACCTTAGTTACGAGCAAAAAAATCTCAAAACGTTCAAAAATTCCATTTTTCAATATTTTCGATCTCCTGGCCACTCTGGACTAGCATGTTATTTGAAGAGCGAACATTTGAAAAAATCGAAGCATCGCTTTTACTCCTCACGCCTACTTTTACGAACTGATGACAGCGTAGCTTGGGAAGTACAGAGTCAACAACTACGAATTTTTTTGCCGTTTTGTAGTCTTCTGCCCACTTACGAGTAGTCAAAAAAATGAATCGTGTAAGTCCAAAAGTTGTGGGAGATACTGGGGGTATTGAGTGAATCTACTTGACTCCATTTTTTTCTAGAGACTTTAAGAAAGTATCCAGCACTACCTTTAATCACTCGCGTATGTGTAAAGGACTACAAACTACCGGGGACCAATGTGATGATTGAAAAGGGCACGAAAGTTATAATTCCCATTTCTGGTATACATCATGATGACAGTAATTACGAGGACCCAGAAAAATTTGATCCAGAACGGTTCTCAGAAGCTAGCAAAGAAAAAATAAATCCTTATGCACATCTTGCTTTTGGCGAAGGACGACGGATTTGTATAGGTAAGGTTTGCTTGCTGAAAAAATACACCTATATCTGATAGCATTGGGCACAGCAGTCAGCAATGAGTCTCTGGACAATACGAGGTTGATGCGGTGAAAACTGCTCGGTCTGACAAAGAGATCGCTGGAATTTATAATCCCTGTTTCAACTTGTTCTCTCAAGTTTCTTACACGATACGTTGAAGTGATCGTCTTGCATGGTTTTCTTGACACTTGAATATTTTGCTGTCATAAAATTCTAGATTTGATATATAGAATATATAGATTGATTATAAAAGTACGTATCAAGAGATATTATAATCAGTTATCAACCTTTGTTGATAAACAGTTTTACGTCAAAGCTCCAAACAAATGAGGCTACCGTGTACGGACAAAGGCATGGGAAGTATTGAGTCAATCTACTTGATGCCATATGTTTTAACTGACAATCGCAGTACTTCATTGCGAGACCAAGAACTTTTCATTTTACGTGCCGAGCTCTCAAGCTCATAGAAAGTCGCGTTAACAATTACCAACTTGTAGGGAGCCCTGTTGCCGTGTAAGTATCAAATATGTCGTCCCTGTAGATTAGCACATAGTTTACCGTTAATGGAAGTGGTGCTATACCCCAAGGATATTTACGTTGGAACAAAAATTCACTCACAATGCATAAGACTGATATTTTTCAACAATGTATATATTTTTCAGGCATGAGATTTGGAATAATCCAAACTAAGGTAGGACTAGCATCCATCTTGAAGAATTATAAAGTGAGACTCAACGAAAAAACCAAGACGCCCTTGAAGATTTCCATAAGGTCGTTCATACCTACTACAGATGGCGGTATGTGGCTTACCATCGAAAAGATAAATGAGTGATATTTTTAATTATATAAAATAGTTTATAGTATTAAATGAACGTGAAATAAATATGAAAACAATAACTGGACTTTACTGCCAACATTATATTTTGCACGAGTATGGATCAAGAAGCAAGTGGTGGCTGGTTTGCGTACAAGATGTTATTTGAAACCTTCCCACCACGGATTTATCGAAAACCACTGATTAAACGAAAACACGCGGAAACAAGTGAAAAGATTTGTCAAGGGGGACAACTTTTTAACCAAAAACTACTTCACTCTCTGCCTCGCAGGGTCATCCACTTAAAAATTTTAAGTGACGGGGGTATGGAGTAATAGCTTGTTTGAAAGGTCTTTCGAAGTCATTTACTTTGACAAATTTGAAAACTAGAAAAATCTTTATTTATCTTAATTTGTTCAGATAGAAAACAAAAACACACGCAAATATCACTTTTTATTTCAATAAGTGTTAAAATGTTGCCCGTTATTAACCAAGCAATGATATAAGCGATGTTCAAATTCCTGGCGGACATTTTCAAAAACATGTGGTATATCATGGCAGCTTTCGATAATGCGTTGACGAAGTTCATCCAAACTTTCAGGTTGGGGAGTAAACACAATAGATTTCAAATGGACCCATAGAAAAAGTCTAATGGCGTCAAATTGGGAGATCTAGCAGGCCATCCTATAGGCCCTCTTCGCCTTATCCATTTATCGGGAAACTCGTCGTCTAGCCATTGCCGAACCGGAAGAACATAGCGAGTCCTCACTGAGGAGGAGCGCGGTCTTGCTGAAAATATATTTCAGCCTCATCAAGTATAGGGTTTCCGTCCTCTTCGATTTGGTTTTCAATGGTTTCAGTAATAAGTGGATTGATGGATTATTCAACGTATCCAAATAAATGTCTCCATTCAAATGTCCATTAATAATAATGGCCCAATCAATGTTTCCTAAAATGCCTGCCCATACATTAATTTTTTGGGGGTACTGGGTAAGCCCATCTACAAAAGCATGAGAATTTGTATTGCTCCAAAACCTGTAAATCAGTTATGCTCCAAGTTTTACTCGACGCCCTTACTTATCGGTAGCATCCGTGATAACTTTTAAACTCTATTATGCACAAGAAGTTTGCTGGTGAATCATCAAGTTTAATTTACTTCAAAATATTACGATGCGCATTAAAACCTGTCCCGCGCCCGTGCGCACTATTAAATACAAAAACCAAGCTGATGTACGATTGCACTAACATGACATTACGCATTAAATTTTGATATTAATTTCTGAGTTATCATGCAATTTTCAAAGTTTCCATTGCCGTATTTTATTTTTCAGTAATTTATGTTATTCGCAAAACAGTTATAGTGCGCACTGTTTGCCGTCTGTCCCCCGATCATACCAAATTAAGATAAATACAGATTTTTATAATTTTGTCGAAAACGAATCAACTGATGAACTCCGAAATACCTTTGAAACACGCTATTACTCGATACCCCTTATCATTTAAAATTTTTAAGGGAATGACCCTGGGGGGGCGAGTGTGAAAGGTGGTGAAATAGTTTTTGGTTAAAAAGTCCCCCTTGACAAATCTTTTGACGTGTTTCGACGTTTTTTCTTTTAATCAGTAGTTTCCGATAAATCCGTGATGGAAAGTTTTCAAATGAACACCCTGTATGTAATTATTCATTTTTACTCACCAGAATTAACTGAAGTTTGGAAACGTTGAAAGTCAAATACCTTCCTCGACGAGTAGAAATCCTGAGAGACAGGGAAAGGTATTGATAGAATAACGTTTTCAAAATCACACATATTGTAAGCATAAGCATTAGCTTTTACCTTATTTGACATTTAAGTCAATGATTCATGTGGAACAAATATAAATCAAGTTTGACTTATGCGCCATTCATGACTGCCAAATCTATGTTATTTCAAAATAAACACAAGGTAAGAAAGATATTCAAATGACTTTATTCCTAAATAAAAATAAATCAGTGCATCAAAATTTCCATCTGTACTAGCCTACTATTCGTGTCGCCAGGCATCCTATAGGGCAGCATTCCTGTGAAGTTTGTAAGACACTTTGCCTGTTCTTTCAAGTGCTTTAGCTGCTTATCCATAGTTTCACTGTGATATCGTGGCACGAATTCGTTCGTTGATTTTATTTTCTGATATTGAGCGAACAGTGTGTTCATTGTGGCTAGCAGTACGTCTGGTATAACCTGGAATTTACAAAATATGATCAGAAAGTGTCGTAGCTACGTGAAAAATACCATAAAACGTTCAAGCAGTTCCTTCGCGTATCTTCTAGATATCTTACGCGTCTTGTACTTTTCCAGAGAATTGAAAATTCGCTCATGTCTCGCCGATACCAAAGAAGGATCTAAGACTGGAAGAGACTTTTTCCAGTACTACTAATTTTAGGCAGTTCGAAAATTCGGGTTTCTGTCTACGCGGTTGATTCAGTATAAATGAAAAAAAAAACAATGATGAGTTGTACCACTAATTGGAAAAATTCTATGAGATACAAAAAAGCCTGACCCTGCAAACATCCATATTCAGATTCTTGAAGTTCTTCACACGTTCGTCCAAATCATCGTTGTTCAAAGGAACAATTTGTAAATCGGCCAATGTCTTCAATGCTTGAGGGTACTGTTTGGCGTGGTACTGATCAAAGAACACCAACAGCTCCTTGAGTTTCAGGAATGAATGTATGAGGCTCGAACCCGTCCTGAAACCTATAACAAAATAAGAAAAAAGCATAAAGAATCTGCCATCAGAACGATTTTGACAAGCAACATTACAATATTTTACCTTCACGAGTATATCTCTCTGCAAGAATGTTAGCTTTTTCTTGGAGTCTAAGTCTCAAAGAGTCCGGTTCGTTTTCCAAGTGTACAGTTCTTGACAACAAATTACACATCAACTTCAACACTTCTTCTTGATTGTTAGCTACGTCAAAAAGATCAATCGCCTCTTCAAACAGGCCTTTCTTCACCAGATTTTCAGCTGTCATTTGGGCTATACTTTCCACCTACAATATAAAGGGAGGAAAAGTTGCTTAGAAGTTTTCGCTGTTCGAGTCGATAAAATAGGGTTATCAACTTTTCCTCGATTTGCAACATTCGGGGTTTTTGTACGATATAAACAAATCTACGTGACGCGGGATCGAAACGTCCAGGAACACGCTCCGAATACACTAGCGAAGCATCAGCAGCATGTGGAAAGCGCTTACAGTAAACTAATATTAAATCTTCAAATTCGTTATTGCTTTATGAATATTATTTTCGTTTTTTAAAATCCGCTTTATAAACAATCTTTTCATCTAATTCTTCTTTTACGAAAACTAATATCTCGGTTATTTTAAGACTAGGGTATGTGTTATCATGTAAATTTGCTTATATTTACAAGTACTATACGCCGTAAAAAGGAAAGTAGGCTTTAAGAACAGCCTATATATTTTTTTAGACAAGGGATAGCTGCTCTCAGATAGATTAGCTCGACAATATCGCCCACCGATTTCTAGAAAATATAGACCTGTCTATTTACATTTGGATGTTTGCAGACATCTCTTCGGGAATTTCCCATGCTGCATGTACCTCAATGGCGGCTTGTAAATTTCCGAAAACGCTTCCTATCTATAGTAGGTATTCAGTACCTATTGATAAGTTAACAACATTATGTACTTAGTAATGCATCTTCCACTAGCAAAAATGCAATATGGGAACTACTCGGACGCCTTTGAAGCCGCAACAAGCGACAACGTCTCATACCGAGTTATCGTTATGCGTAAACGTTCCATTCTTTACACGAATGGCATTGCGAGTTTTCGTGTTGACGGAGCAACGTATCATTCAAATTCTCTTTATTTTTATTTTGTTTTTGTGAAATTAGTTATGGTGAGGCACTACGACATATGTAAAGTTATAGCCAACAAAGCAGAGACAGAAGAACATGTTCCGTTTCCGGTAAGTATGGTTATGATTTATTTTCGAATTATAGACAGAATACTATGCTCCAATTTAGTTAAATCCAAGTTTTGCAATACATACTTATTAGGCAACATAATTGACTACATTTTTCTCTTCATACTTCTTGATACTTTGATATTTCTGAACTGAGCATATAGATACTATAAACCATACTAAGCGCTTGGAGTAGAGGCAAGATACATGTTTAATTCATCTTTGAGGAATCTTAATGTCTTCAATTTGGGCTATTAGATTAGTAGTGGTTGTAAAGTTGACGTTTCTCCTTTTTTTAATCGAGATACTGAGAATCCTATCCAAATGAGAGCTGCCTGATTAGACATATTTAACTGAATGAAAATATACAATTTTGTCACTTCTAACTCGTCAAATCGCCATTGCTGACCGCAATCCCTTATTAAGAAATACCATTTCTCTCTCTGAACAAAAGTTCTGTTTTACTGTATCAAATAAAACAAATTCAGGTAACAATTTATCACTTGATTTTTATGATATAACGAACAAGTAGGCGCTTTTCCTCAAATCCGCCATTTCCCAACTAGCAAAGTAGTGGTATAAGCTTTTGGTAAAAGAACCGTTCAGCCATAAAAGCTCTCTATTGTTGTTGCCTGAACACCAAAATGCTGGCCATGTTGTGTGGAATGCAAATTTGCTTTCTGCAACATATTTGCTCTAAAATGAGGTGTTTAAGATATTCTTATAGCATAGTTATCGAACACCTTATAGGGCAAATTTTTAACTGCTGTATAAACGTTTACACAACTATTTTATACGGCATATTTGCATGTCAGTCAAAATGTTTGTGTTGTGGCATCCATTGTAACGTTTATAAAACAAACCCGAGCCTTGTTGTTTTGCTGTGCAATTTACTACTTTAGCCAACAAATTGCTCCCAACGGAAGCACTTATACAACTGTTGTTTAGTAACTGTTAAAGGCTGTACATAGGCTAAATATGTTGGTATACAACTTCACCATAACCTAACTTTCTGCTGTCATATTTTTGTTAAAATGCCATAACCAATGTTTTAAGACAAACAACGCATGCATATTGGTTCAAAAGGTTTTATCAACTATTCAAACAGAAGATCTGGTACAAATTCTGGGTAAATCATTCGACTCTGTCGGTATTTCATTTCAGATATTTGTCAAATTATTGTATAACACCTGCAGAAAACACCAAAATATTCTAATAAATCAAAGACAACATGGACGATGCCATGATTATACATAATCACCCGCCATATTGGGCAAATATTTATTTCTCTACTTAGTATTAAATAATTATGTTTCAGTTCGAAATTACAGATATAAAGTGATAAACATTAGTGTAATTGTGTCTAAATATATGATTTGTGGAAGGTTTAACTCAGATAAGTTCAGTTTTCCATCTTAAAAATCTAGACATACTTTTGATTATTATTAAAATATGAATCAAATGTGAAGCCTATATAAATTGCGTAACTACTTTGCCCGATAATCACAATAAAATTTGCTGCGCAAGTAATTCAATAGCCCTATATCACAGTGTAGAAGTTTATCATATACCTGTGTATGAAATTCACAATGGCCGATATGTAAGTAAACAAGATGACTGTAATGTGTTAGTTATATATTCTTCACTTCGTCTATACAATACATAAGAAATATTTTGGTTGCAATAAAGTAGAATCACGTAACAGAATAGTTGTATAGTTGACAAAAACTGAATCTTGCACTGACGCAAATGTCCTATAGCGGCTGCAAGAGGCTTACACTTTTGTTGTATAGCTGTTACCTGCAACCCTTATACAACCTCGTATATGACTGAAGAGTCCTATTAGGTGTGGCCATTCCGCTTGTATAGCTGTTCTAACAGGGTTTTGCCAATGTTCTTACAGTATACAATGCTGTGTAATGAATACATACTGTATAATCATTCTTGCAACTCTAATAGGAGTGATAATTGTTAGTTGGGTTAACAGTATTCAAAAATGGAATGTTCGTCTGTCGGATCCAACTCCACCCCCGAATATCCCTCCTATGCTTCGCCAATGAATTGCAAATCATGTACTCCAAAATCGACCATTGTCAATCCCCTGGCCCATCGACATGTGTGCAATGACTCATTGTTAAATTCATGAATAAATCAAGAGATGTATATTTTCTAGTAGTCGGTGGTATCCCCCTATTGGCCTTTCCTGCCCGAAGTGTGAAATTCTCCAGAAATGTGGTATGTTGAACTTGCGTAATCGAAGCAGTAAAATATAAACTAACCGTAATATTAGCTCCAACGAAATCATCCACCAAACCCTTAGTCCTGATTCCGTTGTACTGCATCCTACCCAATATCACCTCGTACTCCTTAGTCTCCACGGCCAAATATGCGACGCACATCTTGAACATGTTGACACCGTCGCAGTCCGAGTAGTTTCTGAGCAAGTAATAATAATGTAGCGCCTCGCGAATGCAAGTCAGTTCGAACCTGCGCACGTAAAGCATGATGAGTCGTGCCAGGTTCAAGCGACGAGCTGGTTTTTCGTCCATGGGGTCGATCGAAATCAGAGGAGCATTTACGTCAGCCGGACCTGGAAATTGGGGATGTTAAAAAAGAATCGATTTTCATTTAAATCAGTTAATTATACTGGGTAACAAAATGAAAAAAAAATGTTTGGTGCCGGAGAAGTAGTGACTGACTTTAAATGTTGTTGATGGCTGATTTCAAAAATGTCTTTCCTTTTTCAACACGCTTTTGTTAGCTTGACCTGTATGTATGTAGCGGAACCATTCAACCTAATTTTCAACAATTTCAAGGAGTCTGATTAACTTGAAAATTTGCACATGGATCAAAAGCCGATGACAATACAATTACCTGGAAATTTAAAAATTTTGAAATTTGTAAAAAATGAAAATTTGGAAGATAATTGAAAAAGATTTGGAAATTTTGAAAAGATTTTGGAAATTTCGAGATTTGAAACAATTTGGAAGTAAATTTAGGTTTGGATAAACAAGATGCTTTCGTCCGTCCGACCAAGGAAAGAAGACAGCCAACCATGGACAGCGGTTTCGTGCTTCTTTGCTACTCATCAGCATGGTATAGGCTTGGTCTCTGTTATCTCTGGACGAACAACAAGAGATGGCGCTTCGTGCTATCTCATGCTGATAAACCGTACCTCCGGTATAGAGGATCATTGTGATGCTTTCGTTTGTTCGTCCAGAGATAAGAGACCAAGCCTATACTATGCTGATGAGTAGCAAAGGAGCCCGAAACAGCTGTCCATGGTTGGCTTGCTTCTTTTCTTGTTTAACCTGTTCGATGGAAAGTAGACCACTTCTTCATTCAGCTAGAATCATCAACCATCTAAAGGCACGGCTATTAAGCGGGAACTGAGATCCATGACAGTTCCGACTAAAAGCAGCGGTGCGCGATCCGCAATGCTTCGATTCTGGTGCGATAGATAGCGCTTCGCGCTATCTCATGCAAATTTAAATTTATTGGCAAATATAAAAGTTACAAAAAATCGTAGCTCCAGTAATTTTGTTGTCGTTTTGAGAGTAAAAATTCAGAAAATAAATTATGGCTTAGAAAAACTAAAAAAAAAAACACGTTTTAATAGCAAATCGGACTAAGGCCCGTATTGTCAGTCGTCCCTACAATTGTAGGGCGCGTTTATGACCTCCTTGATTGTCATACTCTTTTCTCTCCTTCAAAAATTTCTAGATTACACTCGTCCCGTGTCAGCGTCAGCGCGCTCCTATTGTTAAGATATGTTTTCCTTTTAAATTGTAGGAAATTTCAGGCTGATAAAACATGATATAACTCAAAAGCAAGCACAATTTGATGCAAATAGATGTTTGTGACATAACCTTAAAATAGAGCGTTGACACGGAGAAGTATAAAACTATGACAATCAAGGAGGCCATAAACGCGCCCTACAATTGTAGGGACGACTGACGATACGGGCCTAAAAAGTAGTTTCAAGTTTGTGTTACGCAACAGAAACGCCAACAATGAAGTATGACTAATTAATTTGGAATCGGAATAAGATTAATATCTGGACCTCACAGCCATACGGTAAGGGGCTAAATCGGGTGAATAAGGCGGGTGTTCTGTCACCGTGATTGAGATTAGGGCCTAAAACTCACGAACAACGAGAGACGTGTTGTTTTGATGAAGAATCCACCTGCCCCCTTGTCCCAAATCAAGTCGAACTCGGGCCACGCGAGCTCTGAGACGACGCAAAACTTCAATATAGACATTTTCGTTCACTGTCTGGCCGGGAGGGGCAAATTCCTGGTGAACAACGCTCCGGGAATCAGAGAAAACAATCAACATTGTTTTCACATTCGACCTTCAATTTTTTTCACTTTTTTGTTTTTATGGTTTGATGAACCGGCTGAGAATATCCCCAATCCTCACAGCATGCAACCCGCCTTGCTTTCTGTTCTGGAGTCCAAGAGCTTCGGAACGATTTTCGCGCATAATTGTTTCATGTTAAATTTTTCTGTCAGAATTTCGTGGACGATTGTTTTGGGGATTGACAGTTTCTCAGCTGTCATTCTATCTGTTAATCGACGGTCTTTAAGAACACAGCCCCGAACTTGTTCAACATTTCCCTCAGAGCTCGATGTGGAAGAGCGTCCTGAGAGTTGGTCATCTTTCTCATTTTCTCTGCGTTCCCGAAACCTTTTCAACCACTTGTTGATGGTTGGTTCCTTCGGAGAATTTTCTTTGTAAACTTGTTCCAAAAATCTCACGACCATTCTTGCCTAGCTTTGCAAGAAACTTGATGTTGATGCGCTGTTCCTCGATCAGAGAGAGCTCGTTGCCGACGTCCTGAATTTTTTATACGTCCGAACAAACCTCGTTTAGGACCTATGCTGATTCCAGAGGTTTCACTGCTTCATTGGGATAAATAATTATACTTTGGATATAATGTTATTAAAATAGATCAATTATAATGTCAGATCGAGCTAAGAAAAAGGAACAGATGGAGCACAAAAGCAATTCTTTTTCACGAGTGCCCATTACGGTAGAATGGCAGATGATTATTTAGTGGTATTTCAAAATTCCCCATATCGCCAAATGACATCCGTCTGCCGGATCCGTCAAGGCCATGTAGACAGAGCCGTATATAATAATAATAATAATAATAATAATAAATAAATGGCCTTTATTCGTCACACGATTACAAAATAATTGGTTTAAAAGGAACAGTGACGAAAAGGTGGAGTGTCAGCTTATGCTGTTTTTCAACCCGACCTGGAAAACATTGACACAAACTATAGAGAGAGAGAGAAAAAAAACTTAGAATATTACACTTATCAGAGAAAGGAAACAATCAATTACCTGTGGATATGCATAAAGTAAAATTTTAGCCATCCGACTGCTTTAAACTCATCTTTAACCTTTTTTTAAAATTGCTTAGGCTATATTCTTTATACTCACTTGATAAGCAGTTATATAGTTTGGGTGCCCAGTACGAGAAACTGCGTGTGAACAATGCTGTCGAATGCCGCGGGATAAGTAAGATGAGTTTATTCCTTATATGGATTTGTTTTTTTTTGTACGCTACATATTCATTTTGTACTTGCTAACAAATCTTTTATTTAGAAAAGTTCATTTGCATACAAAGAAGACGCTACAAGCAAATTTTACTAGTTTTGCACCAGATTCATTATTGCCAATGGTTACAGGCTAATACAAAGATGTCACATGTTGATCAGCTGTTCACCTCAGTAGGCGTCAAAACGTGACGGATACTCGTGAAATAGGTGCTGACTGCAATTGTAATTTCTCAAACAACAGCTTACTTCCCATCGAAATCATTCTTATGAATTAGAATTGATTTCAACTAATCTCAGAAGTGGATCAGAAAATCATACAAAAGTACCCAAGATAAGGATGGGAATATCGGGAACGGTTAGATTTACAATGTTGGTTCAATAAGAAAATCGTTGCATAATTCATGAGTCTTAACGTTGAATAATTTCAATTTAAAAGACGACTAGAAAATAAATAACTTTCATTACCAACTCCAAGAGCAGTTATCATTTTACGATATAAAGAAATCAAATCCACCATGTATAGTTGAGAAAAAAAAAAACAATATAGGTAATATAAACCATCAAACTGCTCTCCTGAAAAGTTATGTTTACGTGATTTAATACGGTAAGGTTCTGATGTACAGATATAACAATTAAATAATTATCAAAAAATTCAATCATAGTGAACAAGCATGGGTGCAACAGGTATATTTTCATCATGACTCAAATTTTGTAAATAACAACTAAAAACAGAATTCCAATTCTAACATCTAATAGAATTAGAATTATACGTCTTTTTTACCATATTTGTTCTTTTCTCTCTTAATTTTAAAAGCGATCTTATTCCAAATTAATTTTTTTAAAACTAAATTTATTTCGAAGCAGCTCTAGTTTTCTAGAACCCGGTAGGATTACATAGATTTAATAAAAGGTAAGAATAATAAGATGATATTTTTACATGTAAAACCAATTATTTTACAGGCAAAATGAGCTAATTTTTCGAAATGATGGTAACATTGAAATTTTCGAATCCAGCCGAACCCTTACCACCGAACTTCACTGCCTGGGCTGTATACTCAATTAATCCAGGTAGTATCTTCTATTCTGATTAGGATTTTTTGCATAACCTTATTCGGAAAATACCACATTTTTTTAAACAAATCCCAAAATCTGTTTTCAGTCCGGTCAGTGTTTTTACGTTTCTTGAGACATTCCAAACAAAAAAATACCTCAAACTCTCTAAAGTTGCTAGTTTGCAAGATATAAGCCATTTAATATCTGAAAATGTTCAAAATATGCCACTTTCGACCCCGAAAAACAATATGGCAAAACGAAAATTTTAATGTTGCCAAAGTTCCAAAATATCCTTCAATTAACCATTAATAAAATCCCAAATCATTTTAGGGAATATTGTTATTGTAAACCTTCATTTTGTAATTGTTATCAAGCGCGCGCTCAATGCACAATTTGTCTGAGCGCGAGAGAGATGCAGCTTTCAGTATGGAAGATCATATCTCAAATTGTTCGCAGTTTTTTATTCTATAACTCTACCTGCTAAAATGTAGAGCTCACTAAGAGCTACAGCCATATGAACGCCATGAACGCGGAACTTTTCGGTTCTGAAGAGAAATTCGAATGCAGCCTCAAACTGACCAGTCAACGCCAAAACCTAGAACAATAGAAAAATAAATAGAAAGATGGTACTGTCGGGCCATATTTTTTGACATTACCGACCTATTTTCATTAAGTGCTGTCAGATTATAATTATTATTGGAATCCTACTTAATGTAATGTAATGTAAGTAAAGCTAGCTGCAGTGATGCGTACAATTTCGCTAGTCATTCGTCATTTTTTAGTTCTTCTGATGAGAAATTCTGACCAGGTACGCGTCTACACATCGCACACAATATATTGCCAAGACACAGTCGAGACATAGATGATATATCCGAGATATATAGCTGGGCCACAAATATTGCCGGGATGATGCTTCATTATGTCAAAGAATTTTCTTTTTTGTATGACATATTGCAAGTATGCCCAAGTTATTAAAAAAACTGACCAAATGTAATGAAAAAAGCTTATGAATGAAATCAGTATGACCCAGTGCCGTATTTTACGATACAGCGCACTGGGCTCTTGAGCTTTGCCGCCTGATAAAAGAACAAGAAAATGCAATAACTTTTGATTGGGGCGGCCCTTTTTTCACTAGAGTAACACGCCCCTAGCCTGAACGATCTCCAAATGAGCCCCAAGAAATCCTCAACAGGTAAGTGACATCCATAAGTGGTCTATTATTGTTATAAATAAGAAAGTGCCAAAATGGCTGAATGGATCTGGACGAAATTTGGCACAGATATAGATCATAGTCTGGATCAACACATAAGCTACATTTTATTCCACGAAATAACTTTGAAATGGGTCTGACCGAAACGAGTAAGGATATACACAAAGGGCATTTGTCTCGTGCATTTATTGCATTTGAACATTTTTTTGTTTTCTTAGCGTGATCATCTAGATTCAGATTTCTTTGTTGTTTTGTTAAACTACAAGTACTCATATAGTACTGTGAATAAATAGTTATTGGGTTGTCAGTATTCATTTGGTAAAAACACGAGTTTCTTTACTATTTCTTAAATTTGAAACATTTGGGTATGATATGTACAGGATGTTTCAGGACTATGGGATCAAACTTGTAGGGGTTATTCAGTGTAACAGTAGAAAACATTAGAGTATACGAACCCATATCCGGCGCTTGTGTGTTGTTATCTTTAAAAACGATAACAGAGATTGTTTTTGGTAGTTGCATTCCATATCGCCTTAGTCGTGAAATCGTATTTGTGAAGTTTGTAAGAGCAGAGCAGTTTCTTGACTTCCTAGGTCACCCGATTTAACGTCGCTAGATTTTTTCCTGTGGGGACATGTAAAATCTTTTTTTTTACGAAACTCCAGTACAAACAGAGCAAGACTTAATTGGACGAATTACAGCAGCATTTGAAATCAGTCAAAACGAGTGTCAAATGTTTAGTCAAGCCCGCCGAAATCATGTGCGACGTTTAAATCGGTGTATTCTGGTTGGAGGAAGACATTTTGAACAATTGTTGTGATGATATCATGTACAACAGGCAAAAATTAAATGCATTTAATCCTCATTATGTAATCCCTCGTCTTTTTACATTTTAACGCGTCTTAGGGCCGTAGTGACACTTTTCCGGATATAGGTCCCTATACTCAAATATTTTCTACTGTTACACTGAATAACTCCTAGAAGTTTGATCCCCTAGTTCTTAAACACCCTGTATATCTTCGATTGTGTCTACCCAAACAGTTTTTGAACGATGTAAACAAACCTATGCAAGGCTGATGGTAACATCGAGGACGACGATGTGAGCGTTGAGACTATACTCGCGGAATATCTAGCGGATCTTGAGGACCCTCATAGTAAACTAACATCAAATCGATAAGCATGTTACTGTTCTAGCAATTTGCCAATTTTAGTCTTTCAAATATGACTAATAAGTCAATATGTGAATGACTCACATAGTACCACAAAATATCAAACCTTTTCACAGAGAAGGAGGAGTATAAGAAGGACGAGAGGGTGCAGAGTCGGGCCAGCCCATTTACAGGGACATACAGAGCTTAAAATCTCGGTTATCTTAAGGCTTTGGAATATGAGTTACTAGGAAAACTTGCTCATCATTGCCTCTCCTATATGCTATGTAAATGAAAGTTGCAACTATGAGGGCACAATGTATATAAATAAAACTGTATATCCAGTCTGTCAGCATCACCTCTGAATCACAGATAGACATAATTTGTATACTTAACTGTTACTAAAACAAAGCATCGTATTTAAGTAATGCTATGAACTTCTGATCGCGTTTTGTTTTTTTGACAGAAAAATTGGATGCTTGGAAAATTTGGCAACTTCATTAGTGGCGCCACCTACACGTTCCGTGGGCAAATACGCCGGGCAGGAAGTAAGTATTTATATAAAAAAAAAACTTCACATTTTTTGAATTTGGTACACAGTTTGCAAATTGTATTATACCTGAAAATACAAATGTGGCTGCTCAAAGGCCTCATAGTGAGACTCTCCATATTCATTCAATACCAGATGCTGCAGGTCACCATATTTGATGCAATCATCTCTGTTCACATCGCATCTCACCAGACTCAGTTTCAACCACAAATAATCATCCGCTGTTCGCGCAACCTCAGAATGTTCGTCAAAAACGTCACAACACCCTAACACTGTCCAGACAATTCTTTTAAATGGATCAGTATCATTTCTGACCACTCTTCTATATATGAATCTGTAAGGAAGAATTTTGATCAATAACAAAAGTCAAACAGAAAAAAATATAAATATTCAGAAGCATCAACAAAATGAGGAGACGCATCAGGCAGAACAAAGCAGAAAATCATAAGAGCCTAAAAAACAGAACAGTGGGTTCATATTTCTGACACAGAGTATACATCCCACACTTATACATGAGATCTCTTCAACAAAACTGCAAACTTGATGGTAAACTTTGTTTTGTGATACCTACAATAGTTTTTCCTTCTATCTAATTATTGCATGGTGAACTGTGATAAAAGAAGTCTCACCTAATGTTATCCTCCAACTTTGTTATCTCTGCACTCCCAGGGTTGCTCAACTTAGTCTCCAGCATAGTGATAAGTTCTTTGAACTCAGGCAAGCCACTTTTGCGCAGACAGTAAGCCGCAGCATTCAAATCTCCAGATCTCAAACAATAATAAACCATGGGCCACAGTGGTCTGTCATCTATAGTACCATCTTGTAACCCAAGATATTCACCTTGTAATCTGAGGCCCACAAAGCTGCGAACTAGATGGTAGGTGCCAGGCACACCACCACGAGCTGCTTGAGACAGGTTTTCTTGGATAATGTTTGTCATGTAAGTTTTGTATCTGAAACATTATAATGGGTGATTGATTTACAGCTAATTTTTCACAAGCATGGGAGAATTAAAACAATCAACTGTGTTGGGTTATCTTTATCATCAAAGTATCTACAAAAGCCCTCTTTTTGAAAATTCTCTTTTCAAATGTTGACCATCAGTGTCTTTTTTGTAATTCCTAATTTCAATTTAGCATCTGGATTGGGCAAATTATTTAAATAATGTTGTGTTTTAATTCCTCAAACACATTTCTTATAAATGTTAACATAGTCCCAACAGAAAAGTTTTCGAAGTATGAGATCACATTATCTAGACAGACAATTTTTCAGTCCAATATGAAAGCAGCAACTCACTAGGACCGCTCGAGAACAGGGCTATCACACCACTGCGGTCCGTAAGGACCGCTTTGTATTTGATTTATTTCCACAGTGACTCCAGCCAGAGGTCCATATTCAAATTCATTTTAGCGTTAGATATGGACCTCTGTGGCTTGTATGGATTATACCCATATGCCAAATTTTTTGTGTACTTTTGTTATACTTATTTTTTTTGATTCACATCATTTTTTTCCTACTAAATCTACACAACTTCGAGAAAAACATGATTCCGTGAAAATGCATATATATATATATAAAGAGAAAATTATCATGCGGAGAAAGGTATATAACAAAAATAGGAAAATAATGGACAAAATCCGCAAAAAGTGGATTCGAGCAGAAAATAGGATAGGTAACCCGAGCGATACGTATTTCTGCTGGTTGGCTTCATCAGGCCCGCGGCTGGTTATAGCCACTTGCTGTGGTACTTCAAGCCCAAAGGATCTACAAAGAGAAAATGTATGGGCATGTGTCTCTACTTTTGTAGTTGCATATGTGCATTCAGTTCGGGCCTGATGAAGCCAACCAGCAGAAATACGTATCGCTCGGGTTACCTATCCTATTTTCTGCTCGAATCCACTTTTGCGGATTTTGCCCATTATTTTCCTATTTTTGTTATATATATATAAAGTAAGATATGATACAGGGGATATAGGGATACAAAATATAAGATAATTTCATGTATTTATGACTTGTTCTGAAACAGTCAAGGCAAAAGGAAGGAAATCCCACCTTCACAACTGTCACAATATGTAGTAACTTTGCGAATTTTATTTTTTGGTATATCAGCCCTTATTTTTTTATTATGACATTCTTTACAATACCATCTGACTTCATGTGATTTTCTTTCTTTTTTTGCAGAACACGTTGTTCCCCTCTTATGTCATCTTTTGATGTAGATGGTAGATTAGACACATTATTTGTTGGTAACATAACTTTGGTCTGCTGGACATCTTTCTAACATTCTTGGCATTTAACTTTTAAATCATTGTGGCAGTAACAGCTGATATTTCAAAGAAAAACCTTCAATAATGAATATAACCTCATACAGTTGAATGTTCATTTTATTCTTTTTTAAAAAGTACCACTAAATCAATTGCTCATAATAAAAAGATAACTATTGAGATGCAATAAATTTTAATATATTGTTTGCTATATATTCTTGAATCTATGTTTTTACTTCTTATGAAATGATGCAGCAATAATGTTTATACATAATATGGTTAATAGATCTATCTATACATCTATAAAACTGGGAAAAGAAAAAATATGCCTCAATCAAAGTAAGTATATCCACTAGAGTTAAAATTCAGAAAGAAAACATTACTGAAAATGTAACAAAAACTGAAATAAGTCTAAAAGCTGCAATACTCTCAATTTATAATACTACATAAAATTAAGCTTACTTGTCTTCTAGGTACTTTCTTGCTTGTTTAACCAAGGCCTCCACAACAGGAGTTGAATTTCTTGTCTTAATAGGATCATCAGACTGTGGGAAGGGTGGCAATTGAACCATATAATTTACAATTTCCCACATGTCAGCAATCTTAGCATCTCTAAATTCTCCTACTATGCTATAAAACATTTTTACCATGCTTGGTTTTTGTATACCCTTGCTGACTGTGCTATTATACTCTATAATTTTGGATGCATAAATTGACTCTACTGGGCCCAGATTTGATAGGACAGGGGTCACTTTGTCATAGAGTATGCTTGGTTGTTTCCCCATTTCAACAAAAGCCCCTGAAAGGGCACTCATGGAACTAAGAATCTTCCTTTTTTCTTGTTTCCATTCTGATTCTTGATGCTCCCAAGCTGTGTCATATGTGGATTGAAACATCTAAAGAAAAGTATTTACTGTTTAATGAAACACAAGTTTCTACTCTAAATGTAATGGAAATTACCTCATTATATCCTGAATCAAAAGCAGATAATATTTTGTTTCGTATCTCATTTTCAAGAAGGTTTGATATGTCAAGGTGCTCTACATGCTCAATAGGTTCAAATGTTCGCTTGGTGCTTATTGATTCTAATTTCTGTGCGATTTTGGGCAAGTCGATACCTTTGGAGCCCAACAGCAGATTTGCTGATATATCTTTGGCCCCAGTTTGGGCCACTCTGGAGTAAAGATCATTTGAGGCATCTAGGACTTGTTTTAGTGATCTCTCTACTTTTGGTAATTCTGTTGTGCCTTCTAGTGCGCTAGTGAGCTTTTCTGTATCTTGAAGAAGATCGGAAAAGTCTGACATCCTGGAAAATTTTTCTAGAAAATTACTTTCCTGTTTACAAAGCAGAACCGCCGATTTAAAAAAGTTAGGTTAATAAAATAACAAGGACGATAGTTAGAGATGAGCAAAAACTCGCGAACCGGGATTTACTCGCAGCGATTATACAATCGCAATCGCAACCTGCGAGCCCGTTCCGTAGCAAACTGCGTATTGCGATCTGGTGGGTTCGCGTTCGCGTGAGCCGGTAGGCATGCAAGCAACCGTACAATCACGGCAATCGCAATCGGGAGTGATACATGCGAGTGGCGATTGGCGGTTAAAAACGAGCGGATAGCGTTGCTTTTATATGGTTGTGAGTTGTGACTGTTGCGAGCTGCGAATGCGAATTGTTAGGATTGGTATTGGTGGTTTCTATTTTCAATCTCTAGGTTGTTTTCTTGTTTGACTAGCCAGTATTATTTTATTCAGTTTCAACAATGTTTAAAAAGAGGAAAATAAGTTATTTGTGGTATTTTTTTCCCAAAATGGACGAAAATTTCTCAAAATGTAATATGTGTGCAGCCAAAATATCATATAAGACTCGTACCACGAATTTGAGAAGACACATGGAGTCAAAACACCCAGCTGTAGCTGTAGCTGCAAATAAACCAACCTTGTTAAGTTCTTGAAAAGAAATGTTTGCAGTTTAACATATTAGCTGTTGGGTTTAGTTTTTGCATTCTTCTAATTAAAATTATAATTATAAGAGACATTTGTTTTCATTTTTAATAAAATCTACAAATTTGGAATTATAAGATTTTAAAAAAAGGTATTATCATTTATCCTAACCTTTACAACACAAATACAATGTTATTTCATTTTCTGTGATAACAGTTGTTAACACATAACAGTTAAATATGACCAATTTAATGTAATTAACCTTTTATAGAAATACAGTCCCACAATTTCAAATCGCAATCACAGGTTGCACTCGCAGTGAGTGGTAAATCGCAATCGCAGTTTTAACTGCGATCACAAAATCGCAACTTTGATCATCTGTAGACGATAGTTTAAAAATAAATTCAGTAGGAAAACAGGGTGTCACTTCATTAACAACGATAGACCTATTAGTCATCTATAGAAACCACGCCTTCCTTTCTAGCTGACTTACTGAATCACTCCACAAGACACTAGGAAAAAAGGCGTGGTCAACAGCTATGGGTAGGCGAGATAAATATGGCCACCCAGATTTTCTTATGACAGCACCCAGTGTATATGTTTTGTGGTTGTTCCATAACTCAAAAACATTCATTTTAAATTTGAATGTTTACATCGCCGTTTCCAAAATAACATATTATTAGCTCATTAGAACATTAGTTGATTAGTTCAATATTGAAAGAATACCTAGTAATCTCAGCATGAGCTCTTATTCCATATCAGGTAAGCGATTTTATATAAACTTATTGGGGCTCTTTCAGTTCATTGTTTTTATTTTACAGATTATTTCGACGATATCAAAGCCTCACGGCGGCGAGGGACCAAAAATAGTGATGTCAGCTATTCTAAGTTACCTACACATGACCAGAGTTTCACTGACGCGCAGTTTCAAGTCCCTGCACAAGAGATACCATGGAAAGCTATAATTTTAGCCACTATGCTACTAATTGTTGGTACTTCACTACTCGTTTTTGGTAGCATGGTACTTACAGGGCACATTGTACTTCAGTATCCTGATAGAATGTGGCCCATGATAATATTAGGAACTCTTATGTTTATCCCCGGAGCATACCATGTACGAATTGCATATTATGCTTATAAAAATGTTCCAGGGTATTCGTTTGATGATATACCAGAATTTGAGTGAACTTCTGCTGTGAACTATAATGAAACATTTCAAGCTTTCATATAAATGCACTAAAGCAAAAATAACATGGAATGACAAAGCTGATACCTGAATGTAACAAAAAAATTAGTTGAATCTGACTAGTAAATGCAGCTAAGGAAGACAACTGTTGAAATACATTCTTCTAGGATATATATAAGATTATACATGGCAAAATTTTTCCCAGACCAGCTGTTGTAAAGCAGCAGTGGAGGAGAGATAGAAGGAAATTGATGAAGATGTATGGTTTATCTGAAGTCACTTGAAATAGCATAAAAACCTTTGGTCGGCTTCCTTTGTAATTTCATGACGTATCATAGGCGTGCGGTTATTTATTTAGAACGATAATAATAATATCACAATAAATGGATTTTACTATCTTCTTATTTTTTTGATTTGGGATAAAAAATACTTATATTGGGAGTTTAATTTATGTTGACTGAAAGTTAAGAAATGGAAAAATTACAGAATTCCAACGTTTGACATAGGCAAATATTTACATAGCAGGCAGGTATATAAAAAGGTATATAAAGACTTACATTATAGGTATTTATATATCATCCTCGCCTTCGGAGCTGTCGCTAGAGTCATCTTATAGAGGAATTACAACGGGATTTACAGGAGGCAAAACACAATATTCATTTTCTTTTTCAATAATATGCCTAGAACACTGCTTCCATAGGTCTGTGGCAGCAATATGAGATACTGCATCTCTTATTGTGGCCAATAGTGATTCACTTAATTGAGGGGTCTGATTATGTTTTCTTACTTTTTTTTTTAAAGCAGCCCAGACCAACTCAATCGGGTTAAAAATGCAGTAATAGGGAGGTAGACGTAATACTTCATGGCCATTTTGCTGAAGCAGATTGTCAACAACATACTCTTTTTCAAATTTTTGTCTTTTAATAAGATCCAATAATATGGCTTTGGTTGATTTTTGTGGTATTTCCATTCCCTTATCCTTCATAAAATCAATAATGTCTTGTTTTTTTGTGCCTGTATTCGGAATTTTGTTTTTCTGTCGGGAATGGTATGGCGCATTGTCCATAATAGTCACTGAATTTGGGGAAATGTTTGGTATTAACTGCTGCTCTATCCACTTTTCAAATAAGTCGGAGGTCATGTCCTCATGATAGTCGGCACATGATTCTTTGATATTTTTGGCAGATAACAGCAAGGCATTAGGTATAAATCCATTTTCACTGCCAGCATGGAGAATAATGATTCGTTTTCCACGGTTGCATGGTTCATTTAAAATGCACTTGTTGCTGTCGTCAACCCAGCCGTACTGCACAACATCATGGGTATCATACCACGTTTCATCCAGGTAAATCAGATTTCTTTTCTGCTCTCTATAGATTTTTTGTGCAAAAATTCTTGGCGCAATTCAACGATTCGAGACGACTCCATAATCACCATTCTTTTATCTAATTTTTTGTATTGAAAGCCACACAGTTTTACAGTGAGTCTAAGCATTTGTAATTATAAAAATCTTCAGGATAATCTTTTAATTTATCCCGTATCATTTCCAACGTGGGCACCAAATTTTCTTTATAAAATCCGTATATTATACGACGAATATCTTCCTGAAAACCCACGTCTATTCTTTTTAATTTTTGCCCTATGCGCTTTCTGTGGAAGGAATGGATGACTACATCTCCCCTTTTTATAACCCGATAAATGGTAGACCGACTGATTTTTGTCAGAATACAAATTCTGTTTAAATTTTGATTTTGCGAGGAATCTGGATTTTCGTTTTTCAGACAATCATACATATTTACGATTACTCTTTGGGTCTGTTCCTCTAAATCTTTATGAAAGAATTCTGCCTGCACAGGTTCATCAACCATCTCCTCGTGGCTTGGAGCATTTTCCCAAGGTCTCCAAAGAGCCATATTTAGGACACACAAGAACAATCAACACAACAATTAAATCAACAAGTAAACTGAGTATTCAAAAGTCAAAAACACACAAACTAATAAAATCTATGAAAAAACACGGACAGACTAAAGAAAACACGTTTATTCACCGCTACACGGCACTGGCTAAACTGTTTCAATTTTCAGTAGCCACCTGCACTTGTTCAGAGCTCTGAAATACACGCTTTCTCATTGGCTATGTCCACGCATAGGCGTGCTTTACTCCACGTGGACCGGTGAAACTGCCTTTGATCTTATACGGGGGATATTTGCTGCGAAATTTGGCGATTTTTGCAGCAACAGAGCGTGTTAAATATAGATATATAAAACGCACCCGGTATTTCACAGTGTTTCAAGTGACTTCAGATAAAGTATACTGTAGACTATTATTAGAGTAATATTTCACATGAGCACCTTCTTAAAATTCTAACTTTCATTTTAAATATGTAAAGAACTAGCAATTGTACAAAACATCTCTAGTATAGATTAGTGCCTTAAAATGTTTATTTGAAAATTGTAAAATATAGTACTTTTTAGTGTTTTTTGAAGTGATTTTTAGATTAGATGTAAATCCGCCATGCATATGAAAAAAAATAAACCTGAATTTTGTATTGTACTTTTGCATTAAGTCCGCTCAAAGGTATACGATGGCGTTGAGGTAAAACCCAAGCACAAGTGTATACTTTTTTGGGTATCTTATGTTTATTGGACACTACCATAATTATTTATACAAAAACCTTGTAGTTAGACCAATGAATACTATTATTAATCTAGAAGTATAATAAATTATGGTTCATCAAACAGAGGTCTAACCTGACACTAGGGATGACGACTCAGAACACTTTTATAACTCATTTTGGACTATACTTAAGGGAATGCCAGCAGACTGTGAGACAATTATTTCAGGTGTCTTTGCTAGTGAGGAGAGAGTTAGTAGAGAGAGCTCAAGACTTTAACATAATCTTAGATGATGTCTCTATAACTGACTTATCATTTGGCAAAGACTATACTGCAGCTGTAGAGGCAAAACAGGTAGCCCAACAAGAAGCCCAAAGGGCTGCATTTGTGGTTGAAAGAGCTAAACAAGAGAAGCAACAGAGGATTGTACAAGCTGACGGTGAAGCAGAAGCAGCTAAAATGATATCCTTTTTTAACAACCATTGGTTTTGAGGTCTTGGAGACGTAGTACTATACTTGGAGACATAGTACTTCAAGTAGAAGACCTGAAAGAAATTTCTCCAAACAAGTTAATCGACTTCCTCAGGAGCTGTTGTAAAGCAGCAGTGGAGGAGAGATAGAAGGAAATTGATGAAGATGTACTGTAGACTATTATTAGAGTAATATTTCACATGAGCACCTTCTTAAAATTTTAACTTTCATTTTAAATATGTAAAGAACTAGCAATTGTACAAAACATCTCTAGTATAGATTAGTGCCTTAAAATGTTTATTTGAAAATTGTAAAATATAGTACTTTTTAGTGTTTTTTGAAGTGATTTTGAGATTAGATGTAAATCCGCCATGCATATGAAAAAAAATAAACCTGAATTTTGAATTGTACTTTTGCATTAAGTCCGCTCAAAGGTATATGATGGCGTTCATGATAAAAAAATAATAGATTAGCCCATCTCTAGCTTTTAACTCTCGGCTAGCTGTCATTTATTCTGTCAGTGTCAGATGTCATATTGCACAATTTCGAGAATCGAAGATACCGCATGTCGGCATTTTAATTTTTAGCTGAAACTACAATAGTTTTTCAACAAAATGGTACAAAGCAAACTAAATGATCTAGCTGGAAAATTCAGTAAAGGTGGTGGCCCACCAGGACTAGGAATTGGGCTGAAATTGTTGGCTGTGGGAGGCGCCGCCGCCTATGGGGTATCACAGTCCATGTATACAGGTAAATTGAATTACACTAATTTCTACAGATATTGCACACTTTAAAATATTTATGCTGTCTCCTTTACATACTGCTTTGGCTGAACAGCTTACTTGCGGCTCTGTAATTTAAGCATAATTGTATATGTGTTTGCATTTATCACTAATTGCTCCTTATCACTTCTTGGTCTGGTTCTGTTAGATTCAAACTATTTTTATTTTTTAGTTGAAGGTGGTCACAGAGCTATCATGTTCAACAGAATAGGAGGTGTGCAAAAAGAAATATACACAGAGGGTTTGCATTTCAGAATTCCATGGTTCCAATATCCCATCATATATGATATAAGGTATGTCCATGAAACATACCATTTATTTTTCCTGCAGTAAATGTTGGTAGTCTTGCTGAAAAATGCTCTGACTGCTGCAGACTAATTTAACTTTACTATATTTCCAGGTCTCGACCTAAAAAAATATCTTCACCAACTGGTTCCAAAGATCTACAGATGGTAAACATTTCCCTCAGAGTTTTGTCACGGCCTAATGCCTCTCAGCTACCTATAATCTATCGTCAACTGGGTTTAGATTATGATGAGAAAGTTCTTCCCTCAATTTGCAATGAGGTACTCAAGTCAGTTGTTGCCAAATTTAATGCTGCACAGCTTATCACTCAAAGACAACAGGTGAGCAATTTATAAAATAGGAAATTTATAAAAGTATTCTGAGTCATCATCTTTGCCTCTATGCCACAGGAACCTAATGAAGGTTTTAGCAACTATTAGCATAGTTCTTGTTATGAAAGACCTTGATTCCCTTTATTATATTTATGTAGGTTGCACCACTAATGAGTGTCCAAGCATGCAAGTTGGCTGTCAACTTACTAATGTCATGTCAAAAGCATGATAAATTCAGTTCAAAGCATTACTTAAAAAAATTAAATGTCTTACCACTTGATGACCACAGGTGGGCTGACTGTGCTTTTGCCACCATGACTTGCTATGGCAGTTGATTGCAATATTGAAGATGAGATCATGGATAAAGCCATGCCTATAACTGAAGGGTATGCCGGAACAACGTTCTAACCGACAGTTTGGTCAAAAGTGGGATTTCTATAAAACAAGGATCTATGTATCCATTCGCATAACCTCCCCCTCTTTCAAGCTGAGAATCACAAATTTAATCGGTGTCCAGATGTCTAAATGATTCAGTGAATCTTGATATCCACGTAACAACGTTGTATGTGCACGCGCCGACAGGTCTCAGCAAGTTTGTCTTCGAAACTACCACAGCCCACGTGGTTTCTCCAAGATGAAAGTTAGTTTATCAGAGTCTATTATTAGTCATATGAACAGAGGTAAAAAACGAAAGCTAAAAATTGACACCTGGAAGCAGACTGTAAGAAAACATCAGAGGGATGCAGGAGAAGCATACATTTCATCGAGAAACGTACCTAAGGCTGCGTTAAGCCAGCCAGAAGAGGTAAGATTTATTAACACTTAAAAGTGTCCACAGGCGATGCACATTATTATCCAATTTTTCATAGTGTACAAAAAATGTTGACCGTTTTTTATGTAAGGTGTTTAATACACAATATGCAGCGTGGTCCCGAAATTTCACTTATGGCTTGGGCCTGTGACCATCCTGACAGTATGGGATATCGTGCAGTGTGTGCATTTTTTTTTAGGAATGTGTCTGCAAATGTCCTCAAACCCCCAGAGGATGTAACGCCGATTTGCTCATTGGAAGACATGTGAGCCTGTTCCAGAAATTTAGGAAGCTTCATTATGATGGTCAGTCGCAATATCTGTCGCAAATCATATCCCTCCAAGAACCAAAACGTAGGAGAGTTGAGGAAAATATATCTCGTAGACATTGCACTGTAAAGTACAGTATTAATGGCACTCAAGTATGTAGAGGAACAGTTTGTTATATATTCTCAATTACGCCTAGAAGATTACAGTGGCTTATTGGTAAACTTAAAGCGAACATGAATAACCTTCAAGATCAACGTGGAAAGCATCTCAATCGTCCTAAAAAGTTGAAAAACATGGACGTAGGTCTCATTTCCGATCACATCCGATCGTTTCCCCTACAGGAAAATCATTACAGCAGAAATATTTCAGCCAAACAATGCCTTCCAGCTGATCTAAATATCTCAAAAATCTTCAGACTTTTTAAGGAGAAATACCCCGATGCAAATAATATTTCCTTTAGGGTTTATCACGACATTTTCAAGAGCAAGTTCAATCTGCGATTTGGTCTACCAAGATCTGACACATGTTCGTTTTGTGACAAGCTGTTTATGAAACTTTGTTCAACTGATGACGCTAATGAAAAGAAAAAAATAGAAATCGAGAGTGAGATCCACCATAGAAAAGCTGAAGCGGGTTATAAAACATTGAAAGATGATACCGAGACCTCTAAACTCAATCCAAATTATGTTGTGTTGTGCACAGATCTGCAACAAGTGCTTTTTTTGTCCCAATTTAACACATTCATCTGTATTCTATCAAAGGCAATTCTCAACATATAACTATGCTGTTCATAATATGGGGGAGGAAAATGCAACAATGTTACTATGGCATGAAGCAATGGCACATCGGGGATCTACAGAGATTGCTTCAGCACTACTATTCTATATTACTAACAAGTATAGTCGTCTCAAAGCAGGTGAAGAAAGAAAACTAGTTGTATGGTCAGACAGGTGTGTGGGCCAGAACAATAACTGGAAAATGCTGACAATGCTGCGACTTCTAGTTTTAGAAAAGTTCTTTACGCAAGTCGAACAAAAATTTCTTACGAGCGGGCATAGCTTTTTGCCGTGTGCTAGAGACTTTTCTCTCATAGAAACGACAAAAAAAAATCTCTAAAGTATTTGTTCCCTAACAGTGGGCTGATGTTGTCGCTAAGTCGAAGGTATCCAATCCATTTAAAGTGATCTTCATGCATCAATCTTTTTTTAAGGATTTTCAGGCAGCGGAAAATGTTATATATAAAGATCCATCATTTAAAATCACCCAAGTAATGTGGTTGCAAATGACCGCAGATGATGTGAATACTTTACGAGTAAGAAAGTCTCACAACACACTTCAACCATGGTTTACTTACTTGTTGAAGTCACGCAAGAAATTAGTACAAGAAGTAGCGATAAGAGACCTTAAAGAGGCATATAATGAAGCACTTTCGATCAAAAAGGAAAAAAAGGCAAACCTGATGGATATGTGTGACTATATCCCCTTAAAATATGTTAGTTTTTACGAAAACCTGAAAGTTGTTTAAAACCATCAAAATGTTATCCATTTGTATTATGTTTCTTGTAGCACCAACTATGTTGGTTCACTGTATTACAATAAAAAAAAAAATTGACCCATTAAGCGTAAAACAAGGTCGTAAACGACTCGTTTCCGTGTAAAAACGTTGTAAGTGACGTGTATATATAACGTTGTTTTAGGGAATTTATTTTCTAAGGCTCTTAATTTGTTTAACATGGTTTATAAAAAGATGTTGTGTTTCTCAAATATATTAAAATATCGATTAGTAAATAGCCTGTCTGTTTTCTTTTTTTAATTTTGGAGTAAAACATAGAAAAGCGTTTTTTTCGTTTTTCTCAAAACTAAACTTTTGGCGGTTAGAACGTTGTTCCGGCATACCCTTCAACTGTCCTCAGGTACAAATTAGCAAGTGTACAGATTTTTACATCTTTCCATATTGTGGGCCAGATGTGATGATGAGAGACTGGATAGATAACACATTTGTTTTAAGTGAAGAAGGTATACAGAAGAATACCACAAAGAAAATATGTATAAAATTCATATACTAGCTCCTAACCATTAACAAACTTGAATAACTATAATCTTAGCAAACAACAAAAAATCAAACTAATTCTCTAATAAGCTTTTGGATCTTGAGAAAGAAATGCCCAATATTTCAGCATCTTTAGTATTTTTAAGACATCTCAACAGGCAAGTGCATAGCAAAATTTGTGCCATGTTGCAAAGTAAGTAAGCAGTTCTCTCTCAAATTAAGTGATGGAACACAAGTCATTAACACCAATCACTCAGCCTATCAAATCATTTTGCAACAAAGTCAAATTCTGCTCAGAACCAACCTCCTGATGAATATACCTTGCCCGCGTAGCAGCATTAAAGGTTTTATGACAAATAACCCAGAACTGATCAAGTATTATCAACCAAGGCTAGAAATCCATGAGCTTGTAGGCATTAAAAATCAATATCATAATAATAAAAGGTCTTTATTGGAATATAAATGTACATAACATCTTATTCCTGATAGGTGGAGTCTAGATAAATCTATTCCACTCAACCTATTCCAATAACAATATTGGTAACTAAGGAGAATATAGCATCATATAAATATTGTGCAGCATACAAAAAATACACATTCAAAAATTCTATAAATATGTTAGAGAAAGGATACTATGAAATAAACAAAATACAGTAAGATAAAGAATAAGAATAAACCGAATCAATCTGTCAAGGTAACGCTAAGGATGTAGAAGAAGCTGTTTAGCTTGTGTTTTCATACTGTTCACGGACAGAGTTTTTAAATATTCACTTGCATCATGGTATATTGTAATAGAGTTATAGATTATAGATAAATGACCGACGGAAAAGCGTCTACTGTAAAGAGGGATTTCTAGGCGATTCTTAAATTCTTATATCTGAACTTGACATTGGTCCTACTGTGTCAAGTTACAAACAAAATATTAGGCTCTCACAAAGTTTTTTTCTGGTTTTAAAATTCAATACATATTTATTAGAATAATAAAGGCGTTTAAGAAGAATATTAGTAACATGGTCCTTAAAACGTAAAGAGTCAATATCAGATATGTTATTTGACAGTAAATTGATGCAATTTTATTCATTTGTCTAGTATATTTACAGGAAATTTGTTGTATTCATATAATTCAAGTTTAGGTAAAACCCAAGCACAAGTGTATACTTTTTTGGGTATCTTATGTTTATTGGACACTACCATTATTATTTATACAAAAACCTTGTAGTTAGACCAATGAATATTATTATTAATCTAGAAGTATAATAAATTATGGTTCATCAAACACAGGTCTAACCTGACTCTAGGGATGATGACTCAGAACACTTTTATAACTCATTTTGGACTATACTTAAGGGAATGCCAGCAGACTGTGAGACAATTATTTCAGGTTTCTTTGCTAGTGAGGAGAGAGTTAGTAGAGAGAGCTCAAGACTTTAACATAATCTTAGATGATGTCTCTATAACTGACTTATCATTTGGCAAAGACTATACTGCAGCTGTAGAGGCAAAACAGGTAGCCCAACAAGAAGCCCAACGGGCTGCATTTGTGGTTGAAAGAGCTAAACAAGAGAAGCAACAGAAGATTGTACAAGCCGAGGGTGAAGCAGAAGCAGCTAAAATGATATCCTTTTTTAACAACCATTGGTTTTGAGGTCTTGGAGACGTAGTACTATACTTGGAGACATAGTACTTCAAGCAGAAGACCTGAAAGAAATTTTTCCAAACAAGTTAATCGACTTCCTCAGGAGGTCGGAGCTACTGGGGGAATATAAATAGGTGTCAGCCACAATAGACTAAAGAGTCGCAGTGGCGGATCGTTATTGATGCACTCACAAGAAACCTAACCTAACCTAGCAATGATATAGTTAGCATGATAACATTTTGTGCATTACTTATGATTTTTTTTTCATTTTGAGAATTTTGATTTGATTGTTTTGAAAATAAGACTATTAATGCCTAGGAAGTATTAAGCTAGTTTATCTGACTTCACTTTTTATTTTGTTTTCCTTAATGTATGATTACTTAGGAGAGGCCATTGGACGTAATCCTGGATACTTGAAACTAAGGAAAATCAGAGCTGCACAGAATATTTCTAGAACAGTAAGTATCATTGATATAGATGTCAAGTTCCAGAAACTTTTGTAGAAGGATCCTACTTAAACAACATTTCGCTTTCTGTGTTCTGTATCACTTCTAGATATATTAGTATATACAGCTTCTCAGAAGTTCACTTACATTTCAGGTGCAAAGGAGGATGGATTACCTAAAACAAGTACCTTGAACTGGCACATCAGCCATGTATATATACTGAGAACCAAACTTGTCTGAAGGCTTGAGTAAAATGTATACGAGAGATAAGTGTGTATAGACACATATGATAGAAAGGCTGGATGGCGAAGCTCATCACCGCGTTGCCTAGCAACGCTGACGCAACAATGTGCCGCGTCGCCAATATGTTACACCAATTCCTTGAATTAAGATGCATGTTGAAAATATGCGTTAGTTTATTCTATACGCCCAAATAATGGTTTCTTTTTGAGCGTACGCATTTCTTAATTGTGAAATGTGTCGAATCTGTTTAGGATCGATTTACGGATCGGTCCTAACGGCGCTCCATTTTAGTTTGAAATGAAAGGTCAGGATCGCCATAAATTCTGAAACATTGCATCATTGGTTCGTTGGACAACATCACATCTTGTATATTCCAAGGCAAGGTGTCCACCTCCATCATCATAGTTGAGCGATTTTCGTCAGTACCCATCTAGCGCTCGTAGGGGAGTGTCGCCCTGCTTCGAAATGGCTTTCAGCTGCGTATACGCAGGCTATGCTAATTTGTATTGCGTAACGTTATTTGTTACATTTTCCGACCGCAGCGCTGTCGCAAAATATTACAATAATTCGGGATGTGTTCAATTTATTACCATCGGTGGAAATCAAAAATAATTCTAAAATAAATTAAAACACTAAAATACATCAAAATTGAAATAAATAAGTATAACCAAATGAAAACAAAATATTAAATTAAATATTCGAATAGACTTAGAATTGGCATTAACCTAACCTATTGTAGAAGCCTGTGCGAACATTTTCTGGTGTATCGTATTGGCAACGCAGCCGATTGCACGACCTTCTGCGTCACTGTTCTTAGGCTTCTATTTCTTTCTAACATGTGTTGAGATAAGCTTCTCCCTCATACACATTGAACTCAAGTTGTCAGACAAATTTGGTTTTCCCTGTATATGCATGTAGTAAAGAATTTTTCCTTTTTTCCAGATTGCCAATTCACAAAACAAAGTATACCTCAGTGGAAACAGCCTTATGTTGAACATCTCTGACAAGGAATTCGATGATCAATCAGAGAAGTTAAAAAGTAAGCATTAAATGTCACTTCATGAGGAATTGTTCCTGAACGCCGAATTTTCATAAAATAGGAGCAATTTTCATGTAATTTTCATAAAATGGATAATAAAGGCTCTGTAGTCGAAGTTAATTCTTACCTTTACTTTTATATTTAGGGTTTTTTATTGTTATATACTGGATATTTACGATGTTACTTTATGTAAATATTCCAAGGTTTAATAAAAATGAAGCCAAAAGCAATTTCTTTGTATTATTTTATTGTTCGTTCATATTATTCCAAGGTTTAATAAAAATGAAGCCAAAAGCAATTTCTTTGTATTATTTTATTGTTCGTTCATATTATTTTCGGTTGAATAAAATTGCTCCAAGAGTTTTTTATGAGCTAAGTAACTATGTGAAAAAGTCTTGGTATGGTTTAATTGTCTACTGTTGTTTTTAGGTGGAAAATATGAATCTATACCAAATAAAGGGGGAAATACGGTGCTCAGTTTATCTGAGTTTGCAGCTGAGAGATTGTCTCCTAAAAATTAGTATCGGTTTATTTACTTACACATACTATATAATATATACTCTATTTTGTAGTGCAAAGGCTAAGCTTGTCAATATTTTTTTACATACATTAACCAAAGAAATACAAATGGTAGCATAAAAAACTCGGGCACTATTCTTTTACCTAAAAATACCATCCCGTCTTTTCTTGACCATATTGACCACCGTCACTATGAGTTTTTCAGAACATAATTTAAACCAATCGGTTGAGTGGTCGATGTAAACGGATGGACTAACGGATGTAGTCTGGTGAAATTAGCCGCGCAAGTTTATTTGGCAAACACCTAAAACAATAGTTGTCAAAGTCATCGAGTGGGTTAAAGGGTTCAGTCTGGTGGAATAACTGCAATTTTATTTAGCAAGCGACGAACGAGAGTAGTCGATCTGGTCCACTGGAATAAAGATTATAATCTGGTGGAATTATCTTTGCAAGCTGCAAACACGTCGAACGAAAGTAGTTGATGTCGAGTGAACTAAAGGATATAGTCTAGTGAAATAGACTGCAAGTTTATTTGGCAAACTGGTCGGCACGGGCATTACGTATCTTGAAAAGTGACATTATGCCGATTTTTTGTGACATGTAGGTTTTTCTACAAGATGTTAAATTAGCACTTAGTTGTATGTGCTGCCTAAACGTCATGAGGCTTCAATTATCAATGTTTGGCTCTGATGTGATGTAAAATCTGCTTCAGAGATGGCATTACTGGAGCTGTAGGTTGCATGTGTCGATGATGATTCCATTGAATTCTTGTCTCAAATACACAAAGCTAGAGAGTGGTTGCGCATCCACTTATTCTTATCCATTCTGGAAATTACATAAGCAAATTTGCTGAATGAGAGAGATAAGAAAGCCATATACATGCTAACAGTAATTACACAACGCGGGCGCGATGGTGATTTCCCGTAATTCTCCTAAAAGGTTTTCGTAATTTATAACTTTGAACATAACCTCTCTTCAGAAAGAACACAAATAACCTGTCGGGCACAGCTAATAGATATACTTCATTGACAGCATAATCAGTAATGATTTTCTCACACAGCAAATATCACTGATTTTATACACATGCAGACCAATACACATCATCATCCAGATACGATCTTGCTATACAACCAACTTTCTCAGAGATAAAAACTACAGACCACTCTCTCGGCTTCACAAAACATAAATATACAAGTAACAATGCGTGCAGTTTAGTCGAGTTATTCCTCCATAGATGGACGCTCACAATGGTTCTAGTGAGCAAACGTGGAATGACTGTTTGCTGTTTGAACCTTAAAAACTACCAAGTCTGCCAGATGACATTTTATAGGTTTTTTTGACGTTTTTATAGGTTTTTTTACATAATACCCGTGCGGGTGGGAAGAGTCGATGTCGGGTGGATTAAAGGATATAGTCTGGTGAAGTTAGTTTTGCAAGTTTATTGAACAAATGAGTCGAGCGGGAGTAGTCGATATCGTCCTGTGGATTGAAGAATATAGTCTAGTGAAATTAATCTTGCAAATCGTCGGGTGGAATAAAGATTATAGTCTGATGATTGAATTAACTGTGCAAGTTTATTTTGCATACAGCTCGATCGGGAGTAGTCGATGTTATTGTAGAATCGCGCTATAAGGAACAAGTAAAGTTTTGCATAATAAGGTACTAGGTATAAACTTTACTGTTATGAGGGGTATTGTGAGAAAGTCCTTGCGAGTTGGTTAACGAACAGAATTCATCATAAATCGAGTGCAACAATTTCAAATCGAATGTCAGTTAGCTGGTGGTACCAACGAGCGAGTCTCAAACAGCTCATTTTCAACCATAAATCTTGACCCATCACAACTGTTCGATGTTATGTTATTATTACAAGCACAAAAGCAAATCCTATGATCTATAAGTACAGACCTATTTCAGACGTAGCGTGTGAGACCGAAGTTCAAACAGAATGAATGCACACATTTTATGAAAATTATTCAGCAGACCTCAACCCCTACTCCACGTTAACTTCGCTGAGATTTGTTTACCTAGGAAGCATTGTAATCGCGAGAAAATTTCGAAAATGAGATTACATATATGTATGTCATACATGCACATCACAAAAAATCATGTTACTTATTTTCGTCAATGTGTCAGTCGGTTTGTCTGTCAGTCGTATATCCACTAATCCTTGACCTATCTGAAACTTGAAAAGTACTCTTCCGATTTGGATGAAATTTTTAAACCAAGCTACTGCTATGTCCAAAAACGAAAAAATGAAAATCGCTGAAACTTTTTAGAGGTTAAATACGAGTATTTGCGGGGTTGGAATTGTAGGGAGTGGATGAGGGTGTGTCCCAATTCTTTATGTCAGTATATTAATACACTTCCAAGCTCGGTAACCCTGCGCACCTATTAGACATATTTCACAACTCGTAGGCTTGCCCGTACATTTGCCCTTAAAATTAAGAAAAAATTAGCCTATCGGTCGCACATGCTATGCGCCACGGAGTTATTTATAAATATTGTATCATTAGTACTCGGTTAGAGTACGGACACGCTCATTGCTGCAATCCGAAAAAATGGTTATTTATGGAAAGCCCAAATAATGTATTGCTGGCTTTGATAAAAGCTATGTACGTCTTTTTGATGTCATTGCACTACATGGAAAATTGTACTAGAAGTTGTTTCGAATGCGTATACGAGGGATGTCTTTTAAGTTTTGCATATGGAAATAAAACAACACGGTAGGTAGTTTTAAATGACTTTATTGTTTTTCGAAGTATTCTCCACGAAGATTAATACACATCTGCATGCGCTCGAACCAATTTTCGAAGCACTTATTCCACTCGTTTGCTGGCAGATCCAAAACGGCATTTTTGAATGCGTCAACTGCTTCTTCTGGTGACTGGAACCTTTGACCACGCAGTCTGTTTTTAATTTTCGGGAAAGTAAAGAAATCGTTAGGACTTAGGTCGGGACTATATGGAGGATGGTCCAATAATTCCACGTTTTCTTCCGTTAAATACTGCCTTGTTTCTTGGGCTGTGTGCGAGCTTGCATTGTCTTGGTGGAGGATGATTCTTGTTTCGGGGTTGATTTTTCGAAGCTCGATGATGACTTTTGGCAAACAAGTGGTGGTATACCAATCCGCAGTAACAGTTCTTTGCTCATTAAGAAGAATTGTTGCAATATGACCCGCTTTGGCACAAATGTCGCGACCATCTTTTTCGAAACACTTCGAGAACGGATGACTTTTGTTGGCTTTTGTTCACCTTGGAACACCCAAACAGCCGAATGTCGTTTATTTTCTGGTTCATAACAGTAACTCCACGATTCATCAGAACTAACAATGCTGTACACATTTTTTGAGTTTCCGGAATTGAAACGGTCAAGCGTTTTTTGACACCAATTAACCCTGGCTGCTGTCTGCTCTTCAGTCAACAGGTGGGGTATCCATCGAGAAAATCATTTTTTTATGTCACATGTCAATCTTCAATGATGAGTTTGCGCACCGCATCGACGTTTCCCTGGGTGACTGCCGTTTTTGGTGCACCCACCCTGGGATCGTCGCTAAGACTCACCCGTCCACGTTTGAATTCTCCATACCAACGGGAAATTGTCGACTGATGTGGCGCTTCGTTGCCGAAAACAGACAGTAACTCAAAAAGGCATTCTTGTTGCGATAATTGTCTCTGAAAGTTGTAATAAATTATGGCGCGAAAATGTTCTCGGTTGAGTTCCATTTTTCCTAATGACTTGGTGACACTAAAAAAAATTGCCTGTAGTAAGAACACTGCACGTATTGTTGTGAAACTTTGAATTTGAAAGTTTACTAAGGAGTGAGGTCAAGGTTTAGTACTGACGTTCGATCCGCGCGGCCTACTATGTTTCTATATGCAAAGCTTAAAATACATACCTCGTAAAGTCAATCTACTTGACGACATTTTTAGCATGTTAGTTGTCTGATAACATTCTGAGCGAGATAATACACATCAGAGTCCTGTTTATAGTTTAATATTCTCTTTTATAAAATAGTTTAAATAGTAGTTAACGGTAACTAAAGCTTTTGTAAAACAATTCATTTAAATTCATTAACAAAATAAAGAAAACTCGACGTATTAGTATCACCGATCAATAAGTTAATGAGCAAATAGTGTTTTAATGTTGGTCTAACTTTCTAACCAAGTCTATTTCGTAGTCGTTTTCTCCGTGCTTTCTGTTCTTTTTCCTTTTTGTCCGCTGCGATCTTCATGATGTAAAATTCCTTGTCTACGTTGATGAATCGGGCCATTCTTGCTGGTGGCACGTAAGGCTCGTCAGAACCCGGTGGATGCATGCGCATCTGAAAAGGCATCAAATAGACAAAGTTTCGAGAACAAGTATCATTATGGAAGAACGTTACTTTTACAAAACCGATTGATTAAAAGTATTTAAATCTGGATTTCTTCTCATAGATTCTTTATCGTATATAGCTATCAAGAAAGTTTAAATTACCAATGAGTCGAAATATATTCAAAAATTTAATTGATAATCACTAAAACAGGAACGTTAGTAAAATTAAAGTTCTCTTTATAACGTTTATTCACGTACGATTTAGGGCAATCCTGTTTAGAGTATGATTGAATATTCTTTGATTAGCCATTCTGATGATTTATGTTTTAAAATGTTTATTCTGGCAAGATATCAATATTTAGCCTCCATTTTAGAAAAACTTAGCAACACTTCTAGGGTAGAGAGTACATCCGAAAAGAGCGAAAAAAGTGTGTTATTATAGGACCTAAGATATATGCATCATTATCAAGATACAGGGTTTTGTAAAATTTTACGCCACTGATAAGATTGAATAAGGACAAATCATTAACGCAATTACGCTATCTTGAGATAGGATCACTCTCCAAATACATTGAATACAATTTTCGTTCACTTAAGGATATTTCCAAAGTAGAACAGGATGAATTTTTTTATGCGAACTATACCTGAAATATTTAAACCAATTTTTCTCTAAAAGTAAGTAGTCTGATAAAAATTTTTCAAAAAGGTGATTTGTGTAAAATTGAATGCTTTATTCAAAAATCTGATAAGTGTTTCAAAAAAGGAGGAATGATATGAGAAGAAAATAACGATTTTTCTCTAACGTTGACAGGATGACTTGAAATATATTGGCTCGTGCTATCCGATATACGGTATGAAAATCAAATCCTGAGAAATTAAATGACTTGTCTATTTATGTACGAATTTCAACTACGTTTAAATATAAACCGATATACCGCATCTTCCTTGAAAATAGGGTGTGAACAATCTATTTAAGCCATTAAAAATTCAATTTGGGTAATACCCCGCTGAAATATACCACTAAAACGTTACTGTAGTATTGGAAAACTATCTAATCCTTCTATGTCAAATTCACGTGGATCATATAAATAATTTTTGTACTACAAAACTATGTTTCTTACCTCTATCTAATCTTTCATCGGCGATTGTGTCGCAGCATTTTTGAAAAAAGGATTTTTGGTTAACAACTACTGAACAGTAAAAACAAGAAAGAAAAAACATGCATTTGCATTTTTTTCGAAAAGTAGGAATGCAGACCAACATGAGGGAAGCCAGTTTTCAATAAGTGAAAAAATATCTAATGTTGAAAAAGAGAAAATAACTGAATATTGAAAAAAACGGAAATAGCCTTATTTCTAATAAAAAACATATAATAATTGACCAAACCATGATACGTGTGTGAAAATGGCAGTGATGATGTGTGTAATAATCATTAAAATTTAATCGAAAACACCCACTTCTGATTTTCCCAAAAGCATCCAGCCATACCCAATGCATTCCCAGTCCAATAATAGTTTTAGAAAAAAAGACCCATTTTTTATAAGCAGTTACAAGCTTTACTATTTCATGCTCCAACGAAGCAGTACAATAGAAAATACAGATATTCACTTTCTCAGTAAGCTTGAATTTTCTGGAAGCCTGCAATATTTCACTGATCTGCCAACTAACCAAATCCTTTCTATAATAATATACGCCCAAATGTTTTTCCAAGGGAGTCATCATCGGTAACTTCATGTGAAAGTCCATAATCTCCCAAAAATGTTTGAGTGGGGAGTAGCAGATTTTCTCAGGAGGGCGCCAAATCCTCTAGAAATCCCCAATATATTGCACAAGACCATGAAAAATATGCAAATTTCAAGTGCCAATCGGATTCTCGGAGTGATGAGGGGAATGGGGGAGAACTCAAAGACATATCGCATTAAAGGTGGTGTACCCTTCAATCTTGGCACTTGACTATAACCAAAACTGTAATATATAATTTTGTACTATTCCGCTGGAGCAAGACTTATGGCAGAGTTGGAATATATTTCGTAAGAAAAAAGATTTAGCAGCAGTGATAAGTATTAAGAATCTCATCTAAATGATATACATATGTATACAAGGCAAAGTAAATAGGTATCTACCTATAAATTTACTGACAGGCAGAAACTATTAAAAATGATAATACTGTTTCATTGACACTAAGCAATATTCTATATAGATCATAATTATGTCCTTACTTCTTTATTTTTTATATTCCAGCTCTTCTGTATATACTTACTAAAAGTAATATTGTTATATACCAATCAAATATTAGTTTATTATATGCATATAAATTACAATAATTGGTTATTTTCTACAACTACAGCAATAAATAAAACCCAAAGGCGTATTAGTCTAGTGTACAAAAATCTGTCTATCCTTTTTTCATTAGTCATCAGCCGAAGCCTTTTTGAGCCTCTTCTGTAAAAAAATTAATATTGTTAAAACCGGTGTGTCGATCTCGTTGAATATAATGTGCAGCAAAATTCAGTTTCCGTTATAATGCAATACCATTTTGAACCCTAAAAAAAATTTCCAATCTAAAGTTGAGCTAGACAATAAGTTCGAATAAACTAAGAAGCAGAAGAATTTTTGTGACTATATCTAAAAATATTATCGCTACAGTCACCGTACCGTAGTTTTTTCTACATACTGTCTTTTCACGAGTACCTATCCATAACGGTAAAATAACAGCTGATTATCTAGTAATATTCCAAAATTCCCTATATAGGCAGTAGACAAGTGGAAGACAAGTAACACAATTCTAACGGATCCGTCAACGCCAGGCAGACACAGTCGTATTTTGTAGTTTTTTTGTACGATGCTACGGATTCAACAACTCTTTTATTTAGAAAAGTTCCTTCACATACAAAAAAAGCTACAACCATATTGGCTGCTAATGATCATGACTATATTTCAAGTCAGATAGAAATGAAATGAGTTTATATTACTTTTACATGTAAAATTACAGCTACCGAAAATGACAACAAGTCTGTTCTATGACTTACCCCTGAATCAATAGATTCCAGATGTATCAAAATAATTTTCTATAAAATATATTTCTATGTGTACTTTGTTTTATTGCCAAAATTCCCAGTCACTACAAGTATCTAGATAAGTGATCAACAGCTCTGAATATGGTCCAAGTTTTAGCACATTTGTACCAGATTCATTATTGCCAACTTTACAGATCAGTACAAAGATGACACTTGCTGTTTACCTCAGCAACCACCAGAACGTAATGGATACTCGTGAAATAGGGTTTACTACAACCACAGTATTATGTAGGTACATTACATAGCTACGTGACTTCCTAGAAATTACGCTGAATACTTGGGTAAAGTTCTATGATGACGAGAGCTCGGCACAGTCTGGGAGAAGTTGCCACGCGCAATCGTATCGCGTGTCAGAACCTGAGCAGCAGTTTGTGGGGTACATATTTTAAATAGTTCGTGTTCTGCCTTTGATATCGTCGCCGTCGGTAGAAGTGTTGTTATGTAGTATTATTAAATACTATTGCTATATACTGTACCTAGTATAATTCATTTGAAATACACCAGCGCCATCTATAAGACAGTGGGAGAACACAACAATGAATTCAGAAGTCTACTCGATGCTACGACCTTACAACTACACTCTGCCCGATAACTCCGAAATTCTGCTGCACATTTTTTGCATGGATTAATTTGCCATCTCCTTATTATTTAAATGTTGTTGTTAATCGTCGGTTAACGCACGTACCATTATTCTATATTTTTCTTTGCAAGCAAAGTCAGATTCATCAACGTCTTGGTAACAATCACTCTTGTAATCTTCTGGTAGAGGCTTGCCTTCAAACTCACAAAGCTTTTTTAGTGGTTTTGCCCTGAAAATACAGGAATACGTCAATAATTACCTACAGATATTTCATTAACAAAAAAATTGTGTTCGTATCAAAATAATCAACAGAATATATCAAAATATCGCATCATGATTATAAGTAATACAGGTTTTCATTGTAATTACGAGTATTATGAGTGAAGCGCCCTCAATAAAGGAAGCCCTGGCGATGATTTATCCCCACGTGAAAGAACGATTATAAAATAGGATAATAACTATTTATTACCGAAAGTATACAGATATGCGAATAGTAGGATCACTCGCCGCTCAAATCAGTGTCTCCATACATTCATCTCCCCAGTCATGGCTACGAAACAATCAGTTAGCTGTAAATAGCAATTTTTAGTAACCTGAAAAATTGACCTTCGGCCAGAGCGACCGCTTTTTTTTCTTCGCTAACTTTTGGGGAAAAGGTTGTCGACACTATTTGAGGAGATCGAACATATATAATATTTTTATGCTTATTAACCTACTAACTCTTAGTCTGAATACTTATACTCTACCTATATTAACGTCGAAAATAAAATAGTGGGTATGATTTCGTGGACGTATATGGGTAGATTCTTTACTTACTTAACAATCAATTTATCGAATCCAGTAGGCTTGTGGATCGGGCAGTAGAAAACGTCTGGTGTGTTTTTGTCAAACACTATGCTTTTCCTCATCATATCTTTCACCGAATATACGGTAGAAATAAATATAACGAGAATAAGAATTACTGTAGACTTCATTTTCTAAAAAAGAAACATCAGGTAAGTAGAATTATAACATTTTTGGTCATAGTATCATTATTAATTGCTCTCCTTGTTCATTGTCATCAGTTATGAAAAATATCGGAAAATTCTTCTCTTATAGCTATTTCACTTTATTTGCATTAGTCTAAATGAATAAAATGACAAAAGATTCTATGCACTATAATAGCGAAAAGCAAATAATACCAAGAGAAACAAATGATCAATACTTCTTTTCTAAAATAAGAAACGGCCAGAAACACGATTTGCTTATGTGGGTATGGATGTGCAGCGCAAATGTGCTGGAGACTCCAACGTGCGATCAGAAAAGAACCTCTTAATTGTTTTTCTTTGCGATGTAAAAGATCATGTCATTATTTTCCCAAATGATTTTTATGACTTTTCTTCATTGAACTTTAAGAAAAAGCTGAATAATTTATATCTATCTGAAGTGTGAAGTATATGCCGACTCTATTTACACCCACTACCTTTCTACTTGTCCCTCTTTCCTTTTTATTCTACCAATTGTTGATACACAATACTTTTTCGATAGCTTCCAAAATATATTATGATTTGCTGATAAGATGTTGATAGCTGCACCAGCAACAAAAGACTTTTAATTCTACGTTTTATTGTGAAAGTTATCGTTGTTAAATGGATGAGCTGAAACTCACTACATTTTTTTCATTGTTAGTTCCTTTCTCTTAGGCACTAGGTACATCGTACAGAATAGTTATTATGTCTGTGATTGATACTTATGTTTATCTTTATTATTGGGTTTTCCCTTAAATATAATCATGATATAGATATTTTTTAAAGGTTGAGTTAAAAAATACCCCTATGGTAACACTCCACCTTTTCAATTTTGCACTCTAGTGGTTTTCAAGATATTGTTCTTTTGTTTTATTTTGTGTATGCAAAGTTGAATAAAGGCACATCATTATTATTATTATTAATAGAAAGACTTGTTATGCAATATGCACTTTCTTCAAAATTTTTGATTTCATTTTAGTATTTGAGTGTTTTTTAAATGCCCACACTTCCGGATTTGAATATTTTTGTCCAAAATTCAGCCATTTTCAAATATTTGCCTTAGCATTTATAACAGAGTGCTGCTCCACTCCGATAAAAACAAATTTTGAAACAGATCAATACACAGGTTATAATGAGACTCCAAAGTTTGTTTTTATTGTGAGCACAGTGGAGAATGACTTTTATTTTTATATTTTTTGTCTTACAGATTTGGAGTAGAAAGTATTGCGATCATGTGCTCACATAAAAATACTAAGTTAAGTATTCGAAAATACCGGAAAATTGGACAAATATTTCAAAATCAAGAACTATGTACTTGCTTTCAAATGAGAAGTCCTAAAATAAGGAGAAACATGTTGACAAAAGCTTAAGATACACATGTTCTTTAATTTTTAAATATCTATAGAAATTCCATGGATAACGATCAACTTGGAATTTGAGTCATTTTCAGGGCTGAAAATTTCGCCTAGGTATAGAAGTCGACCATTTGCATTTTTAAAACCACCATCCTTTTCACGATACAACTTGATTTCATCCTCATGTAATTAACCACTAGCATATTATTTCTTCATGAATGTTGTTCCTACCAATTGCTAGTTATCGAAAATACACAATCATGTGGAGATATATTCACGTACCATCCTTGGGACGTATCAACAAAATTGTCATTTAGACTACGAGTACTAAGTATTTTTAAGCATTATGATAACAATTACACCACACACAGTCTCCAATTTGCGGGTACTTAACGTAGGATCTACATAAACTTGCCCTAAAACCCCCACTTCTATTGCTTCGTTCCTTATGGGATTTTTAATATTGCGTTTTTATTGGCGCCAGACCCAGTTTCCCGAAATTTAACTACAAGTTCTAGAACATATTTTCGATGCACGTTACTGTTCTCATGTCGCTCATTAAATATTTCTGCTGTTCTATTAGCGCACTGATTATTTCCGAAAAATATTTAAATAATTAATGTAATAAAATAATTTATGTAATAAAGCGTTACAAGTTATTTTAGCAACAAAGTTTGGTCAAAAAAATCGCAAAATATGTACTAAATTCCTATTTAAAATAAGTACGACATATTTTATTATCTTTCTTCAAGAAATAACTCCAATAGCTATTTTCAACAACAAAATGATAAACAAACCATGGGCGTAGTGAAGAAAAGCATTTACTTATTAAGTAAATTCTTTTAGTCAAATTTCTTCTGAAAGTAGTACAAACTAATCTGATGTACCTATTAAAGTCTACTTTAAGCTTTAAATCAATAAATATTCAAAACTGCTGAACTGAAGCTCATGTATTTTACATCATTATAAAATACGGTATCACTCGACCCCCCTTTCCATTTAAGATTTTAGGGTTGGTTTCAAATCGACGGGTCTAAGCGTTTTTCAAAAAAAAAAAACTGAGCTGCCAGTAAATGCGTCTGTTTCGTTTTAGATGCGCCACCCTGTATAACATAATATAATTGGTGCTGTTACACGAGTAAGCATGATCATATTGTAAAAAGTTAGCATCAAATCCTGCAATACATCTTTTGAATAACTTTCACCACAGTTTGCGAAAGGTGTGCTCCATAAAATGAAAGTTTTATTTTAGCATTATTTCACCAAAATACAACAAAATGGCTTAGTGATTCTTGAGTATCTATAGTTAAAAATGCATGGGTGTTAAGGTCAACCCAATAAGGAGATACGGTCTTGAGGATACGACGATTTTTTATAACAAAATATTTATAGTCCAGCTGTACAAACAAAGGTCTATATTTCACAAATTGTGAAATACCTCATGCCGAAGTCAGTTATTTTATAACAATATTTACTGTACCTGCACTTAGATACATCTCTAATTACGAGTATGTTTTGAATTGAATAACAACGTCAATTCAAAAATTCGTTACCTTTTGAAAATATGAGACTATCTCCAGATGCTTGAAGCATAGAATTCATATGAGATATTGACAGAACTTTAACAGACTTCTATCTATGACATCATAGGTACATTACTGACATCATTCTACCTGGTTATTAATACCTAGGTATCGCAAAAATACGCAATCCACAAGGTCGTCTGCTAGCAGTTACTTATACGTTTACATTAAAATTAAGCAATTATTATAACCGACTCACCTGTTTTTGGTAACTTCTAATCCAACTAGGTATACGATACTACACAACGAGGATTGCGATCTGAGAAATGCAATGTCTCGAATTTACAGTAATACTTTCATACTTGTGCACAAATAAAAGGCGGAAAATGTAATGAAAACAGTTATGAAGAGAGAAACGAACTCATTCTCTTTCTTCCATCTGCTGGTCTGGAAGACAGTCAACGGCAACGGCGTGAAAAGAATAAAGAAGTCAGAGATTGTAGGAGGTAGCCAGGACCGTATCTAGCTTTTTGATTGTACATTTACAAGCAAAAAGTGTTACACCAAAAGTACCGAAATGTGCTTTATCTTTATTCATTTACCTACGTTTTTCGACTTCGTTCTAGCTTTCTAATGGATGAGTCAGGCAAGTTTGTCAGCAACTGGCAGTTGTACTTTGGATTCTCATATAGGTGCGGGAAAACTGGGTTTTAAAGCGCAGTCAGTGAGCTTTACATTACATAAAGGCGTGTCTAGATATCTCACGTAGTTTTCTTGGAATCGACAATTTTATTGGACACGACATTTATCTCCCCAGAAGTGGGAGATATTATCTCGGGCGAAGAAAGATATTACTCCGATTTGTAGTGATGTAAAGGATCTAAATGATATTGTTCAAGCCTACTGAAGTTCTTGATTTCTTTACTTCCAGGTTTTTTCTTATGATTTGTTATGGGATCTCAAATGGGTGAATGTTTCACTTCACCACCTCAAGGCCAAACTGCTGTGTATATTCTTGTGTATTTTCTTACACAACTGACAACATAATTCCTTTTAAATATCGAGGTACTATTTCTCGCATTTCAGATCCATAAATAATGCACATGCAGCATTTGCATAACGGTCAACCGGTGTGTTGCGACAACAGTTCTGGGTGGATTTCAGCATTTACAGAGTTTTTGGAACGATGGACGAGTGTGCCGTGACTGGTACATTTAAAAACGACAGATTTTCTCATGCTCGCTTGTCGCTTTGGGGGCTTTTGGGAACGGGAATGCCTACTCATTTGGTCCTGGGCTTTGCTGGTTTTGCACGGTGCCATTTTAAAATTGCAATCATGGCTTCGCGCAATCTCAGCATATTACAAGACCCTCCAGACTATTGTAGTGACACACTGCATTGCAATGTGAAAAGGAAGACAGTCACGAAGGAGACAGAAACAAAATATATTGCAAACATACTTGCTAATTGTACTTGTGGTCGAACTGTTGTATACTAAAAAGGAAATCTAAACATATTTGTGGTTCTGATTCGGCTAGACAATGGAGTCTTATGAAACAAAAAGTGTTTTCAATCACATAGGCGTCTTTTGGTTGATTGATGGTCAAACGTTATTAATTGAGGGCTACAGAATTTAACGCCGATAAATTCAAAATGAACTTTTGTCAGGCTTTTGAGTTGAGATGAGATCAGATAGGCTACATTGTAGATCAAATGAAACGTGCATTCAATCGGCGTAAAAATAACTAAATTGTAATGCAACTTTCAAAAGTTATCATCATCAAACATTTTTCTTGACATCCGAATTGATATGTTATCAAATGAAACACTTGGGATATCGCTTTGTTGACTTTATTTATACCCAATGAAATAAATAGGACAGGTGATACGCCACTGGATCCAGTTTAATGAAATCCCTCAAATGTTCACCTTTTTTATTTGTTAGCTATAAGTATCTACGTTGGTCTAGGATCATAAGCGTCAGCAAGGGGTGGCAGGGGGACGAATTTTTTTATATCTAGGAATATTACTAATCAATTACAATTATATTGTGTTACTAAAGTAAAAAATACTTTTTAGTATGTCAAATGGCTTGTAACTCGTAGACGTGTCAATGGGGCGGCCGCACAGGGCTGTCTGGGGGGCTGCGCCCTCCTCCCTCTGCGAATTTAGTTCAAAATGTGGTCACACTGAGAAGATTTGCGACGCCTCGCTCTTCAAAATGTTTTGGAACTAGGTACACTTCCACAGAAAGTTATCTCTTGGCGATGATTTGCCCCCGTGAGAAAAGAAAAATTCCTGCGGGTATAGCATTTTTTATTTCTTTTTATAATTACAAGGTGGTCCCCGGGAGCGGGATGTTTTGAATACTTTATGATTCTAAAGGAAATTTAATTTAAATAAAGTACAGTATAATATTAACAAACCAGTAATATGCCATTTTTATTTCTTAAAACAAGAATCTTAGCAATTTCTTCCATAATGTTTCTTTTAAGCTCTTGAATGGTTCTTTGTTTATTAATGAGCACCTTTTGCTTTAGGTAGCCTCTCAAAAAGTAATCGCGAGTCGTTAGGTCTGGCGACCTTGGCGGCCAGTCAATGTCTCCTCGTCTGGAAATAACATGTTGCGGAAACAATCTTTGCAAGGAGCTTGATGACGCTCTCGTGCTGTATGAAGTAGCACCATCCTGCTGGGACCATGTTTGATTACTATGTGGAAATCTGCACATGCGTGGACCCAAAAACTGGTTTATCATATCGGTATAAGGCACAGAGTTAATGGCAACAGCATTCTCATTCTCATCTCCAAAAAAGTAGGGCCCTATAATTCCCACTGAAGACATCGCACACAATACCATCACTTTTGGGCTATGTAATGGTTGTTCGTGGAGCTCCTGTGGATTTTCTGAACTCCAATAACGACAATTGTATTTATTGGTATAGCCGGATAAATGGAAGAGCGCCTCGTCAGACATCCACAAATTGTGTAGATATATCGATTTCATTCTCAAGCAAGTTTCAGCAAAATGTAAACGAGCCAGGATGTCTGTTGGTTTTAGTGCTTAGACAATTCCAATTTTGTATGGATGAAGATTGAGATATTTATGCGAAATTCGAGGTAAAGATGTCTTACAAATTCTTAACGCTTGGGCTCGTTTTCGGGTGGGATGTTTTGGACTGTGTTCCACAGAAGATATGCTTACACGATCGATGGTTTCAGGCTTTCGTACACTTTTCTTTGGTCCTTGATGTTTGACATTAACAGCTTCAAATTTACGAAGCAATTCCTTGATCGCATGAGCCAAAGGAAATCTGACATGTTGACCAATTTGGGAATAAAGTCGGAAATGTCGCTGAGTAGCAACCACACAGTTATTGTTTTTATATTTAGTACGACTTAATCAAAAATGCACGTTGCTCACCAGATCACTGGTCTACGACTACTAAATGGCATAGGTACAGCGACAGATAATTTCAAAAAACAATGCATACTTACAGAATAACAACATTATCAAAACTTCCCGCTCCCGGGGACCATCTTGTATTTGCTTTCTCAGCCACGAAAAAATACCAAATATACATAGTCATGCCATAAGTTCTGTCCCTCGTTTTCAAACAAGTGTAGACCTGTTAATACTTGTCCGATTGTTTACATTGTGGTGTCAGTTGATTAAGCGCTTTTCGGATAATTACATATACCTCAGTTTGTATTGATCTCTCGAAGCATAACGATGGAGTGGGGCAAGGCAGAGAACCGTATTGCAGTGATAGCTTTACATAAGTGTAATCACAGTGCTAGTCAGATTTTTGAACTCTTACGCGGCCTTCAAATATCGCGTAAATTTGTGTCTAGGACCATTCAGCGGTACAATGAGACGTCCTCTGTTGATGACAGGCCAAGAAGCGGAAGACCTCGTCAAGTAAGGACTCCAGCAGCCATCAAAGCCGTAAAAGCCAGGATTCAAAAGAATCCACTCCGGAAGCAGAAGATCCTATCCAGGGAAATGAAGATTCCTGTCCGGACGATGTCGCGCATCATTAAACAAGACCTAGGGCTAGGGGCTTACCGGAGACGTACGGGCCAGCGACTTACGGCCACCTTGCGACACATCAGGGCGACAAGATCCAAGAAGCTCTTGGAGAGGTACGCAGCTGGGGGATTCCGAAAGATTTTGTTCACGGATGAGAAAATCTTCACCATAGAAGAAAAATTCAACCGACAAAATGACAAAGTGTATGCAAGGAGTTCACAGGAAGCTTCGGAGATCATTCCGAGAGTTGAGAGAGGCCACCACCCTGCGTCAGTCATGGTTTGGTGGGGGGTGTCCTACGAAGGGGTCACTCAGCTCCATTTCTGTAAACAGGGCGTGAAAACAAAAGCGGCAAACTATCAGAGCGACATACTGGATCCTATCGTCAAGCCTTTAAGTGGCACATTGTTTGCCAACCAACACTGGGTCTACCAGCAGGATTCCGCCCCCGCTCACAAGGCTAAGCCCCGCCGCACATGCCCACACTCGCATTGGCCGTCACGAGCCGTGTGCGAGTGGCAGTATTTGAAACCTATGGCACAGTACCAAACTCCGCATTTGCTCTCACGTGTCGACGCAGGCACGTACATGAGCGTGTACGCGCGTGTCGGCTAGGTGGCCGAGACATTGTTTTCGAGTGGCAGTGTCGCGAGTATTTGCAAAATGGAGGAACTTATTGAAGCTGTTCGAAGCGAAAAATGTTTATACGACGTAAAACACCAAGATTATATGAATAAAAAATTGAAGGATTCTGTTTGGAAACGAATCGCAGAGGCGCTAAATCTCAAGGATGGTAAGTATTACTTATATAAATCTTACTGATATTATAAATGTGAAAGTATGGATGTTTGTTTGTTTATGGTATAAAATATAGTCTAGAATTTATATAAAATAGATTAGGTAAGGTATTAAAAAAGGTAGCTAACAAAAACTAAAGCTGTTGTGTAGGTAGATATGAATTTCTAACATTTATTTAATAAACTCATATGTGCATTTACAAAATAATTACAAGTTCTATTGTTGTATTAATTGTCGAACGATATCAATACGCGCCCCGTTGCACGCTGTGGTTTTGCCAAGTCACTCGTCCTTGTACGGAGTTAAAATAATCCGTAAATTGGTCTCTTATTTCAAATGCACTTTTCGAAACGCGTCCTCTCATTCGCGGCAAAGGCAGTAATTGTTGAAAATTTGGTAAATTTTCATTTTCCAGGTTCAGGTCCTCATCCATATTTCTAGTTATACTTTTTGTGCGTAAATAGTTATGCAAGACACAACTCGCCATAACAATTTTGTCTACTGTTTCTACTTTCATTTCAAATGGCCGTAAAAATATTCTGAACCGGGAACTCAATAAGCCAAATGCACATTCAACCGTTTGTCTTGCTCTTGAGAGTCTGTAATTAAAAACTTTGTTTCTATAATTGTCTATCACTTGTCTCTGAGGAAAAGGTCTCATAAGGTTTTCCATTAAAGGAAATGCCGCGTCACCAACAATAACATAAGGCACAACTATGTCTTCTCTTCCAGGTAGACCCTTGGGCTCGGGCAGATGTAGCTGTCTGTTTATCATTTTTCTCTTTAATATGCAATTATCAAATATATTTCCATCCGGAAATCTGCCTTTAGAACCGACATCAATAAATACAAATTTATAATTTGGGCCCACTACCGCCAACAGTACAATAGAGTGATGTTGCTTATAATTAAAAAATGAGGATCCACTGTTTATAGGTTTCTTAATTGTCACGTGTTTTCCATCGATAGCGCCCACAGTATTAGGCATTTGCCATATATTTTGGGAATCGACGGCATTTTTTTCCAATATATCCAGTGTAGGTTCCGGCAAGTAAATAGGTTGCATGTTCCTCCAATTAGCTGAAGATACCTTGGTTATAATATTTGAGATAGTCCTTTCTCCCATTCGGTAACTATAGCCAATGCTCCGATACGAGTTACCGCTTGCGACAAATCTGTAAAGAAAAAAAATACATTTATTATATTTTATATAGTTGTGATTATTAATGATGATTAACTTTATTGCAGGAAGTGAAGCCAAGAAATCTTGGGAAAAACTGAGAAACAATCACCGAGATGCGCTTCGTCGGCAGAAAATTTCTAAACCGAAAAGTGGATCAGGGGCTGTTAATATAAAAGCATGGAGCTTTCAAGAAAATATGACGTTTTTGATTCCGCATATGGCAAATAGGCCAATTAACACCAATGTTAATGAAGACATACTAAATGACGAATCATCTCATAGTAATTCAAATACTATAGAAAATGACATTCAAAAAAATATTAATGATACGGATATTCATGAATCAGGAGTTGAAGAAACTAATGAAACCCCTGAATCACAATCTACTGGAACATCAGCTGGCCAAGGAAATAAAAGACGACAAAAAAAGAAAACTTTGAATAACTTACTAACTAAATCGATTGAGGACCATGAACGTAGACTAGCTAAAAGACAGCAAGAACGGGAGCGCTTAATTGCTTACACCAATTATAATGATTTCACCATAAGCAATGTTAAAAATCATCCACTTTTTCATTTTTTTATTAGTGTGTACGAGACTACAAAAAGATTGCCGCCACTTTCTCAACACAATATTAAAACAAACATATTTTCATTGGTGTCCCAAGAAGAATCAAAAAACTTGGTGGAATATTCGCCTCGTCCACCTTCTTCCTATTCATAGAATAGTGATATAAGATCATATTTCATCATATACGCCTTCTCCTGTAGAACAACAGCCACATAGTGATGCAGGAACATATTATACGTCTACTCCTATGCAACAACAGCCAAAGGAAGGTGGGACACCAAATATTATAATGACTCACGGTAATGAACTTGACAGTTCTGGAAATATGTTTCAAACTTTGTAAATTAAATTTATAAATTATTATTGTGCTTTGAATAGTTCCGCTTAATTTTGTAATTGTTTACCTACATAATAAACTTACCTTAAGAAAACGGCCAATTTTTCTTCAGTACTAATTCGTTCATGGCCACCATATCCTTGATCTTCTAAATCTGTAGCAATCATCGCATGTACTTCCTTAAAATCGTTCCTAGTCATTCTAAAATAATTTTTAAATTTTTCGTCTGAAAACTCGGAAGTTAATTTGAATTCTCCATGTGTTTTCCTTTTGGACAGGTAAGAGCTCTTCCATATTTTTTTTTCCGATGATTTCCTTATCAACAATAATCTATTTAAAAACTCGTTATCACTGTCGGATTCTGAACTTATATCAATCGCGTCCATCTTGCTCCGTTCGTCGTCTACGAATGGTAGAGACACTGACTGATGTACGACTCGTGAAAGCAATTGCGGACACACACGTGCCCACCAATGTCAAAGCGACATTGGCGCAGTGTAGTGAACGAGTGCGAGTGTGGGCATGTGCGGCGGGCCTAAGAGTACGCAGCGCTGGCTGGAAAGCAATGTGCCAGAGTTCATTGCTGCGGAAGATTGGCCCTCAGGGAGTCCGGATCTCAATCCTTTAGACTACAAGTTGTGGGACCTGCTAGAGCAGTTGGCCTGCTCCAAAGCCCACCGTAATATCGAGTCCCTGAAAGCGGATTTAATCCGATCAGCGGCAGCTATTCCTTTGGAAGCTGTGCGTGCAGTGATAGATGAGTAGCCCGCGAGATTGAAGCAGTGTGTGAAGGCCAAGGGGGGACATTTTGAATAAAACTGTTTGATTATGAATTCTAAAAATGTTGTCGAATAAATAATATATTTCATATAAATATATCTTATCTTGTTTCATTTTTATCATGAGATTATCATCGGACAGAACTTATGGCACGACTACGTACAAAGAATATAAATTTTACATTCATTGTTGCTGTATCGTAACACTGGGACAAGAGATGTTTCGAATTTGTTTATCCGTGACTAAGTTCTGGGTCAAGGGTCGGATATTCGTTGAATTATCAAGTCCATAGTTTTTAAAGCAGCCTAAACACTTAAACAAAAACAAATCACAGTTTAGACTATAAGTCTGTTGTAGCGCAAGTATTTATTCAGAAAGTTTGGCAGAGCTATGCATTTCTAAAAACTTTCCATCTATGATATTCCCTTTTAAAATACAAATATTGCTAAGCCAAACCTTTATCAAAGTAATTGCAGTTAAGCTTTACCAAAAAAAATCTAATGTTTTGCGAAAAAATAGTTGCTTTAATATTGCGTTAAGGCTACCGTGAGAATGTTTGGGTTAAGCCGGTTCTGTATGCAAGTATGTGACGTGAGGCATGCTTACTGTGTTGCCTAAAATGTGGTATAGGCAGACATGGAGTCGGAAAAAAACACGATCTTTCTTATGTGAAAATGGATATACAGCCTAAGCGCGCTGGAGACTCCAACGAGCGATGAGGAAAGAAATCTCTCATTATACAGTTTTTTGTGTGGGCTTTGGTTATTACGCGTGGTATCGATAAAAAAAAATACAAAAATGGTAGCGAGCAGCATGCTTTTGACTCGGAAAATATTTTTAATTCTATAGGATGAATGATAACTACGTAGTAGCCAAAACATACATTTTTTTTAAATAAATAGCCCTACATTTTATTGCAGATTTGGACAGGCCATTTTAAATGAACCAGTTTGACATAACCTGCTATGTGGTTTTATTTTTTAATTTTTGGGATATTTGGCAAGTTTGACATCTGGTACCGCAACTGTTATAGCCGGTGTATTGAATTTTTCGTCAGACAAATTTTGGTATCCCATATTGTCTCCCTATCTACTTACCTTTTCAGTTTTGTGAATATTTTATATAGGAATGAAAACACATTATATATTTCCACTCTTTTTGATTTCCCGTTTCGCTAGATCTTTCTAATATGTTTTATGGGAGCTTGTTCGACTGGTTTTTGAGTTACTAAGAACCCGGGACACCTTCTTGAATCTTTGACGTCATTAAAAAAAGCTAATTGATTCAATTTATAGTTACGCCAATCCTAACGATCTGCTGTTGCCAACACTTATTTCGAAATATATTGTAATATTTTTTTATCTGCCTTGATATCTGATTTATAAAAAGTTTAGCAGTCGTACAAAGCTCCATAACCCTTATAAGATATAAAAAAGCATCTGAAAAGGGGAACTACACAAAATTTCCGTCCTTGGTATAGTGGTAACCTTTTGTGGGAATTCCATCAAAAGTCAAATGGTATCTAGTTTCCAGTTTATAAACGTGCCCAGAATTAGTGGACAGACAGACCGACGGAAACAAAACGGTTCTACAAATTGACACCATCTAACTTTTTTCTACCTTCTAGAAGAAAAAGTTGTATACAAAGGTTATAAGGTCTAATATGAAGTTTTTCATGTAATATTTCAGTTGCTTTCGAAAAAAGTTGTATTTTTTTTTAAATGTCTCTCATTTTCTGACTCAAAGTATAATATCGTTAATTAAACTTATTTTTATTACTCTAGTCAAAAACTTGAAGTTTGTTTGCCACATAATCATGTATTCAGGCCCTATACCAGGCTGCATACGCGGCTAGATGCAAACTGGTCCGAACAGAATATTTCCCGACAAATACATTTATCAAAATACAAGTTTAATTTCGTAAGAAATTGTTACCAAAATGAGGAGAAAAACTAAAAAGAACTATATATTTCATCTTATTGATGATTTTATTGTGGAAAGATGTTTATTATATAAACTATATCTATATCAAAAATAGAAATAAGATGACAATAGATTTAAATAAAGCTAAACTTCTCTTAATAAGGTTACACTTTAATGAAAACTGTTTCAATTTTAAAGTTTATTCGAATCCCACAAAGGGCACTAATATAAAATACTTATAACAAAGTAGAAAATAAGTATTTTTTAGTTTTATCTCATATTTTGATCTCATATGTTTCATCTGTAATCTCATAACATGTCAAGAAAAGTATTTTGGTGTAATGTCTTAAATCTTAAAATAAAAAATACATTTTTAATTCGTTATATTAATTTGTCGACTTTTTGAAATCATGCCCAGATGTTTTGGTCATCCCATCTGGCAACCCTAGATTCGAACACGGATACACACATGAGTAAATGACAGACACACTTGAGATTTTGGCGAAACTAATGAAAATAAGTATATAAGTGTAATAAACCACGTATACTTCGAACCAGACAAAAAGGGACTATTATTTTTCCTGTAAATATACAGGGTGTTTCATTTAAAAAATAATACTATTCGATAGCACTTTTTGTCATACAAAAAAAAAACATTACATGGAGAACTTCATGTTATTCAAAAACATAATGTCTCATTTTCGAATTACTTCCCCATGGCCTCAGTGGTGTGAGAAGTAGCAAGAAGCACCAATAATCGTATCAGTGTGTAGTTGTACCAGAATATGAAACTGGGTATTAGGTAAATAATAGTAATTTGGTAACCAGAATGCGTAAGTAGTCCAGCATTGCGGTGCTTGAAATAAAAGCTTATTACAGAAGATCGAAGCGGCATAATCTAGGTGACTAGGCAGCCGCTTCGGGACGACAAAGTGACCAGAGTTGAACAGTTATTCCGCCGATTATTTTTATTTTTATCATCGTACCGGCGCTCAGTTTGGCCATAGACTGGTTCCACGAGGCTCGAGAAGTACCCGAAGCCAAGAACTTGATGGAATTCGTCGTCGGGTGCTGAGTACCAATTTAATCGTTCTTAAGCCAAGACCGGTGAAACTGGTCACCCTCTTTGTCGTTCTTGTCATTGAGCTGTGATCGTAATGTGCGGTGGTGTGAAATGTGCTGTGATCTTTCTTGCAGTTTTACAGGTACACCGAAACTATGCTAGGCTTATTTATTCGGTTATTTCCAACAATGAATTTCTCATAGTACCCAACGGCATTTACAGTGGACCAGATCAGTTCAGCACAAGCCTGCAACATCATGTTATCAATTTTCTCAGACAGTTGGATATTTCTTGTTGGAAATAACTGATTTATATAACTATTGTTATTTCATTCACCTAATGTTTCTTCATGAAAATAAGTATACTACATCTTCGGTTCTTAGACTGCCGAACCTTTTCAAATATTCCAAGCCATTTCTAGAACTACACACACCAGCTATTGGACTCCACAGATCTCTCACATTTTCCGTTTAAGTACCGTAGACTATCAACTTTAGAGGACTCAATGGGACTAAAGTGTGGAGATCGAGTAGGCCATAAGTAAGGCCCTAGTCGTCCCGTTCAACGATATCTTTAAGTTATTAGGTCAGGCTAACTAGCCAAAGACACACTGTTAGAGAAAAAACTGCTTTAGGTTTTGGGTATTTTTTCATCATTAGATCTTTTTGGTAAAAGAGAAATTTGTAATTTTGCATATTTTTGAGGTCTCACTTTGGAGGTCCTTTCAAGCTCTACAACTTTACTCCATACCAGTTTTAATAATGCTTCATAATTTTATAAATATATTGGACAACGTTACCTTTTCTATTTTGAGGGCTAATAAAAAGTGACCCAGAAACATTTTTTGTACCTTCAGATGAATAACTTTTCCATATACCTTCAAGAATATATTTCTGCTGTCTGTCTAACCATTTTTTTTTCAGGATAACTATCCTGCTCCCTAGTTGTAACTAAATTGAAGTTGATGGATATATCTCAATCAGTATTAACTCTGGTCTGTTTCGGCATTCTATGAGATTTGATTATTAAGATCTAGCTTACCTACTCAGTTATTCTGGAGCAATTTTGATAGATTTGTTGTTTTACATGTGATTCTCGTTAATATAAAATATTTTTCAACAATGCTGTTCACCCAGTATCCTTGATACCATATACAGGGTGTTCCTTAATGATATGCGAATATTTAAGGGAGTGAATCTACATGAAAGATTAATGTTAGTTTGCTTTATAAACTATGGTCCAAAAATGTTTCCGGGGTGTTAAAGTTTTAGGAAAAAAAAGGGAAATTGATTAATATTTTCAGAGCCGCTTCAGATATTTCACTGATATTTAGTACGTAGTGAAAGTTGATAAAGTTGCATATTTTTCAATGCAAAAATAATTTTCAGCTCTTACAGTGGCGTGCGTACGGGTATTGACTTCGATATTTTTTAAGAAAAAAATGGTACACCAATGGTTTTTTGCCAAACCTAAATTATTTTCGAATTCCCCGTTCAATTTAAAACAAATAATTTTGCTTGAATTGTTTTCCTTCGATGCGCCATTTTTGAGTAAAAAAATAAAAACCGTTCTATTGTCCGGGAAAATTAATGTAATAATTGAAGAATGTAATTTAGCAATAAATATCTAGTTGTTCTGGAATATGTCACTGGCTTTTGACATTTGACAAGTCTATGTTATTCAAATCTGTTCGCTGTGACATCTTTTTCAGTATTTAGTTTTTACAATCTTGTTAATAATGGTGAATTATTCAAATGCAGAAATGGTGGAAATGCATTACCTACGTATATGGCCTTGCCGACGATAATGGTGAGCAAGCCAGACGGATTTATCACCAGAGATATCCCGATCGTGCTTTGCCAGATAGTCGAACCTTTTCTAATATTCATCGTCGTCTTGTTGAAACTGGTTCTGTCCGAAAAGGAACATCTGAAGGTAGACCTCTAAGTGTGAGAACACCTGGAATTGAGGAAGCAGTGCTGCACGAAGTCGAAGAACATCCTGAAACGAGTACGAGGAAGATCGCTAGACACCTAAATATTTGCCATCAAATTGTTTGGAGAACTTTAGTGGATTTTTTGTTATATCCTTACCATATTTTAAGAGTACAGGCTTTTGTTTGGCAAAAAACCATTGACGTACCATTTTTTTCTTGAAAAATATCGATGTCAATACTCGTACGCACGCCACTGTTGAAGTAAAAAATTATTTTTGCATTGAAAAATATGCAACTTTATTAAATTTCACTTCGTGCTAAATATCAGTGAAATGTCTGAAGTGGTTCTGAAAATATTAATTAATTTCCATTTTTTTCCTAACCTCAACACCCCGAGTTTTTGTAAGGAAACATTTATGGACCATAGTTTATAAAGCAAACTAACATTAATTTTTTATGTAGATTCACACCCTTGAGTTTTCGCATATCATTAAGGAACCGAAATCAAAGAGCCGAATAGTCCAAAACAAGTTGCTATAGACCAGATAGTTTCCATAGTTGTAGTAGGCACGCATGGTATAGGGTAAAGGCTATATAAATCTGAGCCATTGAAGATTTTTGAACAGAGATCATTCTATTTCGAATCAATTTTTATTCGTTAACGGTAAACCAATTTCATGGATAATTCAATTTCGATTGAAAAAATATTGGGCAACAATTAACTACTCCAGGTAATTTTCATGTAATCGATTATACAAAGGCAGTGGTTACAAACACTTCAATTCGTAATGATTTTCTTATTATATTAATTTATTACGACAAATTTTACAGTCCACCACCTTTCTTTTGGCTGTTAGCTCTCTGTTGAAATAGGATGGGAAATTAATCTTGTCTCATTTTTACTTCCCACATTAATTGACGACGTAAACGTTAGGTAATATTAATCAGCACCATTCGTACATATAGTCTAATCATATTAGCAAATTTCCCCGAAATAATTGTAAAGTCTGGTTTTATTGGTGCAAGTTGTTCAAGGGGGTATTTAAAACATGGTGGCATAAAATGGGTATACCAATTTTTGTGGGAAAACTTTTTATTTGACAACAAAGAATGAGGAAACGTGTTCTTTGGGGTTCAATCGAAAGTGCTGACAGGAACGAAAAAAATTTCCATATAAGATTTTCAGGTATTTATAAGACCTACAAAATGGGGTCATACGTAAAAAGATCCGACTAATACAAAAATGTTATGGCCGAAAAACGAGACAAAATGCAGGTTTTGGCGCTTGTCGGTAATGCAACGATAATTTCATGCAACTACTTGAAATTCTTCAAATCCGTGGGATTCATACTTCTAAATAACCACAACAAAATTGGAGTATATTGGTCAAGTAATTTTTTTAGAATTTCTAATTGCTTATCCCAAAACACCTGTCTTCCGGCTATCACTACTAGTTTATTCAGCAATATACAGGGTTCGTTCAAAGAGCATTTATTAGCAAAATACACGTGTTTACTTTGCCAATATTAATCACAAACCGTTCCGAAAAATAAATGTTATCTTTATGTGAAAAACGAAGGTTACGTTATTTTCTTCTGAACAAATTCAAACATTTCGTATTTGTGAGTAACTGAACAAATGCGCTACGATATTCGAAAAACATACGCTACCCTTAGGCAGCAGCGGTGGCCGCAGTAGTAGACTCTTCGGTCTCCTGATCAGTCGCCGTGCGCTGTGCGGGTTCGAGTCCCGTCCCAGGAGAAATTTTTCTTGGCTATGGATGTTGTGATTGTCCGTAGGTGGTAGATGGTCTCTGACTGTCGAACGCGGAGGTACCACCCGGCGGATCTCGTAGGCGGAGACAGAATGTGTGCATGTTGCATGCACACGTGTTCCCTCGCCAGAGTCCGTGTGGAGTTCCCCCTTTCCCATGTGTCCCCCTATAGCCCCACGGTACCCAATGGGTGCTTAGGCCTTAGGCCTTCGTGGTATTTGAAGTATAAAAAAAAACTATACACATTTTTAAACAAAGAGTGTCTATAATCTTTTGTTGCAGATTACTCACAAATACAAAATGTTTGAATTTGTTTATCGGCAAGGTAAACTAGTGTATTTTGCTATAAAATGCCCTTTGAACTAACCCTGTATATTGCTCAATAAACTAGTAGTGATGGCTGGAAAACAGGTGTTTTGGGATAAACAATTAGAAATTCTTAAAAACTACTTGGCTAATCTACTCCAATTTTGTTGTGGTTATTTAGAAGTACGAATCCTAAGGATTTGAAGAATTTCAAGTGCCAAAACCTGCAGTTTGCATCGGTTTTCGGCCATAACTTTTCTGATATTAGTCTGATCTTTTTATGCGTGGTCGCATTTTTTAGATCTCATAAATACCTAAAAATCTTATATGGAGAGCTTTTTCGTTTCTGCCAACACTTTCGGTTGAATCTCAAAAAACATGTTTTCTCATTTTTTGTTGTCGAATAACAAGTTTTCCCACAAAAACTGATGTACCCATTTTATGTGTGTTAAATACCCAACTTGCAGCAATAAAACCAGACTTTACAATTATTTCGTAAACCAGGGGCATTTTCGTCTAATATAATTAGACTAATATCTCTACGGCCCGCCTCGCTCTGTCATCGCTGGCCTCCCTCGTGACACATACGTTCTTCTTTAATAAACCGAATATAATACAATAAATGACTGAATTGCCTTCGAACTGAGTTAACCTGCTTGACGCCATTTCTATGCTGTGGCTATCGAAGTTTTGTACCAACATTTTTCTGAATTCGTATCTCTGTTTACGAGTATGACCACTGCGAGAGTGAAATAGAAGGCTGTCTATTGAAACTGTATCCCAGTTGACATTTGATAGCCGGGTCACCACTGTGGCCGCTAGATGCCGCCGATTCTGTCGTTGAACCAACTATTAATACAGCTTTTGTGCGTCCGACCACACCAGCGACCAAGTCTAGACCATCCTGTTGAGTTGCCAATAAGCAAGAAACACCTTGTTTGGCCGTCTATAGTCGGTTGAACGAAAACTATATTACCGGTTTGAAATTGAGTATTTACTGCTTCATCTACGTGCGTTCAGTCAAAGTAAAGCGGTCGATCGATCCGTAGCGTTTACGCTGAATAGCAATAGCCGTGGAATTGCTTTGACAGTTCGAAACATTTAGTCAACAAGGCTACTGCTATTCAGCAGCAGATGTTCGCTTTACGTTGGCTGAACGCGTTTTATATTTTTCCATAGATTTGCGCTGGCCAAAAACGGCCACCCAAGGCTGACTCGAAACTCTTAGATTCATACATACCCGCGGCAATGCAAGTCCTAGCTCACTTGACCGAGCTGATGAAATACGACCTGAAGCCAAGCAGCAGTTCTCCAGAAAGTCAAAACGTCGGCCTCCAGAATTTGCATCCTACCCCACCCCATAAGCCTGCTATATATGCGCCGTTTCCAGCGCCTGCTAGGCACTTTTTCAAACGAGGTGAGTTTTAAAGGTCATCCTGAGCTAATGCAACTTAATTTCTAATTACACACTAACTTAGAGAAAATTAATTAGACTTGGGATAAATTGAAGCGCTGTGCACATCGCACTATGAATTGTTGAAGACATTTTTGAAAATCATTCACCGCAGAATATTCTGAAGATATTTTCAACCGCTCGACAACAAAACGGTTGATATAAAAATATATGGGCACCCTTTGTGCAATATTAGATACTGTGGCGATACTGTACAAAATTCATGATAATCACAAAAAAAAAAGAAATAACAGTGTCAACCGGTTTGTGAAAAATCCAGTCTAGAGTGCACTCAGTAACTTAAGGCATGTGGTGTAGCCAAGTTTTAGTATGAATTTCAGATTAAAGATGCTCATACGCAGTTTTCCGGGCGCTCTTGTATATGGAGTAGAGGCGTGGGCTCCAAATGCAATTTGTATGAAAAAGTCCATTGAAATGTGGTGTTACCGTTGTCGACTAAATCTCATAGGTCGATATAGATTCAGTCAGAAAAATAAAATAATGTTCGCCGTCAAAACAAAAAAATTAAGATAAGTGGAATGGAAGGGGAATGTCCTGATTAATGAATCTCAGAAAATGATTCGTTTGCAGGTCCATTCAACTGTTTGGTACAGCACCTTCAAAAATACAAGATGCATTGATTATAGCCAACCGTCGTGGAGGAGATGCATTGTGGATCTAGGAGGGAGGGGGTACTGGTGGTCTGCCATTCCCCCGAAATATCCGAGTTTGAAGGAATTTCGAACTTGTTCCTCAACCTGCACCCCCACTCCCTCTATTCAATTTTCAATCGCCAATACCCCCCAGACGGACATCTTCCTGAACATGAACCCTAAGGACCAAAGAACTTACCCTTGAAAATATTTTCTAAATTCTCCCCTGAGGAGATGACACGCGAAGCTCTAATACTAGGGCACCGCGGCTGCTATCAGGAGTTCAAAGAAACCTTGTTAATCCGATTTTTGGACTATCTAAGGCTAGTAGAACTGGGAAGAGTCTCCTCGGATAGATTGTTCAACAATCCCGATACCCTAGAGATAAAGTAGCGGTCTTATCGGCCCTCTGGGATGTACGAAGTTCGACACGGTCGGGATGGGAGGCCGAAGTCAGGCGGGACACCCTGGCAGAAACATCGCGCGGCAGTATCATGGAGGAGAGCTGTGAGAGCTGAAAGCCCGTTGACAGAGCGGTAGAAGAGAGCTAGATCTCCTACGGGCCGTCGGTGTGAAAGGGTGCTGAGACTGTCCGCTAGAGAAGAACCATCGATTAGGCGGTCAGAATGGATAACGTAGTCGGGGCGGCAGCACCCCAAATATGTGAGCAGTACTCGAGCCTAGGTCTCATCTGGGTCTTGCACAGAGTGAAGAAGTTGTGTGGATCAAAATATTTCTTAGCTCTAAGCAAAAAGCCTACTTTTCCCAGCACTTGCCACTAATGACGACATATGTTCATGCCAGATCACGTCCTCCTGATCTGGACTCCGACCAGCCGAAATCAACTGCTATTTGGCGGAACTCAGCCATACATCAAAACCGGATGTGCGCCAGGACGCTTTTTCTTGGTTAAGGTACGGTACTGTGCTTTGGAAGCATTAAGCTGTACAAGATTGTTGCGTCCCCAAGCAGCGATAACCTCCAGATCTCTCGTGAGAAAGGAAGTCGCCGCTAGTCATCTTTTTTCCAGCTCACCAGCAGAGATCGTCTGGTCGCTCTCAATTTCTGAATGTAGAGTGCTGTTATCAGCAAAGCTGTAGATTGCGTTGATCGTATAGGAAAGGGAATCGTTCATATGTAAGACGAACAGTGTCGGAGCCAAGGCTGATCTCTGGGGAACACCCGCGCCCTTCTTGTTAGTCAAGGTACAATTCTGTGTTTTGGAACCATTAAACTGTATCAGATTGCTGCATCCCCAAGCACCTCGTCAGAAAGGAAGTCGCTGCTAGTCCAGCTCACCTTCAGAGGTCAGCCTGATACTCTGAATTGAATCGACTTTGAAATACAGCAAATAGCTACATCATGACTTTTAATATAATAAATCACCTTGTTAATAGAAGTCACTAGCTTTTCCTTTTTTTTGGGCATTAACTAGTCTTGTGCCACGAAATGCTGGCGAAGAAGTTGATTTTCAATAATGCTCGTAAGTGTGAAATGATCTTCAACAATTTTCAGTGAATGTTGCATGGAAATACAAAAACCCAAGATTGAGGGTAGTCGACAACAGTGAAAACAGGCCATGGCAGAGGGCAAACCACCAAAATGTATTCATGATTATAACAAAACAGGAGTTGGAGGATAGGTGATAAAGTCTTAGTAGCGATCAAAGGTGAAAAGAAAAAAGGGCTCTTAGTTGGATTGAAGCAGGATCAGAAGCCGATGGTACCAAAGTCTGATAGTTTTAACATTGTTCTGATAGATGATATTGGTAGACCATTAGGCACAAGAATCCATGTTCCAATACCAACTATATTAAGGACAATTCTCAAGGAAAAGACTCACACAGAAGGGGCTGGTTATACAAAAATATTGAGAATAGCTTCTAGGTTTGTTTATGTACAAGTGTTATTAAAATGATGGATTTTTTTATAAATGGTAGTGTCCGATAAAGATAGAAGATACTAGGTATATACGTCGACACTTGCGTTTCCCACTAATTTTCAAATATTTCAATTCATTAGTAGCATGGGAATTTGAAGCTAAAAAAGTAATCTGATAAACATAGCTACAATCAACTACAATAATAACAATAATAATAATAATGTTTATTTGTAAAATACAATTAGGCTGGAACAAAACAAATAAACATAAAGTACCCACAGAAGGCAGTTGCCTGTGCGCGGGTATTTACCTATAGGAAACATTGTCATTACAATACATTCTGATATTATATCACATAATTACACAAATTAATCATATATATCCATTTAAATAAACTGAATTCAAAACCTTATAAATATCTACAGTTAGAATCGACCCTGCATTTACTCGTAGTAATATTCAAAAATTGATGAAGGGTTGAGTCATTATGACAACACGCCAAAGAAGCTCTACATGAATGCATACTTTCATTATATATCCAGTGTTTTTTCATTATCGTTATTTACCACAGGGGAGAAATATAACTTTCACTTATGGGAATGTGGTAACGGAAAATTGCTATTTTTCAGAGTAGTAGCGAAAAAATATATTTTAAAATTGCTCTATTAAAAAATAGAGTTCCACAGGTATTATATTAAACTCTCACAAATAGTAGTCCGAAATTTGACTCAGAAGTGTGAGATAAAAAATGACAATGATGAGACTGCTAACTTTAACGTAAAACCAGCTTAACGTGATTCGAATATCAGCAATGTATTTTGTAAGGTTATTCACCGTAGTTTACCGCTGTTTCCAAATTTTGCTGAATACCAACCTTATTTATACATTTTTCGTGTTGTTTCTTGTACATGAGTTGGTGAATCATGAGCTAATCTACAAGTCAGATGAGCTAATCAGAAACTACATCAGAACATAAGATATTGTATAAACCAATCTACTTATTCATTTTCAAGGGCGGGCTAGGCACATCTAATGTCGAGTTTGTAAGATAAATAAAGACTGCATCTTGTCAGTTAAGTTGAAAATAGACTAGAAGATAACGTGTATCAGATATTTTTTTTGGTTTATGCATAATTCGTCCAACAATTGATTTTTGAAAATACTTCATTGCATTGGATTATCCAGGAAACTACTGGCGATGAAGCCGGTTGGAAATAGCCTCTTCTTGGGAGAATTGAGGAATATTTCTTTTTCATACACAATTTCTTTCACCACCTGAGTAAGAAGTAACATAGAAAAAAGAACACCCGGTAATAATGGATTTATTATAGAGATTTTTTGGAATATTGGGGTTATTGTGATATCGTCTGTTCTTACAAAAAAGCGACAATTGTGTTTTATAGTTACAATTGACATTTCGGATTTGACCATTTTCAATACGTTGTTACGATATGCTTTAATATGTGTTCATTATGTTAAGAGTGAGAGGACAAGAACATTCTCAACAGCTTAGCGAGTATGATAGAGGGTGAATAGTGGACTTGTGTGAGTCTGGTTGGTACATTAGAGAAATAGCCACTATGGTGTACAGAAGTCTAAATAATATGATGATTTGTCACCGGGCATAATTTAGATGTATAAGGCCTGACAGAAGAACGGTTCCAAACCAAGATCGCCACTTCAAGTTTCTACCCCACAAGATCAATTGCGGACAAATAATTTGGGTAGCATGGAAAGCCAATTACTATGCGAATTGCTTAACGCCGGATCAACTGTTTTGGACTTCATACCGTCCTCTCAATTTTTTGATGTTGGTTATTATTTTGCACGCCTCTACCTCAGTAATTCTACGTAGATATAAACATATTCCACTCATCATAGATGTCGCTGTACATTCACCCTTCTCTTTATATCTCCTTCAGTCGGGTGTCGATACGTGTGACCTGACAGTCTGAAATCGCTCATACGCTGCTGTGGACTGCGTTTACCGTGCATGGTGAATGCCAATATTGACAGTCACGTGGGATTGGTCATCGCAACGATCATGTGCACCTGCGGGAAGGTCATTTATTTATTTGTTATACATGTTCGTAACTTTTTTCTCAGAAGGGCTAACTTATAAGTACCAATAATAATCCTTTACGATCTAATTACAGCATAGCGTGGGAGTCAACTTACTTGATGCCATTTTAGGTAAATAAGTCTATATCTTACATGTACCGTTCTTTTATTTCAGATACTAGCGGCATTTTCGGTAGAGACCTGGATCTGACCGGGGATTTCGACTACTTAGAGCTGGACAAATTCTTCAGATCCACACCCTTCGCTGAAAACTTCTTCTTCGATACTCTAGATCCCACTTTAGATTTGGTTGATGACTTAAAGGTAAACAACGGATCTTCCAGCAAGATCGAACAGTACCTTGGGAAGAACTTTGCCGATGTTTGGAAATTGGCTAATAAACCAGAACCAGATGGTGTTGTGTACAACGTCAATGCACAAGTTTTTGAGTTTCTGAGGGAGTATGATGAATGGAGTTTAAGGTATGATTACATACAACATGTATTGCAAACGGGCTTAGAAATAGGACAAGTTTTGCTCAAAAATTGATAGATATAACAAACAAACGTTTGAAATATTTCTTAGTTTGAATTCAAATTATTAAAAATGCTAACATGTTACAAGATAATGCCATCTTTTCGCGGGTTTCCATTGCTATGTTGCGCAATTTCTGTTAATATTTCAGAATGTACGTATTTCTAAATTTTCTGAAAGTTTTTCTTCTGTCCTAAATTCAACCTTTTGACTTAAAACCTATAATCACATTAAGACACCAAACATAATAAAAATTAAAGTGTTGATCTACTGCGCTCACATAAAAAAGTGAAGTCCGATTATAATTGTGTATTGATTTGTTTCAAATTTCGTTTTTATTGGGAGCATAGAGTGGAGCAACACTATTATACGTATATGTGAATTTATGACAAAAATGTCAAAATCGCGAACTTTGGGCTTATAAAGGACTAAGCACTAATGTACTAAAATAAAAGGACAAATGTTGATAATAGTTCAAAATACATAAGTAAGTTGGATGTAAACTTTGTAGATACGATTAACTTGAAATTTCAATCTCCAAGGCCAAAAACTCAATTTTATTATATATTTTTTGCTCGAACGAAGGATATCGATATATTCGTTCCCCTGAAAAGCCAACAAAAATTGAACTCCGGGTTGGTACAGTAGCTTTTTTAATGAATATGCCTGGATTATATCAAGTGGGCACCTACCATCTTTAGTTGTAAACAAGCCATGCCAAAGATAATCGCTGGATTCCATGCCCCCATATTTTCATTTGGTGGACATTGACTCTTTATAAAGTATGCAAAAATCTCACTTTATATATAAAGTTTCGAGATACATAAATTAAGGCCATCTGAGTCACAGCTAGTTCCACTGAAAATAACAAACTGAATCACTTCCAGGAAGAAACAGACTCCACCAACAAAAGCCTACGTGACGTTGCTATCTTTATATGACCTCCTCAATAAGGACTCCAAAAAGTTAGGCCTCAATAAATATCAGGTACTAGAATATTACTCAACAAATACTTTGTAACGGCGGAAAACAGTAGAAAAAAAAAATACAGGCAGCCGCAACGTCAGTAAAGGTTGTTCTACCAATCGAAGTATTAATATTTTATAATTTCTTGAGTCAGATTATTTTATTTCTCACGCCGAAAAAAATAGAAATAGATTATTCTTATTTCAAATACTGCATACGTAAACGTTAACGTTAAGCTTATTTGACACATAAGCCATTGATTTCTTATGACTCAAATTTCAAATAAGGTTAATTTTAACTGTACGTTTTTGAACCAGTTAACCTTAACCAAGTGAGTTGACTGCCGCCATTTTGAATCCAATATGGTGGATGCTACAAAAATGGCGATTTATCACTTTCATGGTAAGCCCGATGATATAGGCATCAAATGGAAGGGCTTGATGGGGGACATGCATAAAGCATAGTGACGTCATTCGTCATCCAATATGGTGGCTGCCGTAAAATGGTTATTTAAAGTTTTAATACTCACCCCTATGATATGGATATCAAATGAAAGGGCTTGACGAGAGAAATAAAATAAGCAAAGTGACGTCATTCTAAGCCTAATATAGCGACCGCCCCAAAATAACATTTGTAATTGCAATATTCACCTCAACCCTACGATATAGCTATTTAGTTCGTTTTATTAACAGCTAAATAAAAGCTTGTTTTTAAAAAAGTATTTACTTATTTCAATTTTATGACTCGTGTAGGTACGACGAATAGACATGTTCCACTAGTTCTCTGTTGGAAACCCCTGTCCGAGGACTCAAAAAATTTGAAGCAGTTTATTAATTCAAATTTCACTTATCATTAATGACGGTTATTAATTTCGGATATTCAAAATTGAGACAATCTGCATGATAATTTATTTCTAGGGCTACCATGATCGAGTTTTAAAAGACTTGTCAGATTCTTCTTCAAGAACGTCAGCCTACCAGCTGAAACGTGTACTCAGCAAAGTTCTGGAGAGACGTGACACTAAACGTGAAGATATTATGAAGAAAATGATGATGATTATATCTGATTTGGACGAACACAACAGTTACCTTAATATGGCCTTAAAGTATATACCTCCATTAGCATTTGCGCTTTAGATTAAAGAAACTTGTAAATATTACGTGGATGTAAACAAACGGTGGAAATACATGTGCAAATAAAGGGTAACTATGAAAGAAGCTTTTTGCTAGTCGCTTTCAATATGTAACAAGGTATAAGGATAATTTACTTTCGACCTTTTCCTGAATAGCCTTTAAATATTTGCAAATAATAGTGCATTCATAATTTTTATCTGCAGCAGTTTGATCTTCAAGACACAATCCTGACGAGTCCTTAGTCTTTGATTGAACGTAAATCAAGGATCAAGACTGTTACTTTATTTTATATATTTTTTGTTCTCGTTGTTCTGTTCCATCTAGTATGCACATGCACAAAACAAACTTGAACTAGAGATTTTTAACCTATCATATACCTGGCTAATGTAATGAACAACTCACCTCAGGACTTGATGAATCTCAGTGGCCGAGCACATCTTACCAACATTTTACCTTTCATCCCCCAAATTATTATGTCATTGTACCTTATCTAGGTAGATACCTAATTTGAATTATAATTATTTTTATTTCATTAATACATATTTTGTTACATGTCAAATCACTTTATTTATTAGATTTAGTGGAAGAGCACGATTGGTGAATTCCCAATTTTAGTGCTAAATTGGAACAACTGGCAACCACGCAGTGTATTTATGGTTCCAAATATCCTGCTAAAGTACCGATTGCTTCAATTTTCGCTAATATAGGGAAGATTGCTGATCTCGATTGTATTCGTATGATATGGTACTACTTGTTCAGTATTTCCTTTTTATTGCTATTTTCTTACAAACATTATTTATATACAGGGTGGCGCATCGAAAACGAAACAGACGCATTTACTGGCGGCTCAGTTTTTTTTTTAAACGCTCAGACCCGTCGATTTTGTTTTCGAGGGGGTCACAAGTTTGGCAAAAAATCACGTTAGCACGTGGAGCCCCCTAAGCGGGGGTGACACCACCCCCAAAATCTAAAATGGAAAGGGGGGTCGAGTGATACCTTATTTTAAAGGTCTTTCAATTCTCTTTATAATGATATAAAATTAATGTACTTTAGTTCAGTAGTTTTGAAGATTTATTGATTTAAAGCTTAAATAAAACTAATACATCATCATTAGTGGAGATCAATACATTTGGCAGCAAAGTAATTTAAAAATGAAGAATGAACTGACCCGTTAGGCAAGTAAATGTTGAAAATGGCCTCCATGACTCTCCATGCAATAATAAAGATTTTGGTCAAAACGTTGCTGCACATTTTGCAATATTTGAGGAGTAATTTGAAGGCACTCATTCACAGTTCTTTGTCGCAGGTCTTCTAATGATGTTGGCTGAGTAGCATAGATTTTGCTTTTTAAATGACCCCACATAAAGAAATCCAAAGGTGATAAATCTGGCGATCTTGGGGGCCATTCAATGGCACCTCTGCTACCAATCCATCGATCTGGAAACGTCTGATCTAAATATTGTCGAACACGTAATGCGTAATGTGGTGGGACACCATCCTGTTGGAACATCAACCTATTCGCAATGTACCGCCGATCATTCTTTTTCATTTTTCAATTATGACTGTTAATGCAGGATCTATGGCGTCTTCCAGTAATTCCAAATAAATTTCACCGGTCAAATTTCCAGGTAAGAAAAAAGGACCTACTAAATGATCGCCAAAAATACCAGCCCAAACATTTAATTTTTGTGGCTGCTGTGTATGAAACTCATGATAAATTCTGGGATTAGAATCGGACCAATATCGGCAGTTATGACGATTTACTACGCCATTTAAGAAAAAGGAACATTCGTCGGAAAAGCAAGTGTTGAATAGAAAAAGTTCATGGTTTATAATTCGTTCACTCATATCTTCACAAAATTGTAATCGCCGATCAAAATCGTCTTCATTAAGTTCTTGTACCAGATGAATTTTATACGGATGAAAAGTATCTTTAGAATTCGTTGGAGAGTATGTCGATTAACACCACACACAGTATCCAATTTGCGGGTACTTAACGTAGGATCTACATAAACTTGCCCTAAAACCTATTGCTTCGTTCCTTATGGGATTTTCAATGTTGCGTTTTTTATTGGCGACTGACCCAGTTTCCCGAAATTTAGCTACAAGTTGTAGAACATATTTTCGATGCACGTTACTGTTCTCATGTCGCTCATTAAATATTTCTGCAGTTCTATTAACGCACTGATTATTTCCGAAAAATATTTCGATAATTTCAACTCTTTCTGCTGCGGAATATACCACGGCTAATTTATGTAATAAACCGTTACCAGTTATTTTAGCAACAAAGTTTGGTCAAATCAATCGCAAACTATGTACTAAATTCCTATTTAAAATAAGTACGAGATATTTCCTTATCTTTCTTCAAGAAATAACTTTTATTAAGTAAATTATTTTAGTCAAATTTCTTCTGAAAGTAGTACAAACTAATCTGATGTACCTATTAAAGTCTACTTTAAGCTTTGAATCAATAAATTTTCAAAACTACTGAACTGAAGTACATTAATTTTATATCATTATAAAGGGAACTGAAAGACCTTTAAAATAAGGCATCACTCGACCCCCCTTTCCATTTAAGATTTTGGGGGTGGTGTCACCCCCGCTTAGGAGGCTGCACGTGCTAACGTGATTTTTTGCCAAACTTGTGTCCCCCTCGAAAACAAAATCGACGGGTCTGAGCGTTTAAAAAAAAACTGAGCTGCCAGTAAATGCGCCTGTTTCGTTTCCGAGGCACCACCCTATATATATATATACATATATGTACAAACGTGATCTAATAATTCAATATTAATAAACAGTAACTGGTTTCTGCAAGTGCCTCTCCCATACAGTACGTTTCACAGAATAGTTCTTTGGATCAGTGTCTAATGCCAAATGTGTATTTATCATCATAAACTGCAGGTCTTTGCTATCAAATTCAGGCCATTCCAGGTCTTCGAAAAGCTTTTCCTTCTTGATAACTGGTTTTCTGAAAATAGAAGAAGAAGTGGAAATCTCAAAGGTATGATAGTTACCTCATGATTCTATTTATTACTTTTACGCCTTGTGAGGCTAGATATGATATATGCTAACATAGTTGGTTGCAGCGCCATCTATGAGACAATAACCTTTTCGAAGTAGATTTCTAATTAGTCCAGAGAGGAGAAACATACAGGGTTTGTCCGAAAAGTAATGAGCTTCATTTATTTGTGACACAACTTGACAACGTAGCGCGACGCGACCAGTTGCCAGGCGCGGCGATTTATCGTAAAAGTGGTAATTTGACGGTTTCAAATGGCGACTAAAATGAATAGCTTGACGATTGGCTACTTTAATGGCGCCCAGAATCCAGCAAATTGGCGATATCTTGCGATTTTTAGCATTCCTGATGTCACTTAATTTGTAATCCAATTTTGCCGATATAATAAAAATAATAATAATAATAATAAATCGTCTTTCCCCCACAAAAAAAGAAAAACTGAAAAACAATACCAAAAACATAAATACATTTGATAGGTTACAAGTTTAAAAATGTAGGTGTATACAAAATATGATGTATATAACAAGTGAAAGCTATTCAATATTTCATGAGTTAAAAGTATAAAACTGTAACAATTAGATATACAAAGGAATGCTATATTGGAAATATTTTTGTGTAAGGTGACAGACAAATTTTATCAACTAATTTATATACTTCTAGGTATTCAAAATAAATTTCTTCACATGTCTTTTAAATTAATCATATGATAGCAATTTTGTGGATCGAGGTACAGCATTGTAGAGAATAATTGTATAGATTAATGAAACATAAAACGAGGACCAGTGGATGCACAATGGGTCTGCCGCCTGCGAATGAACTTATAGTTTCGTCCAGATTACACGTGTCTAACAACCCCCCCCCATCCTCACCCCCCTCCCTTTTCAAGGAATTGTGTATTATCATATAATAGATTCATTCCAATCTCTAACCTGGCGTTTTATGGTTGACCCTTAGTTATTTCAAAGATTGGCGATTTCTGGAGATTTTCTCATCAAAACTTTGCGAACAACGTGACTGAAAACCTGACAACCCTGTTGCATATGTTGGATGATGTGTACGCTGCTTTTTGTGAGCCCTTGTTTTGCAACATCGTCGAAGTTCCGATGAAAAAAACTTTAGAGCAAAGATTCGCTATAAAGTTTTGTGTGAAACTAAACAAAACACGAAAGGAGCAATCGGTTTTGCTTCAAACAGCGTTTGGGGATGTCCCGCCTGAAGAAAGTCCCAGGTGAAATCCATGGCCATTGTCTTCTCCGATGCTAAGGGAATCGTGCACCACGAGTTTGGCCAGACCGTCAATGCTCAATTTTACAAAGAAGTTTTTCAAAGACTGAACCACAGGCTCGCCGACGTAAGAAGAGAAATTCGGTCAGAAATTTCACCACGACAACGCACCGCCTTTGTTACCGTCGCCTACTTGACCCGGATCGGTGTCACGACGGTGCCCCAGCCACTGTAAAGTCTCGATCTGGCCCCAGCGGACCTCTTTTTGTTTCCTCGACTAAAAAGGGACCTCAAGGAACAGCATCTGGACACCCTAGACAACATTCAAGCTACTTTGACGGCCTCCCTAAACAGCATCCCAGTCGAGGAGCTCCAGGGAGGGTGGTACTTCGAAGAATACTGAGTTTATTTATTTAAATTAATTTTGAAAAAAAAATAAAGTTCATCACTTTCCGGACAAACCCTGTAGCTGTGACAAATTCTCATAGATGGCGCTAGGGTATCTCATTTCATCGCAAATAATTTTTGTATTTTGTAATATTAGATTGGATACCGTCAGGTAGAATACGTTAATCAATGTTAGAAGTCTTGCCGATATACAGGGTGTCCGAAAAGTTGGGGTTTTCCTTTACACGACGTGTAGATCTTGAAAACATAAGCAATTTTTCTTAGTACCGAGATAAAGGGCTCTGCAACATCAAAAATATCTGAATACCGTCCTGTAGCCGCGACTTCACCGACTGGCACAAGGTCACTGGCTCAACCCGACGACAGAACTGGGTCGGGGTCAGTGTGTCAGGTCAGTACGCAACCTTCAACCGACGGTTACGGTCACGCGTGTAGAGGTAATCGCGTAGACGAGAATCCCTCAACAAGCACTAGAGACGTGGCTAGAGAAGTGCAAGTATCAAAAACTAAAGTGTGGCAAACGCTGCGTGAAGAGGGGCTGTATCCGTTTCACGTCCAACGTGTACAAGCCCTTCAACCTGACGATTTTCCAGCAAGAGTGCGGTTTTGTGAGTGGTTGTTGCATCAACATGACAATAATCCGGACTTTTTGAAGTGCATATTGGTGACAGACGAATCTACGTTCACGCGTAATGGGGTGAATAACTTTCGCAACACTCATGTTTGGACAGTAGAAAATCCGCACGCTGTCCGTCGGGCACATTTTCAACAAACATTTTCTGTGAATGTTTGGGCTGGCATGGTGAACGGTATGCTCATTGGACCATTTATTCTCCCAAATCGATTGGACGGGATGCAATACCTAGACTTTTTACGCAACATTTTGCCTTCCTTGTTAGAAGATGTGCCATTAAGTGTAAGATAATCAATGTGGTTTCTGCGTCTGGTCGGTAGCGCATCAGCTGATTTCATTTTCTGTTGGAGCGGTATGATTTCGGGCAGAGACGTACTTAGCCCTTCTCGTCAACTGGAGAGTGAATACTTTTTCCTTTATTTTTTTTTACTTGGTCGCCCTCGTTTCACTACACATTACCTTTGTTATTTCAAGGGTAGTTGTTTCTGAAAAGGAAAACCCCAACTTTGCGGACACCCTGTATAGGAACAGAACTTTACCGGACTAAATGGATTCCGGATTCGATTTCAGCCAACAAATTCGAATAGATTAGAAAGAACCAAGCCTATATGCTTACATTGCATTGTCAAAATTGTGTAGTTTTATTGCATACTTTTGGCTGCAACACTTTTAATTTTGCAATGTTGTTGTGAAGTTTACAAATACTAAACCTTAGATTCGGACTGAGCACCAGAAACAAGAAGTATATTGAAATAAATCAAAATAACGTATTATCGGATAGTAGTAACAACTTTCATTCTGACTTCAGACTACGAGACACATCATAGATTTTCTCCTTCTACCTTGTCTGAATTCGTTGCTTTCCGCCCCTAAACAATGTATTAAAAAGGCCGTTGAGCTTAAATTCCCGACTGATCCATTCGGACCATTATTATTGCCACGTATGTGGGGCTATCAAGCTACCTATGTATATGCGGACTCTATATAGCTAAGTCTCCCAGTTGACCGAAAATTGCTACTTACTTGTGTTTCACAAAATTGCTGAGTATTTTCACCATTCTTTCCGAGATTAGTTTGAAGTGTGGGATTAGCAATCTGTTTGTCTTAGTTATAGTTGTGTCCCAGTATAACAGCAGGTCTTCTGCATGAGCAAGCCCTTCTACACCTATACAAACAGATATACAGAAGATCTCAGCGAATATTCAGGATTTCCAAATTAAATTAAAATAATATCACATATTTGTAAAAAATGACGTAACGTAGGTCGAATTTGCACTTCCTACGCAACATTATCATCAATTCGTACAGGATTATATTCGGCACATATTAATTCCTCTTAGAAAAAAAGTAGGCTACGCCAATCACAAAAGAATGTCAGGCAAACATTGCAATCTAGCCTACCGCCTCACCCAGCAACGTGGCAACACTGCGTGCCCCGTCGTTCGCAAACCCAGCACAACGTTGCATATACGGATACACGCATCAGTTATCCCTCAGCAGACAGACGCGCGCTCGTTGAACTGTCCGGCAAGCGTATATCGACAATATATCTCTATCATTTAAGTTTAAGGGCAAATGTACGAGTAAATCCATGATGCATAAAATATGTCTCATAGGTGTAAATTGATATATACTATACTCTCCCCCATCCCATACAATCCCCAACATCCAATTTTTAACGCCTGCAAACATTGGTCTGAAAATGATGAGGATCCTATCAAATGTCAAAAAAGGAAGTTTGGGCGATTTAAATTTTTTTTGCCTGTAACTCCGCCGTCAGTGGATCAATTTTCGAAAACTATAGCGTTTCTTTGTCATCGGCCTAGCGGTAAAAAACCCATGGTAGTTTCCAAGTGACAGAGTGGCCAAGGATTAGCGGACAAACAACCTCAAGAACAAAACAAAAAAAAACACGCTAAAAGTGATAAAAAAGGTTTTCGTATTGTTTGAACAATAAAAAATGGAGTAAGATATTCAGAAAATGTACACTGACCTGGTACAAAATGTGGTAGAAAGCGATAACCTAACTCATACATGTAGACCGGGACGTCATTTTTCGAAGCACTTTCCGCATGCTTCACCACGGGAAGCACGAAGAAATCGTCGGACGAAAACTGAAACCATCAAGATTATGATAACACTAGCCTTCGCACATGTGAACATTTTCTATCCTACATCTTATTGCAACAATAAATTAGTATCAAGTCAATCATTAAATAAATAGTAGGTAAATAGCAATAAATAATACCTGAAGTATCTCACAGCCTGAGTGGCATATCTTAACATATTTAGCCTAATAACTATTAATTCACAGTATATTATACTTGAAGAAAAACAAAACAAAATCAAGCCGATCACGCTAAGAAAACGAATGTCAAAATGCATGATGCAAATGCCCTATTTATGTATCCTTTCATTTAGCTCGGACTAGCGACTGAGCGCTTCCGCGCCACACTCATCATGTCAAATTCTATAACGCCATTTGGATTGTAGCCTATGAAATACACAGGGTGGCGCATCGAAAACGAAACAGACGCATTTACTAGCAGCTCAGTTTTTTTTTTGAAAAACGCTCAGACCCGTCGATTTTGTTTTCGAGGGGAACACAAATTTGGCAAAAAATCACGTTAACACATGCAGCCCCCTGGGCGGGGGTGACACCAACCCTAAAATCTCAAATGGAAAGGGTCGCGTGATACATTATTTTAAAGGTCTTTCAATTCCCTTTATAATGATATAAAATTAATTTACTTTAGTTCAGTAGTTTTGAAGATTTATTGATTTAAAGCTTAAATAAAACTAATACATCATCATTAGCGGAGACCAATACATTTGGCAGCAAAGTAATTTAAAAATGAAGAATGAACTGACCCGTTAAGCAAGTAAATGTTGAAAATATCCACCATGACTCTCCATGCAATAATAAAGATTTTGCTCAAAACGTTGCCGCACATTTTGCAATATTTGAGGAGTAATTCTTTGTCGCAGGTCTTCTAATGATGTTGGCTGAGTAGCATAGATTTTGCTTTTAAATGACCCCACATAAAGAAATCCAAAGGTGATGAATCTGGCGATCTTGGGGGCCATTCAATGGCACCTCTTCTACCAATCCATCGATCTGGAAACGTCTGATCTAAATATTGTCGAACACGTAATGCGTAATGTGGTGGCACACCATCCTGTTGGAACATCAACCTATTCGCAATGTACCGCCGATCATTCTGATTTTCAATTATGGCTGTTAATGCAGGATCTATGGCGTCTTCCAGTAATTCCAAATACATTTCACCGGTCAAATTTCCAGGTAAGAAAAAAGGACCAACTAAATGAATGCCAAAAATACCAGCCCAAATATTTAATTTTTGTGGCTGCTGTGTATGAACCTCATGATAAATTCTGGGATTAGAATCGGACCAATATCGGCAGTTATGACCATTTACTACGTCATTTAAGAAAAAGGAACATTCATCGGAAAAGCAAGTGTTGAATAGAAAATGTTCATCGTTTATAATTCGTTCAATCATATCTTCACACAATTGTAATCGCCGATCAAAATCGTCTTCAGTAAGTTCTTGTATCAGGTGAATTTTATACGGATGAAAGCTATGGGCCTTTAGAATCCGTTGGTCAGTACGTCGACTAACACCACAGTCTCCAATTTGCGGGTACTTAACGTAGGATCTACATAAACTTTCCCTAAAACCCCCACTTCTATTGCTTCGTTCCTTATGGGATTTTCAATGTTGCGTTTTTTATTGGCGACTGACCCAGTTTCCCGAAATTTAGCTACAAGTTCTAGAACATATTTTCGATGCACGTTACTGTTCTCATGTCGCTCATTAAATATTTCTGCTGTTCTATTGGCGCACTGATTATTTCCGAAAAATATTTCGACAATTTCAACTCTTTCAGCTGTGGAATATACCATGGTTAATTTATGTAATAAAGCGTTACAAGTTATTTTAGAAACAAAGTTTGGTCAAATCGATCGCAAACTATGTACTAAATTCCTATTTAAAATAAGTACGAGATATTTCCTTAACTTTATTCAAGAAATAACTTTTTTGCCCCAAAAGAACGCTCCAATAGCTAATTTCAACAAAAAAATGATAAAAAGACCATGGGCGTAGTGAAGAAAAGTATTTACTTATTAAGTAAATTCTTTTAGTCAAATTTCTTCTGAAAGTAGTACAAATTAATCTGATGTAGCTATTAAAGTCTACTTTAAGTTTTAGTCAATAAATATTCAAAACTGCTGAACTGAAGCTCATGTATTTTACATCATTATAAAGGGAATTGAAAGACCTTTAAAATAAGGTATCACTCGACCCCCCTTTCCATTTAAGATTTTAGGGTTGGTGTCACCCCCGCCCAGGGGGCTGCACGTGTTAACGTGATTTTTTGCCAAACTTGTGTCCCCCTCAAAAACAAAATCGACGGATCTGAACGTTTAAAAAAAAAACTTAGCTGCCAGTAAATGCGTCTTTTTCGTTTTCGATGCGCCACCCTGTATATTTCAAAGCTGTTTGCCAGGATAAAATTAGCCTATGTGCTATTCCAGACTATAATCTCTCTCTCTCTCTGTACCATATTCCATCCAGATCCGTTCGGCCATTTTGGCGTCAATGAGTAGCAAACGTCCACACTTTCCATCTATATATATACGTATAAAGAAAAAATGATCATACAGAGAAAGGTATATATAATAAAAAATAATGGGGAAAATCCGCAAAAAGAAGGAAAGTGGATTCGAGCAGAAAATAGGATAGGTAACCCGAGCGATACGTATTTCTGCTGGTTGGCTTCATTAGGCCCGAAATGAATGAAGTATACGAGGGACGCTCGGTAACTCTCCACCCAAAATTACTAAAATGCTGAAATAACTTGTTTTGGAAAAAAGTGTGTGGTTCATATGAGTGCAAGAATGTGTGATATTGATACAACCTTGAAAAGATGGGTTATGTGAGTTTATATTAAAAATGCGAGTGAGAAAATGTATTCTAATTTTGTGAAGATGTTGGATCAATTTGGACATGTAGCCATTCTAGCTTTTCGCAATTCAACAGGTAGGAATAAATGACACTGAGCTGCTTAACATCAGCCTTTTTATTCATGCAATGATGTGTCATGAAAATGTGGGACATTTCTAAAAATAAACGTTTTGAGAGTCTTTTTTCTTTATCAAGAACCTCAATACTGCCATAATTCATAGAGTGACCTGTGTTGTTAATATGCGACGCCAAAGCACATCTTTCTGGATGTAATCTGGCATCACTTTTGTGTGACGTTATCCTGCCTTTCAGCGACCTAGAAGTTTGGCCTATATAAACTAAATTGCAGTTGTTGCAATTAATACGATAGACAGTATTGGTTGAATCAAGCAACTGAACCTTATCTTTCATTCTGGACAACAAACTGTTGACTGTGAGAACTGATTTACAAGCAAAACGGCAATTAAAGGAATTATACAGCCTGATCAATTTTCCTAGTACGGATGGCAAAGAAATGAATGCCCAAAAACGAAAGCACCCTATTTTCACGTGCAATTTTCACATATCTAATTGTCAATAGCTGTTGGAATGACTGAGAGGAGTGCCTGTCTCTTTTGGTACTTGGGATATTTCTTCTGCTGTGCGTGCAAAATACTCAAGCAGACTGTCAAACGCCCGTAGCTTAAATAGTCATTAGGTTTTCAATGATTTCCAAATTTTCTGCGCAATTTTCTTGATTTTAGAACAAAAAAGAATACCTTAAAAAAGGACATAGACATACATTTAAAAGGTAATAAATTAATTCCTGTGGATCATTCGAAAAACCTAGGTATTATAATGGATGATGACTTAAAATTTGTTGCACACGTGAACTATCTAATTACGCAGTGCTACGCTATTCTCAGAGTTTTATTTGCAAATAAGGCTATATTACATAAATCTGAGAGAAAGCAATTGTGTGAATATTTCGTATTTTCAAAGATATCGTATTGCTTAGTGGTTTACTATCCCTATTTAGATATTATAACAAGAAATCGTATTCAAAGTATTATGAATACATGTTGCAGGCTTGTAAATGATCTCAGAAAATACGATCATATATCGAATGCCATTAATGAACTCAAATGGATGAAAATTGATAAAATGTATAAGTACCAGCTCCTAAATCTGACTCATAAGGTTCTTTATTCAAAAACACCGTCATATTTAGTAAACAAATTCATACGTAGAGGGAATATGCATCGTATTAATATTAGATATAGAGAGACTTTTTCAATTCCACGCCACAGCACGTCTCTATTTCAGAATTCATACATTTACAATGCGATCAAATCATATAATTCTTTAGACCGCAGTTTAAAAGAAACCAATCCATTATCCAAATTCAAGAAAAAAGTAAAAGAAGTTCTTCTTGATCAGCAGCGAAATCGGTTGTAACCCATAAGTGTCCTTATATTTTCCTTATGTATTTACTTGGATTATTCGTTATTGTATACAGGTGCCTATTAATTTTCAATAAATTCTTTTTTTTTCTTTTTTTACTTCTCGTATTGTTAAGGGGGTTAGATGGTAGAATAGATATAGAATCTAAATCTCGCCTCCTGTAAGAATATTACAAATAAAAGACGTTAATTATTAATTATTATTATTATTATTACTTTGTGATGGCCCCTTCAAAAGAAACTGCAGTGTTGCCTAATTGTTATCTTTGTCAGTTAACTCTATGAATAAAAATGGCGGATGAAAATACGTTTCTTTTGCTTAATTGACTTTCACTACTCTATCATTTTGAACTTGACGTCTCGCACGCCGCAAATTTATATTATCGTTTATCAGTGTTTATCGATGAAAAAATAGTGTTTTATTTAATTAGTAGTGCACAGTCCATTCGATTAGAGCTTTTATCCAGTTTTCAGTTTGCTCAGCGAGTTTTTTGTGAATGATTTGTTCAAAAATAATTAACAAAGGAAGTAAGTTCACCGCAATCATGCCATATTAAAATTGTGATTCGTCCAAATGCCACCAAATTATACGTACCAACCCAGATATTGGTGGGGATTAGTAGGAAGTTCGCACACAACATTGTTTTTAAGTAATTATATAACTTCCTATCGCGTTTTGTAATTTTGATGTCATATGATTATCCTAATAACTTATCTATCATTAAGTCAAAATGCAGCTACAATGGCAAAAAGCAGAAAAGGCCTTTGAAGTTGATTTAGTTCAATGTAAAAGATCATTGGTTTATTTTTCTTTAGATGGTATTGTGTGTGTTTGTGTACTTGTGTGTTCATTACAATGAAATTTTGCGCACAGAGTATATGACACGAAATAACATATAGGCTACTTTTTACGACATGAATAATAATAATTAACGTCTGTTTTTCTTTGCAATGGAGGCGAGATGTATAAAAACTGAAAATTTGTTGAAAAGTAATACCTGTATACTTTAATGTCAAAATAAAGTATAATCAATGTAAAGTCACTTCTCTTTCACTTTTTTCTTGAATTTGGGTAATTAGTTAGTTTCTTTTAAACTACGGTCTAAAAAAATTATATAATTTGAATATTCTGAAATATAGATGTGCTGAGGCGTGGAATTGAAAATGTCTCTCTATTCTAATATTAATGCCATGCATATTACCTCTACGTATGAATTTTGTTACGAGATATGACGGCGTTTTCGAATCATCCATCCATTTGAGGCCATTAATGCCCTTCGATATATGATCATATTTTCTGAGATCGTTTACAAATCTGCCACATGTATTCATAATACTCTGAATACGATTTCTTGCTATAATATTTAAATAGGGATAGTAAACCACTAAGCAACACGATATTTTTGAAAACAAAAAAGATTTAGCATGTAATATCGCAAATTAGACGGTATACGTCTACAACAAATTTTAAGCCATCATCCATTATTATACCTAAGTTCTACGAATGATTCACAGGAACTACTTTATTACCTTTTAAGTTTATGTGGATGCCCTTTTTTAAAGCATTCCTTTTTGTTTTATTTGCTTATACCAACATATTTGTCTTTAACGAAGATTATGACTACTCTTAAACTTTTCAATTCGGGCAAGATCTTGATTAATTTCATTATTCGCTGTTTCCAAGTATCGTCGGCAAAAAGTTGTATGTTGCATGATATTACCTCTGTTTCTAAATCTGGGATACATCATGAAAATAACAGGGGTCCCAAGACATAATAGAACAAATTTTTTGTGCGGTGGAGTACTTGATTTAAACGAACTTTTTAATACCGATTTTCAAGGTAGGTTTGAATAAACAAAAGAAGTTTTTCAGAAAATCCATAATAATTGCGTTTAGACACAAGAAGTGAATGATTAATTGTGATAAATGTCATTGTTATATGGTCTCTTAAATCTCAATGTGCCGAAGCTGTATTACGACCTGATCGACATCCAGATTGTTTAGATGGAATAATTTTGTTAGAATATAAGTAGGCGCAGTATGTAATTTCTACGAAAAAGCTAAACGGTCCATAGCATGTTTAGTTGTTGAATAGCGAGTAAGCCACATCTACTGTATAGTCAGATAGATTTCATATCTCTGATCATGGAGTCTATATAGCAGGAAAAGCGACGTCAATGCTGTTCGTGCTGCAAATGAACCCCGAACATTGACGCCTGGAGTACCAATTGTTTTTTTCAGGGTTGCCATGTCGGGGGAATTCCCCCAAATTTGAGAGATTTTTACTTGGGGGATTTCTTTCAGGACATAATGGAGAGGTAATGCATTGGGAAACAAAATTGGAAGAACTAAACGTGTACAGGCACCCGCAAAAGTGTGATTTATAGCTATGAAAATAGAAGTTATTCGTAAAACATGTAAGCTTGCACCTAACTGATTGGCGTTTAAGGCCCTACGCGGGAGGTTTCACGATTTAGTTTAGTATCAGCTTATGTTAGCTCAAGATTTTTTTCTAAACCTCAGATATCCTGCGCATGCGCAGTCGCTGGTAACATTCCGATTACTGCGTCCTCAGCCAAGGGTCAAGTTTAGGTGTAACGTTTTTTCTTCGCCGGTTCTCCTGGTATATAGGCTCCATACCTATGATAGAGAATAGTTGGCTATGCTTTCGTTCATTGTCTCACAGACCAGCCTAGACATAGTGATGAGATGCAAAAAAGCACGAAACAGCTGCCCATGGTTCGCTGCCTGGAGTTAGATAGACGAAAGCAGCAAGATTAAATTAAATCTCGTATCCTATAGAGTCGAATTTAAAACACCTGGTAAATGCTTATCAGCTAAAATAATGAATACCTTTACCACCGCTGCTATATCGTCAGAAAAACTTTTATTCGTATACAATGCCTTCATATCTTCAGCAGCCTTAAGCCTGTCATCCACCTTCACGTTTACTTGTATCATTCTTGAAGGCTCTTCATCCCACATTTTGGCTTTTCTTTTAATCTGAGGTACAAATCCCAAAAATATTGGCGAAATACATTCTTCCGAGTTAAGGCCAAACAGAAGTGGAACTTTGTGGAAACGTCCCTGGCTTATAGCATCGCCCATTGGTTCTTTTGGAAACATGTCTTTCGCCAAAACCGGTGAATACTCCATTCGAATGCTTCCGTCGTCAGTTTTATCAATCTGATAGTGCAACTGAAATTTCATTTTCATATACTCTATAAGTAGCCCCTAACAAAAATTCTATAATAGATGAAAATCTGGATTTAGGTTATTTAAGTACTGTTCAGCATGATGAAAAATTCTACTATAGGCAGGCAAAAGGTGGATAAGACAATTTTGTTGCTCGATAAGTAAGCGTCAAAGGTTGTTCTCAAGATTTTTATATCTACGTTCGTTCATGAGATTAAGTCAATTCTATCTTATTAGATCACGCGTAAATGCTCGTGTGCGGGATTTTTGGGCCATCTGATTGACAAAATAGTTTTTTGAGCCATTCATCAAACTTCATAATTAGCGAAAATTACGAATGATGTAATAAAAGCTTTATTTTAACGTAAAATTGCTCAAAAAAAAATATCTGGGGAAAAATTATATTTCAAAGTAAGCAAAATATTGTATTGAGGTTAGGTGGTATCTTAGGCCAAAAATCATTTCAAAGTCATCATAGCGAAACAATTTTGTAGATTTTGTCTTTTAATTGTTGTAGAACAATGCCACTGAAAAGCAAAAATATCTGCTTTTTATAAAAGAAAGTTCGACTTTTTTTAGTCGTTTTTTGAAGCAAGTTTTCTTGACATTATTAAACCGTATCTTTAAGGGAAGTAAATATAAAACCTCAGTAATAACAGCATGAAGAGTTGAAAGTATACTTCATTGAAGTTACTAAGGACTTTTGCATGGACAAATAGAAAACAATGATAATATTTTTGTAAAAACCGTAAAACGTGTTCAGGTGATAATTTGAGAATATTCAGCTTCTGAAAATCTTGTGCATACTCAGATTGTATATGTGGTATAGGTAGAAATAAAGACTATCCACAAAGAACAGATTAATTAGAGATGAGATTGGAGAGCCAGATGAAATCTACCAAATATTATAAATCGATGTAAGAATGAATGTGCCCGGTTCTTTATGTCCAATTGGTGCGTGGAATTACTAGGGTTAATAGTGTATTATTGAGCTGACTTCAAGAAATTGCGATACACCTTTCCCCACCCCAGAATTTAGCATTCGTCAAGTATTTTTAAAAAATGATCAGGACCCCGTGAAACATCAGAAAACTAAGTTTGATCAATTTTTTCAGTTTTTGGCATTTTTTAGCCTTGTTTGAAATCCGAGCAGTACTTTCGTGATAACATCCAAATAACATAAAATCTCATTTTCGAAAATTTTCGCGATTACAATACTTCCTCACCAGTAGACGTGGGAAGTAAAAATTATAGAATAAATAAAAAATAACTATTTTTTGTAATATGCTCACCCCTGCTTCACGCATAAGCTTTTTTGCCGGCACACTTTGCAGCTTTTCCAAGAGACTTCTGGAGCTATCATTAAAGGAATCTAGCCCTAATCTTTTTCCAAGTTTGAACGCTTCCATCCTGGCATCCATATTCAATGCCCAAGGAGCCAAACATGTGCCACTGATCATTATAGCACCAGTTACTGACTCCATTTCTATAAGAAAAAATGTTCATGAAGGTCGTTTACTTCTCAGTCTAGCATCCCTTTTCTTTGAATTGCCCATTTTATTGTACATTTTTTCTTCAGTCGCAACAAATAATACAACTTCGAAATGTAAGTGAATATTCCACCTTTATTGCAGAATTGAGCGGGTAATTACTTTTTTCTTATCAAATCAAGAATATTTGCGTTGCTTGGAAACTTATTTTATATCAGGTTGAGTTTTCATGAAAATCAATTATTTTTTGAAGAAAGACGTGATAAAAAATATGTAACCACACGCTCAATTCTACTATATAAGTGGAATATTCACATATAATTTCAGAACTGTACTACTATTTGTTACGATTGAAGTATAAAAAGTGTACCCCCCAAATACCCGAGTGCCAATTCAAAGGGTTGCCTATGGGTGCTCTTGTCGCTCAACATCAACAAAGCTTCTGGTCTGAACTTGATTACTGCCATTGTATTGAAGAGGTGTACAGCGAAGTTTGCTACAGTTTCTTCAAATCTCTTACGAAGAAAACTGGAAATTTGCACATGTTCAGCCCGTCCGAACGCTCAAACTTCCATCCTAAGGCCTTCCAGAGAAGCTTTGCAGATGGGTGGCAGACATCCTCTCTGGCCACAAGATATCCGTCGTAATTGACGGGTTCTCCTCTTTATCAGCTTTGCTGATGACAGCACTTTACACGCAGGAATTCAGATTGACAAAGAGATCTCTGCCGGTGAGTTGGAAAAGAGAAGACTAGCAGCGACTTTCTCTCTGACGAGAGACCTGGAGGTTATCACTGCTTGCGGACCCAATAATCTGGTAGAGTTTAATGATTGATCCGACACGAACACATCTCGTCAATAGCGGCAGTTGCTGGGAAAAGCTAGGCTTTTTGTTTGGGGCTAAGAAGTACTTTCCACCCTATAACCTCCGCACCCTGTGCAAGGTCCAGGTACGACCTAGTCTCAAGTACTGCTCACATGCTTGGGGTGCTACCGCCCCGACTCAATTATCCATGTTCGCAATTGTTTAAAGGAGACTGATCGATGACGCTTCTCTAACGGACAGTCTTGGGACCTTTTCGCTCCGACGGCCTCCCGTCAAGTTTGTACATCCAGAACTAGCCGATACTGCTCGAAACAGGCTGTTGGAAAAGAGGGATGTGCGAAGTTCAGAGAAGAACACAAAAGACTCTGCACAAATCCTATCGAGGATGACTTTCGACTAATTTTTTGTTTTGAAGTACGCTGCAGTATGATACATACTGTCCGAACTCGAAAACCGCTCGTGGAAAAACTTTGGGTCCATGGACCATGGACACTGTTGTTCTACGTGCTAAAATAACCTGAGTCCGTCCCTGTTACATACGCTTCCAAACAAAACTGTCTAAAATTGTTAATATTTTTAAATCCAGCAGAAAAAACCAGGCCAGAATACCAAATTTTATGTATTTATCTCAACACGTTTCGGAAATATTAAGGAAAAACCATCTTCAGGGAAGCCCCTTTAAAAGACAGTAGCGCCCTTAGGGGAAGTTTGGCGACCTATGTTTATATAAACTTTTCTTCTTATTTTAAGCTCTAGAAACCACTGGTTGAATATCGCACACTTTTTTCGGGACACCCTGTATATGTATGTATACAGTTTTATGAAAATTGCATTTCCACTCGAGAAGATTAAGAAAAGCTACCCTTTTGCTTTCCATGCACTGAAGGATAGGAAAAGTATTTTCATGTGTTGATCTATTTGATACTATTTTTTGTGTTTTGGGTCGTTTTCCCAACAAATGCTATAGTCGAGTTACATTTTTTCACATTCAAAACCGTACCTTTTCCATTAGATAGAAGTTGGAAACATGTGCTAGCGGCTCCTGCACTTTCTCCTGTAATGACGATATCCTTGGGATCACCACCAAACAGTTCAATGTTATCTATAACCCATTTTAATGCAAAATTCTGGTCTCTAAGGCCTAAATTCGCTGGTATGATGTCATCTTCTGTTGTTAGAAAGCCTTAAAATTCAGCATATTATCGAAAATGATTTTCGCCAAACTAAATATGGCTTTTCATACCTAGAGCACCTAGCCGATAGTTTATAGTAACTACAACAATTTCTTCGTCCATGAAGAATCCGGGATCGTAATGGTCGAAAAATCCGGTTCCAATAATTTTTGCTCCAGATCCCCATTGAAAACCACCTCCAGGAATCCAAAATAAAACCGGAAGTAATTTCGACGGGTCGTTTGATATCTGCAAATTGTCAATAAATATTTTTTCTAGTAGGAACAGATCCTGAAGTTTTTTATCTTTATAAGTAAAGGTTGTCCCAATAGGTAATTCGAGATTTTTTTATTTTAAGATAAAACAAAGAAAAAATTTAGAAATATCTTTCTTGCTTATATTATTGTAATAGAGGTATGGGAGCTTTTTTTAGATGATAGGGTTGACCTGGGTTGTCAAACCAATGTCAAAAATTAGATGTAGCTTCCCAACCTACAACATCCAAACCCCAATGTTTAACACCTCCAAAAATTTTTCTGAAAATGATCAGTTGTTTCTAAAACGTCAAAAAACAAAGTAAATAAGCGATTTTTATTTTAATCATTGTTGGCCTGCATCACCGCCGCAACTGGATTGATTTTCCAAACGTTTTTCTTCACCTTATGTCAAAATTTCAAGCCCAAACGTGGTCAAGAATAAGCGGGCAGATATACTAGTAGTATGTAAAATGCGTTTCTATCGACGATTGAAATTGGGGTTGGCGGCGTCTGCTTCACCAGTGTTTCTAAGACCGATTGTCCTAAGAACACGGGAGGCTTAAATTCCACAAAATATGTGTAAATTGTAGTATGCTGAATTATATAAGCAAAAGTGACTTAAGCCCCAAAATTTCCGCCCCGAAGAAGTCAATGAATGCAAACACACCTTCCTCATGAGTTGTTCCAATTCTGGGGCGTCCAATTAAATTCCTGGCTTTAGAAATGGTACCTGTGCCCATTAGGGGGGCATGAGGGCATATGCTTAAGAAGTAAAATATACCTTCCGTAAGAAAGGAGTGGCATGTGAGTTTTTTAGTTCGTTCAGCTTCTGCGAAAATTACTTGATCTGATGCTTGATCTGAATTATGGAAATGCGTCACCTTCCGTCCTCTACCCCTCAGACGCTCATATCCGTAAAGAAAGCGACATGTACAATTTTACAATATACAAAACAATCCACTTGCAGTAACTGAAAAAAATGATGAACCAATCTTGATATCAAGACGAATCTAAGGAGCTGTAGCTGTAGCTCGTAGAATAGGAATTTTTGTTAAATATCCGTCATTTAGATTTTGTAAAATTTTATTACAGCCAATGTCACTCGAACTATCCAGATAAATTTAGAGACCTCATATATCAAAATTCATCGAGCCGTTTTTAAACTGTAACCCTCCCGGAGACGAAAATCCCGCTGAATATGAATTCTGTTGCGGGATCGCCAACGTGTCCCACGTTGGAGTTTGCTATATGGGCGCCCTAGCGTATGCAATATAAAATGTCAAAAAGTCAAGTCGGTGAATAATAGCATGAAGTTTAAATGCTATTGAGACACCCTTTAGTTTAGATAAAAAATGCTTTACCCGGGGAGTATAAACGTTAAGAACCAAACAGTCCTCAGTGCCATAAATGTAACCAGCACCCTGTAGTATTGGATCTTGCAAGCAAACTTTATTTGTTTTCGTAGCATCAAGGGTTTTTTTCCATGAGTGTACAGGTTCAGGTGGCTGCAAGTAACATTGTGTTTAGTATTTTACATAAAAAGCGTTCTAGTAGTTTGATATATTTACCTGAAATCTTCTTTCTCCTAAAGGTGGTTCTGCATATGGTATATTCGTGAACGCATGGTACTTCCTTCCTTGGTTGCTATTCTGACACTGTCCTTTTATCGGACTGTTTGAAGGATTTTTCAAAGTTACGGTAAGGTCAGCGTTCTGTCACAAAAGCAATAGAAAGTGAACAACAGCCAGTTTTCTCTCTCTAGAGCGGTCGACAACTGGCCGGTACGACCGCTCTTTAGTACCTAGCGGATCGATAATGCGGAACATTTTGCCACAACATGGGTGTCCTAATTTTACTAACCTTAAATAATTTATAAATCGTATCAAGAAAATATCTATGATCTTTATATACAGGATATCTCTTCAGTATCTATTTAGGCTCCTGCTGTATTTCCAAAATACGAGCCTAGAGTCAAAATAGTTCGAATATGATCTAATTTTATCTTGAAGTCTGTTTATTTTTTTAAGGTTACAAAATAATTATTTTCTTTTATAAGAAATTGAGATATATTGTTTGGACATCATATTAACAAAATTATTATCAGGTAATGTGATATTAAACTATAAAACTAAATTAATATTGATAACAACAATACTTGGCTGATACATAAATGTTAGGACGAATCATTTCAATAGCTCCCTATGTCTGCCTTTGCCTTAATAACAGCATTAGTTCTGTCTTTCATAGTTTTAAGAAGGTTTACTCGTAAATCAGAAATATTTCGTTGTGGATCATTTCTTAACTGCTGCTTCATTTTGTGCTATACAGTTTCGATAAATTTAAATCGGGACTACTGTGGCCGTATGACATGACGCCCGATCTTGTTGACAAATAACGTTTCTATCAGGTGATAAATTGGAATTGACACTAGCAAATTGGTCTACATCAGTTCCGCCTATAAAGTGAAGTTTTCCAACGCCAAAAGCAGATATACTATAACTATTGAACTTTACTCTTTATGGAACGCTTCATTTTTGGTTGCTGATAATGATAACCCGGGAACGGTGGTCACCCATAAAAACATCAAATTTCGATTCATTGTTAAAAATGATCTTTTTCCAGTCTTCATGAGTCCACATTGCCCGTTTTTTAACCTAATCGCCTTTTGTTTTTCTGTAAGCAACGCCTTTCCTTTTGCCTAAAGCAAAGATTTTACTGAATAATGGATCCACCGACGACACGTTTCTCGTGAAACATTTCCTGCTGTTACTTCATTCCATTATGCTGTTATGTCCCTCGACGACCAGCTTTACAAATACGAACAAGAGATCTTTGCACTCTAGGACTGATCTTACATGGCCTACAAATACCGTGTCTTGAAACTTGAGTTGAACCTGTGTCTCCACATTTTTTTACAATATCTGCCACCGTAAACTTTGCGACATTTATTTGTTTTGCAATATACCGAGAACCCTTTCCTTGATGATTCAATTTTGTGATTAAAACTCCGATTGCACCGTTCGTTGCTTTACCATGCGACATTTTAAAGCAAATTGATTCACAGAATTGCTTCTTAAATCAAAACGTCGAATTGTAAACATTTCTTTGTTTCCATGGCCTGCAATTATTTTCTTTTCAATATCGTGTACGAACATTTATGTGCCAGCAAAGTGTTGCGTTGTTATCAATATTAGTTTGATTTTATATTTCAATATCATATTATTTGATAACAGTTTTTTTAATATGATGTGCAAACTATATATGTATTTCATTGTCGTATAAAAGAAAAACATTTATTAATTTTCAACCTTATAAAAATAAACAAACTATTAGATAAAATTAGATAATGTCTGAACATTTTTGCGTTAGGGCTCTTAAAAAAAATGTCCACAAGTAGATTGATTCTATACTTCCCAAGATTGCAATGGAAGACCAAGACCAAGACTTGTGTTATGTTGCAAGACAAACATCAATATATACAGGGTGGGCCATAAGAGTGTTGGCGATTTCAATCTTAAATTTCTCGGAGTCGCAGTGCGCGAGTGGGGGGGGGGAGGGGATAAGCTGTTAGCCGCGCCGTTGCCTGGAAATTTAGTAGCCATGGAGCCGTACACGGTAGTGCAGCGTGCATTTTCTGTCCGAGCATATTATGAAAACAATAAATCGGTTATTACTGCACGACGTTTGTATAGAAATGAACACGGTTTACGCGATTTAAGTTCCAAGCGCCAATGTGATACGGAAGTGGATCAGAATGTTCGAAGCAACCAGCTCGATAGTAGCAATAACTGCTCATGGTCGTCCGGTTTCTGCAAGATCAGCCGACAATGTAGAGCGTGTTCGTGTTTCAGATCAGCGAAATCCGCAACAGTCAACACGCAAGAGAAGTCAGGCTTTGGAAATCAAAAGAACGAACTTACGGCAAATTTTGAAGCGAGATTTACATTTGAAGGCTTATAAGATTCAACTAGTCTAATAATTAAAACGAGATGATGCCAATAACCGACGTAATGTTGGCAATTTGATGCTCGACCGATTCAACAGTCTTAATAACGTGATGTTTGGTGATGAGGCCAATTTTCACCTCAATGACCATGTTAACAAACAAAATTGTCTGTTCTGGTCCGAAACTAATCCCTAACGCTTGCATGAACGTCCACTTCACAGCCCTAAACTAGTCCTGTGGGCTGAAATTACATCAACCGGAATTACTGGATCGTACTTTTTTGAGGACGAAAGAGGGCAAGCGATGACAGTTAAAGCTAACAATTACATATTTCAATATGATAACAGACGTTTTGGTGCCAGCTTTGCAAGAACTCTAAGGCAATAGCTCTAGAATGTGGTTTCAACAAGATGGGGCCACATGTCATACAGCTAGGGTATCTATAGAGCTGCTGAAAGATGTCTTTCCCGGAAAACTCATTTCGAAAAGGAGGGATACTGAATGGTCACGACGTAGCCCCGATCTTTCTTCATGCGATTATTTTCTATGGGGCTACCGCAAATCGGTGGTCTACTAGAATAATCCAACTAATTTAGAGCAGCTAAAGAGAAGTATTGTTCAGGAAAGTAACAAAATACCGAGAACAACTTTTCAACGTGTTTTCCAAAATCTGCAGCTTCGGTTTCAAGAGTGCCAAGCAGCCGAAGGAAGTCATTTGAACAACATTATTTTTAAGTCTTAAAAATTCCTATCTTTCCACTTTTAAAAAATACAGTTATTTTTGTTTTATACTAAGTGACATATAAATCCGAACACCCAGTTTAAATGGTTTTATTTTAATAAAATTTTGTATAAGTACTTAATGAAGCATAATAAGTAAATGATAAAAATTTCAAAATGATTGCACTGCTTTAAAGAGCTTTGACCTTTAATAATGTGCGGACGCACCCTGATATGCTACGCATTCTCCAACGCGCCTAGGCATGCTTCTGATCAGGTGGTCAATGTCCTCCTGTGGTATCTCATTCCAGGCAACCACCAACTCCTCTCGAAGTGCTTCTAGAGTCTGAGGAGGACGTTGCAAATTGAGCAATCTCCTACCCATCATATCCCACACGTGCTCAATTGGGGATAAGTCGGGAGATCTTGGTGGCCATGGTAACAATGTGACATCATTATGTTGAAAGAAGTCTATTGTGACTCTTGCAACATGTGGTTGGGCATTATCTTGTTGGAAAGTTGGATCTGCCAGGGTGTCAAGATAGGGTAAAAGATGGGGCTCTAGAACTTCGTGGATATAACGCTGCGCGTTCATGTTACCTCTGATGAAGATTAAAGGTGACCTGAAACCATAAGCTATAGCACCCCAAACCATAACTCCAACAGTGTGATGAACATGTCTTTCAACAAAAAACTGTGGATTCCTCCTTTCAGCACGTCGCCTTCTAACCCTGGCACGACCATCGTGCATGCCTAAACAAAATCGAGACTCGTCACTAAAGACAATACTGTTCCATTCCTGATCCCAGAGTGACTGTTGTCTGCACCACTCAAGGCGATTACGTCGGTGTTCTCGAGTTAAAGGGAGGACCCAGTGTGGCCGGTATGAAAACAAGCCAAAACTTCTCATTCGTCGGTAAACACTTCGCATGCCAATAGGTCTTCCGTGTTCTGCAAACCATTCATTTGCAATGGACCTGGTAGTGGAGAAACGGCCCCTTAAGGCCAATAATCTTAGGCGGCGATCTTCACGGTCTGTTGTTCTACGGCGGCGTCCAGTGCCCCTTGCTCTTTGCGTACGGCCTTCTCGAAGCCATGCCTGACAACACCTAACCACAGTGTCTACACTTCTTTGCACTCTAACTGCAATTGCCCGAAAAGAAAGTCCAGCTTCCCGAAGTCCCACTATACGGCCCCTATCAAACTCACTAAGTTGACGAAATCGTACAGGTCCCCGTACTCTAGGCATCGTAACCGATCGTAAAGGATGTCAAGAACCAAAATCCGCCAACGTTGATTCTTTACTGCGGCTGAAATACATATTCATTTTTAGAGCGTTAGTGAATCAAAAAAAGCAGTATAAAAACCTGAATGTCCAACTGATAAGGCTGAAAATTTTTTCACTTGTTATTTACAGTAAGATAAATACATTCACCAACTTTTATTAAAATAAAACCATTTAAACTGGGTGTTCGGATTTATATGTCACTTAGTATATATTGCCTATTTTTTAATTGAATATTGAAATTGCCAACATCTTTATGGCTCACCCTGAATAAGCCTAAGTACACTAACATTAAAAAATTGCGATACATCCTCCATCACCTCCCTACAAAACCCACCCCCCAATTTTTTACAACAAAAAGTTTTTTCAAAATGATCAGTACGTCGAGACTTCAAAAAACGAAGTTTTTGGCCCCTTTCTCCGCCGCTGATTTTCAAAAACTACAAAGCTCTTTCGTCCTTACCACACCAGTAACTTTTAAATTTGGCATGTTAACTTGTGCACCAAGAAACCGCTAATATGACTCTAGTTAAACCTACATCATTCCAAAAAATACCTACATAATGTCATAAAAAATCGATATAACGTCACTTTCTAGTGGTTACGTTATACGAGTGCGGTTCAGTTTTTATTAGAAGCATGTAATTTTTTATTTTAAAAAAGGTGTGTATTCAAAGATGAGAACGTTAATACCCGCCTCGATCGCATCGCGTGGGCTTGTGGTGTGGGTAAGAATTAGATATTTTTTTTAGCTGACCGGTCTTATTTCATAAGAATACATTAGCTTCCTAACTTTTGGCGTATAGTTTGGTGCACACGTAATCGTAACGTGTGGAGTATCAAATATAATGACATTCAGAAACATGAAAATACCAAAGTGCCATATGTAAGCAAAAACAGATATTTAAATGAACTTAACGGCATTTGGAAGGGTGAGGCTTGTTATTTGAGATAATGTCTATATTTTTTTTGAGAAAAAATCGCCACCTACACACCCTCAAATATAGGCAAACGTCGCTACTGTTTCACTTTTAGGTAAGGAGTGATTTGGACGTGGATTCAGATTCAGGAAAGTATACTCTGGTTTCGGGGTTAAAATTTTGCCGGTATCTGTTATGACTGGCGCACCCAAGGAAGGGTAAAGGGGGTAATTACCCCCCCAGACGACTCGGCCAGTCTTTGAAAAGGTGGTATAAAGTAAACCTCTTATAAAAAAATCTGTAACTTTAAGAAAGGATAGCGGCAACGCTGCCAACCCGCTCAGTGCGCATGCGACTAGCGACTACTCTCCCACCAACAGGAACGGTGTGCGCTTCTTCCTGTTGGAACAGGTATAGTCTAGTCTTTTATGGTCTAGTCTAGTGTCTAAATTCTGTAAAGTCCGGAGTCCGCAACAAAACTTGGCTGAGAAGTGAACAAGCGGAGTTTTGTTGATCTGGATGGCATTAACGCTATTTTCTATGTTCTATTGATTTTTTATTTTCCACGCATATGCCAGAAAATTAATTTCTGTTTATTTTTATTTTTTATACTATAATATATACTATAAAAGAATCGTGTCTAAAAAAATGACAGACGGAAAAATGGCAATTTAATATAATTTCAATTACGAAGTGTTTGGCCCATACTCCAGCTATCATTATCATCTATGTCTATTTTATCCCTGTATATAAGCACTTCAGTTCATTTCGTTCGTCCGAGATGGCAAATTATATATTTAGTCTTTGAAAATTGCGTGAACTTAAGAAATGTTGTTTTCCAGACAGAAAAGGTTCTTTTTTATGAGATACGTGAATGCCTGGAAACCAACAATGCCGTTTATTTGACAATATTTGTGTAACTTTTAGTGCTGGTTGACGGCTGCTGTTGTCAGAATGAGTAAAAGGAAACAGAATACCATCGATTGGTTATTTTCTAAACAAAACAAACTCTCTGATCCACCGGCACAAGAATTACTGGAAAAAACTAATGATAATCCTACAATTCAACCTGTGCCTTCCACTTCAAAATTTTTGCTGTTGCACCATATGGTGAACCAAGTGTTTAACAACTGCGTGCGAAACCTAAAGGGTTCAATTTTGATGATGTTGCGCCATATATAAATTTTAGCGGCAACTTGTCTTCTCATGAAAAATATACCTTATTGAGGTATGCAATGATCCCTAATGACTCTTTCAAATATCCTTATTCCACACACTTGAAAAATAATAAAGAAGAGAAATGTTAATTATCAAACAAACAATTTGCGAAATTTCCTTGTCTGTCATGTTCAGAGGAACTACAAGGGCTTTTCTGTAAATATTGCGTGTTTTTTTTTTCAAAATTAGGAGCAGTACATAAATCAACTAAATTGGGAAGACTTGTTACCGTACCACTAAAGAAATTTCTGAAATTGTATGGCAAAACTGGTTATTGTGAGACACATGAGAACTCAATATATCATACAGAAGCAGTTTCAGATGCCACAAACTTTTTTAAGATTTACGAAAACCCAGAGAATGATATAAGAAATATAATAGGATCAGAGCGAATTAAGCAAGTATCAGAAAATCGGCAAAGATTGACTCCTATAATAGAATCTATATATTTTTAGGACGCCAAAATATACCACTTAGAGGGCATAGAGATAGGGGTTGACTTTTTTCTAATGACAGCACCAATGACGAGGATGTCCTTAATAATGAAGGGAATTTTAGAGAACTAATACGGTTTAGAGTCTAGAGTGGCAACAATTTATTAAAAAAAAAAGTTATAGAACTCAAAAGCGCATGCTACGTACATAAGCAGCTGCATCCAAAATGAAATTATAGAATGTTGTGGCGAAAAAATCTTGGATATAGTTTTAAGTCGCGTCAGGCAAAGTCAGTATTACAGTATTATATTTGACGAAACTACAGACATTAGCCATAAATCACAAATGTCAATCGTATTGCGGTATTGTTATCAAAAACAAATTTACGAGGACTTCATGGGATTTGTGGATTGCTACTCAAATTTTGACGAAGATACAATGGAGCCCAAACTCACAGGTCAAATTCTTGCTCAAACAGTCAAGCATTTCTTTAAAACCAATAACTTAGACTCAAAACTATGTGTGGGCATTGGTACTGACACGTGTAACCTAATGTTAGGTGAACAAAAGGGCGCTGTAATGGAATTGCAAAAATGATCGCCAAATTCTCTAAAAATCCCATGCGCAAATCATGCTTTGAGCCTTTCGATTTCAAAAAACAGCAGTAAGGAAGTACTGTAGGTATAATGAAGGAAGTAATTGCGTTCTTCAAAGCATCCGCTAAAAGAAATACAGTATTAAAAAGAAAACTAGACGGATATCATAGTATGTGCGAAACACGATGGACCGAGAGACATGATTCCGTGCTCCAATTTGAAAGCAAATTCGAGAAAATTGTAGAGGTACTAAATATTATATCAAATTGGAAAGACCGCGAAGCTTCTTCAAAAGCGGAGTCTTTGAAGACTGCCATTACTTCCACCCAATTTATCGTATCACTAAAGGGTTTGTGTGATATTTTAGTTTTATGGTGGACGATGCCTTTGATGTCAAAAAAGACAATGAGCATCGTTTTCACTTTGGATTTGCACTCGGAAGATTGCCTCTTTGTCTCGGGATCATACTCAAAGATCCACGACTCGTCACCTGTGATTACTTTATTCAAAAATTTCAAATTTTCTTGGTAGACTTCCACTCGCCGCAATTTCTGGTCGTCAGTGAGCACTTTTGGGACTATCTTCGCGCACACCTTGCGCATGTTCAAATGCTGTGTCACAATGTTATGAACCACAGATTTTGGTAAATTTAACATCTGGGTAATTAAACGAATACTTAGTCGACGGTCTGGGTTCAAAACTTTGCGCACACCCTGTCACATTATCGGTGTTTGTCGAAGTCGAAGGTCTTCCAGCACGGTCTTCATCAGCGACCTCTTCCCGGCCCTCCAAAAAGGCCTGGTGCCACCGCTAAAGCAACACCTGGGTAAGCCTGCTTGATCATATCAAACGTCTCTGTCGCAGATTTACACAGAATTTAATCGCGTACCTCTGCTATAACGAACGCCGCATTTTCGGCTTGCAACACTCACAGAAACACGTCGCGCGAAAATGCCTGTCCTCACTCTCCAAGTGCTCTGAGAAAAGTGACCAGCCGCTCATTCGTTAGCTAGCAACGCCCTCTACCGAATCCAGTCGGTGAGCGCACACTTGGAAGTACAGTCATGGCGGAAGAAAATGAGTCCTATTACTTTCCGGACAAACCCTGTATATTACAGGATTTGGTATACCGGTTCAATGAAGAATCTTTGAATATATAAAATTTTAATATTGTTTTGCGTCAGTATTTAATTCAAAAACTGAAGCAATGGACATATTAGAAACAATCTCTAAATATTTGCACGGACTAAATAGTAAAGAAAACAAAAATTTAATAAGTATCAGATTAAAGGCAAAATTTGACCTTTGGAAGTCACGTACACAAGATATTATAGACAGTAGAATGTCGCTGTATTTATCATGTGATGAAAACATTATTTTTAATAATATATATGCTAATATAGTAATATTTTTTGTTGTTTTGTCTGACATTGTTATGTAGGAAAGTCTGTGATAGATTATATTTTTTTGCATTTTTGTTTTAATTTATGAAGATTGCTCGAGCTTTATTTGCTTTATTTACACTTTGATTTCGTATGATTCAAAATTAAAAAAAAAATTGTATGTATTTTCTACAGAAATTACTGTAACAAATTCATATGTCTGCATATCTATATGCTTTTAACGTTAAATCATTATAACACTTCAGTACGTTACACTGAGAATTTACTTTCCATTTACCCCTCCCAGACTGAAATCCTGGGAGCGCCACTGTCTGTTATCTTCAAACAGCTGGACAGATTTTCTTGTATTATAGCTAAGAACTATCTCAATTTATTTATGAATCTAATAAAAAAAAAATGAAAGGGTCAACTGTTAAGCTCGTAACACCTCTCTGTTGAAGGAGGAGGTCAAAAAGTTACTAGAAGTAGGCTCAGCATACTTACTTTGCAGCCAGTGGGGGCAAATAGGTCGAACACGTAGACTGTTCTGCAGTAAATTGTAAGCAAAAAGAAGAATCTAGTTGGACTGATCATCTTGATAGGAAGGAAGACTAGATTAGACAAGAATGCGGTTACCTTGCCGTATTTATAATGATATATAATGATGTCGAAATAAATACCTCAAAATTACAGTAAGTGGGCGACTAAAGCTTTGCTGATTATTGTATTACTTATTTTTAGTACAGTAGAAACAGTTTTTTTTTATTTCAAGTCAAAAACTTTGGCAAGCCGTTGTTAGTCGGAGGAATAGTAAAATCAGCAAACATTTCAATTACAAGATTATGATTTTTACCTTAAGATATATCGTCTTCGCTACTCCTTATTTTAGTCCGGCCGCTTGTCGATTGTCCAGAAATTCTTGGTTTACCTATAATTCGTAACGCTGCTGAAATGCATTTCAAAACTTATAGATGCGCTGACAATGACCTTTTATTTCTCACCCCTACTGGCGAGGACGTATTGTACTCGCGAAAATTTTTGATAATTAGATATTGTTTTTTCCGATGTTATATCGATGCATTTTTTCCAAAGTAACGTAAGTGACATTTTTGGTGAAAATCATGTTTTTCCATTAACGTAAGGCTTTTATTGTTGAGAAGGTACTGCCAAAGTGTAGGAAGCCTAGATTTTACTTTAAACCTTTGTTTTTAACTTTTTTTGAAAACGTATGTCCAGAATTTTTTAAATCATATCCGTAAAAGAAACATTTCCGGACCCATGTTTAAGGCAAATTTTTCATCTACATATTTTTTAATGTTCTGTTTGTGGTTGAAGTTTTGAATACTAATTTAGTGACACCCTGTATCGGGAATTCCCGAATTATTAAGACTTTATTAAATATAGAAAACTTTTAATGAACTACAAATATAAACAATGACTACATATTTGCAAGTTATCCTGAAGTATTTCTTTGTCTAAGGTCGAAAGCGGCAAGAAACGGCAGTTTCTGAACCTGAAAAAATTTATAAACAACTGCTTCCAATATCCGAAATGAAGAAAAGGGATTTGGAAAAACTTTGCAAAAACAATGTCACACCTGCCAGGTTTCACGATGAATTCTTTAAATTAAAATGTAAGTCTTCTCTTTCAGATGAGTTAGCAGAAACTGATGCAGAGGATGACAATGAAGATGAAAGCTCCAAAAATTAAAAAAATATATATTTTTTACTAGTTGGAATTTCATATTTTCTTTTGTAACGTTATTTTGTGTTTTTTTTTTAATAATAAACGATAGTTTTTAATTCTTTCCAAAATACTTTAAGTGCTACAATTTTCCGCCAAACTGACGTATCTGTGTACTTACGTTACATTTTTGATCAAGATTTCTGAACCCGTAAAGTAACGTAAGTATCAATTAACCACTAAAACTATAGAAAAACTTCAAAAATCATTTTTCTTAATTAAATATAGACCTCAGAGAAACACCCTGGTAAATTTTGCACAATTTAAAAAAGTTTAACCAGGTTAAATTAAAAACACGTTTTTTCTTCGAAATCGTTTTTGGTGACTTACGTTACTTTGGAAAATACGTATCGATATGACACGAAAAAACAGGTCATTCATTTCTGTCGGTTTGTCTGTCGATCTATCTGTCCGTTAATCCTTGCCCACGTTAAAGGTTTACAAGAATACTACTATGCTAAGGGCGAGAAAGCTTTGTAGTTATTGAAAATCGCTTAACTGATAGCTGAACTGGGGGGGGGGGGAAGTGGTCAAAAAAGGAAAACAATAAAATATAAAATAAGACTAATAAAAAAGACATTTGACTATAAAATAAATACAATATTACAAATAACTCTTCAAACAACAGAACATTTATCACGCAGTCATATTAAAAAATATCACAGGGAACTACAAAATAAAAAGCATATGACTAAAGACCATTTCTGTTTTGCCTAAAAAAATTGAAGTTTTTGAGTTACTTAAACTTAGTCACTGTCTGTATCAGATTCTTCTTGTTACATTTCTGTTCTGTCTATACTATATAAATTATTATTGTATTTTTTAAAATGTTTTTTACCAAACTCGAAGTCTAAGCAGCAACATTTTTTTTATTTTGTATCCAGTTGTATAAGTATCGCGAACAAAGTTGAAGGTAAAATACGATTCCTTTTCTTTGTTTTTATTATCTCCATATATGAGAATGCCCACTCGACATCTGCATTACCATGTGGCAAATGTTAAAATTATTAGATACTTTGGAAATACACTTCACAGCTTGTGTACTTAACACCTACTACCATCTATACGCGTTTCCGTTAAATAAGAATTACCGACCGGTGGTTACCACTGTCGATTGGAAAGATACCTGTATTTAGATTTGGTTACTAACTACACTCAATTTTTTTTTCTGGTAAAAATATCCATCATGTGTACCTAAAATGCAAAATTCTGCTACTTTTAACAAAACATCCAATTCCGCCGCTACGCCGCTACTACTTGAAAATTCCGCTACCAGTAGCGGAATACCGCTACTTCTGGTAACACTGGTCATAGCAGTTCGTAAGCTTGTCAGATCTGGTAACTCTGAGGCCAAACAATGTTAAGGAAAAGACGGAAGGAAAGGAGGGAGCAAAGAGGAAGAAGACAGTCTTTTAAGGCGGTGAGCGATTAGACCTTGTTAAATTCACTCTAGTCCATTTATCAAAAAAAGGACCTAAACCCAAACATATTCACGAATACTTCAAGTGATCGGACTCATGAACGCCGAGCACATTACAGGGGCAGCGAGGCTGCACGCTCCGCTGTGTCGTATCCCACTCCATCTTCTGTATACGGGCACGACCGATTAGGTCCAACAATATACTCGGGAACCAAATGATGCATCTTTCCGAATTGACACAGTCGGCGTGCGGGAATCCAGCCGTCTTCAAAAATATGTCGTGCTAACATGGCGTGCAATGTGTTCTGATGCTCTCGTCGTTTTCGATTCCCGAGTATAGCTCCCCGTTTTTAATGTCATTCTTGGATAAGGGGTTTTGACATGGTTCAAAAAGAAATGTTCTAATTTTGCTTGTTCTAAGCACACGAATTAATTTTGACTGCAGTGCGAGCTTGAGAACTTCCTCAACTGTGTGGTCCACTGATTCGAACAACAGAGTACAATTTCACTTCTAGTTCTCCGTGAATGGTTTCGTCAGAATCTCGCACACTTCTTAGAAACCCTTCTGGGACGGCCCTCGCACGCCCTCTAAGCTGGGTCAAATACTGGGAATCCCTATATACGAGGGGCATGCTGTATATTTTGAGATGCCCAATAACTATACTAGTTAAAACCGGCAACAGTGGACTATTAGAAAGAGCAGTCCTGTATTATTAAGTCGCCGCATTCAGTTCATTTGCAAAAGCTTTACAGTGCATGTGGTGTAGATAAATTAAGACGAAACATAGAGTTCTCTCGAGCGAGTTATCGCGCTATGATTTACTATGACTTTAAAGTCAGTTTGACTGAAGATCAATGTATGGAAGGGTTACAACAGGCATATGGTAATGAAGCTCCGACCCGGGCAAGTGAGTTTGCTTAATTATTCATCTTCATTTAATAAAAGTTGTTGCGAGATGGGTGCCACATCAGCTTACTGATTTCCAAAAGGATTAGTCGGAAAACATTGAAAATTTTAAGCAATGGCGGTCATCGTATTCTTCCAAAAATAATAACAGGTGATGAAACCTATATACCGTTATATGACGTTTTTACATGTCAGGAAAGCCGTGTGTGGATTCGTGAAGATGACCCAACACCAACAATGGTAAAGAAGCAGAGAGCCAAGAGAAAAGTCATGTACGCCATTTTCTTTCGCAGCACTGGCTTAGTAAAAGCAATTAAGCTGGAAGAACAGCGTACAGTTACGAAAAATTGGTATGTCAACACATGTTTGCCAGAAGTTCTCGAAGCTGTGAATGTTAGAAATGCAATCCTGCATCACAACAATGCACCTAGCCACACTGCCCAACTAAATGTAGACTTTTTACGCCAGCGACACATCAAAATGCTAGAACATCCGTCTTATTCGCCAGATTTGGCAATGTGTGACTTCTGGCTCTTCAACAATTTGAAAAAAATCTGCGTGTTCAAAAATTTTCGCCCGAAGAGGAAATCGACCAAGCAATTAATCAGTTTGTTGGAGGCAGTCCAAAAACTGATCGGTTAGAAGCATTTCATTTGTGGAAGGTCAGGTTACAGATGTGCATTGATGCTGGAGGAGAATACTTTAAACATAAATAAACTAGTTTTCGAAAAATAGTTTTTAGTTCTCGTGTATCTCAAAATATACAGCGTGGCCCTCGTATATAGCACAGAGCAGCAATTATACACAGATCAACATGAATTATTACTGATCCGTAGCTATTTAAGGGCTAGGTTACGCACGGTGCAGAACATGGCCACTTAAGCAAATAACTATAATGGACCTGCACTATAATGACATTATTGTGCAGCTGATAACATTCGTAGAAGATTTTGAGTCTACACATGTGTTGAAATTTTTATTGCATAATGCTAGATGACTAACTAAATTTAGTACATGCGGTAAGATAACAGGTTCAATTTTATTTTCCACTGTTCCGGCAGCCTTTGGTAAGCATTAAGATAGCTCAGTCGTAGGGCTACCACCACCTTAACTGCCGACGCCGGACAAACGCTTCATTTGGGTGAAATTGAGATTTTTCTCCGAACAAGCCAGAATTTTTTTATAACAATAAAAACATTGTCGTCATTTTAATCTCCCCAGAGAAATTTAAGGAATCCCGAACGGACGACAGCCCTACTCAGATGGAATGTTGTTCTCAACGATTTGATGTCTCAATGTTTGATATACCTGTACAACTCATTTCAAGGTACAACCTATATACAACACTAGATTTTCGGGCAGAAAATTATGTGGGTACGGTTAAAAAATCCTTCAAAGCAATTACAGACCGGCCGATAAGCAGATCGAGAGACACGAAGACAGACAGATAGAATGATATTTTTTTCGTGATACAACCTTCAAAAAACATATCTTATTTTCGAAATTTTTCTTGATCACAATACTTCCTCGCCAGTGGCGTCTGAAGTAAAAGTCGATGCTTCTTCTTCCGTCACTAGCACCCTGCAAGGAATAATCAATTCTCTGCAAATGGAGTACTTTTATTATACATGGTGTAAACGTTATGGTAGTCACATTGAAATGGGTAATAGGGGGTAAAAACAAGTCAAAAAGTTCATATGACGCATGGTCCAAAAGTCAATAGATTTTTGTCTAAATGGATTTATAGTTTACAACTTTAAGTGCTTTATATCGAGCACAATCACCACAGTCTTACTAATTTTTATAGTCTAGCCTAAAATGTTTTTAAATTGGGTAATTAACAAATAAATGGCATTAGGTTTTTCTAAGTTAAGCCAAAATTTGTAGTCAGTAAGTAAGTTTCATTAAATTGAATATTTAAAACGCACAAGTCAACAGCGCGTCGGTCATCATCACTCTTATCGAACCGGCAATCGATCGCAAACGGTAACAGTGGTTAGTATGTTGTTTTGTTTTTGTTCGCGTACGTCGTCGTGTTGATTTACAATGTTCTCGAATCAAGAATTCGCCGACATGTTGTTAGTTTACGGTGAAGCTCATCAGAATTCAAATCTTGCAGCTCGTATTTATCGCGACAGATTTCGCCAACGGGTACACCCAGACAGAAGAACATTTGTGCAAGTGTACAAACGACTTCGAGATACAGGAAGTGTTCAGCCCACTAATATTCGCACACGTGAAAGACAGGTTACCGTAGAGCAAGAGGAACAAATTTTAAATATCGTCTAAATCAATGCAGATATCAGCACTCGGGAATTAGGCCGCCGCGTAGGACTATCGCATACCATAGTCCATACAATCCTACGGGAAAATTTGCTTTATCCCTACCATGTAAAACGAGTGCAGGCCTTGTTACCAGAAGACTATTCTCACAGACTAATATTCTGTCAGTGGTTTTTGCACAAAAACATTGAAAATCCGGATTTTTTTTAAAAACATTCTTGCGACGGACGAATGTACTTGTACGCGAGACGGGAGATTAAATTTCCATAATACTCACACGTAGGTCCAAGAAAATCCTTATACCATACGTGAAGGTCATTTCCAACAAGGTTTTAAAATAAATTGGCCCTTTCGAGTTACCCCCAAAGTTGTCAGGAGAAGGATACCTTAGCTTTCTAGCCAATAACCTACCATAACTTTTGGAACAGACCTTAGACAACATGTCATTACAACGGAGACACATTTTTAGAGGCGTCATTCAGTATTTGAATGAACATTATTCAGATCGCTGGATAGGTCGAAATGCTCCTGATCCTCGAAAATGGCCAGCAAGATCTCCTGACCTCAATCCGATGGATTTCTGGTTTTGGGGAGAATTTAAAGGGATGGTTTATGGGGCTGGTCCAATAACAACTGAAGCACAACTTCGCGAAAAAAAATTTAATGCGGCTGAAATAATAAATGAACAACTTCGACGACCTAGCGTAAGAAAAAACTGGGTTCGTCGTAATGAAGCTTTTGTGGAAAGTGGAGGACGACATTTTGAACACCTTTGAATACAAAAAGAAAAACAATGTATGTATCAAAATTGTGTTCCCTATTTATAAGTGCATTTTTTTATAATACGTTCAATAAACTTTCACACACCAGGTGAAGCGCTGAGACAGTTAGTAGTAAGTCCGTTTTTTTTAATTGTTTGCACTTTACGAGTACATTATCAAATAATGAAATAATACCTAACAGCCAAAAATAACAAACTCCATCTTTATCCGTCTGGCATTGCGGCGTTGTCAGATTTTATTTTACTTTAAAGTCGCTTTTCTCTAAGAAAATGCCATGTTATATGAAACTTTTTGCTTCTTTTAACCTTCTCTATCACCCATTTAAAGAACGACTATCATAACGTTTACACCCTGAATATTCGATACATATCACAAGCGTAATAGTGTAGAAAACAAAGAGAAAAAACTACTGTAACAAAGGAAGAAAACCGCAACTAGTCAACTAAATTTTGTGCTTTCATTTCTCCCAATTCAATAGCATGTGAAAGTTGAGCGGCTTGCATTGATCATCTAGAAAAAACTTTTCCTTTTGTATTCGGTAAAGTTTTTGAGAAACCTAATTATAATACGACCCAACAAGCTTCGCGACCTGAAACTGTTATTCTATGGTTAACGGCTACGGCAATTTTCATTATACGATACTTTTATGAAGCTCTCCTCAAAATAGCAAGCTGACATTAGGCAAGTCGACATACTCGAAGGTAAAATCGATTTATTTTGAAAAATATAAAAGGTATCATGAATTAAAAAACGTCATAATACATTTGATTGGTTCAAATTTCACTTATCACTAATGACGATTAGAAATTTCGTGCATCCATAATTGAGACAATCTGCACAAGAATTTTGTTCTAGGTACCATGATAGATTTATAAAAGATTTGTTGGATACTTCTTCAAGAACGTCAACTTACCAGCTGAAAAGTGTGCTCAGCAAAGTTCCGGAGAGCCGTGATACTAAGCATGAAGATATTATGAAGAAAATGATGATGACTATGATTTAGACCAGCATAATAGTTACCTTATTATGGCATTGAGGTATATATATACCTCCGTTAGCATTTGCGCTATAGATTAAAAAGTTGTGAATATTAAGTCGATGTAAACGAAGTGTGGAAATAGTTGTGTAAATAAAGGGTATCTATGAAAACAGCCTTTTGAATATTTTAGTAGCTTTCAATAAGTAACAAGGCATCAGGATGATTTAGTTTCGACCTTCGCCTGAATAGTCTTTAAATACTTACAATAATAGTGAAACGATAATTTATATCTGTAGCAGTTAAAGCTACAATCTTGACGAGTATTTAGTATTTGATAGCACCAAGAATGGGACATTAAGTTACTTATTATTTATTTTCGAAATCAGGGAGAAGGCGATCCGACCAATCCGTGATTCAATAAAGTAAACGATAAAAAGTAAGCGACACTCATTTTTTAAACAACTTTCATCATTATCGTATGTTCTCGTTGTTCTGTCCCATCTAGTATGCATATGCACAACACAAGCTTGTAAAGGAGATGTTTAACCTATCATCTAACTAGTGTAATGGACAACTCACCTGAAGGATCTCAATGACCGAGCATTTGAATTTATCAACATTTTACCTTTTATCCCTCAAATTATAATGCCATTATACGTTATCTATGTAGTAATAGTTAGGTACTTAATTTGAGTTATAATTAGTATTACTTCATCTACACAGGCAACAGCGGTGGCCGCAGTAGTAGACTCTTCGTTCTCCTGAACAGTTGCCGTGCGCTGTGCGGGTTCGACTCCCGTCCCAAGAGAAAATTATCTCTTGGCTGTTGTGATTGTCCGTAGGTGGTAGACGGTTTCTGACTGTCGAGTCCGTGTGGCGTTCCCCCTTTCCCCTGTATCGCCATATAGCCCCACGGTACTCCATTGGTGTTTAGGCCTTAGGCCTTCATGGTGGTTGGATTATAAAAAAATGCATGTTTTGTTACATGTCATATTACTTTATTAATTTGATTGAGTGGAAGAGCACAATTTGTGGAATCCGCTTTCGGTGTTAAATATGGAACAACTGGCAACCACACAGTGTATTCTTGGTTTCAAATATTCTACAAACAAAACACTTTTCTCTAATATAGGGATGACTGCTGATCTCGACTGTATTCCTGTGATAAGGTACTTATTCAGTTGTTAAGCTTTTTTATTGTTGTTTTTTTGTTATAGCATAGTAGGCGTTGTTAAATACATGTAAGGTAAGGTGGGGTAAGAGCATTTACGGGGCAAGTGCAGCTTTTGCGTTTAAATTTCCCGGATATCAGTCAGTTGTGCTATCATCTATGGATCGTTCATCTACCCAATTCATCTCAACTTTGTAAAATAACAGAAGAGATCAGCGACCGGTATTATGTTCATGACAAACACGCGAAATTTTATTCGCCATTATTGTCCAGCAACAAGTAGGTTACGTTTAATACATCCGTCAATATCAAGGCCATCTTTTGAGTTACAGTTTTGATTTATGGTAAGTACACTTATTGTTCTATCATTTTCCTAGTGATAACGATATTTTTGCTTTTATTTTCAATAAAACAAGTTTTTGTTGATAGGCTGCACTTGCCCTGTGATTTTTTTGTACAGGGGCTAGAGCGGCCTATTTTAAAGGGGCAAGTGCAGTCTATAAAACGCACTTGCCCCAACAGTATTTTTGAAATATTCCCTCTGTTTCAGAATTAAATTATGGTTCGCAATTATATTCGCAAATCTCAGAGAGGATCCGGATATTCAAAAGAAGATCTAAGGACTGCTGTAAACATTGTAAAGAGTGGACAAATGAGTATTTACAGAGCTAGCTTGATCATATTCCAAAAAATACACTTTCGGATTCGGACCATGTAAAAGGGCGCAGAGGTCATAAAAGTTCAACCTATGGTAGAAGGACAGATCTCAGTTTTGAAGAGGAGACGTGTCTGGCATATTGTATCCGCTGTATGGAGAAGTGGGGATTCGGTCTAACCAGAAAGGAATTGCTCGGGATAGTGGAAGATTACGTTAAAACGAATAAAATTAAAACGCAGTTTAAAAATGACAAACCAGGTGAAGACTGGTTTTTAAATTTTAAAAGTCGTCACAAGCTTTCTATTAAAACACTTCAAAGCGTCGAATTTGCCCGAAAAAAGAATGTTGATCCGTTTTTAGTCTACCAGTACTTCGATTTATTAGAAAATACAATCAAAGAACTTGTATTAGAGGATAAACCATCTCAGATATGGAACTTAGATGAGAGCAGTTTTTGCTCAGACACTTCAAAAACGAAAATCGTTGGGCAACGGGGACTGCCAGCTACACGGACAACAAGTGGGCCTGGAAAACAGAATACCACTGTCTTAATGTGCTGCAGCGCAAGGGGAGAAAAGGCGCCTCCCTTAATAATTTTCAAGGGCAAGCACGTCTGGGATCAGTGGCTTGCACCCCCTGGTAGCGAGTTTCCCGAAATGACATATGCAGCAACCGCCAACGGATGGATGGAAAGCACAGTTTTTAAAAACTATTTTGAAAAAAGTTTCGTTAAGTGTTTGCCTCCAGAAAGACCAGTCTTAGTAATTTACGATGGTCATGCGACTCATTTAAGTGTAGAAGTTGTTAGAATTACTATCGACAACCAGATAACAATTTTAAAACTTCCCCCACATACCAGTCATATTTTACAACCACTTGATTTAAGTGTTTTCAAATCCCTAAAAACTCTATGGGATGCTAAACTAGTAGAATGGCAGCGTAAGAACGTGGGTATTAAGATGCCGAAGAATATTTTTTCAAAACTTATTGGAGATATATGGAGAGAAACAAATCCTGAAGTACTTCGAAGTGGTTTTGTTAAAGCTGGGATTTATACTTAATGTAAAACTGTTTGTTACTTTGGCAATTTAAATACATAAGTGACGATAAATTCTTATTACTTAAATAAAAACAAGAGTGTTATGCATCGATAATGTATTTTTGTATCATTTCAAAAAGGTATCAGTCCCTTTCTAAGATCATCACTCAACTTCTGACTAGGATAACATTTATTTTTCGTGTCTAACCAATTATCCATAATATAAAGATGATTGCTCTTGCCTCGTTTTGATTTCTTAGCAAAACTAACTACAGTAATCGATTTTACGCTCTTGCCCCGACTGTATGGGGCAAGAGCAGCAATTGTCATCCTAATAAAAAAACAACATTTTTGGTAAATTGTAAATTTTCTAATTCAATCTAAAATATTCAGTTTTGTAGAGAACACTATAGGCTACTCTCTGGTTAAAGTGAATCATCCATAAAACATTTTAAGTATTTTTCTGTGATCTCGATTTTGAAATTTTAATTTTTTGGGCAGCACTTGCCCCACCTTACCTTAATTCTATATCAACAAACTGATATTTTTCCTTGCATATGCCTCTCCAATACTCTCCGTTTCACAGAATAGTTCCTTGGATCAGATTCCAATGTTAAATGTGTATTTATCGACATAAGCTGCAGGTCTTTGCGATCAAATTAGAAACTAGAAACCTTAAAAGTAGCTACCACTTGATTCTATTTATTGCGTTTTCACCGACATAGCTACTGCGCCATTTATGAGACATTAACCTTTTCAAAGCAGATTTGTAATTCGTCCAGAGAGAAACATAGCTGTACAAATTCTGATTCAGGTAGGTTAGAAGGAGCGAAGCTTATAGAAGAATGAAATGACTAATACATGACATGAGAAGTTTGGGGTATAGGAGCACACATAAGGATAAAAGGTTATTCGCATAAAAATTCATTTGTACTATAACATGCCTTATTTAGCAAGAGATGCCAAGTTTATTTTTACACAAAGATAAGCTGGTAATCTGTTTAGTATATAAACTTCATTATACACGGCATTACATAAATAAAACAGATTCCTTTTACTATTAGCTCTGAGATCGAAATTTTGAATATGACTTTGGTTATTATATACAAATAAACAAGACTCGTAAATCAATATTGACGGCAGCGTTAAAATTTTATTATGCTTAAATAGTGGTATAGAGCTATCCAGTGGATTGAGATCAAAGACTAAATTAATCAACCTCTTTTGTAGAATGAATATTCTCTGTATGCCACAAGAAATGCCCCAATATATGTATAATCAAGTACCTCATGTAACAACATGCCATTGCAAAATAATTATCTAGGAGACACCTACCACTAGCTAGTCCCCGTAGGCTTCTTAAATGCAAATAAAAGCAGAGTTAAGCTTACTAGCCACATACTCTATGTGTGTTTTCCTAGAAAGTGTTTCGTCTATGTAAAGACCAAGACATTTGTTTACATTGCATTGTTTGTCGCCAAAATTGCCTAGTTTTGGTGCATAATTTTGGCTCATTTGTCTAAGATTGCCTACCAAAGTGGCAAGCCACACCTTTATCTCTCTCTCTCTCTCTCTTTCTCTCTGGAGAGGTATTAAAGTAGCCAATCAATCTAGGTGTACTCATGCGGCGATTAGCACTTTATTATTATTATTATTATTATTATTAATATTATATGTCCAAAAAGATGTACATGTCGATACGGAAGCCATATGTATTTATTATTATTACTATATGTCCAAAAAGATGTACATGTCGATACGGAAGAAGTCTTAAATCGATTTTCAAGAAGACAAAAAAGAATTAATTTTGTTATTTAGATTTTCCTTTTAAATTTGATTTATTGTTTAAATCTCATTTAGGCTGTCAGGCTATACCGTATGATTATATGGATAAGATGGATAAGATCCCTCGTCAATTGTCAATCGCACTCCTCCCGAGCCCATCGGACCTGAAACCTGTGACTCTCCCCTGACACAAATGCTGGATCCACCCTTGGGTGGTAATGTGATTGCCATAACTATATATTGTGTTTTTTGTATAAGCTTATATTGAACTTGACCTGTTTGTCAGTGTAGGACAAATTTTGGAACTGAATTTTGAACCAGTTACACACGTTTGTCCTGCGAGTCAATGAAAAATGAATTAACTGCCCCTATTTTGAATCCAATATGCTGGATGCTACAAAATGGCGATTGATCACCTTCATAGTAATCCCTATGATATGGGTGTCAAATAAAAGGGCTTGATGAGAGAAATGTAATAAGCAGTCAAGTCATTCTAAGTCCAATATGGCGGCGGCCGAAAATTGGCGATTTTCGTTTATCATAGTTACCCCTTCAAAAAAAAACGTTTGTAATTTACCTCACCACTACGATATAGCTGACAAATAAAAACGATTGATTAGAAAAACATAGCAAGCAACGTCAAGTTTTTTAAATGTTTTATTATCACCTAAATAAAGGCTTGCTTTAAAAAATGTATTTTCTTATATGACTTGTATACGACGAAGGGCCATGTCACTCATTTCCATAGATTCTCTGTCGTAAACCACTGTCCATGGACCCAAACATTTTGAAGCAGTTGATTGGTTCAAATTTCACTTATCACTAATGACGATAAGTAACTTCGTATATCCAAAATTGAGACAATCTGCATAACAATTTTTTTCTAGGGCTACCATGATTGAGTTCTAAAAGATTTGTCAGATTCTTCTTCAAGACTGTCAGCCTACCCCAGCTGAAAAGTTAGTGTGCTCAGCAAAGTTCTAGAGAGACGTGACATTAAGCGTGAAGATATTATGAAGAAAATGATGATGATTATATCTGATTCACACCAGGATAACAATTACATTAATATGGCCTTGAAGTATACAGATCCGTTAGCATTTGCGCTTTAGGTTAAACACTTGTGAATATTAAGTTTATGTAAACAAAGTGCAGAAATAAAGGGTATCTACGATATGAAAGCAGCTTTTTGCATATTCTAGTTGCTTTCAAGTAACAAGGCATAAGGATGCTTTAGTTTCGACCTTCTCCTGAATAGCCTTCAAATATTTGCAAATAATAGTGAAATGATAATTTTTATCTGCAGCAGTTTAACCTACAAAACACAATCCTGACGAGTCTTAAGTCTTTGATTGAACATAAAGCAAGGACTAAGGATTTGACATTAAGTTAACTATTTTTTATCTTCGAAATCAGGGAGAACGCAATAATCCGACCAATCCGTGATTCAATGAAGTACCCGATAAAAGTAGGTGTCATTCATTTTTTAAACAACTTTCATCATTATAGTTTGTCCTTGTTGTTCTGTTCCATCTAGTATACACTTGTACAATAAAATCTTGTACGGGACATGTTTTACCTATCATATAGATAGTGTAATGGACAACTCACCTGAAGAATTAATGGATCTCAGTGATCGAATATTTAATTTTATCAACATTTTACCTTTTATCCCACAAATTATAATGTCATTATACGTATCTATGTAGATACTTAATTTGAATTTTAATTATTATTACTTCATACTTCATCCATAAATGTTTTGTTACATATTATATTACTTTATTACTTAGGCTGAGTGGAAGAGCACAATTTGTGAAATACTCTTTTGGTGTTAAATTGGAACAACTGGCAACCACGCAGTGTATTCTTTGTTCCCAAGGCACCGAGTGCTTCACTTTTCGCTGCTGATCTCGACTGTATTCCTGTGATAAGGTACTTGTTCAGGTATTTAGCTTTTTTATTGTTATTTTCTTATGACATAGCAGGTGTTATTAAATACATGTTATTCTATATCAAAAAATTGATATTGGTGCTTCCATATGTCTCTCCAATACTGCTCGTTTCACAGAATAGTTCCTTGGATCAGATTCCAATGTTAAATGTGTATTTATCGACATAAACTGCAGGTATTTGCTATCAAATTCAGGCCATTCCAGGTCTTCGAAAAGCTTTTCCTTCTTGATAATCGGTTTTCTAGAAAGAGCATACTTTTTAGTAAGATAAACCCCTCAAAAATACCTGCCACTTGATTCTATTTATTACGTCTTCTCTTTGTGATGCGAGATACGCCAACATAGTGGGCTACTGTGCCATCTATGAGATATTAACCTTTTCAAAGCAGATTTCTAATTCGTCCAAAGAGAAGAGACATACCTCTACAAATTCTGATTCAGGTAGGCTAGAAGGAGCTAAGCTTATAGAAGAATGAAATGGCTAATACATGACATGAGAAATTTGGGATATAGGAACACACATAAGGGTAAAAGGTTATTCGCATAAAAATTTATTTTTGTTCTGTAACATGCCTTATTTAGCAAAAGATACCTAACTTTATTTTTAAACAAAGATAAGTTGGTAATCTGCTTAGCCTCACGGTACCCAATGGGTGTTTAGACCTTAGGCCTTCGTGGTAGTTGGAGTATAAAAAAAAAAGTATTACATAAATACATCAGATTCCTTTTACTATTAGCTCTGAGATTGAAATTTTGAATATGAATATGGTTATTACGTCTAGTATTGTAGACGTGTATGTCACTGCGCTGGGGGAATTAATCTGTGTTTTCTTTAAAAAATAAGCAAGACTCCTGAATCAATATTAACGACAGCGTTAAAATTTTATTTTGCTCGAATCGGATTGAGATCAAGGACTAAGCTAATCAACCTCTTTTGTAGAATGAATATCCTCTATATGCCGCAAGAAATGCCCCAATATATAATCAAGAACCTCATGTAATAGTATGCCAATGCAAAAGTATCTGGGAGACGCCTACGACTAACTAATCCCCGTAGGGCTCCTTAATGCGAAGTAAGCAGGCTTAGTAGCCACATACATAGAGTTTGTTTACACTGCATTGTTTGTTGCCAAAATTGCTTATTTTCGGTGGATACTTTTGGCTCATTTATCTCCCATTGCCTATCAAAGTGGCAAGGTCATACCTTTATAGCTGATGAGGTATTTAAGTACTAGATAACTGTGTTGCGATGCGAATTACACAGTTATTGTTATTGAACATGGATAAATTAAATAGGACAAAAAACGAAAGTAAATATTTATACTTACTGATCTGCTTCACTAGAAACTCGTGGCAATAAAAGTAGAACGTAAAATTACTAGATGAAACGTGAAGGTGAAGACCTTTCCAGGAACTTTTAAATTCAAAATAGAAGTGGATTAGATCCAAAGACGAAGTTAAAGCTGGACTTTTTCAGTGTCCGTCAAAAAATTTAGTTTACCCCA